TAAAAATTATAATAATTATTATAAAATCTAAATAAATATTTATTTTAATATATATTTAAAAAAATAATTAAATATATATATTAACATATATTAAAATTATAAGCTTAACAACTAAGCAGAATCAAAAATTACCAAGGTGGATCTGGCGGGTAGAGAACCTCGTACTTTATACACCAGATTCCTACTATCACAGGCCTTGCTCGTCAACCCTTTACAATGCGTACTTCCGTGTCCTATGGTCTAATATGGCACTGGAACTTGAAGGCCTAATCGCTCGTTTATTACTCGTCATCTCATGTGCTGGTGAACAGGGTATGTTTTCCATTGCGTCGCATTCTTTTTGCCTTTGACACCGGAATTAAGAATCTTGTTCTAGCACGTTGAAATAACTAAATAATCATCGGATGACGGTTGTTAATGCTTACCACATAGGTCTCTCAATATCGGAATTCAACGACGCTGCAAAATTAGCACTTTACCTATCTGATAGTGCTGCCTCCTTCCACAATAACCAAGATGTCAACCTTCATGATGCAGGATCCAAATTCTCGGGTCATGCTGTCGCCACGATCTGGAAATGGCTTGTCCGGCGGACCGACATATCTGTTGGCCCTCACCGAACTTTCAATCATCTAACGTTCGCAGAGGTGTTGGCATTGGATAATCTCAACAAAAGTCGAAATACTCGTCCGGGGTTGGATTTTATCAATGGCAATGGGCAGACTCGGCAAGCCGTTCCATCTACTGCCGTAGGGCTTGGCGAGCATAATGACATACGAATACATGCCTCTCAGGAGATAATGTGGGAGGCCATCACCGGACATGCGATAGATTATAAGCGCGTTCCTCGCTCCGAATGGCTTTTACTTCTTGGCATCGCTTCAACGAAAGCCCAGGGGATATTACAGGGCGATCTCGGTCGCCTGGTTGACCAAGACAAACGTTCAGTACCAAAGCGAACGGATGCACTGGTCAAGAAAGGTTATATCACCAAGCGTACGACTCTTGTTCGGGGAACAAAAACAAGCAAGATGTGGCTTAAATCATTTGCTCCCCCATTGCCAAAAGACAGGAACACAGCTGCGGAACCGGAGGCTGAGATGAATCTCTCCCGCCAGGTTCTTGCCATTAATCTTGATGCCGTTCCTTGGCACACGAGATGGACGGGGGAGTCTGTCGATTATACAGCATTGGCAACCACTATAATGGCAATTTGTAAGGAATGGGGCGTCTTACGCATGCAAGATTTGAAATCCAAGTTGGGTGTCCTTGGCATGCGATGGCAAATGAAAGTGGTTTCTAAAGTCTGCCGGTTTCTGAACGCGCGAGATGCGATTCGTTATGTTGCTGCAAAATTGAACAACAAAGTCTTTAATGACTGTGTTCAGTTCAATCGTGATCTGACACCCAAAGATTGGTCTATTTTTCTGGCAACTGGAAAGCGGGCTGGCAAGCTTGCCAGATCCAGTGAATTTTACAGCCAAGATGGTCACGATATTGCCGACTCTTTTCTCAACCAGACCGCCTCTTCGAAATGTCTAGGCGTCGCCCCGACGTGGTCATCGGATCAACCGTTGGCTGCTACTATTACAAAGAACATTATGGCGTGTGGCGAGGCAGGGTTGACGAATCCAGACGTGTATGGGCTTACTCTAGGTGTATCTTTTACACGTTTTTTGTCATCCTTGACGACTTGTATTTCCACGCCCAATATCCAGCCTACTCAGTTACAGCATCTCCAAGTAAGAAGTGAGCATTCTAGAGCTGGAAAAGTCGCATCCTATAGATACTCGCTGCCCTCGGTGCTTCAATTGCCCGATATTATGACAACTAATATCGTACAAGAGGATCCCGAGCGGCGAACCGACTCACGCCTATCATACGGTTTCTCACAAGATCTACATCCCATTGGAACTTCAAAATTGGCTAATCTCAGCCAAGCTAATTTATCTCAAAAAAGACAGAGGGGCAGGCCTCGAAAGATTAGATCAGAGCATCAGAATGACTGGATTGGTAACGATAACAATCTACAGCAAGTATCGGGTATCAGCCATTCAGACGTCAATCTCACAGATGAAAACCACTCCATCGCGAGAGATTCAATAATTGTCAAGCTAAAGGTACCTCAGGATGCGCTCAGAGAGCTCATGGATCCCCTCCTTAAACCACAGGCAGCTAGTCAAGAAACAAATCTCCTAGAATCGGAATCAACGACAGAAGCAGCACCGGATGCTCTAACAAACGATACCGCCCAAGGCATGGATGCACTACTATCACCTGGTTTACGTATGCCTATAGAATCCTCTCGATCTGTAGGCCGTGGACGAGGCCGAGGGTGTGGCCGGGGCTCTAGTCGCCTCAGTAGCAGAGGCCAGGCTGATTCTTTCGGCAATGACACAAACAAACGTAAAGGATGGAATTGTGAAAAATGTGGCAGGACTTGGAAGAATGATATTGGCCTCAAATATCACCTCGAAAAATCTCAAACTTCTTGTAATCCATCTTATAGCCCGTCTAATATGGATGGATTTCGCAGGGAGATCAAGTCTGCCCCTCGTTCAACGAGCGCAACTAAGTCAGCCGAGAGTCCCACTTCAGTGTCTGTTCCACTGACAAGGGCTTCACATCGAGTTGGTACAGCTAATGCAACTGAAGACCAAGAAAGGGGAGAAGAGGAACAGGATGATGAAGAGACTTCAACACTCAGGCTGTCACCAATACGGACCAGACCCAAGACTGGTAAATATTCACATGGTGCGATATCACCAGCTGCTCTCAGTCACCCGAAAGAGATCTATGGTTTGAATCAACCCTCAAACGTACAATCTATTCCAGAGCATAGAAATACTCTGAATCTTTCATCTCTTCCGCAGGAGCAGACAACTGTCCAACGAGTGGATATAAGACAATCAAATCAAATTCTCAGCTTGAAAAATCGGAAATCTCATACTAGCCAGTTGGAGAATCTTCCCGGGATCGAATCAAGTCCGAACCAGTCTGAGCGGCATTCAAGCTTCACCCCCCATTTAAGGGAGATAGATACCCCCAACATTCGCGACAAATATAGTAAGCCTGATTATGAGACTACATCCTCAGCATATGGCGCGGGGAAGACAGAGGTAGCAACTGCTAGCAGCCAAAAATCCCATGGATCTATACCTGGCAACATGGGAGGAAAAGAGGTTTCAAAGAAAAAGTCTCTTAGAAGTGAGGTTGCTGATCAAATATCTGCACTTCTGATGGATATGCTTGTCCAGCGAGATGGGGTTCTCCCCGGAGGGCATTCTCTTTGGCATGCTCTCACCACCGTATGGAACAGTAGATATTCTGAGAAGCCAGTACCGAAAACAAAAGACTACCAAGGGGCTTTGAGCCGAATGATCAAATCTAAGTCAGTCCTGGAGCATTGGCATGGGTTTCAAGATCATGGTGGCCTCTTCGCCAAATGTCAAGTTATTACGTTACCGCATCTTGATGCCTTCTCTTCGGAAGTCTTGGCTGTTGTTGAGAAGATTAAGCAAAGACACCCCCAACTCTTCATCCCCACACAATTTCGATCTCCAAGTAATGATGTTGATTACGGAGAGAAGAAGGAGAACCGTCGAGGACGTCGTATTCTTGCTGGCGAAGTCGCTCGGCTGGACGCTCCGGTGTACGCAGCTCAAGCTTCAGCCAAAAGGCGCCACGGGATGATGAGCGACATTACCACTCCAAGTAAGCGAAGAAAATTCGCTCAGGCCGATACGAATAGCCCAAATTTCGCATCTCTTTCTACACTACCACACGACAAGTATCAAGTGAGATGGGCCGAAAACAGCTGGTTGTCTGACAATACTAATGTCCCGAGTCAAAAGAACCCTAGCATGGCTCACGCGACTCATGGAACCAAGATACAATTCTTAACACCAAACTTATTCTTAGAGGACGATTGGTCTGTTAACGATCACCGAGTGCCACAAGGAACAATGCGGCCCCTCCCATTTACTGATATGGATGCTACTTTCCATGGCTCACCAACCCCTGTAGCGGTAAAGGTTACCATGACCGAACCTGTACGGATTCTGGGCAATGATGGAAACTGGCCATATCTTGAGTTGCAGTTTTTTGAAGAAAAAAGCAGTATCTCTAGCTTCACGTTGTGCGGCTGGATGCCTGATGCAGAGTGGTTCAATTGGGCTGATATTGTCCAAGGCCTTGACAAACGGATTTCCGGGAATGAGATGGGAAGGCCACCTTGCACAGTCAACACCGAAGCTGCTCATGACAGATTCATGAAAGGCTTAATCGACTGTCTCGATCTAGAGCTGGCTCAAAGGGCACAGTTTATTAACGCGCCACCCCTGGTTGCTGGCCCCTACAACCTATTCGTCAATTTTTCAGCTGGTTTTGAAACTGTCACTTCATTGCCTGATCCACACTGGCAGCATCAGGAACAGCTGGGTCCTCAATCTGTTGACAAGATTTTGCATGAATTAGAAGCCTTGACATCAAGTGATGACGAAGACTCTGAGTTCAGCTTGGATGCTTCGGTTCTGAGATATTCAAGGCGCCCCCTAAATACTGGTGAAATGATACAATCGAGGGTTAAACGAGTGGCTCTGATAACTCGCCCGCTTACCTCAATATCCCCGAGGGAAACGTACGGAATGGACGAGTCGGGGGCGCTGGAGATTGAGGAAGGCCGGCTGACAAGCCAAGAAGACCTCCTGGCCGCTTTTGTTGTCGTCCGAGTCCTGCTGGGAGGTGCAGATAAAGCAATAGACTGGGGCCTTTTGCTTCACATCTTCCCGAACATGCGACTGCCTAGCTTGCGTAAATTCTGGGCAGTTGCATGTAAGGAACAAGGGCCACATATAAAAAAATTTACGCGAGATGTTCAAGAACGGCTGATCGAAGCTCTTGAAAACCATGAACTCCCTATGGTAGACTTTGAAGAGCCGATTGAATATGATTGGCAGATGCTTATTAAATGGGCAACAAGAATATCTCGCCAGGAAGGCTATCAAATTCCTCAGTCAAGAGAACTTCTTGCCCACCGGTTTTTGCTGAAAGCCAGCAGCCCCAGCGAGGAAGACTGGTGCGAGAGATATTTTCACGCTCAATCATCAATTTTTTCCAGGTTTGAGGCGGTCACATCAGAGCCCGCTGCACTACCTGTCAACCGAGTCTTTGATCGTGTTGGCGACAATGCCGACGCTGAGAATGCAGACATTGCAAGATCGTGGATCAAGTCACTTTGCTGCACTGGCGAAGCAAAATACTCTGTACGAAAAATCAAGGAAAAATTTCTCACGCTGTCAAGGGAAGGCACAGATCAAGGTTCACTGCTGCTTAAGGAAGCCATCGATCAACTCACTGCTCAAAGGGTCATTTGCAGGAGCAAAAAGACGCCATTTGGTGGGCGTCCATATAGGCTGAGCGAATGGTATTTGTCAACGCTGAGTAGGGTGGCACAGCGCTCAAAATACGAAGAGGCAGCAGCTTTCAAAAGGCGTATGGATGCCATTTTCCGTACGGGGGATGCATTTGAGATACCGTATACTCTGAATGATGGTTCTATGATGGCACTGACGAACTTGAATGCTACTGGGAGAATTACGCTTGTTCCCATGGATATACCGAATATTCCCTTTGGGTTCGAACCGGGCAACTATGAAAGCCGAAAATATCCTAAATCCTATTACCATTTCCGTCTTCAGGCCGTTCCAACAGGCTTGTATCAGTACAGCGACGACATTGCCGTGTTACATGCCGTGACACAAGAAGATTTGCCCTCCACGACCTTGAAAGGGGAAATCCCACAATGGATCGACTTTTTTGGAGAGAAAGATAGCAAAAGATGGTCTGACATACTGGGAGCCATTTGCTTTACTTATGCCACTAAAGGGCCCATGGCTGTCAGAGACGTCTGTAACTCTTTGCGGCCTATTCTTGATGAATTTGAGGCGAGGCTTATTGTAAGCTGGGGCATAAAAACCGGCATTTTCGAAGAGGCAATAGGTGGATTGGCTGTAACTGTTGGAGAGTGGTGGTGGCTAGCTGTGCCATGGCAATACAATCGACAATGAGAGCAGGCTGGTAGCAAGCAGACAACTCTTGCATGGTGAGGGTCTCCATATCTGAGAAGCTCATGTTATAACCCATAGAACTCATGCGACGGTAGTTACGATAGGGAGATATATTGAGCACTCCAAATTGATCATTGCTATCAACTTTATTGGCTAATGGCCATACTATTGATGACCCAGGGATATCTACTTCGCACATTTGACCTAAATATTACTGATCGTAACAAGTGCAGGAGAAAACATCAAAGAACAAAGCCAGACGCCCGCATCCCAAGTACAAGACCTGTTATGTACTAAACAAAACTTTAAGAACCAGTGCAATCAACAGAATGACCAAAGCTATAATCACCCTGTCTACCCACAACGGCACTCCATCGCTTCCCGCTCTCGTCCGATTAGCGGTTAAAGAGTTCCGCTGAGTTTCGAGGCCCGCCGTCGGTAATGGTTGTGCTGCTACGCCATCTGGAATGCTGGGAGCAGTCTGGACAAACCCCTCTGCCAGCTCAGCTTCATCAGATATCTCATCATTTCGATCGGGTACAGGAGAAACCTTTGATGAATGAGCTGACGGCGACTGGCCCTTCCTAGCAGTCTCAAGCTCATCTCTCCATTCCATATTTAACTCAGCGGGAACTGATATATCCTGGCATGGGGAGGCGCCTTGTTTACAGCGGTCTTCGCACTCAGCGATAATATCCGCATTTGTTCTGGCGCAGACTGCGCATTTGAAGGACGCTGACTCTTGAGCAAGGCGACGGCGGACCGCTTCAGTAGTTTCCAGGCCCCCTAGCTGACCCAAAACATCTGTTTCCATGAAACTGCGGAGCCTGTGTCATTACGGTTATCAGTTAGTTATCAAAGGCGAACAGAGGTGTATGATGGAGCGTGGAAGTCCTACGCGACAAGGGCGGTTCGGATGCCCCAGGCCGGCTGCCACGTTTCTTCATGATGGCCACTTATGCTGAGGCAGATCTCACGGTTGGCCTCAAAGCGGCCGTTTGGGGTGGAGAAGCGAAAGCTTGGGGGCCGCAGAGGATACGCTGGAGGCAAGATAATTCGGCCATGGTAAACACCCTGGCTGTATGGGGAATTTGGAGGCCCGCGAAGGGTGAAGTGCCATTCGAAGAGGTCCGACTCTAGTGGCTCTGCAGTGTAATCAGGCGACGGCGCATTTGAAAGCTCTGCAGCCTCGCGGACTGGGAGATGCCCGAGTTAGTGCTTCTACAAAGGATGAGACATGACTCTCTACCCTCCTGTCTTGAAGAGATTCGGGGAGAGGGACTAACGTATGCGTCGAATAGTGGGGGATTTAGTGTTAGTTGACGCCGCCATTGGCCGCAGATATCCTTGTGAGTGGCCCGGCGGGCTGAGGGTGGATGGATGGTGATGCTGGAAAGATGGTGGTTCGTTGGATGTCACGGGAGGAAGCAGAGGAAGACAACGGGCCTGGGATCAGGGGAGTTTGCGGAGTACAGGAGCAGTGATGTAGAAAACAGATGGCATCTAGGAAGCTGGTTCCAAGTGTCCACAAATAATATGTAAGATGTCACCGTGGTCTTTTAAATCTGCGACGCAGAGAGGTGATGATGAAAGGTGACATACTAAGTTGGGTGGGTAATAGTCTACCTGTATAGTAGCAGGGTAGGTAGGTACTAAGGTACTACAGTAAGCTGTTGCTAATACGCGTGATAACCTTGGTAGTACCTGGTACCCACCTGTCTGAGCATTCTTTGATGGACTTGATGTAGAATTACAACAAACGGCTATTTTTAAGAAATACTACCTACCTAGGTATTCTACCCATATTTCTATGTATATTCTATCTGGAGAACAACGCAGTATCGCTACTAGAAATTCAAGATTTGGTTCAAGCAGTATATATGAAATACCTAGGTAGGTAGGTAGTAGGTAGGGGACCAGAGAGGTTCCTATACTGTTTATAACAGTGGATGCTTGTCTTAGGACCCATTGAAGCTTCTCACCTTAGTACTAACTAACAACGTCGCTAGTAAACCACTAACAAAACTGTTATCGGGTTGTTAGCGATAACCCCTCTACAACGATGATGCCGATTGTTCTAGTGGGGCCATGTTGCTCCACGCTGGCCAAAGAGTCTCAGTTGCTCAGACTGCTAGCTGTCCTCATAACGGTGCTCGTGCTTGCAAACGTGTTATCATTTCAAGCAAATGATATACAAACCAGTTGAAACCCCCCTCATCCAACAACCAGACAATTTCACACCTGCGTTGAATCAATTGCGGCTCTATCAACCTAGCTGTCCGATTTATTTTTGCCAACACATCGTCTGGCTGTGCTGAGCGTCCAGCATTTTCCCAATGGACTACGAAGCAGTCAAGGAGCAATGGAGCGAGGTGGAGGATCGCGATGGCGTTCGCCTTAGCTGGAATGTCTTCCCCAGCTCTCGAATGGTATTGATTCCGTCCTGAATCTACTTCCTACCAGCTCATAGATCAAACAGGAAGCCTCGAGACTAGTCGCGCCTATAGGCGCTCTATTCACCCCGCTGAAAGAGAAGCCCGAGACGCCTCTGCTCCAATTCGAACCCGTCACATGCAAGCAGCCTTGTCGATCAGTCCTCAATCCTTTCTGGTAAAGCTCTCCCGCGATCAGCCAGCTGTCATAATGTCTTCGTGCAGGGCCTAACTGATGACCATGTTAGCCAAGTGGATGTTCGTGCTCGAGTATGGATCTGCCCATTCTGCTTGTCAAGAAACCAGCTCCCCGCGCATTACAAAGACATCACTGCGAATGCTATCCCACCGGAGCTGCACCCTGCCAATACTACAATCGAATATAGGCTGTCCAGGCCTGCGCCTGCGCCACCTCTGTTCCTCTACGTTGTTGATTTGTGCCAAGAGGAGGACAGTTTGTCTGCACTCAAGGAATCACTAGTCATGAGCCTCAGCCTGCTTCCAGAAAATGCGCTGGTCGGTCTCATCACCTATGGTACAATGGTATGTTTACTCTACATCTCCACATGCGGACGAGTGTTGACCGTTTCCAGGCCCAAGTCCATGAGATTGGCTATGAAGGTTGCGCCAAGTCGTATGTTTTCCGTGGAAGCAAGGACTACTCTGCCAAGAATGTCCAAGATATGCTAGGACTGTCTTCTCAGGGTGCAAGACCCGGAGTGCCGCCACCGGCAGGTCGCCTAATGAATACCGGAGTGGCGACAAGATTTCTCCTGCCTGTTCAGCAAGCCGAATTCCAGCTCACCAAGGTTTTGGAGGCACTGCAAAAAGATCCCTGGCCAACTGCCAGCGACCGGAGAAGTCTTCGTTGCACAGGTGTCGCTCTGAGTGTTGCCATCGGGCTAATGGAATCAACGTTCCAAAACTCTGGTGGCCGCATCATGCTTTTTGCCGGCGGGCCTGCCACTGAAGGACCTGGTATGGTTGTTGGTCCAGAGCTGAGGGAGCCGATGCGCTCACATCACGACATTGATCGCGACAATGTTAAGTGCTACAAGAAAGCGTTGAAGGTGAAGATGACCAGACTGAACAAAGTATCACGGCACCGTAAACTAACATGGCTGATAGTTCTATGATAACCTTGCCAAGCGCACGGCTCATAACGGGCACATTATCGACATATTCGCAGGCTGCCTTGACCAGGTTGGCCTGCTGGAAATGAAGGGGCTTTGCAACTCGACAGGAGGTCATATGATTCTCACTGACAGTTTCACGTCTTCCATGTTCAAGCAGTCATTTGTCCGCATTTTCGAAAAGGACGGCGATGATAACCTCCTCATGGGCTTCAATGCAGTGTTGGAAGTGCTGACGACCAAGGAGCTTAAAGTCACTGGCCTAATCGGGCACGCGGTATCCCTCAACAAGAAGTCGGTTTCGGTTGGCGAGACAGAATGTGGTATTGGTAACACCTGCTCATGGAAAATGTGTGGCATCGACCCCAATTCCAGCTATGGTATTTACTTTGAAGTTGCCAACCAGGGACCGGCAGCTCATCAGCAGGCACCTCAAAAGGGGATGATGCAGTTCTTGACATATTACCAGCACTCCTCGGGCCAATTCCATCTTCGAGTGACAACTATTGCTCGAAATTTGAGCGGCCCTGCCGGAGACCCAGCTATTGCGCAGTCTTTCGACCAGGAAGCAGCAGCTGTCCTCATGTCGCGGATAGCTGTTTTCAAGGCCGAAGTCGACGATGGCCCAGATGTCCTTCGCTGGGTGGACAGAATGTTGATTCGGCTGTGCTCCAGATTTGCAGACTACCGGAAGGATGACCCAACGTCGTTCCGTTTGGAGAAGAACTTCACCCTCTATCCTCAATTCATGTTCCACCTGCGAAGAAGTCAGTTCCTGCAGGTTTTCAACAACTCGCCCGACGAGACTGCCTTTTACCGCCATGTATTGAACCACGAAGATGTCAGCAACTCCCTCGTCATGATTCAGCCGACTCTGGACTCGTACACATTTGACCAGGATGGCGGCCAGCCCGTGCTACTTGACTCTGCGTCCATTCAGCCAACCCACATTTTGCTGCTGGATACCTTCTTCCACATTCTCATCTTCCACGGCGAGACCATTGCCGAGTGGCGAAAGGCTGGTTACCAGGAACAAGAAGGATACGAAAACTTTGCCGCTCTGTTGGAGCAGCCAAAGGAAGACGCCAGAGTAAGCACATGAAGAGAAGTGAATGTTTGTATAGTAACGGCTAACATTGCTCCTAGGATCTCATCACAGACCGGTTCCCGCTCCCCAGATTCATCATCTGCGATGCAGGTGGCTCCCAAGCTAGATTCCTGTTATCCAAACTCAATCCATCAACTACCCATACGACAGGGCCATACGGTGGTGTGGGGGCTACCTCTGCCCAAACCATTTTCACTGACGATGTGTCCCTGCAGACCTTTATGGATCATTTGATGAAGTACGATATGCCAGCAGACCCAGTCTTTATGCGAAATATACTGACAATCATGATAGGCTCGCTGTTAGTGGTACGAATTGAAATGGATAATTTAACAACGGGCGGGACTGTGGGAGCCCGATTAGCTTTTGATAAGAACCAGCCCAAAAGGAAAAAAAAAAAGGTTAAGAATATTAAGAGAATACAATCCATCAATTCACCAAGCATAAGCACGACTCTAGCTTTAAGTCTAATGATAATAATACATAGAACATTTACTGATGACAATAGTTATAACTCTCAGTTCCTTGGAACGAAGAGTCATCATGCTCTGTTGCTCGATTTCGGCGCGCGTTATGGAGAGGCCGCTAAGTAATGTTGGTCAGTTGGGGCTAGAGGCGTTGCCTCAAGCTGAAGCGGAGCCAAGAACAATATGAAGCTGAGAATGCGATGGCCTGCATGGGCGGTCCGGTCTCCACACACGCGAGAACAATGTGAATGAAAATTAATGCGTCAATGAGATTAAAGCGGCCCGGTGATTTAGTGAAATGCGGGTGAAGCGGTACAGATTGTCTCCACGGTGTTGCTTCGCCGCGGCCCTCGTGGAACAATAGCCAGGAACAATGCTTGAGAAGAACAACGGCAGCCCAAGCCAATTCGAAGTCGAAGCCATTTTCACGTCGGTCGCCATAGTATAAAGAGGCACAGGATTCCCGCCATCTGGAAACAAGAACCATCTCATCACCGACAACTCCAATCATCCCAAATCATCAACTAAGCTCACCACTTCCAACCTTCAAATCATCACCACCACTATCAAAATGGCCGCCATCAGGACCACCACCACTATCGGCTGCACCGTCATGGCCAAGCCCAAGCCCACCACCACCGTTGGCTGCAATGTCATGGCCAAGCCCCACGGCAACAACAAGTCCATCTTCGACAAGTACCACACCACCATCGGCTGCACCATCATGTAAACAGCTTCGCATGGCTGGGACATAAGACGATATTGCATCTCTCAGGCAGTGTCACAACCAAACCGACTCTCGATTCAGATGGATGAGATGGACGTCTATTCCCGAATGCGTCGATAATTTTTTTTATTGCAATCATTTCAAACGTTCAGGCCTTGTATTCGACAGCAACACCGTGGAATAACCTGGCTTTTTTCCCCTGCCAACCTCTCAAGCTTATCGACTATTAGATGGCATGACGGCGTGGCTGGATGAGGCAGCATTGAGCTAGCATTTGGGACTTCTGAGAAGGGAGGGATATATGCTTTTCTCATGTACACTATATAACATATATATACCACCAAACAGATTTCTATGTGAAAAAGATCATACAAATATATATATTTCTCACCCAAGATGGATGATTTGTTTTTTTGTCTTTGTGTGGATAGTGTTGGATAGGTATGATTAGCTGACTGCCTTATCTACAGACTAATACAGTAGAGTACTCCGTTAGGTAGTACAATGGAGCATCAACACCCCTGGTCCATCGACTTTAGCCATTGCTTAATCCCTGTCGCGGGAGATGTTAAGCGATCAGATGCATGCATGCATGTACTTGTGCAAACGCGTGGACTCTGCCAATCCATCAATATACGCGAACACAGCCCGCGCACTGGGGCTGAACGACGCTTCGTCCTGTCCAAAGTCCAGCCACTTCGCGCCTGTCAACCAACATCGCCTTTGCACCCTCCGCAGCGACACAGAGCCCGAGCGCCATCGAATCCCATTGCACGACACACAGAGAGAGTTTATTGGCATTTCCTTGACTCGGTAGGTCGTGCGACGCTTGCTACACCGTCCCCCGTCTTCTCTTCCCCCTGTCTTGCAGCACGAGCACACGCATTCAACAAGTCGGGCCATCAATTGTAAACGAGTCTGGCCAGCAGATTGGCATCGCGATCTCGGGTGCACGTACCCCGTCCCTTTCCTCGATAGTCGGCTGTCTGTGTCTCTGCGGGTGTTCTTTGCTTCTGCGTAACCAGGCTTGATGTTGGGCAATAGCGTTTTGTCAACAATCCCTCTGTCTCTCTATCCACGCTGCCTGCGATCCATCTTCTGCTGCTATTATGCTGCACTATGACTCGGTCACTATGGCTGTGCGACGTCGCTTCAGGATTGCTTCAGCCCGAATTCATGTCTTCCTCTTTGTGCTTATACTTTGCATATACTATGTTATCCTGCAATTTTGAATCGTTACTGACCGAGTGCTTTGACGTATAGAGATCTCTCCACATAGCCGCTCTTTCAATCCACGCCTCCTGCTGCTGTTGTTTCACCAAGTGGTCTAACGGAGATTCCTCTTTCTTTGATCCACAAGCGCCGCGAATTTGATCGTTTTGGGGGCTCTGTGAAGCCTTTTCATTGCCTTTCTTTGGCTATATACCCTGTTCCGACAGGTATTCTATTTCCATCACACCACACGACCTTCAACAGCACCGCTTTCCCATGGCGTCATCCGAGGTGGATCAGAAGTATCTGGGTCGAATGGCCAGGAGCGTTGAAAATGACAACACCATACTCTCATCAACACTCTACAAGATCCTGGGGCTTTCTCTCAGGCTCTCTGAGAAGCTTGTAGAGGTCAAGAAGCAGCGCAAACCTGATGCCACGCTCCACGAGAACATCATGCGCATCCTTTGGCTGGCGCGCGAAGGGCTCAAGATGCTTCAAGAATACGTCATCCCCTTTGTCAGCAACTGCGTCGAACTGAAAGTCTTGGCCTATAAGCTACGTGCCAGCTTCTATCACATCTTTGTGCTTTTTCGAAATCAACCTCGCGTGTCCAATATGCCGGGTTGGGATCCCGATGCCGTACCGACTGACCATGTTGCGGATGACTACCAACATATGATACATCATTCTCTTGAAGGTGGCCCGGTTGGCCCCCCTCCTGGCTTTGAAGCCCCGGTCTCGGCACTCTCACTTTCCTTCTTATTGCCTGCCAAGGACTACCTGCCCACAGCACATGAATATTTCGAAGAGGCCGCAGAGTTGGCTGATAAACTTCTCTGGGGCTCACACTCGTTGCGTTTATCAGTCAAGACAGAATATGCAGCGTTTCTTTATGAATGTGTTCACGATGCTAATGCTAGCCGCAGCCTTGCAAGGAACACGATTAATGAGGTCTACGAGGCTACAGAAGGCATGGACGATGACATGTTTCGCGATGCCTGTGAATTGGTCACCGTGCTGGGTAAGATGATGAGGCGTGGCCTCGGATCCAACAACACCCTTCACAGCAAAGCCCAGGCTTTACATTCAGCTCCCTCAGCTGGTGCGACGCCTCCTATCGGCATGGAAAATCCAATATAACCCTCGAATGAGCATGGGTGATGAGCAGCGGGCCGGGATCAACTCCCTCACCAAACGAGGCGAGCCATACCACTCCGCGGAAAATCTCATCAGCAGCCCTTGTTTACGAAACCAACCTCTCGTCATGTATTTTTTTTCACTCAGCGTGCACAAAGCGTATCTATCTACCACTTCACACGTGGACATAATTAAACACATAGCATGTTTACAGTTAATGTTGGTATATATGTATATCCCTATAGTTAATGTTTATTTTTTTTTCTTTCAGGGCAAACCATCTCTTGAACGCGCACAGCTACGTTACGCCGAATTTACCGCTCTGATGGTCGTCAGAAACCTGTTTGATGTCGGCATAAATGAAATATAGGAGCCTTTGGCTCTAATTTGGCTTCATTCGCCTTTCAACAACATGTTCATATGGATTCTCTTCAACTCTGATATTTTAGCTATGGGTAGTGCTTTTTATCTCTTCAGGGGCTTTGAGGCGGGAGGTGAGTGTATCACCGACAACCATCGGCGATTTATGCACCATGAAGAACTAGTTCAATGGTTTTCAACTTGATTTCTTAAGGCGGTCATGATGCTAGCTTAATGGTCCTGACCTAGCTGTTGTCCCCATCTTGCGACGCCTCGCCGGCACATTCATTGGCGATTCACGACTGACTTCGTCGATTCCCGTCTCAAAGGGCTTGTGCCCGCTCAGCGTTGCCAGCTTGATGATGTTCCCATAAGCAAAGGCGACCGATGTTGGCCCAACTCTTACGCTGGGCCCTAGATCACAAACAATCAGTTGCCCTGCATCTTCATCGCTGCCAAATAGGGGCACGGTTTCGTCCACCTCTTCCCAGTCACTCGACGCTGCCCTCCACAACTCCCAGCAGCTGAAGGCCCCAAATTCCTGGCTTTGTGTGCTCGCCATGCGGTTCCGCATCCCCGACATGGCCTGAGGGTGATGTCTATGACGACTTCTCGGCTCGGTGCGAGGCCGGCGGCGAAGACCCAATGCGCTCCCGTCGGACAAAATGCTCCAAACACCAGGGTTACCGATGTGCTTCTTGCGTTCCTTTGCGTCGGCCCAACTGCACCATCCACTGCTCGCACCTACATCGTTCACACTTTGTAGAGAAATCGCGTCGTCGTCATCCTGAGGCGAAAACGTGTGTAGAACACAGTCGCCCGAGACCAGCGCCAAGTAACTAAACGTGAAGGATATCAGTCCTAGCGGCAGGGCATTTGGCGATCGATGGCAGGTGAAGGCGCATGTAAGTGAACGTGGCCGCATCTCTTCTATGGAGAAGGTCCACACGGTATTTCCATCGTCCAGGTTTATAAGATGAACGTGCGTTTTGGACGATGCAAGGAAGTAGGAGAGAGGTGAAAGAGCCACCACTTGGTGGATTTCATCGCTTGCAAGTCTTCTGGAGAGAAGATTCCGCCTTTCCCACGATAAGCCATCTCTTTCCATGATGTGTACATCTCCATTTCGAGATGTTGCTACAAGGCAGACCATCGGATGCTTACCAACTACACAGATGGGAGGAATTCTCGTTAGTCAGCTATACTTATAATACGACAATAAGGGACAAATCGCGGATTCACCTTTACTTAGCAGCGGGCGGGCACATGTCAAGCCTGGGCAGATGGTAGACTTGCGGGTTACTCCCGAGGCCGGCTCTACATCTACTGCAGTCCCGTCCTTCCATACTATGACTGCTCTTGGAACATCTGATGATGCGGTTGGTTCCAGAAAGAAGGCCTCTGGCCTCTGGTTGTAGGTCTCTACAGCCACGGACGAGCCGTGGACATGGGTTATAACATTCCAAAAGATGACCATATCGGATGATAGGATCGCTAGCCAGTCCGAGTCTTCATCCATGGCCACTGCAAGTACGGGAAACTTGACCACGATTTCCCTATCCAGGTTAGAGATTGTGAATCCTTTATTCCTGTGGTTCAGATCCCACAAGCGAATCATACGATCTAGGCCAACAGATATCGCATAGCCTCTTGGGGAGTAAGCGAGCATAGCTATATCGAGTGTGTGCCCCCCAGAGAGTGTTTTCACAGACAGGCTGGACTGGTCACTTGAGTCTTGCAGCTCTTCCGCCTTGGTCTCGTCCTCAGGCAGTAGGTAGCTTATCAATAGACGAAGCAAAGCAACCACAACAATGTCGATGAAGACGAATGTACGCAGTTGGTGGTGGGCAAAGTCATATATCGCCGGTAGTAGCGCGGGCTCTTTCATCATCGGCACTCGGTTGGACCCCTTTTTTACAAACACTAACGGCTCATAGACTCTAGCTATGTAGCTATAGGCTGAAGGCTTTATGAGGCGGATGATTTCACGGGCGGCATCATGATCTTGCAGCCGTAGCCAAGACGTAGGAGTCCTTGCTTGGTGGATATCCTCTAGAGGGGACGCCTCGGGCGATGACACGTTGGGCTCTAGATCCTGGCCATTGTATAGGTGAGCCAATCTCTGGGAAATATCGCCACCACCGAAAAAGTGAGACTGCGCGATGATGATGAAGCTTATCATGACGATTGTGCCCGCAATGCGTGTTGACAGAGCGATTTTCCCTTCAAGCATACGCTTCACCCAGGACGGGTTCTCTCGAACGCGGCGTGCTTTTCGTTTGCGACGCATAGCCTCTTTGGCGAGAGCATCCCCAAGCTCCATTCGACGCACGTCAACACTGAGGACAGAGATGAAGAAGCTGGAAAGGAAGAGAAAGTCGAGCACAATGGCAATTGCCGCAAAGATGCAGAATGCGGATACGCTTGGCGTAACAACATAGGACAAGCCAAGGAGGATCAAGAAGTTTTGAACAGTGCTGACCAGGGCAGTAGGCGCAGTCTCTCCAAAGGCAGAACCTATCCTGCTGCTTGTGCTTTCTCCTGAGGGAGTGCGAACAACAGCATCCATCAGACGAAGAATATGCTCCAAGCTCATGGATAGTATGACGAGGGGATATGCAGCTCGTGGGATGCGAGACAAGTCGATTTGGAAGACGCCGCAAATGGTGAAGCTTGCCGCAATCGACATGATAATCTGAGTCATGACTGTGACAATGAGGCCCAGTTTGGACTTGACGGCGCGAACCTTGGACACTTGCTGGAGGAAGTACAACAGGGATAGCGTATAGGCTAAAGCAAGAATGATGGAATCCTGCACCGACATGGGCCTGAATTGGAACTCATAGAGTTGACTAGCCGACACATGGCCGCTCGGAGGATATATATCCCATTTGTCGCCCACCTTGAGAGGCAAGGACGGTGCTACGGCCTCCCACTGGCGCCCAACGGGGGAATCAGTTCGATACAGCAGAGTGATGACGAGAGCATCGGCGGCCAACAAGCGGCGGTCCTCGAATCGCTTCCCACTGAAAACGATGGAATGTCGCAGAGTGATGTTTGCGGGAGTGGTGTGGTTCTTCCTGGCATTGACCGTGGCCAGGATATCGTCGTCGGCCAGAATGCGCTCGCGGGAGCAGTTCCAATACAGCAGCGGCGAATGGAATATCCACGACTGGTTGGTCAAGCCATTGACGATGTGGAGAGCATCCCGCTGAGCTGGAGTCAGGGGAGATTCGGAGTCACTGGGGGGAGGGAGCAGGCCAAAGGATCTGCTGGGGCCGAAGTCGCGGGTATCGCCCAGAAGCTCATCCTGCAAATCAAGGGCCGACAGGAGGATGTCGTGACTCAATGCCTGCATGTAGCTCGAATGGACCCAGATGGAGCGCATAACAATGTCAGGACTGGCTGTGCTATCATAGGGCAGCGGCTGAGCGGCGGTCCAGACATGGCGAGGCAGGGTCGAGGCGCCGTTGATGACATGGCTGGTGTAGATGAAGGGCAGCGGGTAGATTAGAAACGAGGCCACGGCGACGGAGATGAGCAGCGTGGTGATTGCATAGCGGGAGGCATGGCGGCCATAGCGAGTGAGGACTCTTCGAAGCGGGTGAGACGCCGAGAGGACGGGGGCCTCTGTTGTTCTAAGGGTTAATCATCAATCAGCCCTGATGAGATAGATGGAAGCGGCAGGATCTGGAGTCACGTCCTCACCCTCGCAGTGGATAGAGCAGGTACCAGATCATTTGCGAGACGCTGTGAGACTGGGCATGGCTTCGTAGTCTTTCTGGCGTTGCGATTGGCACCTGGTCTGAATTGATGGAATGAGGTGATGATGGCAAGTCAAGTGAAAAAGCCGCTGCTGAGGATGGGGTGAGCTGTCAGGCCCCAGTGTATAAGCAACATTGCATCGTATCGGAGATCTGCCACGGCGCCTTACCCAGAAGGTACCAGATGGCGATCGCTCAAAGGGATGTCATGTCATGTGTTCCGATACTTGCGCTTGGCAGGCACTAACTGACTGGAGGATTTCCAGGGGGGGTTGCCAGCCACTGAAGACGCGGGAGAAGCGCCTCTGGATTCCGGGTATAGGCATGTAGATACCTGGTATCTGCAGCATTCAATACCGTAGAATCAGGTAGGTACTAGTACCTAGACTGCTGCTTACTAGGTATGTATTGTGGTCACCGATGAGACAAAAGCAGAAAAGAAGAAGAAACATGATACAATATTAGGTACCTATAAAAGCAATAACTACTAGTGCCAGCTTTCTCTGCGTCCACCTACCATTTCTTGGGTACCTACCTGACTGTCACTGTTGGAAAGCATACAACTGGAAGTTACATGTACAGTTACCTTCACACTACCAGGTACTTGATACTCCGCACTGCAGGGGGCTCCATTCCCACCTCCCAACGGCTTCTCCAAACCCTCCAACTTCAACTTCTGACTCGTCGGGCTTGCAGTTGCAATTGGCAGCCCCTGCGACCTCCGTTATCATGGCAAGGCAATAGAGTCGTGGCTGAGGGAATCCCGAGTGCTTGCCAGCCCTCCCGCCTTCGCCTTTGCTGCAGTTGCACTTCTTCAAAAACACCAACAAACTCGCTCGTCACGCAATCATGGCTTCCGAGGCGGATTCTCTGCAGAATGGCAGCCAGGGAGCTGCTGCCCCCAATCCCTTCAATTTCCAGACCCAAGTGATATCCACCGCGCCGGTCAAATCCGTTCGTCAGCCCAATCAAACCAAGATGCAGCAGCGTCTTCAACTGACACTTCGAGTAACAGAACGTCGGTCAGCGTCGTGGACATCGCTACAAGCACAGTAGCGTGTCCGCCCAGCACCAAATCTTCCAAGAACCGCCCCCAAGACCGCCCCCCGTCCTTCCCGCCTCGCTCCCGACGCCCACCATCAAGGAAGCATGGAAAAGCCTCCAGCGAGACCAGCGAATGCGGCTCTACTGGGGCTTGTGCCATGTCGCCATTGCCATCTTCATCTTCTATCGGTCCGGCGGCTCCCTCGCGGCAATGGCCCTGTCTCACCTTGTCTTCTTCGACGCCGGTAGCGCTGCCGTGTGTGTCGTTGTCGATGTACTGGGCAATTTCGAAGTTTGGCGCCGCAGCAGTATCAGACATCCGTTTGGCCTTGAACGAGCCGAGATCCTGGCAGGATTCGCCATGTCCATTTTCCTGCTCTTCGGCGGATTTGACCTCCTCTCGCACAACCTCAAACACATTCTCGAGTCTGTTGGCAACCACGAAGCCCACCACGACCATGACCACGATCGAATCTCCACGGGCTCTCTTGACCTTGTGTCGGCTGCTGCCATTGCGAGCACGCTCGTGTCTGCATATGGACTGAAAAACCATGCGCGCATTGCTAAAGTCATGAGAGTGTCCTATCTGGCCACTCTTCCCAGCATCCTCTCCAACCCCTTTCACTTCCTCACCCTCTTCTTCTCCGCCCTTATTTCGTTGTTGCCCCTGCTATCCATTTCCTTGTATGCCTGGCTTGACCGGCTAATTTGCGCCGTCATTTCTCTTGCAATGTTTAGTCTGGGCATGCGTGTTGCTGTTGCTCAGGGATTGATGCTCCTCATGAGCTATGGCGGCAATAAGGGTGACGTTGGCGTCACAGCCGTCCTCCGTGAGATTGAATCCGAGTCGGGCATCGCCCGTGTAGAAGGCGCTCAGTTCTGGCAGGTTCACTATGGCCTGTGTATGGCCAACCTAAAAGTCATCATCACAAATGGGTACGATGAGCTCGCACTGGGAAAGCTGCGCAATCGTATCTCGGCCTTGATCCAAAACAGATTAGGAGAGGGCTATGGCACTGGAGGAAATGTGAGGTGGGAAGTGACTCTAGAAACGACTGTTGATGCCACCATTTGATTTAAAAGAAACAGTCAGGCTCGCATGCTTCCTTATTCTCAACGCTCTGTGTTTGTTCAACTAGACTAGGGTAGTTACATAGATTGACGCATAGACAATAGTTTATATAATCAGCGAAGCATAATGAGCAGTCATAATTTAGCGGAGAGATGTCATCACCACACATTCGAGTTCATAAACCGAACAAGCCAATACAATAGCTAACATGTGCAGAATGCCTGCAATCTGGGGGTTTGCGATGACAGGCTTAGCTCAAAAGAGCCCCCACCGTCCTCGGTCCTTGTTCGCCGCTCCTCTTCGTCCGTTCGCTCCATGTTCCCTGTCTCTGCCTTCTAATTGCCGCAGGCTGTCCATTTTCTCAAGTACCAACTCTAGGAGTTCCTTCTTCCGGATGACATCAAGGTGCCGGCGAATCTTGGGATCTTCCTTGGCGAACTTCTCAACTTCATCTGCGGACAGGTGTCGTCCAAGACGAAGATCTAGCTCCCGCGGGAAGTTGTAGTAGAACTCGGAAAGCAACTCTACGTTGAGGAAGAGAACAGCCGTGGAAGCCAGCTTGGTGGCGGCGGCATCCAAAAACACCTCTGGGCAGTAATACTTGTTCTTGGGATTGTTGCACTGCTTGGCTTTGACGGCCAGCATTCGCATCTTGATGATGTCGGCCCTGTCTCGAAGGAAGACAGCTTCTCTGCCTATATTGATGTTAAAAATGATAAATCGTGCGTATAGGCAGCATTGACAAGAGAAACTTACCTTTACTCAGAAGAGCAGCGCTAAATCCTCCCGCACCGCTTCGTCCATCGCCCTCTACGGCGATGTCGCCTTTTCGTGCCTTATCTATAAAGGTCATGACCTCTTTTAATTTCCTTCGTCCACCAACAGCAGGTTCTAAGCTGGCCAGCGCAGCCTCACAGTCCTGCAGCTCCTTCTTCAGCACGCTGCCAACATGCTCACGGCCCTGGTTCCACTCTCTTTCATCAATCTCAATGTCGAATTTGAAGGGCTTAATGCAGTTCTCAACCTGATCACTGGTGCTGTAGAACCTCTCGTTCAGAATGGTCGACGCGGCTTCAACGATAGCCTTCTTTGCAAAAGGATGGCTCACAAAGCTTGAATTGGTCAGTAGCTTGTCAACATGAGCTTGAAGAGATGTGGCAATGACCGTCGTTGCCAAACGTCCCACTCCAAGCTTGGTGAGGGCCGAGATTGAAGCGTCCAGCTGGCGACGCCAGTAGAGAGAGTCGGGATCAGCCTTGGGGAGGTCGGCGATACTATCGAGATCGTATTTCGCTGGCGCCAGGTCCGTCACTGGCTTATTCCAGTATCTTGCGGCCAGCAGGTCCAGCACTTTCTGATCAAGCTCGCTCTTCAAAAGCTCGTGCATTTCCGGGCGCCCAAATCCCTCGGTAAACTGTTTGAATGAATGCTTGAAAGCGTCGAGACTCTCGGCAAGATAAGACTCGGCAGAGAGCGGGCGATCGTTGTACTGAACCTTGAACTCGTATGTTGCCTCTTCCAATTCCTGTCTAATAGCGTCGCTTGTGCTCTGTAAGCTAGATGACATGGTCTGTTCCAAAACACGCATTAATGTCTTTCGAAGATTTATTGTGCCCACGTTGACGCCTGCGTCTGGTCCGAATTCGAGAGGGTGGGAGGAAAAGAAGGAATTTTCATTCTTGGCGATGGTGGAAAGGAGATCTGACGAGCCCATTTTGAAAAGACCCTGTGACGTCGGCGCCTTTGAGACAACGCCGACGTAACCTAACCGAAGAGGATACTGTTTATCGTTGAGGATGGTGGCACCGCGGGCAGGGTCAACCAAATCCATCTTGGTAATGACTCCAATGGTTCGTTCACCTCGGGGATCGACTCTGCGAGATGCCCTAAGGGCTGCCGAGTTGGCCAGATCAACATCTGCGGCAGAGATGGCGAGAATGACATTTGGAGGCTGGATATACTTGTCACACAATTCGGAAATCTTCTGTTTCAGCTGCAATGGCTGGTTCTGACCCACAACCTGGATGTAACCGGGCAGGTCGATGAGGGAAAGATCGGGAACATTGCGAGAATAGATGGTCAGGTGAATAGGATCGTGCGAGACGCACTCGGCGTCCGAAACGGCCAGGTTCAGCTCTGTCAATGTTCGCTGAATCGAGGAAAAATCGGAAATTTTTCGTAAACCAAGATCCGGGAATTCTCCATATTCTTCAGCCGAGTCGGGTGTGTTGACCAGAGTCAATTCAATCGGTCTCCGAGTAACCATGTTGTTTCCCTTGGGCAGAAACTCGTGGCCGACGATGGCCTCCAGCACTGAGCTCTTTCCAGACGATTGCGAGCCGATGACGACGATTGATGGCAAAGTAAGAGAGCTGGACTGGCCGACTTTCTGTAAGATGGTCCGAATTTCAATCATTTTCTTCGTCAAAACCATCATTTGATCGTCTTTGGAGCCTTGCAGCGAATCTCTGGGATCGTCATCTTCCGATTTGTCGTAGCCAACGGCGGCGGCTGAAGCACCAACAGCTGCAGCTGCGCCGACCTTACTGTGCTTGGGATCGCCATTGGGTCCTCCTGAGCCCCCAGAGCCTGGAGACTCTGGAGTCCCCAACATCTTTTTCAGCCAGTCAGGCACCTCCACTCGCTCCTTTGTGTTTTCCCATCCCTGGCGTGTTTGATCGGCGACATCTTTGGCACTCCCGTATAGACTAGATGCCGTGCCCGTCACCGTGTCCAAGGTGTTGTTGAAGATTGAGATGGCATAGTTGCCGGCCTCTGTAATTCAGTAAGTAAAAAAAGCCACCCCCCAATGCAGGAGATATCTGTAATGACATACGCGTAGCTTGGTACTGAACCCAGGCAAAGGTGCCAATGGCCAGCCCACCAAACATGGCAGGAATCCTGGCAAACTTCACCACCAGCTTCGGCAGGAAGCGAACAAAGGAGGCATTTCGAACAATGACCTGGTTGTGGAAGGAATTGCCTCCAAACCACATGCGCCTTCGAGTCTCCCGGATCGCGGCATCAGCCCGCAACAGGCCTCCAGTTGGAAATCGGTGTAAGTGACGAACGCTGGTGGCGGCGGAGGTATTTCTTGCCGCCACAGGCCGCAGACTAGCTGCGAGGAACCGGCCGCTCATCGTGGTCGGGCTCTTGCAGTCTGGGCAGCTGCTCTGTTGACGACCATAAGGCCCAGCACCGCCTCAAGCTCAAGACAAAGAATGAGGCCTTGCAAGGATTGATGCTGCAATGGCAGGAATATTAACTAGTAGCTTGCATAGATCCAAACAGTGGAAGATCGGGTACCTATAGCAGGTCCTAGCTAATGCCGCTGGGCGCCGAGGACAGCCCACTCTTATCGCCACGTGACGGCCTTATCGGCGCAACTTTCCGACAAAATTTCTGGATTTGCTTCTGCTTGAGCGCCTGCGAGACGGACGCAAGCCGTTTTACCTGCGATTGTCGCTGCATCCAGCATCATGGCGATTCAGAAAAAGCACGGCAAAGGCCGCTTGGACAAGTGGTACAAGCTTGCCAAGGAAAAAGGTTACCGTGCCCGTTCTGCTTTCAAGCTGGTCCAGCTGAACAAGAAATATGGTTTCCTGGAGAAGAGCAAAGTCCTGCTGGATCTTTGCGCCGCGCCTGGTGTAAGTTTTGCCGCCTAATTTGGGGGAGATTGTGATTTGATATGCAAATAAGTGCAGGGGAAAGGAGAGAGAAAAAAACTAATGTCTCTCTAGGGATGGCTACAAGTTGCAGCAGAGACTATGCCGGTCAACAGTCTGATTGTTGGAGTCGACCTGGCGCCCATCAAGCCCATTCCCAGGGTCATCACCTTCCAGAGCGACATCACTACAGACAAGTGCCGTGCTACCATCCGTCAACACTTCAAGACATGGAAAGCGGATGCAGTTTTACACGATGGTGCTCCCAATGTTGGTACTGCTTGGGCTCAGGACTCTTTCAACCAGGCAGAGCTCGCACTGCATTCCTTGAAGCTCGCGACCGAATTTCTTGCCGAAGGAGGCACGTTTGTGACCAAGGTTTTCAGATCCAAAGATTACAACCCATTGCTATGGGTGCTGAATCAATTGTTCACCAAAGTCGAAGCCACCAAACCCCCCTCTTCCCGAAACGTCTCGGCCGAAATTTTCGTCGTTTGCCGCGGATACAAAGCGCCCAAGCATATTGACCCTCGCTTGTTGGACGCGAGGTCAGTCTTCGCAGAACTTTCTGGCGCCACCCCAAACAACGAAGCCAAGGTCTATAACCCAGAGGTGAAGAAGCGGAAGCGTGATGGTTACGAAGACGGGGAGTACATACAGTTCAAAGAAATTGCAGCGAGCAGCTTCATCCAGACAAATGACCCCATAGCGATTCTTGGTTCCTATAATAAGCTCTCCTTTGCTCAGGCGCCCAATGGCGACATTGCGCTTGCTGCTCTGGATAAGCTACCCGAAACAACTGCCGAGATTCGAGAATGCTGCGCTGATCTGAAGGTTCTTGGGCGCAAGGAATTCAAACTTCTTCTCAAATGGAGACTGAGGGTGCGAGAAATCTTTGGCCTCTCACAAAAGAAGTCAGCAGCTACCACTGAAGCCGAGGAAGTGGTTGGTGTAGAATCAATGGACGAAGAGTTGCGAATTCAAGAAGAGCTGCAAGCCCTGAAAGACACAGAGAATGCCAAGAGGAAGCGAGAGAGGCGCAAAGAAAATGAACAAAAGCGCAAAGAGATCATCAGGATGCAGTTAAACATGATGGCGCCTATGGACATTGGTATGGAAGAATCGGGGCCGCTGGGAGAAGGAGCCATGTTTTCTCTAAAGACCATTGACAAGACTGGTGGCATGAACCGTTTCTCTCGGGGCAAAATGGCCGTCTCAAATTCGAAAGAGCCGAAAGATCTCGAAGAGGATATCTCCACAGAGCCAGTTGAGAGCGACAGCGAAGAAGACCATCTGGACACGGAGCTCGATGCCATGTACGAGCAGTTCAGAGAGCGCAAACTGGAGGCGGACGCCAAGTACCGCGCAAAAAAGGCAAGGAAAGAGCACAAGGATGATGAGTGGGAGGGCCTCTCAGCAGGTGAAGAAGCCGAGAGTGACGCAAGCGAGCTGGAGGAAGATGACGACTCGTCCGATGATGACGAAGATGGCGCTCTACCTACCAATGGATTCTTGACGGATTTAGATGGCCAGACAGGGGAACCCAAAGACGGTTTATCAAGAAAAGCATCAGCTTTCTTCAGCCAGGATATCTTCAAAGAGATAACCGGAGGCTCTCTTCTTGGGGAAGAGGAGGATGAGACGACTGAGGCTTCTAGTACAATCGCGCGCTCACAAGTGCTACCTACACGGGCAGCAACCCAAAAGGCATCTCTAAATGAACAGGAGGATGATTCAGAAGATGACGGAGGATTCGAGGTCGTTAAGGCGGACGATGATGACAACTGGGAAGACAAAGAGAGGCGACGATCGGATGGAAGACCTGGTAAGTTTACTCACCATCAATCACCCTATTACTTAGACGAACATGGCTAACTTGAAAAAAAGATATCGATATTATCACGGCCGAAGCAATGACACTTGCACACCAGCTTGCCACGGGGCAGAAGACAACCCACGATGCTATCGACGATGGTTTCAATAAGCGCGCGTTCCGCGACAGGGATGGATTGCCCGAATGGTTCCTTGATGACGAAGGCAAACACGACAAGCCCATGAAGCCAATCACAAAGGCGGCAGCCAATGCCATCAAGGAGAAGCTGAGAGCCTTCAACGCCCGACCAATCAAGAAGGTGCGAGAAGCAAAGGCACGAAAGAAGTTCAAGACGGCCCAGAAGCTAGAGAAGCTGAAGAAGAAGTCGGACATGCTTGCCGCTGATGAAGGCATGACGGAGAAGGAGAAGGCGGAGAGCATATCTAAGCTTATCAGCAGGGCCAACCGTCAAAAGCCTCGACAGCCAGCCAAGCTCGTTGTCGCCAGAGGATTGAACAAGGGTATCCAGGGCCGGCCAAAGGGTGTCAAGGGACGATACAGAATTGTCGATGCCAGGATGAAGAAGGAGCTGCGAGCGCAAAAGAGGATTCAAAAAAGGAAGAAATAAAGGGGAAGCGTACAGTCATGTATATATTAGTTCTACTCCGCAGCGGGATGTTGGATTCTATTCGATGATTTGTCTGCAGGAAGCATAGAGTGCTTTTTGGTTCCAAGATCGCGAAGAAACGAGGTGATGGGATAGAGGGGGCCGCTGAAGTCCATATCGTACCTAATATAGAATGTTAGAAAGCAACCCTGTTTTCGCAGGCAAATTCATCATTTTTGGATTTACCAATAGTTAATAGCGAGGACGAATCCTTCGCCATCATCAATGCAGGACTGCTTGACCTTGTGATACCTTTGAGCAGAGATTAGTGAGAAAACACAACTACCAAAAGCTCATGATCGAACACAAAAAGGGCCATTCTCATAATGCCAGTCAGGTTCACTTACCACATAGCAGGGAGATACAGCATGTCTCCAGGATCCAGCGTCACATGAAGAGGCCTTGCCAAGGCAGACACGGGCGAGGCATTCCGCTCAGGATCATCGGGATCCCAAGTCGCCAGCGGCACCGGAGGAGAATCCGGGTCAAGGCGAAGCGTGAAGCCCTGGCCCTCTCGCACGTACGTTGCCGGCAAAAGCAGATCCTCGTTGACGCAAGCGTGGAGCAGCGGAGGGAGCAATACGAAGTGCTTTCTGCCCACAATTTGCACAAAGATGTTTTCAAAGTTGTCCTTGTGCAGACATGTTGTGGATCGCGAGTTTCCGATCCATAGGTTGATGGCGTCTGGCTCTTTCCCCAGGGCTATCCGTGCAAATGGAATGTCTCTTAGGGCATCGGGATACAGAGGGAGATACTCATCCCGAAGATTGTCATTTTCTCCAATGAAGAAATCAAATCAGCGAATAGTTCAAACATCAACTCCTTATACATAGTAGGAAGAAAGAAGGAAAGAAGGAAAGAGCCTGCATCTCACGGGTTTGGGCATATCTCACTTCAGAGTCGAGAGCAAACGCCGGGTCCGTCTCCTGCTGAGTGATGTATGCAAAGAAGTCGCCAAACAGCTGAGTCTCCTCATGAGGCTTTGCGATGACAGTGGCTTGATGCTGAGCCGAGAACGTTGGAGCATCGGCATTGCTATCGTCGGTGGGCTGTTAGATGGATAAACCAAGAGGAAGTAGGCATATCGATGTTCTTCTTACCCAAACGGAGTAACCGCAACATTCACAGACTGGCCCTCGAGAACCGTCTTCAGATAGGCAGCGTTCCATTTCTTCGTTGCCTTCCAGCTGGAAGCGCCTCCCCGGATCACGAACGGCGTGTTGCGAGCCACATAGCGCATGAACTCAAGAGGGCTCGGCTCTGAGAAGAGCTCTTCCACAGTGGAAGCATTGAGCTCATTAAACGTCTTGATTAGATTCTCGAGCGAGCTGTCTAGATCCGACACAGCCATTTTTAAACATCAGATTTAAGAGGAAATAAAGGAGTGCTACATTTTCATCAAGAAGTATTGGAAGACGCTTCTCTCAAGTTACTCCAAGTAGGTGTTTTGCTTGGATAGAATACTTTTTTGGAATTATGTAATAAGTAGTATGCAACTAATGAATTGACGCCGAATTGCACACAGATATGTGTATGCCTTGGTTTACTGCAATGATTGATTTTAAACATCCCAATGCTGTTTCATGTTACCAAAAACACTCTATAGTCTAATTATTATTACAGCTACCCTCTTCTTATTCTTGGCTGTTTCTGGTCAAACTGGCCGCATCGTTAGCTCATATCCCCTCGCGACAACATCGGCAGTTGCTTCTTACTAGAGAACTTCAAACTCATTAAAGCGCTCCAAGTGGGTAGCGCTGCGTCGATAGGGTTCCAAAAGCTTGGTAACCTTTGACTGCCTCCGCAGAGTAGCCTTGGCCGCAAGACGGACGACTGTATTGGAGCCCTGGAACTCGGGGTCGAATACCAAGAGCTGGACATCGCCGCCTTTGTGCTTCTCCAGCCCGACAATGGTAAGGGAATGTTCTTGATGCTCTCCGTTAGTCTCAGGTTCAATGGGATTTGGTGGGTAGCCTACTAGGTCGCTGCAGATATATCGGCGGAAGCAGAGTAGACTGCACCTTGCTGTCCATACTTCCTACTGCACCTTGTTGAAAATAACGCTCGATTGCGTCCAGCAGGCGGCTTGAAGCATTGTCGTCTTCACCAGACGCCTTGAAAGACTGTACCGAGCACCTGCCTTTGTCGTTAGATATATGGGGCAAATGGTGACATGTTTGAATGATACTTACGGAAACCCCATGCTGGCGAAGAACGCTTGGGCCTGTGATGAAGAGGAGGATGAGTATGAGAGCGTCGACCAGTACAGACACCCAAAGGAGCCCTTACCTCTGGTGTTCCAATGTATTTTCGCGTCCTTCTGATACCTCCTGTCTCAATGCGGCCACGAGCGTTGTATCCGCGATCCCAGGCTGTCTCAATCATGTCCTGTATTTGGAAGATGTCGGGGATATCGTCTCCCAACTGCTCCCATCCTGTCGCATGGGTGCCAATGATGTGCGAGGAGAGAACTTGTATGTTGCGATAGCCGCAGAAAGCACCTATATGACTATGGATAAGTTGCTCGCTTCTACTTGCAGTCGATTGTGTGGTATGAGAGGTCTTGAATCACCTTCTCTGTTTAGCTTTGCCACATGTTGGACATCTGGATGGCATAGATACGCATACTCAGTCCGTGAACTCAACTCAAGCAGGTGTTGCAAGGCCGGTATGACACCTGCGAGGGAGGCAATGTTACTCAGTCAATTCGTAAATGGAATAGAGTCGCTCGAGAGGCTCTTACCAGCAGCGCGAAGGTCGCCTTTCGTTTCCAGTAGCTTGACAAGCCAGACAGGCATTTCTTCCTCGTGGGCATATTTCCCAAGCTGCAGTGTCTGATATGCGCCATGTCATTAGTTATGCGCTGGAGATGCATCGATGGTTAGGAGAGCATAGACGAACCCCAAGCCTCGACGCCGACTGTGTGCCCGACCGGCTGGTTGGGGGGCGAACTGAAGCATCCAGCGACTCTTTAGTTCTGCTTCGGACAGCCGCCGCCTCCTTCGGAGAGCGCAATCCGCGCCCGGGAAGAAGGCGTTTCCATGACTGGCTGACGACGATTCGGTTTGTTCGACTGGGAATCAACGATGCCGGAAAAGGCCGCCTGGATCGCGATACTGCGCCTGTCCGCTGGCCCCCGATATGCGCATTGTCTGGTGTTGTCGAAATCTCGTCGGGCTCGGTAATCGCCATGCATCGATCGGTTGAGGAATCGTGGTGTTGTGGCGTCATGATAGCCAAGGGAGCGCAGTGACATGCTCGATCTCGGCATCAGCTGCACATGGGCTTTGCGGCAAAGGTTTGGTTAGCGTCGAGGTCAGCAATACAGTAGTTGCACCCAATGGAGAACAAACAAGGCAGTGCCGCTCCCCCCCGTCAGGCTGGAACAGCGGAAGGGACCAGCGCTTTGAGCATCGATTTCATGTCGTTGTTTGAGCATGGGTTGGGCCTGGCAAGGTGAAGTGGAATTGTTTGTGTCAATTGCAGCGCTCTGTTAGTACCTACCAAATACCTGGCAGTAGTTCGCGTGACTCGGTCTGCGACTTGAGGCCAAGACATTACCAAGTACTCGGTACCTGCGGAGTGCGATCCGGTGTGTTGTGGGTTCCAGCCAGCTGACCGTTGCCGCGGCTGCTATTCTCAAGACGGGCAGGCAAATATTTTACTTCAGGTACCAGCAAGGTACTCAAATCATTTGATGGTGCTAATAACAAGCTGCTTGAAAAGAGTCAATCTATCAACCGCAATACCTCTAACAAAGCTCATTGCAGCGCAGCTATCGAGCTCCAAAATGGCTCCCACCATCCACTTCATCACCGGCAATGCGAACAAGCTGAAGGAAGTCAAGGCTATCCTGGAGCCGCAGATTGAGGTTCACAACCAGCCGCTGGATCTTGAGGAGATCCAGGGAACGATTGAAGAGGTTGCCGATTCGAAATGCCGTCGAGCTGCTGACTTGGTATGACTGCTCATTCTCTCATAAGAATTGAGGAAAAAAGAAAGGAAAGCCTAACATGGTAAACCGCAATTGAGGTAAACGGACCGGTGCTTGTTGAAGACACAGCGCTCTGTTTCAATGCTCTCGGAGGCTTACCTGGGCCCTACATGTAAGCCCTCCGCCGCGGTGCCGCAAAGGTTGCGTCTTGACTGATTTGTGATGGACGAAATAGCAAGTGGTTTCTGGATAGGACTGGTCATCAAGGCCTGAACAACCTTCTTGCGGCATACGAGGATAAGTCCGCAGAGGCCGTTTGCACATTTGCATACTCGCCAGGACCTGGCCGTGACCCAATCATCTTCCAAGGACGGACGCCGGTAAGCCATACCGACTTGGGGGGTAAAATGATGCCATTCTTACATATTCTGTTACCAGGGTCGGATTGTGCCTGCACGAGGCCCTTCGAAGTTTGGTAAGAGATGAACCCCGCAGGTGCCTTTCCAAGCAGATGCTAACGAAAAACCATGGCCAGGCTGGGACCCGGTATTTGAGTTTGAAGGGAAGACGTAGGTCATATGCTGTCTCAGATGATTTTCAGCGGTGGCCATAGGCTAATGTCATTTTTGTTAGTTATGCCGAGATGGAGTCTGCGGAGAAGAACAAGATATCGCATCGTGCTCGAGCTCTGAAGAAGCTGCAGGCGTGGTTTGAGAGCCAACAGGAGACGGCATAATGATAGACAGTTTGGTCATGTATTGGATGAAACCAAATGGTGGTTGGCAAAGTAAATGTGCAAAATGAGCTATAGAAGGAATATTATTTCTCTCTCACACACACATATATATCGCCGTATAAGGTAAGTTACGTCTGATTTCACCATGCAGTCGAAGAGTTGGGTGATTGTAAATTGTGACCTCAAGCTGTGCCTTGCATCCCAACAGCTGCAGGCGGTGTAGGCCCAGCCCGTGATGAGTTGAGGGTAAGAGGTGATTGGCACATGTACATGCACCGCAAACGGGCACTAAGGCAAGGTACCGGGTACTTTGGCACCCCAGTTCATCAGGTCCCTCGTACGTACCTTTGTACTATACCTCAGTACCTCACAATTCAACTCCAAAGTTCATATCTCTCTCTCTTATCTCTCTCTCTCACTTCATCTCTCTCTTTCAAATCCCCGTCCTCCTTGCGGGGAAAGAAACCGGAGTGACTGAGCAATCACCGAATCAAAACCAAACCAAATCAAATCAAATGCAGGGAAACAAAAGACAATGGTCAACGTCCCGGCAAATGCTCACGTCCCTGTGGGGGCGGCTTCGCCTTTTCAGCTCGCATGGTTCGGGGCCCCTGTCTCTGTCTCTGCTTGGCCCATCTCATTAATCAATCCATGGACAGGGATTTGATTAAAACCGATCAAGCCACCAACATCTGATGGCCCCAACTAGCTGATCGTGGCATTCGCCACTCGCCCTCACCATCGAAATGTCTTGGATTTATCACGACCGGCGCCGCATTCTCAGCTTCCCGACCCGACCTCCTCCCTCCTTTTCCCTCGGAGACCTGAGACATTCCCAGAGCCGTCGAATAGGAAGTCATGCCTCGACAGCCGTGTGTTATATCGACCGCTGGGAGCGTCCGTCATAGGCCATGGTGGTGACACTTCCTCTACCTGGCCTGACCCTGCTTCTGAGCCTCGCCGTCCCAATGGACAAACGACTCTCCGCTTCCAGCTCCGTTCACGCTGTGACTTCCGCTAGTTCCCTTTGCATCTCATCTTACTTCCTCTCCATGTCGACTCGGAACATCTCGAGCTCCACACCTGTTTAACACCACCATGATACACAAAAGACCTTCGTCGTCACATGTGTTGGTATCGCTCACATGATGTACCACCATCGTTACTCTGCTCCCAGGGGCCCCCGTCTCTCGCCTTCTCGCCCTCTTGCTCAATTCACTCAATGGCCTGAGTCTGGCCGCAGCCGAGTCATTATAAACTCGTCGAGAGGTCCCCCGCTTTCGTCCTCTTCTCATATCGCCAGAAGAAGGGAAAGAGGGGAACGCAGCATAGCGAATCAAGAGAAACACCCCGAGAGAACAAGCTCTGTCCAACCCTTCAGCTGATCTTTGGTCCAACACCTGCGCCTTCTTTTCGCGTATTCATTCCAGAGAAGCATTGGTGACGTGAATTTCTGTTGCTGCTCCCTTGCGCTGCTTTTTTTTTTTTTGTGCTGTGCCGCAGTTGAATTGCAAAGTGGAAAGGTGCGTAGATGGACCCCTTTCGCCGGAGCCACCTCCGGCGGAGCTGTTATAGGAGGGCCACCGCAGCCCAAACAGCTTTTTACTATTGTCTTGGAGGCCTACAGAGACTGAGAATTCGATCCAGCCATCCCAGGAATTCGGTGTGAATATTCCACTCTTGAAAACAATAGTCCATTAGCCTTCGTATAGTTGTCGGTGTCAGTGACAGACTCTACATCCGTCCCAAGCGATTGCGATATATTACTCGACTGGTTACTATGGCATTCCATCATGTAAGTCTGCCTTGCCACTGTGCTTGGTTTCTACTTGATTGCGGCATGTTCATGATTCAAGAAGAAAGCTCATGACCCCTGGCCAGCCCTTTCAAGAGGCACAGTTTGATCTTTTCGACTGGTACCCCCAGTATCAATCCTGTCTCTCCTTTTTCCTCGAGCGCGGCCAGCACACAAACGCCGTTCAAGCCGTTGCCGCAATTGTCAACATTCGACTTCCGTTTCAACAGAACTCGGCCTTCCTAATGCATTCTGCCAACTCTGGCTCTGCGTCCAGTCTTCCTCCCACCAATGCCGGCGTTTCCTTAGTTCCCTATGTGCGCCGTCTGGTTGCTACCGGGTTCGACACCATCGCCATTCTCCACGGCTTCTTTGGCGACAGCTGGGATGCTGGAGTCGGCCCAATACACGAGAGTGAGCGGAGAAACTATCTCTTTGCGGCCAAGAGCGAAACTTGGCTCAGAGTCAAGGCTAGCTACGACTTGGAGGGCGGCCAGACTGTGCCCTTCTTGCGCCCCCTACAGAGCGTCACTGAGAAAGAGATACAGGCGGCAGAGGCAAGCTGGAGTGAGTGGCTTGCCATGCAAGATTGGATGCTGGGGCCCCGCGCGCCTCCAGACGGCCCTTCTCAAATGCATCAGGGCAATTAATGGATCATGAGGGCGGCATGTGTTTTCACTGGAATCGACGATATTTGTAATGCCTAATGAAGCGAATCAGACAACATGTGCAACGGAGAGGAGCAGCTACAATACGGCTGAATTCAAAGAACTCGGTAATTTTACAATATTCTGCCACGTCTGAGACGGGGGGCAGATCATGGCTGGGCTGAGCCGAGCCGGCACTTTTTCATAGGACAGCGAAAGATGAATATAACTAGCATTGCGTTCTTCAACCCTCCCTGCTCCCGCTTCTTTCCACCGCAAACTGCTTTAACTCTGGCCACATCGTCGTCGTTTTGCCCTTTCCACCCATCCATCAAAGAAACTCCGAGTATATGTACACCCTTACCCTTAGGGTTCTTGCTTTTTTTTCATTTGGTTTTTCTCCCTCCTTAATCACCAACCAACAAAAAAAAAAAATGAAGAGACGACGGAGGCGAAATACGAAGAAACTAAACCAGCCTCCATATCAAAACTGGCGGGCCCTCTTTTGTCTGAAACATTTTTGTCCTTCCCAAGTCACACTTATAACTCCATGACTGCCAGGGGGCTTATTGTTTGCCCAAGCCGGAGGCCCACGCCGAGGAGCCCACGGATCCTTTATCTTTTCGTTTTCTCTGCATGCCCTGTTGCGTGTTTGTGTTTGTGTTTGTTTTTTGTTTGAATGTGATTGATAGATTTCCCTTTCAACGCCATCATCAGCCGTTGATCCATGGCAAACTTTCTTTCTTTTTTTTTCCCATCGTGAAAAAGCCCAATCCTTTTTACTAAAAATCTGCATTATGCCATGACAAGGTTGACGCGTGATAACGGATGGTACTGCATGTAAAGCGAGAAAGAAAAGGAATAAAAAAAGATTGATCAGAGTAATAATCAAAATAAAAGCCGTATTAAGCATTCAGTCAACAGCCTGATTCGTACGCTTCCAGCCCGACTGCCAGGTCGAGGCCGAGGTATTGCTGCCAACCGGCCTGGTATTAACGCCAGCCGAATGATATTTCGAGAAAAAGGAGGGTATCAGTTGAGGAACCCTTTGCACGCCGCCGTGCCACACAAGCAGGGGATACGGTCTAGACTGCCAATCTCCCGCTCGAACTTGTAGTCGTATGTTAATTCTTCGTCTAAACAACATGGTTAGCTTGATTGTAGTCACAAAAGAAAGGTAATCATAGATTAGAGTCGCCACACTTACTCATGGCAATATCACGTAGAGCATAAATGACAATTCGCTTGCTACCCTCGACCTTGATGATTTTGGCGGTGCAGTTGGGCATGCAGCTGTGGTTGATGAATCGTGCAATGCCTCCCTTTTTCGTGGCATCAATGACCGTATTGTCATCGATTCGGAACAGATAACTGCTGCCGATACCGCTTTTGAGGTAGCGATTTTCCCGAATCTCTGCAATCTGCTGTCGAACCTCCTCACCCACATACTCGATGATCATGTCGTCCTTGTTGATATTTTCCATAGCGTACAAGCCCCAGTTGTGAATAGCAGAGCGAGCAAACTTGACGGGTTTCTTCCGCTTCTTAAGCTGGTTGAATTTGAAGACATCAGAGTCTTGGCCAAGCGTCTTCTTCTGGTCATTGAGGTCAGCCACATATCGTCGGTTTGTGGCGCGGTTTGCTCGGGAGTTGCCCTTGGCGATGAGTTTTTCGGCGGCCAACTTGGCAGCTTCATTCGCCGCCATAGTGGCATCCCTGCCCGTCTTCTTGGAATTGGCCTCCCGCTCCTCTCTGGCCTTTTGGACCTTGATGTGATGCGGTAGGTACTTTGACTTCTCCGAGTTGAGAATCTTCTTGGCTCCTTCAGTTCGAGCGCAGCCACTTGCATTCGGCACATAATAACCCTCAATACGAACTGGGCCGCCTATGAGACCATCAGACGTGTTGAGTTCCCTGACGCGGTTCCGTTTCCACAACCACAGCTCGGGGTTGCCAATCTCTTCGATCTGGAACTTCTTGAGCAATCTAGTGAGATCCGGAACGTCAGTGGGTCCCAGGGACAGAGCCGCCAAAGAAGTAATGTCGGGTTTGAAACCGTCGGGGAGTGCTGCCGCCGCAGTCATTGGCTTGGTCGCGAAAAGCCTCTCGTCATATTTCTCGGGTACGATCTCGGGCTCTGGCACGGTCTCGCTGGTGGGTTTCGCTTCATCCGCATCCGAAAGCTGTGATTCGGCCTCAGACTGTTTAGCCTGCGCCTCTTGTTCCTGGAGCAACTGTTTCTTAGATTTTCGTTTAGGTTTGGTGGGCTTTGTCTTGGACGGCTTTTCAGCTTGTGACAAGGGTCCATCAGGGAGAGTCGAGTCCTCTCGCTCCGCAGCCGCTTCCAGGTCCAGACCAGTATCGTCAGAGTCCTCGACGACTTTAAACTCCGCATCAATCTGATCGATCTTGACGCCAAATAATTCCTCGTCGGATTTCTTCTGTCTCTTGAATGCCTTCTCAATCGAGACTTCCAACTTCCGTTTCTTCACAATTGAGCTGTCAATGGCCAGACTGGCCTCCGTCATGGAGTCGTCTTCACCTGGGCCCCACGAGGCAAAATCATCCTTGGAAGCCTCATCATCAGTACTCATGCGACTTCGTGGGCGTGATTCCGAATGGCGAACATCTCGAGCCGTCAGTACTCTGGCATCTGCATCATCGTCAGACTCAAAGTCGCTATCCAAGCTTTTGAGACGATGATGCAAGGATCGAAACGCTGTACGCGTCGCCGAAGGCCGTTTTCGTGCAAAAGGATCGACAAAGGTGCTCCGATGAGCGAGACCCTTTGTTTTACTCTTGCGAATCCTTGGGAGGGCCTTGGGCTCCAATCGGCCGGTCCGGCGCTCGATAGGATCTGCTCGAGAATTGGGAGTCCCCAGTTTGGGGCTGGTGCTACCACTATCGAAGGCGTCTTCTTCCGTCTCTGCAGGGTCGATGTTAAGTTTCCGACGCTTGGCAACGTGATTAGCTGGATTGAGAAATTCGGCCAGAGCCGGCGCCGCAACTTGAGTGCGGATATGCCTGATGAGATGTTCAGTCATTTCGCGCCGAACCACCTCGACGGCTTCGATTACAGGGTCAAAATTCTTGGCCCTCTGCCTCTTTTCTTCTTCAAGGTCGGCCTCCTCTTCTCGGCGCTTCCTTTCCAACTCTGCCTTCTCTGCCCGATGATCCTTTCTAGGTGCTCGCTCGGGGCTAGGGCTTGATTTCGAGGCGGAATCGATATAGGATGTTCGCGGTACGCAAAGTTGCATAGCCATGTTGTAGTTGAAGAATTCGGTGTGATTAACAGCCCGAAAACATCGTTCAGCTTCGCTTCGCCCGGTAAAGGAGTTTCGAAAAACGATATAGAACCCTGTTTTGTCGAGGCGGATATCTTCAAATCCATAATTCTTTAATCGCTTCTTCATATGGGGTATTATACTGGGAAGAGTCGGGACACTTTCAGACCCAACAAATATATATGGATCATTTGCTAATTGTGAGCTAATAATTTGTGACTCGATAGTTGTGTGAGGGCGGGCTTGCTGTGTTGTTGCGGTTGCTGCTACTGCTGACGTTGGCGGCGGTGCTTGCGATTGCGACGGCGCTGTAGCTGGGACTCCAAGCGTCGGGTGAGGTCTTTGGGGTGCGAGGCCCTTGGGTGCTGTTGGAGGAGGCCTGGAAAAGCCAGGGGCAGTCGAAGATTTGGGCCCGGTGGGAGGAGGCTTTATTCGTGCCGACTCGTTGGCCAGCTTTTCTCTCTCTCTCTTGAGGACTTCTTCCAGCATGCGCCGGCTCTTCCGACCTTCAGGGTCATATTCCACCTTGACAATGTCGGCATCGACCTTAATTCCTCTAGTGCGAACAGCCCGTCGCGCGGCATCGATAGCAGACACTCGCGGACGGTCTGGGCGTTTAGAGTCGCGGTATCGAATGGTTGCGAAGCCGAGATAGCTGCCCGTATCTGGATGCATCTTGTTGCTGCTCTCTGCAATCTCGCCAAAGGCGGCGAAGATGGCGATAACTTTGTTGAATGACACCAGCGGGTTGTACTTGGTGACTAGGACCTGGGTAGGGGGGCCCGGCCCAATGGACGTTTTCGGGTCATAGGGATACGGCTTGAGGTTCTCAGGAGCATGGCGCAGGCGCGCTTTGGGCAGATAATAATCTGTGTTGATATATCCCAACCTATCTCCCGCCTTTGTCAGGCGAGGATCCGCAGGGGGGGCGTCATCTTCCTGTTCCAACAATTAGCCATTCAGCGCTCCAAAACAAATGACGCCCCCCCTTCCCCCCAACAGCGGAGGAAATATAGTTATTTATACATACCAAGCCGAATTCCTTGTATACTGGTTTCGCATTCTTATTTACAACCTTTTTGCGTAGTCGATCGAGGAGCGGGTCATGTATGCACTTGATGCCCTTGATCGAAGGCAAGGGGTCTCGAGCTGGGATGCGTTCAATCGAGGAGTTTCTGTCTTGCCGCAGGTGTTGGCCAGCGGACGCGGCATTGTCTGGCGGTGGCCCCAAAGCGCGGTCGACGATTGAAGGCGTAGACATGCTAGACTTCGCAGGCGCGTGGAGGGAGGAGGGCGAGTCTGTGGAAGTGAAGGGAGTCGCGCTCATGGATGGTCCGGCGGACGTGGCTGTCGCAGCTGGCAGGGCAGAGGAGGCGCTGAAGAGGGAGGATGCAGAGCTGGCATGTGAGCTTGTTGAGCCCACGGTACTGGGCATATCACCCGGCGACGACCCGTTGTCGTCGGCTTGCGGCTGCGGCAGGGTGGGATCTGATGAGGAAGAGGGTTGGCAACGTCGAGCGAAACCATTCGAGTCGGCATCTGTCATGGCGGCTGGGTCTTGCGCCGGGTCAACGACGTGGAGGCCCCGCTTGGCACGTCCTTGGGCCTCTGTTTTGAGCTTGGGGGCGTTGGGGAAGAATTGCGCGAAGCTCACGCCGGGAGGCGGACGAGTCATCGTGTCGATGAGCTCCTGCTATCTCGAGCGCCGTGGTGTAATCATGATACCTCGCTCAGAGTGTGGTGGTAAGGCTTGCCATGCATCACTTTTGTCGAGGCTGAGCGGCGGCTTTCTGTAGTACGCGCTAGGGCGCCCACGCGACCTGGGAAGCCGAAAATTGAGGCTCCGGATGGGCGGCGTGCGCTGGTCGCAGAGGGCTCAGGCGCTGCGAAAAGCCGGCTCAGGGGCGAGGCGTGGTTGGCGACCGCGGCGCAATGGCTGGCGAGGTCGACAAGCCGCGGGCGAGGTGCTGCAGAAGCGGGAAATGCCTTGCAAAGACGCAAGTTGAGCGATCCGAGTTGAAAAGGGACAATGCAATGGGAGACGGTCGTTTTCGGCGTAGTCAGCAGGGTGGGTTGGCAGTCCAGGAATCCGCGGAACGAGGAGCTACAGATAATCCGGGGGTGAAGTTTGTATCTCCAATGAGAATCTCGAGGTGAGCTGGTGTTAGTTTAATAGACTTTCTACTGTAGTGGGGTCAAGCCTTGAGCTGGTTGCTGTCTTTGCTGTCTTTGTTTTCTTTGTTATTCCTTGATCCCCTTTTTAAAGGGCGGACAACTCGAGTGATCCCATGATGAGTAAAGCACAGACTCAATTCACACTCGCGTCCACTGTCCAGTTCCAAAGCGCCATCATACCTACCTATCAAACATATAAATAGCACACGCCCAATAGTATAAGCATCTCGACACTATACATCTTTAGCATTGCCCCTTATGCACAGCGATCCTTTCAACCGGCCAGCTACAGTAAACGCATCCAATCAATACTAGCCTCTTCATCCATGTCTCTTACAGCCTTGTCCCAAATTGGCTCCAAACGCGACCATGCGCCAACCAACGACATACCAAGTGTGACAACTCCTTCTCATGAGTGAGTCACCACCACTTAATGAATCAGCCAGGATAAATGCGTATTCTCAGTATCACTCCGTATATATAAAGAGCCTGAAATAGATTAGACATTCCCATGTCTCCCCCAGAGGCCATCTCGTGCCTCAGCTTGTGTCATTTCAACTTGTGTCTTTTTGATATTGAGAAACCTCACCCCAGCCAACTACTTGACCATGGCCCAGAGCAAGCTCACCATCTTTAGCCTCCCCCGCGAATTGCGCGATGATATTTGGATCCTAATAGTCTCACACGACATGGACCTCATCTCAGGCCAGCACATACCCCTTGACATATACAAGACGCCCAAACAATCTCGCCAGCACCTCACTATATTCAACCTCCTTCTCGTGAGCAAAGCGGTCAAGAAAGAAATCACAACTACATTTCGCAGGCGGTGTACATTCACCTTTCAAACAAGCAGGAAGCTTCTTGGACTGCTAGCATACGGCAGCAGTTCTTGGGGCGGATCAAAGCTCTCCCTGACACAAAACCGGAATTTAATCTATGCCCCGCGCCCAAAGCTCTTGTTCAAGATGGGACATGTCACCGTGTTCCCGAATGGCCCAGTATCAGAGACCAGTAGATGCATGGACAATTCCTTCATCAACACCCGCTTCGGGGCCCGGATAAGGAAAATGTACCCTCATCCAGCTCATCCACCGGGGTGGAAGTCGCTGGACCCGAGTGCCCGAAGGCTGCTCAAGTACATACAAAAGGCCCCCTTGAAGCTTCGCAGCTTAGAGATGTCGGCCATCTTGGTGTTCAACGCTCGGGCTGTGCGGCAGCTCAGGAGATTGCGGGGAGTCGACCTGCATTTCGCATTTATACCTGGGGAGGCAACCAAGCTCCCAGTCAGAGTACCAGCAACCAAGGGTGTAGAACACCCAGTAGAGCGGCTCGCTGAAACTGCCGACACAAAAATCGTCTTGCCAATCTACAGGACCGAGTTGGATATAGAGCCCGTGTCAGTAGCGCCTCTGTCGTGCCTGATCATCGCCATTCGCCGCGAGGTTGCAAGCAGTGAAGACGTGCCACGAGTCGTCCACTTCGGAGAGAATCAAGGAGATCCGCCACTTTGGATCGACTTTGACGATGAGAGCATTGCAACTGCCAATGACATCATTGCGAAATATACCATGGGATCGCTATCGCAGCCAACTTCGGGCTGGTATAGATATTCGGCACGAAACCCCGGAGTCGCCTGTCTTGAAATGGCCGATGGACCACTCTCTGGTGAGCCGCTGGAGCGAAGAATGCTGAGACGTCAGCGGAAGGAATGGGGGAGACGGACCTGGAACGACAGACGATTTGGTCAATGGGAACTAAGAAGTAAGAACTTGGACGAGCCAAGAGCGTTGCGCATCTACCACTTGGGCCTAAAGGACATTGTCGTGGCGCATAGATAGAGACAGAGGTCAGTAACTGATCACTGTGATTGAAAATTGACTACACAAAGATAAAGGCCATTAATTTACAAGACGCACAAACGATCCGATCCTTTTCATCAAAACCACCAAAAAATTGGCCTTTATAAACTCGTAAACTCCTGTTCCATCATTTTAAGCCCAAGCCAATCGAAAAAAAAAAAAAGCAATCTAAACGTCAAATTTCAGTTCAAACACCTCCTCATCCTCTGAGTCTTGGTAGGACAAACTAGCCAGCGGAAGATTGCCGCCAGCATATTCGCCATCAGATGCCATCCTATCATAGGACGCGTTGCGATGGACCACGCCCATCCTGTCAGTTGGCTCAGACTCATTGTCGTCAAACTCATCTCGGGCCACTCTGTGTGCACGGGTCGACCGCCTAGAAACACTCTCTTCTCGATTGCGAAGCGAAAATGGTGTCGAAGGTTCCCGGGGGGATGATGCCTCTACAGAAGGGCCTACGATTCGCTGCCTTGATGATCGAGTAATGGCATGACCCTCATAATCTTCCGGTACCAGAGCCTTTCCTCCAGATAAACCAGATCTGGACGATCTGGTTACCATTGTGCGCCGACTTGAAGAAGAGGTGGATTTCCTTTTCTGCCTAGCCATTCGCTCTGCAATCTCCAATCCATCTGCAATATCGGCACTGTTCCATGTAAACTCATCCGTGTCCTGGTCGTTGCGCTCTATGGCCTTTTCTATCGCGGTTTCAATTTCGTCCTCGAGTTGTTTGTCCATTCGTGACACCCCATGAGCGTCCACCGGGTTATAAAAATGCTCATAGTAACCTTTGAGCAGATTGTCTTTATTCAGCCCTTTAAAGGTGAGGCCACTGCGCGGAAAGACATCGGATTGGTATGGTAAAGGTTGAGGGTTGGGCGGTGCGTATTCTGGCTCGTCGTGATCCGGATCCTGGCCATCTCTGAGCTGGAAGAAAAGATTCTTGGGCGCCAGTTCAGCTTGTCTCTGCCTTTGTTTCTGTTTCCGGTTTTGACTGGCGATAGTCTTGATATTTGTCTTCTCAATCCCATTTATGGCACTCTTGCCCCCAATCCCAAGTCCTTGGTTGTTTCTGGCTTTTGCGTTGGTCGTCTTGTTTCCCAGTGGAGCTCGCATCCGAGATTCTATTTGATAAGTCAGACCAGATCATCTTGTCAAAATTCACATGCCACGTACCTGTCGGGGTCATCATGGGTTTCTTGGAAATGAATGTTCGATTCTCTCCAACGTTAGCCGCCCCTTGGATCGCATTTTTGCCCGCAAATCCGGCCAAGGCATTCTCGTTACCCCGGCCCAGGTCCATTGGTGTTTTCGGATATCGCATGCCAGGCGTCTTTGGCTGCTGCTTGGCAGGAATCTGGTGGCTGAGAAGCCGATTCTCCTGCTCTCGATGTGACGCCAGCATTGTTATTTGTGCGCAGCAGAACTTGAAAGTGTAAGTTGATTGCTGCCTTTCCCCTCGGGTGATGGATTCCCAGAAAGCATATAATACAAGCCTTCCACGGGATAAACCGCAAGATGAGAACGAGCGCTGATAGCAGCAATGTTGAATTTCGTGGCGCTAGGACTGGCGTGTATTGAGAATCCCGCTCATATGACGTTGACCGGACAACAAGTGACGGCGGAAGGCTCGTCCAGCTTAGTGCATTTTAGGAAAGAGGGAGAGTTATGAACTGATGCCAAGTTAGTACTAGTCGGTGTGTTACACTGCACAGCCAATATTAAATTAGATGATATATTAGCCAAATCGATAAGGAGAGAAAGAATGAGACAGAGAGTCTCAAAGAAGCTTGCTGCTGTGCTGTGGCTTGTGCTTTCAAAGCATCAGCAATGATATTATAGCAACAGGTGACAATTTCGCATAGTATATTGCGCTTTTGATTTTTGCCCTGTACTGAGGGAGATGCTACTAATCCTTAATGATTATGTCGGCGTACATATCGGATTCCCATTTTCTTTGTTTTTTTTGTTTTCTTATAACTGCCATCTTGCGCATGATTGCGTACGCCCCCCGGTTTGACGGTACTTGCAGCATCACTTGACCCTGTTTCGCCTCTACTAAGAACCTAGACTTTCCGCAAAGTCTCCAGTTGTCATGCGCCCCCGAGAGAGATTGGACGCCTTGCATGGATAATGTTCCTCCCCTCCTGTAAATGCCGTGTAGGCACCTGTATGGGGTACCTAGTGCTCGATACCGCCTTAGCACTAAGCCTTCTGGGTACCTAGCAGGTACGCAGCCCAGCTGCTGGTAGGTAGTTCAGGTGTTATTGCAGTACCAGCTCCCCTAAGGCTCTGCGGGGCGCGGCCAGCCACAGACGAGGCATCGTAGAAGTAGAGGGGCATCAAGACACTCTCTCCTTACCCCACCCCCTTTCCAGGCTGGTTCGACAACTCTACTCTGCTCTATTACACTCTACATATTACGCTTGGAATTCCTCTGCAGTCCTTCTTCTACTGTACAGTCCCGACCCTCACCCACCAACACCCACCCACCTAAATAGCTGAAGATCTCTCTCACGGCAAAATGGATCGCATCAAGGAGGTAAAGCAAAACTCTCGGCAAAGCTACACCGACCACGCGGGCGCGGGCTAACGGCATGAGCTAGAAAATGAACTCGCTCCGCCTGGAGGCTGACGAGGCCATTGCCAAGGTGGAGGAGCTCCAGACAAAGGTCAAGACGCTCGAGCAGGAGAACCTGGCCAAGGAGCAGGAGATTACCTCTCTGCAGCACAAGAACGGCCTCCTCGAGGGCGAGGTCGAGAAGCTGGAGACTGCCATCAAGGACTTCAAGAAGGTGGCCGATGAGGGGCAAGAGCACGGAACTCAGAACGAGACCCTGCAGCGCCGACTGCAGCTGCTCGAGGAGGAGGCTGAGGAGGCCGACAAGACGCTGCGCGAGGCCAACGAGAAGTATGCCATACCCCCCCGCCCCCAGGATCGCATCGCCCATCTCCCCCGAGTTCTCGTGCTAACATGTTGATGACAGGCTCCGACAGACTGATGTCAAGGCCGGCCACTTCGAGCGCAAGGTCCAGGCCCTTGAAAATGAACGCGACCAGTGGGAGCAGAAGTATGAAGAGATGGCAAAGAAGCACACCGATCTGCAGAAGGAGCTGGAGGAGCTCCAGAACGAGATTGGAAACATTTAAATGTACTCGGCTGGCCAGCACACCCTTTAGTCGCCCAGCCTCCACGTTGTGCGGCTGGACCCTTATAGGCACCACAAAGGAAATAATGTAGGATGTTGCGGGACGCGTGTTGATAGAAAGATTCAAGTGTCACAGGGAAGCGCCATGTTTAGCAGCAGCATTACAACAATTACGTGTTTCGTCGCCATGTTCTTTTTTTTTCTTTTTCCTTTTTTTGGGGTATCCATAGATCGCTATTGAAGCTGGCAACTATATTCGTGCTTCAAAGCCTTCATTCCGACCTGCGCGCCTTGCTCTTGGCTTTGCCTTTTGCCCTTTGTCTCCTGTCCGTAAGCTGCCTCTCGATTTTCGACTCGTAACGGAACTTTTGCTTCTTCTTTTTAGGTCTTGCCGGGGTTTTTGATTTGTCTTGATCCGCATTCTCCTTTTCCTGCTCTTCATCCTCCTCGGCCTTTTCTTGGGGCTTCTCCGGCCGTTCTAATCCATCGCGTGATATTGAGACCGACTCCACTGTGACTGTTGTGTATCGATCTTCGTCTATGTACTCCTCCTCGTGATCAACAATGTCAAGATTTGGTCGGTCTGGAAATCCGGCCCATTCTCCCTCGTTGGCTTCTTGATCTGACCCTGATTGCTCATCGGCGCTATCGACCTCAATGGCACCAGATTCCCGAAGCAGCTTGTTGACGTGCTCGACGTGCTCTTCAACTTCTCGCTTGCGTTCGTCTCGAATCTTTCCACGGCATATGTCAGACTAAACATGTAGAAGAAAGAGTGTAGATATAGGCCTAGGAAGAAGTAATTCACCTGTTTCCTTGTTCTTAGTCTCTCCTCCCGTGCCCTTTTGGCAGCTTCTTCCTGTGCCAGCTTTATACGCTGTTGTTTCCGCTTATGGAAGCCAGTGAGATATTCGTGTCGAGCGTCAAAGTCGAAGGAGACCTCTTCAACACCATACTTGCGCTTTTTGCTTGGCGGGGGGAGGATGCTCTTCTTTGGTCTCGGCTTCGCAAACATGATTTTTGGGTAATTTTATTTTTATTTTCGGTGATTGGTTTTTTGCCGCAACTTTTGGTCCCGTCGTTGTGGTTGTAAAATTTCCAGTGTACCTTGTCTAGAAAATAATTTGAGGCCGATTTTCAGGAGCCTTGCATTACCGTCCTTGGTAGTACTGCCTATATAGTACTAGCGTATTCTTTGATAATAAAAAAATAAATAAATAATAAATAGCTGACGACTTGCTTGCCAAGCTGCAGGGAGCCCCTGATTTAGCAATAACCGCGGTAGTTGCATGTTCGGCGGATGATGCAGCGCGCCTGTCGCACCTCCGAAGCTCCAAGTCTCGGCTTCTTAATCTGCAACCCAGACCGTCTGCTGGCCAGAATCACACAAACCACAGCGGCCATGCATTTCCAGACGATTGCGAGCCTTTTGGCGCTCTCCGGCGCCGCAAACGCCTTTTCCGACTCCTCGCCCTGGATTCTTTTGTCAACGTCGCCGTATGTCTTTTATCACTGATACTGAGATCCCTGCTTGATGCGAGCTGGAGAGGTGCTGACAAGAATGATGATGATAGCTTTGCCAAAGCCCCCAGCGCGGACCAGATCCAAACCAGCTCTTCAGTATTGGGCTTCGCCAAAGATGTCCTGTCGACGTGTCCAACCGACGGTTACCTCATTGTGTCTCAGCCTGGCCTGTACACCGAAGAGATCCGACGATCATCTAAAGGCTGCACGATGCCGCATCTTTGCAAGGTCGTCGACGATGAGCGAATCAAGGCCAAGTCCATTGTGACCGAAGTTGTTGGAAATCTCGCAGATGCACACCTGTCAGAATACATCAAGTCTGCCTGTGCTAAGCAGGGCAAGGCGGCTACGGTGGAGGAAGTCCACCTGGCTCCCTTAACTTGGGAGGATAGAGCTGACACATTCTCTGCCAACGGTTTGTCCTGCCGGAACTGTAGCAGTGAGCTTTGCCGGTAGCTAATAGAATGACAGATGATAAACTGGCACAGAGCCTTGAGAAGGCCACTGGAACCGATAGCTATACGTTCATCTTCTTCTCGACTCCGGGCGAGCCAAACTATGAAGCCGAATTTGAAGAACCCGTCCGCATGGAGCTGAAGAGAAATGTCCAGAGCACACAGCTACCAAAGGGAGACAACGAAACCGAGTGGGACAAGCTCCCCCTGTTTGAGAAGTATCAGTTCTTTACTCCCGGTAGGAATTTACATGCTCCCTTAGTCATTACCCACGGGCTAATCTGGATCTAGGCATTTTCATGGCGCTCATCACCGCCGTAATTTTACTTACTATTCTCAGTGTTGGAATTAGAGCTCTTGGAAGCCTTGAGGTGTCATATGGTGCGTTTGAGAAAGACATGGGCCCTGCCGCACAGAAGAAGAACCAGTAGTGCGTCTGCCAGTGGCAAGATATCTTGTAGCGTGGTTATGCGTGAGAATCCTGTAACAATAATTCTTTAATTTCCATTTTCCAATATAGGGTATGTGATTGCTTTTTCGCGGGTATCATATCAAACAATACACTTTTCTAGTGGCTCTGAAGGGATAATGTGAAGAGGAATTGCATCGTGTGAAGACGTGAAATGTTTAATTTTTCTCTATCCGGCCATCTTGGCCATGTCTATCGACCAAACAAACGCCTATACTCCCATCATTCCGAAAAGTGACAATGTCCCTCCCCTCATATTTTAGTTACCTATGTTTTTCACCCACCCGTCAGTCCTATGCCAATCCCTCCCACGCTCTTCAGCAGCAGCATAAAAAATTTACACCAAGTGGCTCGGCAGCAAGAAGTTGGCAATGCCCTCCTTGACGGCATACGAATGGCCGCAGTTGGCACACACCAGCTTTCCCTCGGAAATCTGCGTCTCCAGCAGCAAGTGGTGCAAGTCCCGCACCAGCTTCTCATCAGCCTGCAGCTCCTCCTGCGTTGGCGCCTGCTCAGGCAGAGGCGGAAAGCCGAGCTGTTATCGAAGTTTCCAGGGTTAGCTGTTTACGCCTAGGTGCGATGGTTTTATGTTATATGGTGGAAAAGAAGATACTTGCCTCTGATGAAGTCGTGCGCAGGGCTGCCCAGTCGAGGCGTGGCAGCACGTTGATGAGCATGTCTGGGTTGAGCTCGATTTCATCCTGGACGAGTTCTGCGTCTTGAGGGTGGAGGGGATATGAGCTGGAGGAGGATTTGCAGGCCTTGACGGCGCAGGTGAGGAAGTTGAGACTGAGGACCTTCATTTTTGCGTCTTTTCTTTTCTTCTTCTTTCGTCTTGTGATTTTCGTTCAGTTTTGGTACTTAATGTTCTTTATGTAGGTTGATATTCTGTATGAAAATATCTATTAACTTAAGCAGACTCTTTAGTACTAGCCTGCGACGCAGCGTTTTCCCTTTTCCCAAAGCGGATCTCCAACTTTTTCCCCCCTCCAACAGTTGCACGACCCACGTGACAGGGGACTGGCGCTTCCATGTAGATGGCTCTACAACATACAGATAGAGATAGAGAAAAACATACAGAAAAGCGTACAGAGACAAAAATGGCAAGCCTATACAAGCAATTGATGGAATTTCGACACAATGCACTTGAAAGGAACTCTCGGTAACCAAAAATTTGACATTTTATTTTATACGTATGCTGCTTCATATCTATCTCACTACATCAGGCCAGGGTCTTCTCATGGACAGAGCGAGACTTCTTCCTGTATCGGAGAGTGAGGCCGACGACGGTAGCGCCAACGGCTGCATACATGACCACACGGAGCGCTCCAAATCCTCCAGAACCCGCGGCGTCAGCATCAGCACCAACAGTAAGAGTTTCAGTACCGGCAACTCCCGTTGCAACCGCCGCATCCGTAGTGAGGGGCTCTGAAATCAAAGACCAGACTCATCAGTATACCAGGTTTGAGAGGGAAAATCGAAAGAGTTGGAGTCTACCATGTAAAGATAAGATTTAGAGCTCGACGTGAATACCTTCGGGAGGGACCTCCAGCTCGCCACTCTTGGCGATCTTGACAGTCTTTACTGGGCGGTCGCCGGCGGCAGTCGGGGCGTTTTCAATCTTCTCGACAATGTCGTAGCCCTCGAGAACTTCGCCGAAAACGACGTGGCGGCCGTCAAGCCATCTGTTGCGCATTAGTCAGTCAAGGGGTCCTGTGGAGAAGAAGAGGGAGGAGGAGAGGAAAAGCAATCATACGAGGTAACAACAGTGGTGATGAAGAACTGGGAGCCGTTGGTGTCGGGTCCGGCGTTGGCCATGGACAGGAGACCCTTCTTGGTGTGCTTCAGCTTGAAGTTCTCATCCTTGAACTTGTTGCCGTAGACTAGACGCAGTAGCAATGTTAGTCAAAAGGGCACCCCGGGAATTGTCTCTGGAGCCAGACTTACTCGACTTGCCACCGGTGCCGTCGCCCTTGGTAAAGTCACCACCCTGGATCATGAACTGCTTGATAACACGGTGGAAGGTAGAGCCCTCGTAGCCAAAGCCCTTCTCGCCAGTGGCCAGAGCTCGGAAGTTCTCAGCGGTCTCGGGGACAGTCTTTCCGTACAAACCCAGGACAATGCGGCCCAGCTTCTCGTCGCCGTGCTCAATGTCAAAGTAGACCTTGTGGGTGATCTTGGGGCCCTTGGCAGCCTCGGCCGTCTTGACGAAGAAGAGCAATCCCACCACCAGCACAATGGCGGTGGCAAAGAGCCGTCTGAAGCTCAACATGGTGAATGACTGGACTGGTGACAATACAATTGATGTGTCGAGAAGCGGGAGAGGAAGAGCTGCTAGTAGGAAGATGGACAGATATACACCTTGCTTACTTAAGGTGGTATCGCAACTTGCAGCTCGGTCCGTTTCAACGCTTTTCCCCGCTTGGCCGCTTTCAAAGTGTTTGAGAGCTCCACAAAGCGTCCCCTGGCCTTCCCTTTTTGGGGTGTGGATTTAACCAGCATTTAGCCGGCTGGCACCACCACAATAGCCTTGTCGAGATTTCTCAAGGGCTCAAGTAGAGAGAGACTGGCGCATTGGTGGTGTTTTGGTTGCTTCTAGAGTGTGAACCTGCAATTCGACATAGACATACAAAATGGTACTCAATTCTTGACAGTCGCTCTACGCTGAAGATGCACAATGAGCTAACAAGCGATGTATTCTAGGTGTTCATCCTGGGAGTCAGCTTCCACGAGGGGCAGCTGGTCAAGGTATGAAAGACCTGCGAATCGACGCACGGTTTGCGATACTAGATTCTAATACTCAAGCAGAAAGCCCTCGAGTCCTTCTATGCCCTCGGCCCGACAACCTCTGCCCGCATCATGGCCAAATACTCGATTCACAACCTCGCCAAAGTGGGCTCATTAGCACCTAGGACGGTGACTTCCCTTACAGCCGAGTTGTCGCAAATGTCGATAGAGACCGACGCAAGGAGACAAGTACAGGAAAACATCAGGAGATTGAAGGACATAGGCTCGTACCGAGGTAGGCGGCATGCCATGGGTCTGCCTGTCCGGGGCCAGCGAACGAGGACACAGACGGCGACAGCCAACAAGCTCAACAGAGTCGATCGCAGGGCTTAGAATTCTGGCTGAGCTGCTGATATTATTGTGGCGGACGGAGAGGGCACGGAGTTTCGGGATACGCAAACTGGGTTGTTGCAATTTACAGCCAAATCAAAGGATGGGAATGCGCCAAAAAGAAAATCGCCTACATGTGCCAGGCCTTGTATAATACGAGTATATGACGAAAAGCAAAATTTATCCCCTTCACACAATTGCGTTGCCTTTACGACGGAATGATGGCAAAGGATCGTACGAGAGGGATTCCGTGTCTCTGCAGCCAAAAACAAAAACCAGACATTCATTTGCTCTACCAGTTGGTTATTCTGTTGCAATTTAATCGAATAGACAGCCAAAAAGGAGAAGAAAGCAAAAACAAAAACATACAACAGCCGGTGTTCGCTGATGGTCACCCACTCAACTACTAATCTGCCTCTCATTAGCTTGACTCTGGGAGAGCGGACGGGATCCCGTATATTCTAATGGATATGGTCGTATGTGCTTGATCACAGAGGCAATTCAGTTTAAGTAGACAAGTTGACTGATGATATCAAAAAGCAAAAAACATACAACAGCCGGTGTTCGCTGATGGTCACCCACTCAACTACTAATCTGCCGGTTAGTGGCTTGTCTATGGGGGAGCAGACGGGACCCCGAATTTTCCACTACCTATGGTCGTATGTGCTAGACTGTAGGGATACTTTGATCTATATGCACACGTTGAATGAAGAAAGTGAAAAATGCAAAAACATCAACAGCTGATGTTCGCTGAAGGAACCTACCCTAGGTAATCATCGAACTTACGCAAGCTTTGGCCAACTCAGCCCTTCATTATATGCTGAAACCAGTTGCCGTTTCCCACGGAGCGGATGAAGCCCCCGTCTATTCACCCCCTGTTTTATTTGGCCCAGTTTACTTTTCTTCTGTCTAGGCTCTCTGATATATCACAACATATTTTTTTCATTATCCAGACTTGAGGCTTTGTCCCCGTTCCCTCTCCTCACGCTGTACCACCACGCCCTCCAACACCCCATGTTGCCTGCGCCTCGACAACACCAGCCTTGATAGCCGGCAGCTCCCTACCCCGTCTAGTTGGCCACGCCAGGAACTTGGTTTCGGCTAGGTACCTCAAGAAGCGGCCAACAGCTTCCCTGCTAATGCCCTCTCCAGCACTCTCATCGACACCTGTCCACCGGTCTGCATCAGCCTTGAGGACAGCAACGGCATTGCGATCATCTAATTCCGGCGCGCGAGTGTTTGTGGGGAGATTGTTCGTCGCCATGTGGAAAAGAGGCATCAGAGCGTGCTGTTCATCGTCCTTCTGGACAGACCCTGCCGAGACAAAGGTCTCGAGCTGGGCCTTCCAGTGGTCGTAATCCACCTCAGGAACATCGTAGCCGTAGTAGCTCAGGATGGAGAGATACTCGTTCATGCGCAGGCGAGGATGGGCAGTGACGTGGACAACGTGGACACCGACATCGTTGCTGCCGCTGTTGCTGTTTGCAGTTTCGGCTGGGACGGGGTTCAAGCTAGCTGCAACGACGACAGTAGAGACGTGACCAACAGGCACAGCGTTGACTGTGTTGATAATGTGCGGACGGCTAGACAGCTGGATACAACCCTTGAGCATGCGGATAAGAAAGTCATCGTTGTTGCACACGCCGGTGGCAGCGTCTCCAAGGATATAGCCAGGTCGGACGACAGATCCGAGGAGGCCGCGTCTACCAGCCTCGCGGACGAGCTGTTCAGATACCTGTGGCCCGTCAGAATGGATGTTACTCAATGGCAGAAAAGACGTCTGTGGAGGCTACTTACCCATTTGGACTGGCCATATCCGGTGCCGAGACCGCTGCGACTACCCATCATGTCATCTGCTTCCATGACAGCGCCTTGTCCAGTGCTGGTTTGCTCATGTGACAGTTTGATATAGTGATCCGTGTCTAGAACGCTTGTCGAGCTAACGAATGAGAAAAGCTTAGGCTTGCCCTGGTTACAAAGCCGCAGAGCATCGATTGTTGATAGAACATTGCTACGCTCGAGATGCTTATACTGCTTTACCCAGTGGACGAGGGCGCCGTTATGGATAACCACATCGACAGCGTCGCCAAGCATCTTCCATGTGTCGTCATCAATTCCAAGACGCGGCTGTGCCAGGTCACCAATAACTGCACTGAGCCTAGTGGCCCAAGAATCCTGCCATACACCGTATCCGCGGAGTGACTTCTGGAGTCGCTCGAGGGCGGCCGAGACGCCCTTGGTTCCACGGATATGGGCGATGACATGTACGTTCTCGCGCTCGAGTAGGTCCCTAACGATGTAAGAGCCCAAGAAGCCCGTGGCGCCAGTCACAAAGACGGTCGTCTTGCCTGCCGGTGAGAGTGCCGCGGGGTCCGCCGTCTGATACTTGGCATCGAGGGTACCGAGCAGCTTGTCAAGTGACTGGGCATATGCAGCCTCGCCGTTCTCTGTCGCGCCCGAATCATCCTTGCCCTCACGCAAGCGGTCAATCTGTGTGCTAAGAGCCCTGAGCGATGAGTTCGCGTATAGTGAGCTAATGGTCACGTTGGCCCCCATGTTCTTGCGGGTATTGAGAAGAAGCTGCTGGGCCAGCAGACTGTGCCCACCAGTTTCAAAGAAATCAGACTCGGGATGCAGAGTCTTGGCATTCAAACCATTGATCAGTGTTGCCCACTGCTCCGCCAGTTCCTTTTCGGTGCTGCTGAGTGTTTCCCATCTCTTCAGATCCTCCTCTGAAGCCTCTTCCGAGATCAGGGCCGCATCCGGGAACGGCAGGTTTGGGCTGTCAACTTTGCCGTTGGGGTTCAAAGGCATCTTCTTCAGGAAGATGAAATAAGTCGGCACAGCATGGACTGGCAATCGAGACTTGAGATGATCCCGAACCTCCGTTTGCATTGGCCGGTAGCGCTTGGAATACACGGTGACGGGTCCGATCTCAGTACCTTGCTCCTCAGTGTCGTCCAGGCTGTGTTCTGCTAGCCACTTAAGCCACTCTTGGTGTTCAGGCACAATGTAGCTGACTAGTGTTGGCTCTTCGTTCCGATCTCTTCGGAGCAGCGTCTTGCACTCGCGGACTAAATGGTGTCCTCTCAAGTTGGTATCGATCTCATTGAGCTCGATGCGGAAGCCACGAACTTTGACTTGATCATCAGCTCTGCCTGTAATTGCGCAATTACCAGAATCGTCCAAAAAGTACCCCAAGTCGCCGCTCCTGTAGATTCTGTCTCGCGGGCCTTTGTAGTACTTTCTCCAGAGCTCGTTGGCGGGATCGGCAACTTTGTTATCAGCCTCAGCCCACTTCTGGTTGTCGACGAACCAGTTGTCGAGGAACTTTTCCTTGGTTTTCTCCAGGTCGTTCAGATATCCGTAAAGTCGAATGTTAGCAGGACCCTATCACCAAAAGGGGGGGAGACTTATCTCGGCCAAGCCTGCTGCTCTTAGCATTATCTCGCCGACCTCGCCGACGCCGCAAAGCTTGGTTGGATCCTCCCGGTTGACTACGAGGAGCTGGACGTTCTCGATGCCCTTTCCGGCAGGAACAATATCGCCAAATTTATCCAATGCATTCGGATCTTCGGCGTGGCTCTTGATGTGGTAGTATGATACGCTGCGGCTCGTCTCAGTGGTACCATACGCAGCGCAGATCTCGGCGTTAGGCGCCAGCTTGCGGAGCGCAGCGCAATCCTTCTTGGTCAGAATATCACCAACGTAGAGAACCCACTTCAATGAAGGGAACTCTGCCTTGGCACCGCCGCACAAGATTTGGCCCATCGCGGGCGTCAAATGGACCGCGTTGGGTTTGTGATCGCGGAACCACTCAGCTAGCCTTTCGTGGGCGATATTCTCGCGAGCAGGGCAAATCAGCTCCCCACCCATGAAAATTGGACTGAAAATGTCTCGCTGGATAGGATCATGGCTTATGCCACTGTCATTGGTTGGTTAGCAGAGCTATAACGAATATCATCTTTGATAAAGCTTACCTTAGACAAGCGAACTTTGTGTCCGGGGTCCAGTTGAAAGTTTTGGCCATCCACGGGTAGTACTTGGTTAAGCTGTAATGTCTACCCAGCACGCCCCTGTACATAGTCAGCAAATGTCCGAACTTTAAGAATTGCCGGATTCTCGTACTTAGGTGTGGATGTCGTGCCACTGGTAAAGCTCAAGATACTCGTTGAGTCCGGTCCCACCAGAACATCTGGAGGCGCTGATGCCTTGCGTTCAGTGTCGGTAAAGACTTCCTTCCCGTCAACCTCGCCGCCGGTAAGGTGGCCATCATCGCTCATCCGTAGCTCGGGTACTCGTAACTTGAGAGACAGTTCCTCATCAATGTACTTCTGGACACGCGGCGCAAAAGTACCATTCTCGTCCCTGGCCCTGCCAATCGTGATGAGAGCCTTTGGTTGTGACACTTCAAGATAGATCTGTTGTCTCGCCGGGGGGTACGCGGGGTCCAGGACAGTAATGGTGGCGCCGGCAGCAAGGGTTCCCATGAAGGCGATGACGAGTTCGACGGAACGGTAGGCATAGATCATGACGACATCGCCATTGGTGATGCCAGCTTCATGGAGCTGGTTGGCCAAGATGTTGGACGCCTCGTAAATCTGCTTGTAGTTGAATCTCCTCTCGGGCGTGGTGGAGGATGCCGTTTCGGTGACGCATGGCGCGCCAGGATTCTTCAAAGCATTCTTGTGGAATATCTCGTGGATGGGGCCGACGAAGCCGCTCCAATCGAGGCCAATGGTGGGATCGGGAAGCCCCATGACGGTAATATGGCAGGATTTATACAATGAGTCGTGTCTATCGACATGGAAAGGTAAAGCACAGCTCCGAGCTCGAAGACGAAAAGAATTCTGCCACAGTCCGATCTTCGGGGGAGGGGCACCGGGGAGGGGCAGTTTTTTTCTATTGCGGTAGGCGGTGACTCGCCGTTTGCGCCTAAGCACCATCTGGCGGCCCACTAATAGCACTGTACATACTACTATGGGGCTTGGTTGTTGACTACCTTGGGATGTTAAAAAACACATGACATGAAACTCAAGAAAAGAGCTTAACAGGATCTCGAATTTTCTGCTGTCTATCGAAGTAGCTTGTGTTATATTAGTCATTAGGATTGCGGGTAAGTAGATGGAGGTTGATATGCTGACGCTGGGTTTTGGGTTGTGATTGATGTATCAAGCGGTGTTTTACAATAGTATCAACCAGGACTATAGCTGGAATATCGAAACAATAGCGATTCTCTCATATCGAGAATCGAAATTCCAAAAAAAAATCCTTAAAGGCTAACCCGTTTTGATAATCAAACTGTTATTAAAGCTCGCGAGTCACTATCACTTGTCTGAATTAGCTGAGCCTGTCACGAACAACCAAGATGATATCAATATGAATAAGATGTCATCAAAACTTACCGGAATCCGTTCTGTCATACGATTCTGTTCCCATGTACTTTCCAAAACTTTTCCCACCTCTGGATAGCACCCTCGCCATGCTCCTGCCGAATTTGCTCAAGCCAGGCCTCATCTCCATTCTCAACAAACTGGCAGCCTTGATCTCTACCCTTTTCAAGGAGAATACCCACAATATCCCAATAACCTCTGATGATTGCTGCATTCAAAGGGTTTCTATACTTACCCCCAGATATGCCTATTTGAGCCCCCCTTTCTAGTAGCTTGTGGATTGACCTCGTCTGGCCGGAGTATGCCGCTGCTTGCAAAGCTGTGCCGAAAATTCCGCCCTGGGCATTAACATCGATACTTTGACAGTTGTTGCTAGCGAGGATAGTCATTGTCCCGTGACTTGAGGAATCAAGACTACCCATAGGAAGGTAAGCATAAAATGGGTTTATACCTGTTGGAGAATCTAGTTCCACTGCACATGCTGCTTGTAGTGGAAGGCCATACAAGCCACCGGCTAAGTTGACATCAGCTCCTAGCTCAAGCAGGAGCTGAATCCTGCTTGCCCATGTTGCTTGCAAGGTATGAATATCCCATCTATCCCATCTGATACTTTTACCGTACTCCGAGTACCATTGCTGTGATAATACAGCATGCAAAGCAGTGGCGTGTGGGTAGGTCTCCGGGAGCACATGGTTGACTTTTGCACCATGTTCGTGTAGCAACTGTAGCAGCTGGAGGGCATTCGTCTCCTCCACACGGGCATTTTGAGCAGCAGCATGCCATGCACTCCCATACTTTCCACCAGCTGAATGAATGTTGGCACCGCGCTCCAGTAATAGACGTATTATATCGAAACTATCATACTCGGTAGCACAAGCGGCCTGCAGCGCAGTTCCGTATTCGCCACCCTCAAGATTCACATCGGCGCCATGGTCTAGCAAAAAGCGTACAACATCAACCTGTTTGAGATAATTATCCCTAGTGTCCTGGTGTTTGAAAACGCAAGCTGCCTGCAATGCCGTGCCGTATTTCCCGCCTTGAGCGTTAATGTTAACGCCACCGTCAAGCAAGAGCTTTAATATTTGAATGTCAGGCACATCCCAAGCATGTCCACATGCCGCTTGCAATACGGAATCAAACACACCGCCTCTATTGTAGACATCGGCTCCATGATCAAGCAACAGCTGTATGAGAACCAAGTCTCCCCAGTGGCAAGCAGCATGGAGAATGCTTCCATAATCTCCCAGTCGAGCCCATGTACTTGTATCAGCGCCATTTTCCAGGAGAAATTTCATCGCGGCTGAGGGGAAGAAAAAGTCGTTTGCTTGAAGTAAACTTCCATATATCCCTTTGAGAATATTCACATCTGCTCCTTCAATAAGAAACCGGGCTATTTGAGCTGCAGATTCGTTTACTCTGAAGAAGTTCCTAAATACCCTGCACAAAGGGGTACCAGACGTCTCAGTTGAGGCATTCGGGTCTGCTCCAAGATCGAGTAGACGTTTCGTCCGCTTCAGTAATACCTTATGCTCATAGAGAAGTACATCTCGAGATAATGACATCAATCCGTGAAGAGGATACCCCAATTTTCCACGAATATTGACATCTGCGCCCTTGTCGAGCAACAAGTCGAATTCATCCCAATATCCGCCGCGTGCTGCATAAAAAAGTGTAGACGCATGACCGTCAACGGTATTGACATCAACTCCTTTCTCAAGCAGATATCTGAAGCATTTGGGATGCCTCAGTGTTAGCGAAAGGATGTTTCTAGTCGTATTTGGCGTGTGGTTTATTTTAGCCCCGCGACTTGTTAGGAGCTCTAGGATATCAAGATGCCCCATGCGTCCTGCAATTTGTAAAGGTGTTGTTGACTGTATTTGCTGCCCTGGCAAGTTGCTGTTAGGACCTTCCAACTCAATATCAGCCCCCTTGTCTAGGAGGAGGTTCACAACAGCTATATGCCCTCTGGATGCTGCAGCCCATAGAGTATTGCCGAATGGCATCCCCTTGGCGTTCACATTAGCACCCTCGCGTAGCAGCTTCTCTACGATCGCTTTGCTCCCCCCATATGCCGCATCTTGGAGCGCCATGTCCAGATCTTCCTGCGTTCGATACCGGTTTATACCGGAATCTTGTAGAAGAAGTAAATCTGTCAATTGGAGATACCCTCGCCGGGCGGTGTAGAGATGCGGGCGTAGTAGCATACGTCCAGTGTCCGTCGTCTCATCTATTATGTTTTTGCCCATAGCTGCAGAAAGCGCGCTCTGCAAACTATGACTTCGAGCTGACAATGCATCTAGGGCATCTTCAGTCATCCTAGCGGGCCAAGAAACACGAGGAATCATTTCAAGATGCATCATCCAGTTGCCACTTGCGTAGTCGCGTAGTCTCTTGTCGTACTTTGTAGTACCAGTATGGTCGAAATGCGAAGAACTCAGCAACTTGTGATAAGCTATACACGAACGTGCAATCCAAAGATGAGCGTCAATATCGGTGAATGAAAAAGCTGACATGGGCCCTTCGTACATTTGACTGGAGGTTAAATATTTCTTGATAGAAAAATGCGCGAGGCGGACTTTCACCTCACCTGAGAAATAAGAGCGGTCATGGTAAAAGACGTCCCCTCCCTGGGTAAATGGTTCTCTGTTATTACTAGAGACTTTATGTGTGATAACAAGTCCAGAAAGATATTTCAAGACGTCGTCGGAAGAGAACAGTTGGTCTTCAACGTCCAGAACAGCATCGCATTCTGGGCGTAAAATAAAAATATCCGCAAGCATATCAAGGGTTAGGATGTCGTTTGAAAAGCAGAGCCACTTCAATAGACTTATAACTTCCTGCTGAAAATTGGGCTGTATCTTTTGAAACATCCGATTATATGTCTCATCCAGGCCATTAGGAAGATTCTGCAGAGCATCGTTGATTCTTGAGATCGAATTTAATCCTTGTAATGCTTCAAATTGATAGCGAACGTATTGGAACCTGAAAGTATGTTACTCACAGTGCACTGTTAAGCCTATGTAGATTTGAATCAGGACTCTTATGTTACTCACATGCCATCCGCCTTCTCTATGAGGACTTTTCTTGCTTGAAGCTTAACTCCGTCCGGCCAAGAATGAAACCCCTCGTCTGATGAAAGAGTAGAATCTACATATTTCCCAATGTCATGGTCAATGATATGTCGTCGAGACGATAGATCAAGCTCCATCCTTGTGGGTGTAGAGAGTGCAGGTATTAGTCCGCTGTGAATATCTTGTTCGCTGCGGCTTGTACACAGTATATGGAGATTTTCCGGTATATTTGTCAAAATGCTGCGGAGGGACTTTACTAACTTTCTTCGATGTCAACCGAGTTCGGGGCATTCATCAAGCCCATCAATAATAATGTATACGGCTGAAAATCCGTATACACTCGATAGCAGCACCTCTTCAAGTTTTTCAGTGTCTGGATGGCCGCCTTTGGTTTTGAATTCGCCTAGCTTTTGAGCTGCTCCTGGTATATCTGGTCGACAACAACATATTTGCTTGATGAGTGATGATAGCATTACATTTACGTCCTGCTTTGTTGAAACGCTGAAACTGAAGTAAAAGTAAGCCACAGCAATAGTTGGACTTTGAATGCGTTGAATTTCCAAGTGTTTGATAATCGAGGAACTTAAGACCGATTTCCCGCAACCGGCTACGATTATTAGCGAGAGCCCAGAAAAGTGAAAATTCAGATGTACCTTTTCCATGAATCCAAAGAAAAGAACTGGAGCTACCTTCCCACGCTCTAAACTCTGAGCTCTCCTGAAGTAACCATTCACCTGTGCCATCTTCGTGCATGCCGCGGCAAGTATTGTAAAATGCCGTCGGATCCGCATTGGAACGCCAGTTGAGTAGTTCTTGGCGATCTTTTCGTGCGTTGGCATCTTATATGACTTGTTGGAGGCTAGAAATACAGATTTTGGTTGTGCCCCAGTGCTGCAGTATTTCCTGGTGTTGACTTTTGGCTGTAGCATATTCCTCGTCGTATTGCATATCGCGCCAAATCTCGCTGACCTGATTGAATCTTTGGTCTTTCTCAAGCACCTTGTCTAGGAGAGCATCCCAATCATTCCACTTGACAATATCAAGACCAAGACGAAAAGCTCCGTTATTGGCATAATAGCAATAACTCGCCATCTGAAATCGTAAAATTTCTCTATATAGCGCTTCCAAGGTATTCTTGTAATCATCGTGAAGCATTTCAAAACCGCTGGTGGAGTCATGGAAGTTATAACGGCGACAGTAAAGCTCCTCCCGCATACGACTCTGCACGAGGAGCGAAGAAATGCGCTCCAGCCCTTTTGAAAGAGATTCCGCTTGAGTGCTTGGGTGAATGAAAAGCTACATATATGTCAGGATCAACTTTATTGTCCCCGTTTTGCATGTATATAGAAAAATACTAACAGGCAATAATAAGCTTACACTAGCCCATCCAATTGATGCATACATATTAGTATTCAGAGATGTCGTAATGTAGTCGTTTGCACGACTGATAATGGTTAGGATAGGTGGCAAGAGATCCCTCATCTGGATGCTGGCATCGCCAAACTTGAGTTTCCAGGCATTTTGAGTGACTTCATCCATCTGCTCTCGCACATTATCCTTGATACTCAATGGCAGTATTAAGGCGGCAGGCACATTCCCTTGAAGTTTGCTCTCATAGTCTTTAACAAGCGTAAAATCCTCCTTTTTAAGCCTCTCATATGCCAAGAACCACAATTCTTTGATAGGAGTATTTCTGAGATTGTCTTCAGGGCTTGATAATGATGATCCTGGTAGGCTTGACGAGTTTTGAGTTGGTTCGAGTGATGAAGAACTTGACAATATGGGCGATGGAATCGCATGGGAAATGCTGGGCCTTGCTTCAATAACATCATCCCGACTGGCTTCTTCACTTTCAGAATTCTGTTTCTTTTTTTTGCTCTTAAATATTCGTCTGAACTTTCCCCCCCAGCGATTGCCCCGAATAGGCTGTTGTGGACCTATTTGCCATTATGAAGCACGCAGCACAAAACTCTATGGTTCAATAGACGTACGAAGCTGGTAAAGAAATGATAAAACAAGTAAATTTGAGTCTCAATGCAGGAGATCAATTGACACATATCCTAGTTGCCTAACATCAGATGTAGGGCTGCCTGAACTGCAAGGCTGCCTAAGGCGGTGATTGGTTTGATGTATAGGTGTGATACAGCCCTATCAAGTACCTGTACTTTGTACAATCTTACGCGAATAAATTTGAACTTTGGATTCATATAATTGCCCATCGCATATGGCTTCTTAACTAAACCTGTGGAAAGCCTTCAAGAAGATTTCCTCGGCTATTAACATTGGAACAGTTTTAAAAATGATATGTACAAAAAATCATCATTCGATAATGATACTTCTAGAGAAGATTTATTAGTGATGACAGCTGAGAAATTCGGTGCAGCAATAGTCCAGGTATATCTACTACGGCTCTACAATTTGTCTTCCATGATGGGCGCGCCGTTGGCCTTCATCTCAGCGGAAACGGCGTCCACCTGCTTCCAGACCCTGATGACATTGCCTCCCACAACCTTTGCGGCGTCTACGTCGCTGACTCCTCGTCGCAAAAGCTCGGCAATCAGGTCGGGATACTTGGAAACGTCCTCGAGGCCCGTGGGGACAGACCCGATGCCATCAAAGTCAGTGCCAATGCCGACGTAATCGTAGCCGATGAGGTTTCCAATGTACGTAATGTGATCTGCGACTTTTCCCAGGGTGGCATTGTCAGGATCGTCGGCGGGAAGGCCGTACTCGTTGTCGCTTTCGACACACGAGATGAACTGCGGGGCGATGTTGACCATGACGACGGAGTTGGTCTTCTTCACCAGCTGGAGGACGTGATCCTTGACGTTGCGCGGGTGAGGGCAGATGCTGTGGGCTGAGCTGTGGGAGAAGATGATGGGTGCTTTGGATCCTTCCCACGATCCCCCACCAAGGACATCCACCATTGTCTTTTCACTATATATGAGAGTAAGCGTGGGGGATTCACATACAGCTGGAGTTGCTTAACATACCTGACGTGAGCGAGATCGACAATCATGCCAATGCGATTCATCTCGTGGACCAGCCGGCGTCCATCATCGCTAAGGCCATTCCAAGCCGGGGGTGCAGCCCTTAACGGACGCTCCAGCAGAGCGGCGTCTGCAAACTTGTTGTGGCAGTTGTGGGTTAATGTCGCATATCTCACGCCCAGATCGCGAAACATGCGTAGGTTGCCAGCCAAGTTGGCAATCTGGTGAAGACCTTCAATGCCCAGGGGGGAAACCAGCTTGCCGGCCCGGAATGCAGTGATCGCATCGGAGCCATCGACATCAGGAGCGAAATCATTGGGGTACGCGGCAAAGACCCTCTTCATGATGTCAATCTCCTGGAGCGTGAATTGGAGGCCTTTTGTGAAGGATGAGTATCAATAAAACGTGAGTAAGGAATGAATGAGTGGCAATGGCCGAGCTCTTACTATCAGCATAATTGGCATCCGAATAGTCAGTGCCGTTCTCAGGGCATGGCGCGAAGACGCTCCAGAAAGCACCTCCGGAGCGACCAGCTCTTAGTCGAGCGAGATCGACGTGGCCCATGAGAGTCCCATTCTCAAACGGAGCGGAAAACGACTCTCCATCTAGATGGTTGCCATAATAGCTGCGCAGAACAAGAGGGAAGTCGACGTGACCATCTAGCGAACGGCGTGGGTGTTAGACACTGTCTCAGTCTCGATTATACCTTGAATTTCTTACCAATCAGCGGAGTCGTCGACAGGATCGTGTGCGCCCTCTCCTCGACCGAGTGCGTCTTGGAGTGATATTGGCGATAAATGCGTTCATAATGGTTGATTGCCGGCTTATAAAGCAGACTGACGGTGGCCAGGGCTAGCGAGAAGCCCGCGGCAAGTTTCTTGAGATTTGGCCTGCGCGGCCGTTGATGATGATGGTTTGCCCTCTCTGCGGTGGGCAGGATCGAGTATGATTTTGCGGCCATTGGAGGCGGTTGTGGCGGAGGGTTGTGGGAGGGCTGAGAAGGAGAGGAGGTTAAATGGATGAATGACAATCTCCGAGATACGCAAGGCGGTTGAGGCGATGATACGCGGATTGGCGCGGAGTCTTACTAAAGCGATTTTACTCCATATTAGATGGAATGACTATGGTGCCTCGGCTTGTTGCGTGCTTGCGTATCTGCTACTTGCGATGGCTTTGGCATTTATATTGCTATTTTGTCTTTTACACACTACATGAACCAGCGGAGCTGCATCTTGTCCATTTTTTTTTTTTTTTTTTTTGGTGTTTTCCTTAACATCCGCTTGGCAATACGTCAATGCCTCTCCTATACCTACTCGCTGTCCAGTGAGAGCAAGGTGGGGGAACCGCCACGGGCAGATCTGAAGCAGTACTAACGTAGGTACCGCCTCTTCTGGCCGTCGATTGGCCTGGAGTTGTATTAAGTACTGGTCCGTTCCTCGCCCTTGGCCTCATGGAGAAAGACATTAGCTTCCATGGAGTACTAAGCAGAAGTACATGTACCACAAAAAGGGCACATGTTTTCTCCGCCCACGAGGCTGAATGCCAAGGCATACACAGGCGCACCTGATGGCGTCTGCAGACTTGGTGAGGTACCAGCAAGGTGCGAGTACTGGTACTTGATCACTTATCTGAGCTGAGAGCGCAAGATAAGGCACCTCAGGCACCTCCTCAGGGTTACGGGCCATGTACCTCTTATCATGGACTACGGAGTATACATTCCAGAGACAATTGCTTTCCATCTTATGCAACGATGCACACAAATAAAACCTCCTTGCTGCATCGCCTTCACAAGCAGATTGTCTCTTCACCGCACGCACCCGTCCAATTCTGTTATCAGCGACTCGCCCTGCGACTAACCAACTTGGTATGGCCGATTTATTTTTCCTGTGCAAAATCTGTCGTTCGACCCGCTCCCCTAAGAATAGCATCTTCTCCAACCGCCTTACGTGGCTGACACTGACAGCAGCTAAAAAAGAAAGCACTGGACTCTCTTTGTTGCAAGCATCGACTCCCCCCTCGCTGACTATGGACTAGTCTAGTGGCAGCTGGCTTTTTGACACTCAAACAAGAAAAAGCAGCGCGGTTTCGTCATGTATTGGGGGAACGAAGCACAGCCATCTCGGGGAGGCGGTGACACAGACATAACAAAACAAGACGGTGAAAAAATACAAGATGGAGAATATGAATACGGATGGCCCCTGCCCCCCGTTCGCGATACCGAGATGACCATGAGTCCCTTCATCAGAGCGTAAGCACATTGCTGAAACCAGGAGAGCTGCGTACAGAATCTGCAACTGCTGCAGGGAATTATGATGAGTACTAAGGTACAGTATACGAGTGTGCTGTACTGCAATGTACCTGCTTTTTGATAGTGGCTCCTGAGTCTTGCAGAGGGCGGGTACAAACCTTGATATACCTACTAGGTACCTAGCCCTACCCAGTAACCTGCAGCAATCGGGTAGGTATCAGCCAGGTATTGAGTATCCCGTATTACCCAGCCCATCAAGAGGAGAGAGAACGAGTGCGTTGTGGGATTATTACCTTCATCATGACTACCTGCGGCCTATTAATAGCAGGGCTGCTGGTTGGCTGGCGCACCTTAGCACCTGTGAGGTAGTCAGCGAATCGTCTTCCACTACTGGGTAATGCTACTGCTGTTGGCATGTACATGTACCAGTACTTGTACCTGTACCTATACCTGCACCTAAACGGTACCAGTACCTGCACATGTGCGAATGTCAGCACCAACAAAGAGAACCCATTCCATTCCATGGCATCAAATCAATGCTGCTTGTCCGCCAGAAAAGAAACCTGGAAGTGATTCAAGGAAACGAGGTACCTGGCGCAGCAGCAGGCAATAATAGGGGAGCCCGGCCATTGCCCTGCCAATCCCCTAACAGCCCGCCATGTACATGCATACCAGCGTCTACCTCACTCGACTCCCTGCACCAGCACTAAACCTCAGGTGCTGCTAGGGGACCTCGTATGTACTGTACCTGGGCTCTACCTGCTGCACAGCACTAGCTGTTTCGGCCAAACCGCCTCTTCTCTCCATGTGAGCCTCTCACGCATCGCTGTGCTTGCATTTAACATCCATCTGCTCACTGCGGAGCACAGCGCACTTCCTCTCCTTATTCTCGAGCCTTCTGCGAAGCTCTCTTCTCTTGTCCAGCCTTGGTCTTTTCTTCTCGCTACTTCTGCTTCTGCTTCTGCTTCTGCTAATTCCCGTCTCTTTTCCCCTCGCAACTTCGACTCGACTCCTCCGTCTTCGTTGCCACCGCTCCGATTCTTGTTACGACCCAGGCGCGCTGATTTTGTGTCTTGTCCTTTCTCACATCTAGGCGCCCCTGTTTTCCCCTTCGTTTCTCTCTTGCGAGTGCTCCTGGCCGTATTAGGAGCTTCTCATCGTTACGACAACCGAGCTGCGGGCAAGTCTTTTTTACTCCAGAACTCGCTAGCGAGTGAAAGGGCCCCCCTTTCAGAAAAGCCCCACGGCAGTACGACGTATCTATCGCATGCTCCCACGGTTCAACAGTCGGACCCCGAGTAGATAACGATGCCTGGATTCGCCGATTCCTTCTGGTCGAACGATTATGCTGCTGGTATTTGAACCCCCCGACCTTGCGCACGCGCTCGCTGTCGTCCTTTTCTAACCGTCGTCATCAGGACTGGGTGTCCTTTTCAGCAAGCTTCAGCAGGGTGTCGTCGAAGACCGCCAGGTTCTCACCATAGCTCGATTGCGCGCCGAGGCCGAAGAAGCGTATGGACAGCGCCTTAGTGAAATTGCGCCGGCCGCAGACAAGTTGACTGGCGGCTTCTCCCGCGACGATGGCGCCACTGTTCGCAAGGTCAGTCAACCAGGTCGGATGCTGCGATTTATCGACGAGGACATGGGTTTTGCTGACTCTCGAAACGTCTAGGCCTACGATGGCATGCGAGCAGAGATGCAGGAGGCTTCGCAAAGCCACATCCGAATTGCCCAGAACATCCGCGATCTAGTCGTCAATCCCTTTTCTCGATGGTGCGATGCTCACGAGACTCGTATCCAGGATTCCCAAGATGTTCTCCAGCTCCGAATCAAGGCGCACGACAAACAAGCCGAAGTGGTCAAGAAGCTACGGTCAAACTATTTCAACAAGTGCCGACTGGTGGAAGATCTGGAGGAGGAGAACAAGCTTGCTTTCCAGGACCCCGAATCCAGCCCCAAGCAAAACCAGGCAAACGCCCCTCCGATTCCCGAGATCAAGGTCCAGCCTCACAAGGAAGAAGAACCTCAAAACGAGGAGGTCTACGAAATTGGCGATGATGTCTACCAGCCCGAGCAGATGAAGAAGATCCTGTCCCAGATGCTGTCGACAATCAAGATGGGAGAGACCAAGGTCCCCATCCTGGGTACATATCTCAACACATCTGCCGGCTCGGATATCGTCGAGTATCTGCAGCGAAGCATGGGCACCACAAGCGTCAGCTACGCTGAGAGAATCGGACAGGATCTCATCTCCAATGGCATGTTGCGCCTCATCGGAAATGTCGGAAACACCTTTGCCAATTCTTCCAAGATGTTTTACCAGTGGAGGCCCAAGGCCTTTCAACTCGCGGGCATCCCCGAGAAGAAGCAGACTCTTGGCCGAACTTTCTCCATGCCTGCTACCGGTTCAGATGGTGGCGACTCATCACCCGTCGTTGGAACCGTGAGCGAGTACTTGTCCAGCTGGAATGTGCTCAGCAACTCTAATCCTGGCGAGACCGCTCCCCAGCGATTGCAGCGTGAGGCAAGGGAGGCCGATGAGAAGTACAAGGCCGGTGTGCAGAAGCTCGACGAGCTCCGTTGCGAACTGGAAGAGCTCATCTTCCTGCACCTCAAATTTCTCGAGCGCTGTGAGCTCGATAGGTTGAAGGCCATCAAGACGGTTATCCTCGACTTTACGGGAACCATTGGCAATGTCATCCCCAGCCTACAGTCGACTGTCGACAAAATGATGCTTTTCCAGGAGACCGTGCAGCCCTCGGGTGATTTGCGATACCTCTTGGAAAACTATCGCACTGGAAGCTTCATTCCAAAGGTGGTCGTCTACGAGAACTACTACAACAAGGTTGACGAGCAGACTTTTGGCGTTGATCTGGAGGCGCGCGCGAGAGCCGATAAGAAGCGTGTGCCCGTCATCATCACCACTATTCTGACCTATCTCGACAACCACTACCCTGACTTGGAGGGCGATGAGGCAAGACGGGGAGTGTGGTTGCTCGACGTGCCCCTTGCCCAGACACACAAGCTTCGTGCAAAGATCAACGACGGCAAGCCAGTTGCTCCTGAAGTTTTTGACGAATTTGACATTCCAACCGTTGCCACCCTTCTCAAGCTCTATCTGCTCGAACTTCCCGGTAAGAAGCAGTCATGATCCGCTTCATCTAATGTACTATACATGAGCTAACTTTTACTAGACTCCCTGGTTTCATCTCACGTTTACGAAATCGTTCGAACAATTTATACTACCCCGGCCACCGACTCGTCAGAAACCTCTCGAATTGCGGTACTCCAACAGACTCTTTCACAGCTACGATTGACCAACATTGCGACATTGGACGCTTGCATGAACCATTTTACGCGTCTCATTGATCTTACTTCGGCTGATGAGGAGTATGTTGCGGCCTTGGCCTCTTCTTTGGCTCCCTGCGTCCTTCGCCCGCGAACGGAAACTTCTCTTACAATGGAGGAGAAGCACGCGAGCCGACTTGTCCGCGACCTGTTTGCGAACAAGGACGCCATCTTCAGCGAGCTCAAGCGCATGTCAACCGCCAGCCACTCCATTGCCGTCCCGGGGCGCCCTCGAGCCATTAGTACCGACGAAAGCAACAGGAAAGCTCTGATGGAAGAGCGAAACAAAGCCTTGCTCGAGAAGAAGATCCATCACGCCCCACGAAGCCGCGCCACCAGCCCAGCGCCTGGCCCGCGAGGCCATCGACGGGAGCGAAGCAGCGGCGGCCCTGAGACTCGATTTCCTATTCAAACCAGCCCGACAACCGGCTCCGACCGCCACCGGAGCAGTCTGGGCAGTCTGAACGCCGTCAAGCGGTCCAGCCTGGAGGTTCCTGCACCGGATGGCAGCACCAGCCCCCCCGACGCCACGAATGGATCTCCCCTCAAGTCTGAGGTCGAGCCCGAGCCGGTCCTGGAGAAGCGTGACAGCCTGGGCAGGGGAGCCGCGGCCAAGTTTGGCTCCAGCATTCCCGCCACTCCACCAAGGGAGACGAGCCCTCGCGGCGTGACTCTGGAGGACAGACCGATGGTTGATTAGTGATCTCCAGCTATGATGACACGTTTTTCCTTCTCGTTTGCATTGTATGGATTACGGACCATGACGAAATGTGTGTGCTTTTGTTTGTTGTAGATTCACCAGAGCAAATGGCGAAACTTGTGTGTATGGACTGTCTTTCCCTTTGTCGTGAGAGAAGGAAAACAAAAAAGTTTGGTATGAAGGGTAGATAGATGCGTTGGCTGGAATCTGGAGTAAAGGGAGGTATTATAGGACAAAGGGAGGGGTTAAGGGGGGGGATAGGGGAGATTGAGATGCTATATATGCGCTACACTATCTTGCTTTTTTTTATTACTGTTGTTTTGGAAATATCTTTTATCCTTTTATTGTATCCTGGCATTTTCATCTTTTCGTCGGTGACAGTGATAATGGGAGAAAGAAAAAAAGTTGACAGATTGAGCCCCCCTTTCTTTTAACGAAAGGAATGCTACGCCCACCTGCTTCTTCTATATAGATCATCTCCATATGTACAAAAACTTGTTTGCGCGACAAAAAGGAGAAGCGTTATTCCCTGTTCCCCATATCTACAAACAAAGGCAAAAACATCAATATATCATGCCCAAGTCCGGCTTCGCTCATCCCGTAGCCTCAACCTCCTCGACGGATGCCTTCTTCTTCTTCTTTTTCTTTGGTACTACTTTCACCGGAGGACTGCCCGGCATATCTTCCGTTGCGCCACCGGGCTCGTTGCCCTCCACTGTCTGCGTCGCTGCCTTTTTGGTCTTCTTCTTGGGCTTGACCGTTGTAGCTTCATTCTCATCATCGCCCGCCGTCTTCTTGACCACCTTCTTCTTCTTCTTCTTTATGACGACGCCTTGTACGTCAGCCCCTTGCGCCATCTGGATCCTCTCGTTGGCCCGTTGCATTTCCAGACGTAACCGCTCTACCTCTTTCATGGCCTGCTGCATCTCCGCCTCCTCCCGCTGTTGCCTCTCGTAGTCGAACCCTTCCGAGGCATTGCCCTCCAGGCTAAAGGATCCAATGGTGCTCGAATCGACTTGTAGGAGGGAGTGCTGCTTTGATTTCTTAGATTTGGCCTTGGTGAGATTGACGGAACTATTTTCCGAGTCGTATTGCCGCCCCGTGCCGCTGTCGCTGCCTTCTAGGGTTTCATCTGCAGCGACGATGACTCTCTGTCGTGGCTGAGGTCGGGGCCGAGAGGGCGCAGCGACTGTTTGCCCTATTTTCTCGAGGTCCAGCTGCATTACAGGAATAGAGTCAATGTCCAAGGCAGGCCCATTGTTGTTTTGTAGGATGTTGTGAATGGGCGTTGATGTCCTGAGGATATTATCACTCGGGATATAAAAGGGGTCATCCTTGTTTTTCTCCAGCCTTTCTGCCCTTCTTTTGGCAAGAATGTCTGCGTCCAAATAGCTCTCTTCACTGGGTTGCTGATAGGAGTTTGCCATGTCATCCTCTGGATCAGCCAGTCTGCTAATGGCTGGCGCTGATGATGAGATGCTTGAAGGGGGTGGTCGCTGGTGATAGTAAATCTCAAAGTCATCAGCTTCATCTGACTGAAGCGTAACGATATCGGTCTGAGCCAAAAGCCTGCCGAGATTGCTGTGTATTGGTTCATCTAGATCCAAACCCCCTGGAAGGGGCACATTCTTCTGCGCATGGATGGCAACCGAATTGAGCTCCCAGCCAGCAAACAAGGATGGAATAGCTTGTGTGAGAAGCAGGGGCGGCTCTTGGTTGTTTTCATCTGTTGACGGAGGCTGTCCCGAGGCCGCTTCTGCCGTCAGTTTGAGCAATTCTATGAATTCTACCGCTCGCTCTTGTACTTCGAGATTTGGATGAAGGGCAAGCGGGTCTAGCACGTCTAATATGCGAGCAAGGAGAAGCGATATCCTAGATTTTCGTTCGGAAGTCCACGGTTCGAGTTCACTACCGGCAATTGATGAAAAGACTTTGGCAGTGGCATGGAGAGCCACCGCGATAATCTCGGGTTTTCCGATTCTCGGAATGGCCTGGAGAAGCCCGTTGAGACTATCATCTGGCATGGCCAACTGTATAGAGTATTCGCCAATGATCCATATGGTCGACTTGAGAGCCCCTGAGCTGAGCGGATGTCCAACCGGGTTGTCGGTGAGCAACTGGTCGAGAATAACGTCTGCTGCTCTGACAGCGGTTGCCCTCATTGCTCTGACCTTGACGGCAACATTGCGCAGCTCGTCTCCCACTTTCTCGGAAACATCAACCTGCTGGCGGGTGGGGAGCAAGGCACCCGTATCCGCATCGAACGTTCGGGGAACAGGAGCCATCCGAACAAGCTGTGTCAGCACATCGATGTACCAATCGAAATCCAATACACTGGAATAGTTGTCTTTGGAGCACATGAATAAAATTCTTTCGATGATGTCTATTCGGTAGTCGTCCGGAATGAGGAGAGCCTGGGTGTCTCGAACAGTCGGTGCCGTAATAGCAGTTTGCGCTTCATCGTCTGATTCTGTCTCTGGAGTGTTGGATGAGCTTCCTGGCGTGCGGCGATCTTTGGACGGGGATGACGATTTGAGCTGCTTCATCAGGCGGCTCACTATGGGGACCAAGTTATCGCTAGTCACCATGCCCTTTACAAGATTTAGGGCTTGGACACGGATGGTAATATCCGAGCTGTCAATACATTCCAGAATGACATCCTCCTGCTGAGAAACAAGATGCGGGTGTGTGAGAACAATTTTATTAAAGGCCAACAAGGCAACGTATTTTACTGAATTAATGAGTTAGCAACTTCAGGGGTTGATGAGAATCATGGCGATCCTGGTACTCACGATTTGCGTCGCCATTTATCATTATCATTCCTCGCAGCTTATTGACACAGAGGGTTGCAATTTCGTCTGCCCCGGAAATGTCCTCGGCGTTGTCCAGAATGCCACCTTGGATGATGCCATTGATACACTCGTACAGTAAAGACATGGCGGGAGTGGTTCGGATAATGTTGGTAAGAGGGGGAAGTAGCTTTTTGACAAGCCGAGGCTCAAGAGGTGTTAACGTCGCAAACTGAATCACAACGTTAGCTTAAAACAGAAGGAGGGTCAGTCTGGGGGATTGGAAAGACGGACAAGCTTGATGAGTTTGATGGCCATCCAGTTGTTGCCACTGTCGACCAACAATTCAAAGAGTCGTGGCGCCAGAGGCAGAAAGTCGTGAGGTCGCCTGGAACCGAGCTCACAAACAACATTGACAATGGCTGCTGTTACGCTCGGATCTTCGTTGGGATCCATCAGGCGATCTTTAATCTTTGGCCAGGCCGCACGCAAAGCCTCGGGGTATACGAGCGCCAGGCGATATAGTGTGACGAGGGTCTTTTTGCGTATGTTTGCATGGCTATGGTTCAAACGTGGTAGTAGGTCGGCGAGGGTTGAGAGAGCCAAGGACGGAGTAATGACGTGAGGGAGGGTTGCAATCGGAAGGGATATGACCGTTGGCGTGGTGGCAGCCAAGTCCTAAGAATGGAAGAATCAGCATTGCGCGGTTCTTGAGAGGAATATAGGAAGAGAGGAGGAAATCCCAATGAAATTACCTTTTTCAGGAGATTGGTAGCCAACATGAGAACCTCGGTGTCCTGCCGGAAGCTCTGCACGGCACCCAGGTATCCCACGCGCTTCTGGTGATACTTGGGCGACGACATGACCTCGAGGACATGGAAGGAGGCCCAGGACATGTCGTGGCCGACCATTTCCAGGTAGATGAGCTTGAGGAGGGCCGTTGCTTTGAGGTCTAGATAACAAGAGAACACAATCAGAATCAGAATCAGAATCGCGTTGGAGGGAGAAGAGAGCACCAACCCATGTCCTGGCTGCGAACCTCAGCACGGCACTCCTTGAGCGTCTTCTGGATGTACTCCTTCTCATTGCCCTTGTGGTTGCGCAGACCTCGGATGAGGTCGTATAGAGACTTTTCGAACCTGCAATTCCCGGCCATCAGCGCCCCGTCCATCTGGTATATGACAATTCAAGGTGACTCTACATGTTGACGACGGAATGCCCCACGCGGGGCCTGTGCAGCAACGGACGGCGTCTGCGAGATCTATCAGGAAGCGAGGCGTGGCTCGTCAGGGGATGATGAAGGCTTGCAGCCGCCGGTTCATCCTGCTATTCACGGCGATTCGGGGGGGCTGTTGGGCGCTGCGGTTGGAGAGCTTGGGATAGCTTCGAGGATTCGTTTTGGTGTGGTTTTGGCTGAGGTAGGTGACTGACTACCTAAGCAGGTAGTCTAGTAGTCTAAGTATTCGTAACGCTGTTTGATGACGGAATTACCGCCGAAACTTCGGAAGCTAGGGGTGAGGACGCCACGGACCGGCGAAACTCCCTTCAGGTAGGCGGTGGACAAAATACGGGATGCATTCTGTGTGTGAATTACATGCAATGGTCAAGCAAATCAGTTCTGATAATAAAGGTAAATTTGCAAAATAAATAGAGTTGTATAATTACATCTAGTAAATTGAAATACAAACTCGGAAGCTGTCAATATTAAAACACAAGACCAATTCCCCTCTGCTCATCTAAGTACCTACGGTAGTACTAAGGTAGCAGCCAATATCGAGACCCGCTTATTTTGTCCACCTCCTACAGGTACCAAGGTACTTACCTGGTGTGACGTCCTCTGCAATTATTGGCGCAAGATTTCGCAAAGAGAACCCTTTTGACCATCACAAGCTTGAAGCTCACCCCCATTCTCTCTCTTTTGTATCTCTCGTTTTCTCTTTTTTTTTTGGCTTGCGCAACATCGTCAACTAGCATCGATAACCATGGCATTAGCCTCTAACTAATTCCTAATCGTTCCTATCCTACTCTACAAAACCAAGTCTTCAAACAGCGCAAACCACCAATATCTCAAATCGCAAATCACAGTCGCATCACGAAATCACACACACAACCAACATCATGGCCGCCCGAACAGCATCTCAACGGCTCCTCCCCGTCCTCCGCCCCTCCAGAATCTCCCCCAGCTCTACTTCATCCTCTCATCTCTCTCGCCGCGCCTTCATCTCCCTCCCCGGAACATCGCCCCAAAGCCTCGTCGCCACCCGAACCCTCCCCTACCGCCACGAGCCCCTCTACGAGCTCATCGCAGACATTGACTCCTACTCGGCCTTTGTGCCCTACTGCTCGCACTCCCAAGTCACCAAATGGTCCTCGCCAGACGACTCCGGCCGCCGCTGGCCCACCCTCGCCGACTTGCACGTGGGCTGGGGCGGCTTTGACGAGGTCTTCACAAGCCGCTTGCGCTGTGTTCCCGGCGTCTCAGTCGAGGCTCGCAGCGGCGGCTCTGCCTCTGCTGGAGGGGGCCCCGTCCAAGACGCTTCATCCGTCTTCAAGACGCTCGAGACGCTCTGGTACTTGACGCCTGTTGCTCGCCAATCTGCTGCGGCGCCCTCAACCGAGGTCCGGCTCACAATCAAGTTCCAATTTGTCAACCCGCTCTATGCCGCGGTTAGCGCTGCTGTGTCCGACAAGATCGCCGCCCTCATGATTGAAGCCTTTGAGAAGCGAGTGCACTACAAGTTGGGGGTTCAGCAGCGCCTTTAGCATACATAACATATTTGGCTGACGGGCCTCAATGGGGCTCCCCATGAATGATGACACGAGATATAAAAAGAGTACAGATAAAGAGTTTCACTGGGAAATGGAAAGGAAGGCGAATAGATGTTAGACGGTTATATTGGTAGATAGATGCTCTAGACTTGCGACAACTAACCATCCCCGCTTGCGTAGCTCAACAGCTTTCCGTTGCAGCAAAAAAAAAAAAAATTCGCAAAACACGTAAATACATCATATCCTCATCAGACGTAGCCACCCCCCCTTGTCTAACCCTCACCAATTGCTCCCTAGTATCCAAATGTCATCGTCCATATACGCCATACATCCCCGTTTCTCATGTCGAGCCGCCAGCTATGAATGAGACGAAAGTAGGGCTCATCATGCCTGGGACTCGACGCATCTTACTCTCCCCCTTCGTACAGACCCTTGCCGCATACTCCAGTACAAAATGCAACCGGATGTGAATAAGCCGAACCACCATTGAAACGGTGAGCCCCAAACCACCACGGACAGCGAAACAGGAGGGGAATCTTTCGCTCAAAAGGATCATAAACATGGGAATCAGATGGCGAAACAAAAGAAAGAAAGAAAGAAAGAAAGAAAGAAAAAAGAACACAGGAAGAGAAAAATATCAAGTCGCTCGGATATAGGGCGCGAATGTAATCAAAGCATATCTTTTTAATTAAACACAAAAAAAAGTCATGCAACAACGTATGGAAGTGAAATTATTTTTTGCTTGATGACCTGGACCTTGTATTAGCGACATTCATAAGTCTCCTTGTATCGGACGGCAACTTACTTCTTTTTCACAGGCTTCCCAGAGAGGAAGTTGAGCATGGTGGTGTTTTGCTTGCTGCTGCTGCTGCTTGAACTGCTCTTCTTCTTGGGTGGTGCAGCGTTGACAATCTTGATGCCGGGAGGCACACCTGGCGGTCCCCGAGGCGGAGGGGGAATACCCCCAAGTCCACCGCCTGGGAGCCAACCAGGAGGCGGCGGAGGAATGCCAATGCCGCCGGGTCTTGGTCGGTTGAGCGGTGGCATTCCTGGGGGCAGATGGTCCTTATTCGGCATCGGCGGCATCCCGGGGGGAAGCTTTGGACCGCCTACCGGTGGTGCTTTGTCGAGCGGCCACATGGTCATGGTAATGGCCCAGTCCGGCTCAACTACCTTCTCCCAGACAGAGGGGAGGATGATATCGCCATTAGGGCCGATCAAGTCATAGTGGCCCTCTTGGACGTGAGGACCTAGGACATCAACCTGTAGGAAGGCCTGCTTAATCAACTCCTCCATTCCCTATTAAAATGATGTTAGCTCGTGACGCCTAAACAGGTATAGGAACGATATAGTATCAGGAAAGCTGTCGACGTACCTGCCAGGTGTTGCACAAGTGAAAAGGGAAGCTAAATTTTCGGCCCACGGCATCTTTGAACTTGATGGGAGCCAACTCTGCCTTTTTGGCAGCTTCCTCTGCCTTTCTAGTCGCTTCCTCAATGGTGGCCCTGGTCTCGTCCTGGATCCTCTTCTTCAGTTCTTCAGCCTCGGCCTTTGCGGCGGCGACAGCTTCAGCAGCTTTTTGCGCAGCCGCCTTCTCTGCTTCGAGCCGGGCCCGGTGTTCGGCCTCGGCCTTGAGTTTCGCTTCTTCGTGGATCAATCTGAGCCTCTCGGCCTCCTCAGCCTCCTTCTTTGCCGCTGCGGCTTTGGCATCGGCTTCGGCCTTGAGAGCCGCCTCGACACGGGCTCTGGCTGCCTCTTCGATCCGGGCAGCTTCTTCAGCAGCCTTCTTTGCGGCGGCCGCTTTGGCTTCGGCTTCGGCCTTCATGGCAGCTTCGACTCGGAGGCGAGTTGCCTCTTCAATCCTGGCAGCTTCGTCGGCGGCCTTCTTCTCAGCAGCCGCCTTGGCAGCGCTTTCTGCCCTGATGGCTGCCTCTAGACGAAGGCGAGCTGCTTCCTCGGCTCGAGCGCGGTCTTCATCCTCTCTCCTCCTCCGCTCTTCGGCAGCCTTAATCTCTGCTTGAAATTTAAGTCTCGCAGTTTCCTCTGCTCGGGCCATGGCCTCGGCATGCTGGCGCCTTCTATCCTCTTCGGCCTTCTTCTCGGCCTCAATTCTCTCACGGGCCAAGCGGTCAGCTTCAATTCGGGCACGTTCAATCTCCTTCTTGGCCTCTTCTTGCTGTAATCTCATTTCCTCCATCTTCCTGGCTAGGGCTTCCTCGGCATCCTTGCGGATTTTCTCCTCTAGCTCTCGCTGCTTTGCGGCTTCCTTGGCCGCCTCCTGCGCGGCCTTGAAGTCAGCAAGCTCCTTTTGCAGACGCTCTTTTTCAGGATCGGGCGGCGGGGGCGGAGCCGGAGTGGGCTCTTTCGGGGCCGGAGGCGTAGCGGGGGCGGGAGCTTCAGTTGGCGGAGGCTGCGGAGGCTGCGGCAAATGGTATTGCTGCATGTGAGGCGGCAAGTTGTAGTGGGCCGCATGCGGTCCATTGTAGTAGGGACCTGGAGGCGGAGCGCCATATGGCATCATGTCATACATGTGCCTCTGGTCGCCTCCATAGTAGCTGCCGGCGTTGGAGCCGTTGGGCGAGAAGGGATTGGCGCCGTAGTTGCCGTAGGGCGTCATTTGGTTGCCGCCATTGTAGCCCATGTAGGGGCCTACATGGTTCTGCTGCTGCTGAGGGGGATAAGAAGGATGGCCACGGCCGTAGTAGCTGTTGCGACCAGCCGGGTGTTGCTGATGCTGGCCATGGCCGTAGTGGCCGTAGTGGCCGTATTCATCGGAGGGATCCACGCTGGGCGGTGCGGCGGGTGCATAAGACTGCACCTGCTGATGGTAGGCGGCGTCCTGTCTAGCCGCTGGGCGTTGGCGCCTCGCGGCGGGCTGTTCCGTGTGGCGGGTGCGTAGCTGTGGCCTGCCGTACTCGTGGTTTGTGGAGGCAGAATCCGAGGGTTGAACGTCGTCGTCGTAATAGCCGTCGTCGGAGTAATCCTGCGACTCTTCGTCGCTCGAGTACTGGTGTCTGTCGTAGCCACCGGCGGTCCTCTCGTATGAGGAGGCCCGAGGCTGCGGTCGTCGATCGTATCTAGAGGCGCTGTCGGACGATGAGAGTCAACAAGGTTGGTTGCAAGCGTGGCAAAGCAAACATCGGGCACAGTACTAACCACATAACAGGCGAGCTTGTGGCAGTATTGCCCTCTTCTACTCACCACGGGCTGCACAAGACCGCCCGACGATGGGACGAGCGTTTGTGTCTAGAATACCTGGGGAGGGATGGTGGGGGACGGAAGGTTGGGTTGCCTTTAGGGCGGGCGGCAACGGGTGGGAAAAAAAAAACAAGCAACGAGCCCAAGCCGATTCAGTCAGTCAGCAGCCGGGAAGTGCAATGGTAGGTAGTAGAGCCAGTTGTTGCAAGCACCTGCAGGTCTGTAAAAAGAGGCGGCAGCGGAAGAAGGAAGGGAATAAGAGAGAGAGAAGGGAGAAAGAGAAGGAGAATGAGAGAGGCGCGAGAGAGATGAGAGAGATGAGAGAGAGCTCAAGCGAATCAAGGGCTGGTTGGTCGCGGAATGACTAGCAACAGTCACTAATGCGACAGCGCAAAGTACTCTTGGTTGCGAGGGATGGTGTGTACAAGTGCCCGGGCAACCAGCCAAAGGACAAGCTGGGTGTAGCAGGGCGATACAAGATTGATGGCAGAGATATTCTGGTGCTCCCTCGAGTGTCTCAAACTGCCGGAGAGAGAAACGAAGACGGGCGGGATAAGGCGCTCAGTTTGGCGGGAGGGGGTTTTCCGAGGCCTTATGAAGGTTGCCAAAACAAAGTAGAGGGAGTCGAGCGACGCCGAATGGCAGGCTAAGAAACCAACCGCCAGCCTCGACGGGAACTGCGGGCGATCGGCGGTGAGGAGATGCTAAGATCTTTGTAAGAAGAGCTGAGGAAAAAAAAAACAAGGTGAGGTGAGGACAAGACGAGTGTGATTGTGTGTGCCTTTTGCTTGCTTGCAGGTGCAGGTGCAGGCCAGGTGCAGATATCGACAGGTGCTAATGCGCAAGGCCAAAGCGGCTGTGCCACCCATGCGAGTACGGGGAGGGTACGGGTGAAGGCATCAACGGAACATTGGGGAATGGGGCAGTGTTGATGCACGGCCAGGTAGCAGCGATGTTACGGCCAGGTACAGCAACAAGGTGTGGCGCTGCCAGCCGCAATTCTGCTAACAGCACAACAGGGAGGTGGAGAGACTCTTGCAGGACGAACAACGCACCACAGCACAGTGACGGCGCGGGATCAGTCAATCCGACGCCTTCATTTTTATTTTGTTTTGTTTTGTTTTTGCTGTTTCTGGCAGATCGGAGCTTGCTTGAACCCTGGTGGCCAATCGCGGCATATGTATGGATAGACGAGGGGGAGAGAAAAACAAGGTGAACTGTAATATGTATTGCTAGTGCTAAGCTCAACTGCACGGATCAAATGGGGAAAGGCTGGCATAAATGCTGGTGAGACCGCCGCTTCGTCCTGCGTGACTTTTTTCATTTCTGCCTCGGTCTTTGTCTTCCTTTTAATCATTTTGCTGATTCAGTTGCTATTTAGTTAAGTCGGATTTTTCTTCTCTTAACAGGATTCTTGCTGAATCCCAACCCCCGGCAAATAGTGGTGCTAGGGTTGCGAATTGTTTTGCCCAACTCGGAAACCACCCGATACCTACCAAGCATATACCTTCCTGGCACCTCACATCCGGTAAACAGCGGGCTGTGCGGAAAAGTACCTCGCTGTACAATTCAGGTAACCAGTACTCAGACTCGGGCACCCATATCGGGAAGCGCAGATTGAATTACAGCAAATCATCCACCACAAGGCAACTAAATAAATGCCCAAAGCAGGGCGGTGCAGAGGCGACTGCTTATTTTATTTTGCTAATATTATTATCATTATTACCATTATTACCATTATTTATTCTCTCTTTGCCGTGTGTGATGTGACAAGTGAGGATGCGTCGTGTAACTGGTCTGCTGTGCGCCTATGAGCTGGCGGACTGACTCTTGCGTATGACTTGTTTCTTTTTCTTCGAGTCGAGTCGCACAGAGATCAAGTTGACATGGACAGACTTGTCCAGTCACGCAGCTTGTCTATTACCTTGCTACCTACATATTGGATACTTAATACCAAGTTACCCGCGGTTGCCGATGAGTTGTGCAATTATACCTAGCAAGTACCAAGCTGACGATGCTCACGCTCTCTCCCTCTCTGTCTCATATCATGCCTTGGTCATAACAGCAACAGTAACGCTCTCACCGACAGGTGAATGCAGGTCGCTTCTACTGCACATTACTCACTTCTCAGCTGCTTTTCCCCTCTTGTTGCAGATTCCTTCCTACCTACATGCAGTGTGTTGCTTCTCCATACCTACTAACTATGTATGTCACAACAGACAGAACGCCCGTGATGCGGTCAGCCAGCTCCAAGCCCAAGTCTATCGAGCTGATTGGTGGGTGTTCTGCTGCATTGGAGTTGTTGTATAGGTATGTATGCGTGCCTCTCCATATCGAAATACACGGGCAACCAACCACAGCATCGGGGGCCATATCACCTATCGATTAATCCTGCTCTGAGCAATGTAACATGATACGTGTTCCTGGCGGTGGTGAACCGTGCCTGAGATGATACGATATGTGACAACAGAACAGGCCAGGCGCGCATATTCTCGTCCTAAATGTACCGACAAGTTGTGGGATAGCAGTGAGAGAATTCAGGGTGAAAGAAAGCCGTACAGGCCTTCTCCATGAAGTTTGGTATATTTGCTACTAAATACTTTGCATCACTTATCATGCAGCTTGCGGGAAATGTATGCAATTGTACAAGATAAATTTACCATTATACTCTATGTCACAGAACCATCAGCAGACCAAACCCAAGGACGACCAGCATTCTCCAAGCGACGTCACTGCATGCATCTACATCAACATCGCCATCAACCCTCAGCTCATATCCACAGCCCCATTCCCTTTGATTCCGTGCAACAACCTTGCTCTCTCTAGATGTGGGTTTCTGCCCCATGGTCTCGATCCGGAGCCACAGGGATTCCCAATTTTTTTTTTCTTCACTGCGGAGCCCAAAACTAACCTGCATTGGCGCCCAACCTGCTCCATTGACTCATTGCCTTGGACAGCGCTGCACGGGTGCATGAACCTGACAGGCAGCAAAGAGGCAGCCTGGGAAAAAGAAAAATCCATGGATGGGATGGGCATCGTGGTGACAGAGAAGATCAGCTCCCAGTCGAGGGGTCCGCTCACAGCCTCACTCGTTGTGCTCTGATTTGAACCCAACCGCTCTTGTTACCCACTCACATGTACAGTACGTGCCCTTGGGGATTCGTAAACCATCTGCAGCCCAGCATGGAGCTTCTTTAGCCTCCGGTGAGGCTGCTACATACCCTTGACATGTGCGCTGTCCGTTTTCTTTTCCCCTCTTGTTTCTTTTTTGCCGGCATGTCCCATACATGCCTACATGCATGCATGCTTCCGTATGAGGTTTCCCAGCTCCCGAAATCAGATGAGGCGACAGCGTCACAGCCGAGCCCGAGCCACTCGCAGGCCGACACGGGATTGCTTGGTATGCGTCATGCGTAATGTGTAATGTGCGATGCGTAATGCTGTGCGACGAGCATCAAAAGGCTTGATATCTTGATCTGCTCATATCTCCCTGAGTTGTACCGAGTACATTAGTATAGACAGAGCATCTGTATGAGGTGGTTAGTACCCAAGTATTCACATGATTCAATGCTGCTTGCGTTGGTACGACCCGTGGCCCTGATTCACCTAGCTTGCACATTATTATGTATGTATTTCATTTGTTGCCACAAATCATCCATCATGTCCATTATTCCAACAGCGTTGAATGGCTCCACGTGTCGGGTATTCTCATCCCACCGTTCCGTCTGCAAGGCGTCCATCAACCTGTTTTAAACGCTTTACCTGCCTGACAACCAATACACTTAATGTCTTCACCGCAAAACCTTTTGTGACGACTCTGAAAGATAGGTACGGGCAGCAGCCACCTCTCCGGCGTCATATCCCTGCCAAAGAGGGTCCTTTGCATCATATTTCCGCACAATGTCGCCCAGCTTCTTCGTCGCAGCCTGATTGAGCTTTTCAATTGTCGATGTTTCCGGCAGGGTGAACTCATCAGACTCTGATGGCTTCTTCCCTTTGGAGTTTGCAGCGAGGAGCTTGTCGGTGACCTGTTGCAAGTGTCAGTAACCTTGCTTTGGAGACGGCTTGAGGGCCTCTTACTCGCTTCAGTCCGTAGTAGCCTCGCAAATAATCATCGGAGAGTTCAATGCTTCGGCAAAAGCGCTTTAAGCTCTCTGCAAGATAGTTTTGAGGGTTACCCTCACTCCCAGACTCTGCAGCCATCAAAAGGACTTCGCCCAAGCGGGCATGGAGCTATAATGAAAAAAGAAAATATCAGTGATCGCTATCTAAGATGGCATACTTCTCCCCAAAAGGTATCTCACATTCCATGCATTTGGCGCTATAGTGAGCGCCTCCTCCTGGGCATAGATGGCTTGCGCGTATAGACCTTGAGACAGATACAGATCTGCCAGCTCCATCCAAGCTTCGGCATCGGTGGATGAAAAATCCAGGAACTGTACCAGGGCTTCAATCGACTCGGCTGTTTTACCCATCGCACGTAGCAGGGCAATTCTTCTCTTCGCAATTGGCTGTTCATGGTCAGTCTCAACTTTTGCTTTGCTGAGCCTTTGTAATGCTTACCACGTTGGTGTTGTCCTTGGCCAAGATTTCCTCGTATTCCTTCAGCACCTTTTCAAGCTCGCCATCGTTTGTTGCTTCGGCTTCCTTCACTAGGCCCTTGAGGGCTTCAATGCGCTCATCGCTACCCCCGAACCGGACGACCAGTCTCTCGAGGCATTGACGTGCCGTTGTATTATCACCAGTTCGTAGACAGGCCAGCAGGAGATTCTCGTATATTGTCCATGTGTTCGAGCTCTCGGGTGGAGAGAATAATGAAAAGAGCGGCGATGCAGAGTATGATGCAGGGTTTTTGCGTAGGATTTCGGGAGCTTGCTGGGCGACCTGTAAGGCTTCGGCGTGGGAGAGACTGGCATGTGGTCGAAGCAGTAGCGACGGCATTGTGAATGTGAATGTAGGTATTAACGAGATATGAAGACACTTGACGGCTATGGCTTTGATGATGCCTAAACAAGCTGCGTAAATGGGCCAATAGGGGCGGCGACAGCTGGTGATGGAGCCTCTACGTCTCGAATCGAGGAGCTGAACTGAACGACCACCCAAGTTATTAACAGATGTTCGCCATGATGCTATCGCACTGCTGTTAAGCTGTGCTCCACTTTTCCACAACTCCCCACCTACTCAGACAAGCTCCATCGGAAAACGGGAAATTCCGACACCGACAAGACCAGCCAATCATCTCACAAATTGTCTAACCCCACCTTATCCATCTTGCAAGTTATTTTAGTACTCTGTAATTTTTTAATTTTTTTTTCCTTCTCTCTTTTTTCCTTCTCTCTAGTCTATTCTCTCTTTTCTTGTCTTAAGAAACATCGCTTTGCAGGGGGAGTTTCACCGCTGGCGGCGGAAAAGGCAATCGCGAGTCTCCTTCTGAAGACCTCTATGCGTTGTCGGACCTGCGGCGATGATCGACCTGGAAGCGGGCAGTGCAGCTGCCACTGCCACTGCCTCCGGGCTGGAGGAGATGGCCACCCTCAAGGCGGCGGCTGAGGCTGTTGAGGTTGCTGAGGCTCAGACCGATACACCTTCCCACCGATCGCATGATCCGGCCAAGAATCTGAAGCGAAGCGACCCCTTCCAGTTCGGTAGCCGCTACTTGGAGGCTGGAGACGATGTCTTCGAGTTCAATGCCTGGGACCATGTTGAGACTGACGATGCCTACAAGCTGTATGCTGAGGGCCAGCTGGAGAAGCAGCGTCAGTCTCCCGTGTCTGATTTTGACAAGAGTAAGTTTGTTTTGCCCTTTTTTTTCTTCTTTCCGTTCCTCAGCTCGGTATTGTGATGATACACAATCCAAATGCATAGTTCATCTGAATTGTCTGATGAAAACTTACCTTCACTTCTTTCGCTCCCATCTGATATACCAAATATCTCATCGCATTCTTGTAACATTCATCTATTTGCGTACCATGTCGCTAACATGTGCATCAAAGACAGGTTTAATTCCAACCCGGCCATGTGGTGGAACAAGTTCTACAAAAACAACACGGCAAATTTCTTCAAGGACCGCAAGTGGCTTCAGCAAGAGTTTCCCATCTTGGCTGACGTGATCAAAGAGGACGCTGGGCCACAACTCATCCTCGAGATTGGCGCAGGCGCCGGTAACACCGCTTTCCCAGTCCTGGCCAACAATAAGAACCCACTCCTGAAGATCCATGCCTGCGACTTTTCCAAGCAAGCCGTAGAAGTTATGCGCAATAGCGAATCCTATGACCCCAAGCACATCCAGGCTGATGTCTGGGACGTCTCTGGAGAGACCCTCCCACCCGACCTCGAAGAGGGCACTGTAGACTTGGCCATTATGATTTTCGTATTTTCTGCATTGTCTCCCCGAGAATGGGCACAGGCAGTACGGAACGTTTATAGACTTTTGAAGCCTGGAGGCTTGGTCTGCTTCCGAGACTATGGAAGAGGAGATCTTGCTCAAGTCCGCTTTCGAAAGGGGCGATACCTGGAAGAAAATTTTTACATCCGCGGAGACGGCACTCGTGTGTACTTTTTTGACCAAGATGAACTCGCAGGCATCTGGTCTGGACCGGACGCCGGGGAAAACACCGAAGAGCCCGACGTACCACGATTTACGATTGAGAAACTCGGCGTTGACCGGAGGCTGCTCGTTAATAGAGCTGAGAAGATTAAGATGTACCGCTGCTGGCTTCAGGGCCGCTTTAGAAAGAAATAGACCATTTGACATTTGCGCAAAGATGATCGCTTGCTTTCTCCTCCCAATGTGTAGACCCACCTCAATCAAAGCGCTATTACTATCTACTTAGATGAGCAATGTCTCCCGGACTCTAGCTCGCTGCTGCTGGTCAAAGCCAATGGAGTCGAGATAGCTGTCCAAACCTCCATACTTGTCCTCGATGTAGCTTTCGATCGAAGAGATCATGTCCTTTGCGGTACCGGCCCAGTCATCGGTCAAGCCTATCTCATGGATCTCTTTGAGCATCTGAGGTCGACTGGACATGAGCTTGGCGTCAGTGAGAAAGTAGTCGTGCTCAATGGCCGCTCTGGGGATACCCAGTATCATCAATACCAGAGCACATATAAGCCCTTCAACTCGATGGTCAGATATTCAGTCGTGTGAATGGGCGGGGAGGGGGGAGGGGGGAGAAGAAGCGCTCATCTTACCTGTACGATCCTTACCCTGGGTACAATGAATGATGGAGGGCAGGGTCTGAGGGGCAGTGTACAACGAGAGGGCTTGGTGTATCTCCAAACCACAGTAATCAAGCGTATCCAGGCCAAGACGGACGAGACCACGGGGCAGCATGACCTGGCGGCTGAGGACCCTGACTGCGTCTATGCGGTATCCCAGGATAAAGAAGTAGATGACCTTGCTTCAGCCGCGGCATTAATACGATATGAAGTCTCAACAAGGCTATGAGAACTTACAAAAAGTCCCACCATGACAGAAGGCTTATTAAATGTCTCTCAAAGGATTTGCCGTTGATTTTGATGCCATGATATTGTACACCTGGAATCTCGCTTGCTTGGCCAGAGCGCCGGTGTTTTCGGATTTGCTTGAGAACTTCGGTTCTAGTTTGGAGTTTTAGCAGTTGAACATAATGAAAAAGAAAAAAATCGCATTCCGTTCGTGGCATAGAACAAACCTACTTTGTGCGTAGATCAACAATCGTTTTAATCTCAAGCTCGTCCCTGATGAGGTCTCTGTCTGCAGTCGTGGCATCGTCTGAAGAACGATGTATGGACGGGTAAGTGGCTGGAGGATATTTATGCTTTCAAAGGGGGGGGGGGGGGTAGTCTGGTTTCTTTGTGCTCGCACCTAGCCTTCCTGATCGGTAGAAGAGGCCCTCGCGGACGCGTCTGCTCGATTGTCAATGGATTGATGAGAGAGGCTTCTGGGTGAGGGCTGCGGGTGCTGACCTCTCGCCGAGAAACTGGTTGACGGTTTTGCCAACGTCCCTAAAATTAGGCACCCCCCGGAGTTGTTGATCTTGTTCCATGGTTGCGTTGGCAATGAATGGGATTTCTTGGGGATTCAGTTGATATTAATCTGAGGTGAAGCCTTTGTTTGTGGCCATCGTACTCAGAAGAAACGAGGAGAGGATTTTCTCTTTGTTGGCTGTAGTGTCCCGCGACGCTGACACGTCAGACGGCCTACCCTGTATGGCCGGCAGATTTCGAACAGAGCCGCGGGTAAGCCCAAATAAGCAATCCATTTCGTGTCACCATAGCATACTAGATTAAACCCCTTTATCGTCTGTAGAGTATTTGGTTTCTTTGTTTCTTTGTTTCTTTGTTTCTTCGTGCTGGCAAAGTCGCAACTGGGGTCACAGAAGGGGGCAGATGTCTGTTGCAATCTATGTGGCTGACCTACTAGGACAGTTCCTGGTCCAACTTGTGCACTTCGTATACTCAATTCAAAGAACAAACCTAAAAGAATCTCACCAGTGGCACGGCCAATGTCTCAGGTTAGTTTCATTTCGAGAACTCTGTCTTCTTTACGAAAGAAAGACAGAAAGCTTGGTGTCATCCCCTCAAACTGAATTGCCTCCTGAGTTACTCGTCCACTAGCCAATACGAGCTATTAACTCCTTGAAGGGATCCATGAATGCCCATTATGGAAATAAAGGCTTGGAGGCTGAAAAAGCGGCTGCGCCATCAAATGCAGCGCACCTGATTCTGACTGACGTTTCCAATTGCTTGTTGCACATGGCTGAATCTGAACGTTCAAGGTTACGTCATTGTTGCCCAGCCCCACTGGTATTCAGATTGGGGACCAAAGCTTTAATGTGCTGTCAAATTTGGCAATTGGCGAGCATTTTCAAGGGCGAGAGCTGAGGTGATGTAACCGGATGATATAACGAATGCTAGATATGATTGCTTACTTGGGAATTCGAAGCTCATGTTACTCTACCATGGCGATAGCATAGATGGAGGATTGGCATCCGTGTCAAAGTAAGGAAGATTGAGCAAGTCCGGGTCCAAGATAGCCTCCTGTCTTGGTTAGGATTCATCGGATGCTCACCTCGCTTGACAAGACCCATAACATCATCGGTAGCAACTACACGTGCGAGAATTAGTATCCTTCACCTTGTCCGCCAGCTAAGGTACCTACCCGTCCCAGCTTGTTCCACAACGGGGGGGCGATCGACGTGAGCCGCTGGCAGGGGTGGCAGAGGAGAGGCTTGATCCAGAACAAGTCAATGATAATACATGCCTTGGCTGCAGCTGTCGCGAGCAAAGTTAGTCGCTGTCTCAGCCTGAAGCTGCGGACTAGCCGGCCGCCAAAAATGAGAAAATACCTTGGTAGCCAGAAAAGAGCTGCAATAGCGTCATGCACCAGCATCTAGTTGGGGCACCATGACGTCACGACATGGGGGAGGCGTTTCTTGATGGCTTTTTTTTGGGTGCGGTGTGCGTTACGAGAAGAAGCGATACAAAGTAAATCCGAAAGAATAATACTGCTTGAAGGTGAAGTCAAGTGGTGAAGTTGAGAAGAAGAAATTGTCGAGTACAAGGAACAAGGTATCTTTTACCTTTCCGTAGGTTAGTAAGCAAGTAAGTAAGGTAGATCAGAGTGGGAAAGAGCCAATTGAGTGAGCAGGGGAGCTGCAGGCAGGAGCAACGCCTGGTCGCCTCTACTTGGCTAGCAGCATCGCGCGTCTCTGTGCCGACGAGTATTCGGTACTTGGTATGATGTAGGATGTAGGCAGTGACAGCAGGAACCACCGCAGATTCGCCCTAGTGCCTGCCACCTGCCGGCCGTTCCAACTTTGTGCTTGAAGCTTCCTTGTTATCTGGCGATTTACTTAAGCCATGCCATTCCGCCCGATTTTAGACATTGACACTGACACTGACAGCTAACCTTTAGCATTTAGCATTCAGCATTTAGCATCGAGGGGGGGATTCGCATCTTCTTTATTCGACTCGATTCGCTCATTCAGGCATCATCCTCATTCCCTTTTCCCATCCTTGCCTCTCTCCAGTCTCCACAGCAATCCTCCGTGGCTGCTGCAAGACCTAATACCACCTGCAATCTGCAATCCGCCAATCCATCCAATCCATCCGCCTTGCCAGACGACACGAGAAAAGCGACCCAACCCTGCCCGGCCTGCCTGATCCGAGACACCAGACAAGAAAGACACCACCCACAAGCATAAGGAGGAAAAGGAAGCCAGACAGACAGGTGATGAGCATCGAGTCCCGAGAACTGCTGTAGCTGGCCTAGCTCCCCTAAGACGATCAGCTTCTTCCACTCAATACTCGTCGTCGATATTGGCCATTACGTCGTATCGCGCCCGCCAGTGCAGCGTCACTTGACCAGCACTGCAACATCCTTTTTTTGGACTGGCGGCGCCTCACTAACCGCCTTTTCTCGTCGTCCTCGTATCTGATCTGGAGTCACCCCACCTGGATGATGCAAACAGCTGCAGAAGCTGGGGAAGCGCGGCCATCCGTGGCAAAGTCGCCTTCTTCACGCCGCCATGAGCCGTCATCCCATAATAGTCCATGTATGTATTCAACGGGGGGATGGAAGAAGAAGAGGAAGAGAACAAAGGAAGAAAAAGAACAAACCAAAACACTCCTGCATTTCCCCTCACTCGTTTCCCGTCTTTCGTTTTTTTCTGCTGAGGCGACCCGTGCTTTCTTGCATCAAATATCTTTTCTCTTTCTCTCTTTTCGTTGGCAAGTTTTGTCATTTACTGCTGCCTGCTTGCCTTTTGTTTTTTTTTACTCATCGTAAGACTGCTCTCGTGTTTGGTTGTTGTTGTCCCGTAGCTAAGCGGCGCCTTTGATTTCATGTTGCTATTAGCCATATACCGTCATCTCTTCGTCGGATCTGCTTCCCAGCTCTCCTTGCTTACTTGCCCATCACAGTGTCGACCGCCGGCAGGCTTAAATACGCCGATCCTCGCACTCTTCCAAGCTTCCCGTCTGCCGGTCTGAGTCCGGGTGGCGCAGCTGCCAGCGCGGCTGCATCTCTTGGTTGGTTTAGCCACAAGCCGGTACAGACGTGGACGCCAGATAAAGCGTCATCAGCGTCGGCCGCCGCAGTTCTTGCCAAAGATTACAAGATATCGCCGCAGTGGGAGCCCACCATGGACGGAACGGGCACCAAGGCGGCAGTGCTGGCTGTCGGCTCTGCTAGCACCGCGTACAGACAGTCAAGCGTCAAGAAGACATCGCGCGATTCCTGGGGCAGCTCTGCTGCCACGCAGGCCTTCAATACTAACACGAACCGGCCAGAACCGGAGCCGGTGACGCTGACCACGTCTCACGGGAGCTCCGCCGCGACACAGGCGTTCCATGCAAGCCGAGTCCAGTCTGCCAAAGAGGCCAAATCACCGCCCGCCTCTCCAAGGGAGAAGTCCCTAGTAGCTGCCAAGGGAGCCATGTCACCCTCGAAGCAAGCCACGCCTCGCTCCAGGCTACGGTCGTACTCTAACCCACAGGAGCCGTCTCATTGGGACGCAAGGAGGGCTTCTGTGAGTGCTTTGAACGGGGCGACCATAGCACACCGAGCTTCCATGAGCAAGCCGCCAGTGGTCGAGGAATCTGGCGCAATCCCAATCACCACTATGACCCGCAACATGTTTACCTCACATCCACCCGTCCAGCCCGAGATTGATGAACAAACGAATAATGAAAGGATTCATCAGTCGGCAGTTGAGATGGCAAAGAAGATGTACCGCCAGCAGCAGAGTCGACAAGAGGGTTCTCAAGATGAGCATGATGCTGGCGAGACGCCGGCGAATCGATACGTCGACTTGCAGGATGCGGCATACAGGCAAGCCCAAGAACGTCTCGCCAAGCTTCAAGATGAGCACGAGAGGAACCGGCAATATCATGAATACTACGGCGCAGACAAACCCCTACGCCGCCGTTTCACCATTGTCAACAAGCTGCGCCGTCGGTCTGCTAGTGACAGCGACATGGAAGACCGCGCACGATCCGACATGATACGCCAACAAATGACCATGTTCTCTTCTAGGCTTGACCAAGTGGACGAGGAAAAACGGGAGAGAGACAGAGAGGCTCTCCTGACCGCTGCACGACGGAACGTCAAAGCAAGCCTGCAGGGAATGGACGAGAAAGTCTATTATGAGACTGGAAAGGTCAACTCAACAATCCTGGGTGACTGGCAAACCAAAGCTCAACAAGCTGCCCAGCTTCGACACGACACAAAGACAGAAGGTGACGGCAGGGTGGACATTGGAGGCGGAAAGTTCATGGACGCTGACGAAATCGATGCTATCGCCGCCAGGAGAGTACGGCCGGTGTTGGATGACATCCACGAAAAGGCAGAAGCAGAACGAGAGCGGCTAGCCTCGGTTCGGATGGAAGAAGAAGCAGGCAAGGCTCAGGCTGAGAGAGAAAAGGCTCGTGAACGTGAGCTTAAGGACCTCCAAAAGAGGACCAGAGGTACATTGCAACTGATCTCCCCCTTTGCCCTCTCTTACAAAAATAAACGCTAATTCTGAGTGTGTTTTAACAGAAGAGGAAAAGCAACAAGAAAAGACTAGAAGGCAGCAAGAAAAGCAGGAGGAAAAGCAAAAGAGAGAAGAGGAGAAGACTGCCAAGGCCGAACAGAAGAAACTAGCCAAAGAAGAAAAGCGTAAATCCAAGACGGAGGCGACCTTGGGTACTCAAAACCAAGAAATACGCCGTGAAGAGAATGAAGAACAAGAGGCAGAGACGCAGAGCAGGCGGGGATCCAGCGTTCCAGAGGTTACTACCCCCCCTGCGCAAGGGGCGGCTGTCGATAACGTAGACAGCTCGCAAAAGAAGTCGCCCGAAGGAGCGACCTCGCCAACGGCACGAGTCAAAGGCTGGATCAAGAATCGATTTTCACGAGGCAAGTCTGTCAGCGAGCCCGGCGAGAAGAAGAAGAGCTTCGTCGGCGGCGCTGCGCTGAGGGACTCGGGCCCGGGTGGCAGCACAGGCAGCTTGGGTAACCGCTCGTCCAGCATGCGTGATGTCACGCTTGCTGGGAGGGATGGCGAAGAAGTTACCGAGAACCACCCCCAGCCTTTGAACAGGGACTCTCGCGGTGTGAGCCCGGTCAGCTCGGGAAGCGGGAGGAGTAGCGAGCTTGAGAGCTTCGAGACGCCCATGGCTATCATGGATCAACCGCCGCGACAGGGAAATAGCCCCATGCGTGACTCTCGGTTCAGAGAAATGATGGATCATTGAGATACCCGTGTTCTCCTGTTAGTCGATAGCAAGAGCTGTTACTGTGCCCGGCTACACTATGATGAGGCTGATGATGTTTCTTTCTGGATTTAAACCGTTGTGCTTCCACATTCTCGTATACCACTACACGCTATTACCTTTTAATTCAATAATCGTAATCAATGTGTACGCAATGGGTTATTGAAGGCGAGGCACCATGTATTTGGCGTTTTGGAGAGGTTCAAATATATGCTTGCCCTAGAGTGATGCATGCAGGGTCCATTTCCTTATTAAGGAGTGAAACTGGGAACATTTCTTTCATTAATAAAAAGTAGTCATGTATTATATACGGATGCATTATTCGTTCTGATGATTTATATCCGACCCGTGGATCTGAATGTCCATGCAAAACCCGCTAGCGCCCTGTTAAATGCCTCTGTGGTACTTTTCGTTTCGATCTCTCCTTACTCTTACATATATTCACCCCAAACGATAAAAAAGAAAAGGAACACATCTAAGAATACAAAATAAAAAAAATAGCACGCTTCGCTGCATAATTATACACTTAATAAACCTGCTGTTCTCGGACGTCAATCATTGGAAGGCATATCGGTTTGTGTTTCGACCGTAGTCGTTCCGGTAAGAGCCCATGTGGGCACTGTTGCCGTCCTGGCTATCAGCAGACTCCATTTCGTGCTCGTGAGACTTGCTGAAGCGCGTGGCAGGAGCTTTTGTATGGACGGCGGGCAAGAGATCGATGACAAAGGAGAGGATGTAGAATGTGAAGATGAAGGCAATGATCCACTCGAAAACGGCGGCGACGTTTTCGTTGTTGCTCCAATTAGTGGCGACAAAGATGATGGCAAGAACGAATTCGACGAGAACAAAGGTGAGCTTCACCCAGAAGGAGATGCGGAGTATGCGGTGCTGGCGGTTGTCTGGATGAGAGGAATGAGAAATTGTTCCCAAGAGCGTTTGTGTATACTTGTACTTACATAGGCCTAGCTGCTGATATTCCCAGCAGATAAAAACGGCAGAAATAATGTATCCGGCAATGAAGAGCAAGAGGAAGACGTCGTGTAAGCGATGATGGTGGTGCGTATCGAAAATGGTCAAGAGGATCAGGCCAGCCGTGCCAATGATGGCAAAAACAATGCTGAGGACGGATAGAACCTTTTCTTTGAGAGTCGTGTTGGGCACTAGTCGTCCATTGTGACGCAGTAGACGCTCAGCGGCAAAGGACAGGTCGAGGAAGACGGTCGTGACGGACGATCCGGCGATGAAGAGCGGCTTGAGCTTGCTGGCGCCAATGTCACTGATGAAGGCGATGGAGTCGCCATTGTCCATGTACGAGTAGTGCTCGCTGTTGGTGTCGACGACCCAGTAGAGGAGGAGGCCTAGGAGCATGCCGAGCCAGACGACGCTGGAGATGACTGGGAGGATCTGGGGAAAACTTTTGTTAGAAATGGTGGCTGTTGCAATGAGGGTTTTACATTGGGGTCTTTACCCAGTATGATATGAAGCCCTTGGCAGCCATGGCGGATGGCGGATTTGGTGGCTGGCTGAGTGGTTCTCGACTTTGTGAAGCGTGTAGTTGGATCGATGAAGCTATAATGCCATACGCCGATGATGATGAGTATTAATGGAGTATCGACTGCTGGGTGAACACGAGGGAATGGGTATCGTCAAGGCAATGGGATCATGAATCTGAAATAAAGGGAAAAAGAAAAGAAGCATAAACACTCCGGAACCCATGGGCCATGATGTATAAAAGTACCCATGGCAGGGAAAGATCGGAAGAGCGAGCTAGAAGTACACGGAACACGGACTACTTCTTCTGCCCGCCATCTTCCACGCATATCCTGACAATCCGCAAGCTTTCTCTACAGGAATACGGTAGTCATCGAAAGCCTTGTTCCCATATTTTTCCTTGAGACGCGCAAATCATGTTATCATGCTTTCGTTTGTCTTACTAAACAGAAGCGAGAGAAGCAAATCGGAAGACCCTTTGAATGGTGGATTTGGCATCGATGACGTAGTATGACGGAGATGATGGGTCGAGGGTCTCGCCAAGGCGTCCTAAGAGAGGCTAGTGGCGGTTTGGTTAAGCGCTTGTCGCTATTAGGCAGGCGGGGTTCCCGATCCGGACTCCGGAGCTGGATTTGATTGGGTGGGGACGCTTCTTTTTTTCTTTTTTTTTCTTTTTTAAATTCTTTTTTGCAAACCATTGTTTTGGGGCGCATGCGGAGATAAGCGACGGAAAGAAATAAAGATCGAGGACGCGAGGTCGACAGTAATTAGTCAGGATGGCTTTTTTTTTTTTTTTTTTTTTTTTTTGCTTTTCGGTGGCTTGGGCTTCAGTCAGATGGCGCAGCTGCCATGTGGGTAAATCGGACTTTGACGTGTCGCTGTGGCTTGGCGAAGGAAGAAGAGAAGCGAAGTGCTGAAAAGATTAAAAGGTGTAGTCAGTTTTCCTTTTGGTTAGCTGGTTGTCCGAATTATGGACAGCTATCAAAGCTCCTAGATAGAGATTTAACAAAGACGCATATGGCATGATGCAGCGTATGAAAGGCATCATATAGATCCTTGCAAGTATTGGGGCCACGTAAAGGGGAAAGTTATCGGCATCTTTGCTCTCTGGTGTCTTGGCTTGGATGGAACTGACATTGTAAAAGAACGCGGATTCTGCGAAGATGTGTGTTTGGTCTACTGGATGAGATGGTGTATGTATGCTTTTCGCTTGGGAAAGAAACTGGGGGTATCTTTCATTTTATATGGGAGCTTTCATTTTATTGCTCTGCGGTCTCACGCGGCTTCATTTGCTGAGCCAGTTACACAAAGATTGTCATGTTCCAGCCGTCAAAACATTAACATCAATTTACGGTAAAATATTGAGCTCCGTAAGCGGCGCTCCCTAGTATTGTGCTAGACCCGTTTTGAACTGATCAGAATCTTATAATACTCATATAGTATCCAAGGCCCAAGCGATTGACTACTTTGAGTGACAATAATCTTGTGAGAATCAGAGGCTTGTTTGCTTGCGTCCAAGGTAGGAAATTGCCTGAAATTCTCTGTTAGAGTAAAGGAACTAAGTCTGGATAGGAGGGATCTTCGCATGCGAGATGGCAACGTACAATAGGAGAGAGTGACTTTGCTTGAGAATTGACAAAGTGTGTAAAACACATCCACATACACACGGATATATGTAACATACATGCAACCTACTTCACACGGCAGTGTGTTGCCCATTACAAACCACTATGCGATTTGAAGCCACCTGCACCAGCATGGTTTTTACTGTCAAAAGCTCAAGAATGGAGTCATATGCTAGCTTGCCATCCATTAGGTCAGACTCGTGCCTAACAACGGAGTCTGGAATGTGCTTGCAGTTTTATGATTTGGTGCATCCAATTAGCCAGCCGCCTATTTGAGCCCCAGTCAAATCCATTGAGTGCTTAGTCTTCATACTACTGATATATATTCCTCCGCCCTATATGCTACGAAAATAGCATAAAAGAACAAATATTAGTCAGGAAGACAAGCAAATCCGAAGACATTGACAAGCTCATTGTTGAAATCTCAGCTTACAACCACAAACACATGTATGGGGAGCCTCGGCAAATGGAGCCGTTTAGCTCCAATTTTGGTTCCCAGCGTGGAAAAAGTGCAAGGCATTAAGCCATAGACGCCCGCAACTTATATGAAACATAAGCGACGCCCCCAAAGAAAGAAAAATACGCACTAGCTGCCAACAATCTCTCATTTCAGCTACATGTGTGCATCTATACTACTCCAAAGAGGCATCAGGACTATGGAGCAATAGATGTAATTTCCAGAACACTCGTATTATGCCGATCCTTCAACGCCTCTCCAGATATTTGATTGAGTTATTGTAAATATTGGGTTTAGGCGGATTCACGCGGAAGTTTCTGTATTTTCCGCACACCATTTGGCCAAGTGGTGAAAGAAAAAGGCGTGAGACGCTCACACACAATTGGTGGATTTGCGCATAGTATCGTTTTTCTTACCATATCCGGAATAACATGTGCATTTGGGCGAAAACCCACAGGCTGACAATAAACATTGCGCATTTACTTCAAATACAATTGATAGCTATGTATGCGATTTATCCATGTCTGTTTTTCGATAATGAGCTTCGTGCTGGATTACTTCTTCTATCTGGTTTATGAAAACGTAGAGTTGTCCATTAACTGTGAAGCTCTGAAGGTGTAGACACAGCCAAATCTAGCTCACGTATCGTCCTCGTTTCTCTTGTCCGCAACCTCCTTCCTATGGTCCAAACGTGAGATTTTTGCACAAATCCTATCCGAGATGGCATCGTACTCCTGCGCAATTGGTGGATTTGCCTATCAACCACTATATTTTTCCGCCTCATAGGCCCATCATCTGAATATAAGCTTACTATTCTTTGCAATGCTCATTACGGAGCGCGAACGACACAGAGGCTTATACCGGAAAACAATACTAGAGGCGCCCGCACACCGCTAACTGGTGGGGATGGGCTATGCAAGATTCCATGCGTATCCTGGCTCTCATATAAAGGGCTAGACGCCAGATATAGAATTAGTAGATGCTATATGGAATCAAGTTATATAAAGACGATGAAAGCACCATTCCCCTGATTCTTGTTTCGGAGCACAAGGCCAACGAGTTCAATCAGTCAGTAGTAACTCTTATCTTATTACTATTACATCAAACATTGGTAATGTTCCAACCTAGCGCTCTTCTGCTCGCGGCAATTGCCCTTTTTATTCCCAGTGCTTTAGCTGGCGAGTATGTTTTAACCAACCTCAAGTAGTCTGACATTATGTGACCAGTATCGCTGATTCTTCGCAGGGGAGTGCATCTTGCCAACTGTGGCCCCAATGTCGGTTCACCAATAACCAGTGTCATCGCCTATTACCCAGATGACTCCAAGTCAAACACTGCACCGCTTTCACAGAACATTGCCTTTGCCACTAATCCTGAACGCGTGGTGACTTGGGAGGGGAACTCTTATACTGCCAGCTTCGCAACCGGAAACACCTTTACGACTCATATCCAATCGGGAAGCTTCAGTTTTGGCCAGTATGCGGGGACTGGAAATAACCAACAGAGACAGTTTGTTTGCTTCAGAGACAACAACAGGCAGCTTTGGCGAGCGTCGGATGCGTATGCTTGCTTCAGCATTTACTACTGCCTTGACGCCTAATTAATCTGGACAGTGATGCTTAGATAAATTATATATATATGTATATACATATACGCTGTTTGTTCAGTCTTTCTATGCTTCGAGTGAGCCTCTGCCTTTGCAGAACCATTTATAGTGACAAACTAGAATGTAGGTAACGCAAAGACAATACTCGATATACAGTAGAAAAGATAGAAAAAGAGCCGGCCGTATTAAATGCTGATGCCTAGGCACAGGTAATAAGCACAGCTACGTAGGCCCAAATACCTGTTACTGATAGCGCAACTGCCTATACGCGTTATTGCTAGGTACATGTACTGATGCCGAAGGTACGTATCGTTCGTCGTAACATCTTCTCATTGGGCATTGACTTGGATGCCCAATTCAGCCGCAGAAATCTACAGAAGCTTGCGCATCGGGAACCTGCTTTGCTATCAATCTTGAGCGAAACAATTAAATTAATTCGTTCTATTTATATAACCATGGCGCCAGAAAACAATCGATTGGTCTATCCATCTACTGATGGAGGTGAAACAAAAACTCAACAGATTAACGAAGCTACGATGCCGCTTGGTGAGTTCTTCACGCTGTTTACTCTTGGTAAAAATAGAACTCTTGATGCTAATACTGAGGGTGGTTCTCATCAAAAGGTCAGGCGATAAAATCGGATTACAGCTACTTCTCTTTGCCAGAGGGCTGCATCCGCTTACTCCGACTATTGCCTCATCAAGATAATACTGCTACTCTACAGTGTGATATATTTTGCTATCCTCTTCTGAAGCTGACTGGAAGTACCCCTCACCTGTACAGTGCCTTGTCCTATGTATGGGGCCGTCCGGAAAAACAACACATCATCTCAATTGGTAGCCACAGTCTCTCTATTACGGCGAATCTGCACGCAGCCCTCTTGCGCCTTCGGGATAGATTTTTAGAGCGCATTATATGGGTTGATGCAATTTGTATTGACCAAGAAAACCTGGAGGAACGGGGGAGCCAAGTGCAGTTGATGGCAAGGATCTACCACATGGCCAGCTGTGTTATTGTTTGGCTGGGGGAGTTCGAATCCAATAGCGACCGAGCAATCGAGGGAATCAATGCAGCTGCTGATGGACAGCATATCGAGAATGACCAAATAGTTCATCAAGCAGTCGTTCTGTTACTGCAGCGGGAGTGGTTTAAGCGCATATGGGTATGTCAAGAATTCGTTCAAAAACAATTGGGGGGATTTTTAACAAGATGTATTCAGGTTCTTCAAGAAGTTGCCGCGGCACGAAGTGTCCTTTTGATCTGTGGTCCCACGGAGATTGATGGATATATATTCTGCTTGGGTTTGAAAGCTTTAAACATTGCCTATACAGATTATCCGGATTTGCAGAGCTTAATCCACCCCACCATCTACTTGATACGGCGCGCAATCTTTCGATCCAAACACACGACTCCCAGTGAGGCCGGCAGATTCTCGCTCAATATACGCCCCCTATCTGAGTTAATCGACATGTATCACACACGGCAGGCTTCAGATCGTCGTGATAAAGTATATGCGCTGCTCGGAATGTGCTCAGACAACCATGGTTCAGCTCTATCTCCCGATTATAATATTCCGTGGAAGCAACTATTTATTCGACTAATCCAATTTATTCTCGGTGATTGCGTATCTGTGTCAAACTGCCATGACCAAGAGATGGCAGTAATCAAGAGCGCAGGCTACGTACTCGGCCGAGTTCATTCGGTGCATAATGACAGCACCTGGGATGATAGGCAAGTCGTCTCGATTACAAAGAGAGACGGGAATGATCGTTGGACCATCCAATCGTCAGCGAAGCACATCCAGCAAGGCGATATTGTATGCGTTCTACAAGGGGCTTCACAGCCTATGATTATCAGACCTAATGAGGATCATTTTGTTATCATTCTGATTGCTATTAACCCTCCTATGGCTGGGCAAGGCGAGATAGCAAGCATCCACCCGCCAAGCAGCATACAACCAACAGAGGACTTTCGCCATGAATTTATACTTGTATGGGATTGGGATATTTCTCCAAGCTACCAAGTGGAAAAGAACAACTCGGTGGATAGTGGAGTATCAAAGGATAAAAGTACAATGCTGGAAAGCTTCCTAGATGGCAGCGCAAGAGCAATGAATGTCGGACGAATACTAAAAGATGCGGGGTTTTTCGAGAAAGCGATTCAGACATTTCAAAAGGCAATAAAAGCATACAGAAAACAGTATGGAGACGAAGATTCATATACTCTAACGGCCGTTAGAGAGTTGGCAATGGTTTACAAGAAAATGGACCGCCTAAAAGAGGGAGAGAAACTAGAGGAGATGGCAAATTTAATCGACCGAAGTGGGGAACACTGCCAGATTACAGAAGAGGGGATGATGCGCCTCGCAAGGCTATTTGACAAGGACGTGATGGAATTACTATTATACAAGAGAGGGGACGAAGCCATCGTTACGGGAAAAGTCATCAAAGCTGCATTACAGAATTTGGACCATAGCGAAGCGATACTGACACTACTACTCGGAAACTACGAGCACCAGATTGCTATCACAGAGGAGGCTATTGAGTTTGCAGCACAGTATTCAGACAGACTGACGATGGAGCTGTTTCTGATGAGACGAAGAGATCAGATCCCGATTACAGAGAGAGTTATTAAAGCCGTGATACGAAATCATAATCATGGCAACGAAATATTGAAGGAACTTCTCTTGCAGCAAGCAGAATACCGGTGGATTGATACTATGGAGGCTGCTGCAAACATGGAAGCTGGTATAAGCGAATATTATGAGCAGGAAAACTCGCTCTTGTTTTCCCCAGGCGAACAACGTAACCAAATTGCCATTACAGAGGGAATTATCAAGACTGTAAAAGAGAATATGGAGCGCGGGAAGGCGATTATAACACTACTCCTCGACCAACGGCATTACCATCTCATTATGACAGAGGAAGCTATGATGGCAATAGCAAATCTTTCGGATTCTGGAGCAGTAATGAATTTACTGCTTGAAAAGCAACACCATCAGATACCAAGTGAGATTCTCCAAGCTGCGGTAACAAATCCGCAGAACTACGATATTCTACCTCTGCTACTTCAATATAAAGGGAGACAAGCTCCTATTACAGAAAGAACTATTGAAGCTGCACTGAGAAGAGGCTATCAGTGCCCTCACATACGAATGCTTCTTAACTGTCAATGGAACCAAATTACGGTTACAAAAGGGATGATTAAAGCAGCCGCAGGAGGAAATTCGCTTACGAGGTTGAGAGAGATCATTGAAATGTTCCTCAAAAGGGAATCAACACGGGTTGATTTTACAAAGGAGGCTATATCTACCACTATGAAAAGAGTTGGCCAGAAAGTAATGGAAGTACTTCTCGTTACGCGAGAGCATCAGATTCCCACGGTATATGTCGAGGCTATTGTATGGCATAATGGAGAGCTGCTGAACCCACTACTTGACCTCCACGGAGATAAAATTACCATTACAGAGGAGCTTACAAAAGCTGCAGCAGCAAGTACTAAAGCAACGATGTCGTTACTTCTTACACGGCGAGGAGATCAAGTTATCATCACAGAGGATATTATCAAAGTCGCAGCAGGAAATCAGAACGACGGCCTAGAAGTAATAAAACTACTCCTCGATCGGCGAAGAGACCAAGTCACTATCACAGAGGATATTATCAAAGTCGCAGCAGGGAATGAAAAATACGGTGTAAAAATGATGCAACTGATCCTTAATCAGTGGGGAGATCAAGTAATTATTACAGAGGATATTATCAAAGTTGCAGCAGGAAATGAAAGACGGGGTGTGGAAATAATGAAACTACTCCTTGATCAGCGAGGAAGTCAAATTACCACCACAGAGGATGTCATCAAAGTCGCAGCAGGAAATAAAGGACGGGGCTTGGAGATTATGCAACTACTCCTTAATCAGCGAGGAGACCAAATCGCTATCACAGAGGATATCATCAAAGCTGCGGCAGGAAATGAAGGACGGGGCATGGAAATGATGCAACTACTCCTTGATCAACGGAGGGATCAAATCATGGTCACAGAGGATATCATCAAAGCTGCAGCAGGAAATCAAAGGCGGGGCGTGGAAATGATGCAACTACTCTTCGATCAAAGGGGAGACCAAGTCACTATCACAGAGGATATTATTGAGGTTGCAGTAGGAAATCGACATGGTGTGGAAATAACAAAATTACTCCTCAATCAGCGAAGAGATGAAATTGCTATTACGCAGTGTGTTATTAAGGCTGCAGCAAGAAATGAAGGTCACGGCATGGAAATAATAAAATTACTCCTCGATAGTCGAGGGGGCCAGGTTATTATCACGGGAGAGTTTATCGAAAACATCTCAGGAAATTGGCGTGGTTATGGTATAATGGATCTACTTCTTCGTGAAAGAGGAAACCAGATTACTATTACAGAGGAGGCTCTGAAAGTGGCGGCAGGAAGTTCTAATGAAAAAATAATAGCGCGACTCCTGAACGAACATGGAGAATACATCGTTATCACAGATGGAGTTGCTAAAGTGGCGGTACGAAACCATAATCCCAAGGTAATAAAAACACTCCTTGACTGGATCACTGTCACGGAAGAGATTGTGAAGACGGCCGCAGAGGATTCTAGTACAGAAATAATGGAGCTTCTCATTACGCGTCAGGGAGACCGGGTCATTATCACAGAGGAGGTTATCAACGCAGCGAAACAAAATCCCAGCAAGGAAATGATACTACTGCTCCTCGATCAACAAAGAAGACAAAATAGCCCATATGAGAGAAACAAAGTTGAGTATAATATGCAGAATGAGTCTCAGAACAGCAAAGTCGCCATGTGATTAAAGAAGAGCCGACTTATTAAAAGCGCCACAAGGAATGGATATAGATGAAAAAGATTGCGTGTAAATGGGAGCTGTTATGCTATGGGCTGGGAACTGGTAGTGATTGCTGATATGTTCTTTATTAGGCCGTTATGGTTCGAGAAATTGAGAGGTAAATCGCATAATATTCAAGAGTTTCTAAAAGCGAAAACAGAAAACTTGAGATTCAGACATTAGAAAGTACGAAAATGAAAGACTGTTGATCTCGAAACAGTACTGTATCATTGCTAAAATAAAGAGGCAAGATACGACTAAAGTGTGACCAATGATCGTATACTCTGTACGGCTGTTAAGTTAGCCAACTACGATCCTTTGCTATATTCGTTATTGCTGACATGTGATCTAACACATGCTTACTTTAGGTTACACTCAGATCTCACGAACGGCCTCCGGGATCCGCTACGGCCCGACAGAGTACGCCGAGTACATAAGCGGAGTCAATGCGCTCATATGTGAACGAAGTTTTTGCGTTACTTGGCGTTTCGTTGGGTCCAACTTCGCTCTCACCACATCGTGCTTGTTTGTGTTTCCTTATAGAAGATTAAAATCCGACTCACTCTGCTGTCCAGTATGGCTTCATCAGCTCCCCAGGTTCAAATCTTGGACAAATCGGACTATACAAAGCAACATCTAGTCACTCTCCACAATGCGCACCCTCTGCCCAATCTGACGGCCGGAGATATCCGTATCCGCAGCCAGATCATCTGCAATACGATAAACAATTTTACTTATGCCCGAATTGGCCATCTCTTTGGCTGGTGGGATGTTTGGGCTGCGGTTCCGTCGCTTCCTGCACCATACAATGATGCTTCCAAGTATGGTCGCGTATCGTCTTGGGGATATTGTGAGGTGATTGAGAGCCAAAATGACAAAGTTCCTGTTGGCACCAAACTATATGGCTACCTTCCCATTGGAGACTATCCCGAGATACTCCAGGTAACCGTTGAGGATGAGACTGGTCACGTCCTTGAGACTAGTGAGCGAAGAGCTAGTCAAATGCATATATATAACCGATATCTACCGTATCCTCCAGAGACGGACTTGATGGCAGACAAACAGTCTCGAGGTTGGGACTCGGTTATGCGTATCTTCTTTGAGACAAGCTACTTTCTAAACCGTTACGTCTTTGCCTGGGACTCAGCAAAGCGCACCCACCCGCTTGGTGTCTCGCTGCCCTGGAGCTTAGGTGATGCTGATCTTGCAAACGCCGTGGTGGTACTCCTTGGGGCATCTGGGAAGACGGCGCTATCGTTTGCATATCAACTGCGTCACTCCAGGCCCGCTGACCATCAGCCTCGGAAGCTCGTGGCAGTTGGATCGGCCAGATCACGCAGCTTTACTGAGGCAACTGGTCTGTTTGATGATTTGCTCCTATACACCGAAGTGTCTAGTGCTACGGATACCAGCATTGCAGCCCGGCTAGGCATCGATGACAGCACCAAGGTGCTGCTCGTCAATTTTGGCGGGAGAGGCACAGTGGATGAGGAGTTGCATACCATTCTTACGCGCTTGTCTAAAAGCGTTGTTGCTCTTATCGTCGGTGGCGATCCTCAGGGGAAAGGATCCAAGCTGAATGCCCTAACAGAAGTGCCTGGCAGTGGTGTTGTTCTATGCAGTGCTTCTAGCTTACGGGATTCTGCAATGAGGATTGATGGAAAAGTGGCGTATTTTGAGAATCTCTCACAAGAATGGGCGTTATTCAAAGAGAACGGAGCTATCAATGGGCTGAAGCTGCAATGGGGTAAAGGAATGGAAGAGTATGGGAAGGGTTGGGACTCGCTCTGCAGCGGAGGTATCGACCCGACTCTTGGTCTTGTGTATGAAGTGTAGTGTTGTCATGGTTCTCACATCTCTTATGTTGAATGCCAAGGTAGCCAAGTATCAAACTACATAGGTATGCCTTTGAACCTCTCATCTATTCTCATCATTCTGGCTGTCTACATCGTGAGATTTGAGACGTCCACTGAGCTTACTGTTTGAGCAGATCTATCTTAAGGGTTGGACATGCCGTGAATGCCACAAATGAGGGGGGGTTGAGAAACGGACTGAATACATGTAGTATTGGGCAATTTGCGCATTTTCTTCCCGCGTTTGCACAGTTGGCAGCATTATTTCTGCGGGCTTTCTTCTTTCACCATTGCAACTACAGGCGTTGGATTCAAGTATTTCAAGAGGTTAAGATGCAGCTCCCCAATGTAAACTCTTGTGATTCGACAGCGGCTCCATCACGTGTGAGCACCATTTAGTACTGTATGTCTGCCCATCACCAGAACCCCGCAAAACATCCACCTTGCTATTTCATACCACAAGGCGCTAGCAGCAACTTAAAACCCCCCAGCAGAGGCTCTCGCAATGGCTGCCCAAGCAGCTACCAAGACCAGAACTCATGATGAATACACTGTGGGATGGATCTGCGCTCTGTCCAAAGAGCAGACCGCCGCGACGGCTATGCTCGACGATAGACATGGCTATCTTCAGAAGCCGCCAAATGATCCAAACACATACACCTTAGGGTCGATCGGCAAGCATAACATTGTTATAGCCTGCTTGCCCGAAGGTGAGATTGGTACCAACTCAGCAGCGACTATCGCGACCTGGATGATTTCCACTTTTCCATCTATCAAGTTCGGCCTGATGGTTGGTATTGGTGGAGGTATTCCCCCGAAGGTTCGACTTGGTGATGTAGTTGTTAGTATACCTACAGACCAGTATCCTGGGGTAGTTCAATGGGACTTTGGCAAGGCAGAAGAAGGCGGCAAGTTTAGGCAGACCGGATCGCTGAACAAACCACCTACCTTACTCCGCACAGCTTTGACGAAATTAAAAACGGAAAATGAGTTGAGCGGGTCTAAGATACCAGAGTATCTCGATGAACTAAGACAGAAATGGCCGAGACTGGTGCCAAAATACCTTTGGTCTGAGTCACGGATAGACCCTCTGTCTAAATCACACACTTCTCACAACAGTCACGGTTCCCAGAACCCTGGCAATCCTTTAAAACGTAAGGCCGAACAGATAGATGAGACAGCTACAGTTGATGTAGGCCAGAAAAAGCAAAGAGATATATACGTGCATTACGGTTTGATTGCGTCGGGTAACCAAGTGATCAAAGACGCCAAGTTTCGTGATGACCTTGACCAGCGTTATGACGGGAATGTATTATGCGTCGAAATGGAAGCAGCAGGACTGATGAATAATTTCCCATGCATTGTTATCCGGGGCATTTGCGACTATGCCGACTCACAAAAAAACAAAGAATGGCAGGAATATGCTGCGGCGGTAGCTGCGGCGTTTGCAAAGGAATTACTTCAATATGTTCAGCCAAGCGACGTTGACTCAGAGCGCCCAGTGAGAGACATAATTAAAGAAGGTAAGTCATTCTCCATCAAAGCCAACAGCAAACCTCTGATAACAGATATAGTTCGTAGTGATGTTACACACATTAGGTCTAAGTTGGATGGAAAGGATGACATTGAAATCCTCGACTGGCTTACACGAACCGACTACGGCCCGCAGCAAAGCGATAACTTCAACAGGCGGCAACCGGACACCGGAATTTGGTTCCTTAAGTCGGCGGAGTTCCAGGATTGGCTGACTACAAGCCGTCGGACACTGTTTTGTCCAGGCATTCCTGGCGCAGGAAAGACGATCCTTACGTCTATCGTGGTCGAGTACCTCAACTCAAAGTTTTATAACGACTCTAAAACCGGCATCGCCTACATCTACTGCAACTTTAAAAAACAGGAAGAGCAAAAGGCTGCAGATCTGCTCGCCAGTCTACTGAAGCAGCTGGCTCAAAGCCGGCCTTCTTTATCAAATAGCGTTAAATCTCTCTATGGTAGTCATCAGACAAAGCGGACGCGACCATCACTTGACGAAATCTCGAAGGAACTCCAGTCCATAGCTGTTCTCTATTCGAACGTCTTCATCGTCGTGGATGCGTTAGATGAATGCCAAGGATCTGATAGCAGCCGCCTGAAATTCCTCTCGGAGATCTTCAGCCTCCAGGAAAAGTGTGGAGTCAATCTTTTCGTGACCTCGAGGTTCATCCCAGAGATCACGGAAAAATTCGAGCGGAGCATATCACTGGAGATTCGGGCCAGTGAACATGACGTACGGAGATATATGGACGATCATATATCGCGCTTGCCATCCTTTGTCCGACGCAATTCAGATCTGCAGGAGGAAGTCAAGACTGGGATCGCCAGTGCCGTCGATGGCATGTTTCTACTTGCGCAGCTTCACCTTGACTCCCTAATCGGCAAGAGATCCCCCAAGGCTGTCCGTGCAGCTCTGGCAAAGCTTCCGACCGGTTCAGAAGCTTACGACCTTGCATATAATGACGCAATGAAGCGCATCGAAGGTCAGGTCGCCGGCCAAGAGGAGCTCGCCAAACAGGTTCTATTGTGGATCACCTGTGCAAGGAGACCACTTACCACTACGGAGCTTCAACATGCGCTTGCCGTAGAGGTCGGAGAATCGGAATTTGACGAAGAGAACCTTCCACAGACCGAAGACATGGTCTCGGTATGTGCTGGATTAGTCACGGTTGACGAAGAAAGCAAAATCATACGACTAGTCCACTACACGACTCAGGAATACTTCGAGCGGACGCAGAAACATTGGTTTCCAACTGCGCAGACCGACATTGCCACAATTTGCGTTGCCTATCTCTCATTTAACGCTTTTGAGACCGGGTTCTGTGAAACAGACCAGAAATTCGAGGAGCGATTGCGATCATTTCCGTTCTACAGTTATGCCACACACAGTTGGGGACACCATGCTGCCAAGGATGAAGCGAGTCAAGAAGTCGTTAGTTTTCTCGAGAGTAAAACTAAGGTCGAGGCATCGAGTCAAGCACTAATGGCCACTAAGACATACAGCTACTTAAATAAGGGTTACAGTCAAAATATTCCAAAGAAAATGACCGGACTACATTTGACAGGGTTCTTTGGGGTGAACCAGGCTACAACTACACTCCTTGAACTTGGACACAGCCCAAATGTGGAAGACACTTGGGGTCAAAAGCCTCTTTGGTTTGCTGCCAAGAACGGACACAGGGCCACAGTCGAGCTACTTTTAGCATGTGGAGCGAGTGTTAACGCTGCTGATAATTACGGAAAGACTGCACTTCAAGCAGCAGCTGAAAATAACCACCAAGAGGTTATTGAAAGGCTGCTAGCAGCAGGAGCTGACGTTAATGCTGCTGCTAGTGAATATGAACGGACTGCACTCCAAGCAGCAGCTGAGAACGGGCATCAAGAAGTTGTTGAAAGGCTGTTAGCAGCAGGGGCTGATGTTAATGCTGCTGCTAGTGAATATGGAAGGACTGCACTCCAAGCAGCAGCTGAGAACGGGCATCAAGAGGTTATTAAAAAGCTGCTAGCAGCAGGGGCTGATGTTAATACTGCTGCTGCTAAATTTAGAAAGACTGCACTCCAATCAGCAGCTATAAACGGGCACCAAGAAGTTGTTGAAAGGCTGTTAGCAGCAGGGGCTGATGTTAATGCTGCTGCTAGTGAATATGGAAGGACTGCACTCCAAGCAGCAGCTGAGAACGGGCATCAAGAAGTTGTTGAAAGGCTGTTAGCAGCAGGGGCTGATGTTAATGCTGCTGCTGCTAAATTTAGAAAGACTGCACTCCAATCAGCAGCTATAAACGGGCACCAAGAAGTTGTTGAAAGGCTGTTAGCAGCAGGGGCTGATGTTAATGCTGTTGCTGCTGATTATAGATATACTGCACTCCAATTAGCAGCTACGAACGGGCATCAAAAAGTTGTTGAAACTCTGTTGGCAGCAGGGACTGATGTTAATACTGCTAATACGTATGGAGAGACTGCACTTCAAGCAGCAGCTAGGAACAGCCATCAAGAGGTTGTTGAAACCCTGCTAGCAGCAGGAGCCCGCTGGCAACTAGAATCCACATAGAACTGGCAATTACTATCAGTTTATGCTGGAATCTGCATTTAACTTAATTGTTACAGTTGAGGGTAGGCTTTGGGGGAACTACAACTTGGACTCGTGATACTAGGGCAAATGTTGGTAGGAGATATTAAATATTTGTTATTTTCCTTGCGGTGCGTAAATAAGTATGCTACTTGACTCATTACAGTTAACATAATCTCAACTAATACTACCACCAACATTGCTTTTTGATCCTTCGATGCCAGCTCTTCCTATTATACTGAAGCGGAATTCGGTAAGCGATAGATTTTCCACCCACTAATAGGCAACGTAAGCTACCTGTAGTTTAAGATCGTCGTAAGACGGGTTAGTGTTAACCTATTGATGACCTCGCCGCAGCGTCGGTTAAGCTTCGTACGAGAGGAACCGCTTATTTAGATATTTAGTTTTGCGGTTGTCCGACCAGGCAGTACCGCGAAGCTACCATGTGCTGGATAATAGCTGAACGCCTCTAAGTCGGAATCCATGCCAGAACGCGATGAAAACACCGCACATATAGATGGACAAGAATAGGCTTCAGCTTAGTGTCCCAGCAGGCGATTCCTCCGTGGTCCTCGAAGCGGGCCGCGGCATTTCGCGTATGGTGGTTTCAACCCGAGCGAGGTTAAATCCTTTGAAGACGACTTAGCTGTGCGAAACGGTCCTGTAAGCAGTAGAGTAGCCTTGTTGTTACGATCTGCTGAGGGTAAGCCGTGCTTCGCCTCGATTTCTCCAATGTTTCGGACTCTCCCACGGGGAGGGGAGGGCATAGAGGGGGCGGATGGCCGGATTTTTCAACTGTTGCGCCCCTTGGTATGAAAGGAGTTTGGGATAACCTTGGGAGGATAGGAAAGTTTACCACCTATGGTGAAGAGCTCTCAGCCCAAACCCGGCCCAAAGGGGTTATGAAATTGGTAAAAATGTTTGACCAGCTTAATTTGCAGACAACCAAGGACTTTGGATGACGGTAGTGCATCACCCCGGATTATATGGTTCTAGTACAGTTGAGTCGCTTTCTGGGGATATCACGGCTTATTACGATCGAGATGCCGATGGTAGAAATATTCTCTAACTAGGAGATTTTGTGACCGGAATAGGGTAGAATTGGATAAGAATAATTGATGATGTCTGCAGCTATTCTATAAGCGGTAATTACAATTGAAGAAATGGTTTTGGGTCACAAGAATGGCGCATACTACGAATCGACAGCAATAACTGCATTTGTGGGAGCAAAACCAGCCGCGAGCAAAGAGAAACTCCGCATGTTATGCTTCAGCACGTTCCGACCATTGGATATTGATTGACAAAGCCACTTCCTGCAAATCCTCGTCTGAGGGGTGGGTATAAAGTTATCTACATTCAACAAATAGATTGCTACCTGGAAGCAAACGGCATCCCTTCGTCACGGCAGATGGCAAGTTAGACGAAAATGCAACTAATGACCCCGACATGGCTATACACATGCAACTATAAATTACTTTCCCCCCGATGGTTTAATTGACTTCTCTCTCATTAAACCATATGGGGCCGTGGGATACTACGTAGCCTCCTGTGTATATTACAGCAGTCTCACGGTCGACAGATACGAATATTCAGTCTCCCTCCCCGCTCTTCTTTCTTTACATACTCTCTATAAATGTGTTCTAAAGTTTATACGAATTCATAGTCAGTATAAAGCCAGTAATTGCATCTGCTTTGGACATTTCATATTCCGACTTCTGTTGAATGACTGCACCGATGAAATAGCAAGGCACCCAACTCAGCGACTGAGGGCTTCTACGTCCCTTTAGTCCTTCAGAGATTTATTCTGATCCTTTTTATGACCTGATAATACGTCCTGTGGATGATGACCATTAATTGACCTTAGAGGTTATACTCTTTTCTGCCATCAGGGTTACACATTATGAGGTCGCATAATCTCAATTTACTTAGTATATATTATATCGTGCGCATGGTAGTTACTTCAATAGACATGGTATAGAACAGCAAGTCACTTTCTACTTTATTACAGGTCTTAACCTGCTATAAAGACCCATGCTATAACACATCTGGCTAGCATCGAGTGCCCTGACACCTTATAGGTATGGATTACTGAGGTTAGATCTAATGTGAAATCGCAATGTTCAGCGACAAAGATTATGACGACTATGCCGGGTTAAATAGATGTATATATTATTGGGCTCTTTGCAGCAAAGATTCTTGCTCAACATTCATTCGAGCTACGCGTATGACATTAACTACGGATCAATCTCAAGAAAATATGGCCTATATGAAGCGCACAACGTTAATGTTGTTCAAGGAAGAATTTCCTGGTGATCAGTTTATGATCAGCACGCCTTTGGATTGGCTCGACTGACACACAGCATAACAACAGAAACCTAGCTCATCTAATAGCTATTTGCACTGCGGTGTAAGAACAAATTAGTGACTCATTTGATCTAGTCGGCGCGGCTGCATTCCCTTCAGATCGAAGATGCCGGCACAGCTAAGGGTCTTTTGAAGAGAAAATTTACCCTGTTCTTTCTATCTAGAAAGAGAAAACGGCCCTCTTTTACATCACGAAACCAGACTAACTCCAGATTAACCATTAATTCGGGCTATCAATTAATCAAGCGGCCAGTCAAATTTCCCTATCAAAGATATGAACAATCTTGAATTTTAAGACCCGCTTCCCCAGTCTCTATTTGTGCTCAGAAATTCGCAAGGTATAAAAGAGAGATCTCGATCCAACATGTCTTTCGTCCGCGTTATAAGCATCAAGTAGGCATAGGGGCCTAAGTGTTTTTGGCTTCTGTAGAAAAGATCTCTTCAAGGTGTTGTAAGAACACAGCCTTGATATAATGAGATATAAGCACGTGATCTGTGCATGTACCTGTAGTCTTGCCGAAATTGCTACACATCATAATACATGGGTGCCACGCATTTAAGTGAGATTTAAGTCAATTGGAGGCAGACTTGGTAGGCTAAAATATATACCGGTTATCCTTGGTTTAATGCTTACGTGTATCTTACGGTGTAATCTACATCTCGCTTGCTAAAATGATTTAGAAATCTTTCAGCTTTAATCTTTCTTCGTCTCTGTATTTCTTCAATGCTGCGAATATTTTAAAGGCTACGGAGTACGGATAGTTTTATTCGGTTTATAATCGCTTGGCAAAGCCTTAATTATATGCACATCCCAGGCCAGGTCAAGTCAGCAATGGCTCAACATATACAGCAACAGACAAGAGTAATTATTATTGGCGCAGGTTCTTGGTCCCGACTGTAACCTGAAAAAAGATGACTCCTAACTTAGAGATAGGGTGGGCTGGCTTGGCTGCAGCGAAAACGTATAGGATCCCCATGCCTACTCTGAGAAGATATACGAAGAATTCGTTCAATTTTTACTGATGCGATGCAGGTATCTACAGGCTAACCCTGATATATCTCTAACGATTCTCGAATCAGAATCTACAGTAGGCGGTGTGTGGTCCAAGGCAAGATGCTATCCGGGATTCATAGCGGATGGCCCCGTCGGGCTATTTGACTTCAGCGACTTGCCAATGCCCGGCGTAATTGGACTCAAAGATTGGGATGAACTGCCTGGCATAAAAGTTCATCAGTATCTGCATGAATATGCTCGAAAATTCCATATCCTGGAGCGATGCAAATTTGGTTACCGAGTCACAAATGTTCGCCGAGCAGCGTCCGAGAAGGGATGGATGGTTGATGCACAAAACACTGGCAATGATGGAAAGCAGATTTTGGAGACGTTCGATTGCGATAAGCTAATTGTAGCCACGGGTAATTTTTCGAATCCTAAGTATCCCGATTTGGAGATGGCTGAGTTCAAGGGTCTGGTCATACACACCAAGTATATTGGGCAGCAGTACGAGGCTCTTCTTGGATCAGATGTTGACAGTGTTGCCATTTATGGGGGCGGAAAGTCAGCTATTGATGCTGTGAACCTCTGTATCGAAGCTGGCAAGAAAGTACATTGGATCATCAGCGATAAAGGCAGCGGCCCCAACATGTTGTTCAACACTCGACTGAAATGGGGCTATCACGTTGGCCAATTTGTTGGAAGATGGAAGGACGTGTTTTCTATCAGCATTTTCAGCATGGACACCTTCTTTTCAAAGTTCTTCTATAGCGGCAAGAGCAAGTTGGGGACGTGGCTCATTGATAAGTTTTGGTCATTCGCGACGAAAAAGACACGGACAGGAGCACTGTATGCAGGCATGACGGACGAAAACAGGCGGAAGCTGCTGCCTGAAGCTGATAGGTAAGCTTGATATGAACGGGACACTACACCATCCAATTATATGGCGATGTTGGACATAAGATTGACTTGGCATTTCACAGTGCTTTGTTTTCAGCGGCTGGAGGTGCCGCTTTGCACAGCTGTCCCAAGTTCATGTCGGAGTTGAGCAAACCAGACGGTCTCATCACGGTTCATAGAGCCCGTATTGCATCCGCTCAAGACCAGACTCTTTGCCTTTCTAATGGCGAAACCATCTGCTGCCAGGCGCTGGTGTTTGGTACGGGGTGGACGAGTGAAGATGCTCTCTTCGATCCTGCACTCGGACTTAATTTGGGTTTGCCCAAGCCTGTGGTGCTGGAAGATGAGGCCTCGAAAGACCACTGGCAAAAGCTCCACTCGAGAGCTGACGCTGACTTATTGTCGCTTTTTCCAATTCTCAAAGATTCCCCTGGACGCAGGAACGCAGACGCCTTAACGCCATACCGTCTATATCGATACATGCTTCCTTCATCTTTAGCTGCAACAAATGATCGCTCTCTCGTCTTTCTGGGATATTTGATCAGTATCCAGACCCATATTCTTAGCGAAGTCTCTGCTTTATGGGCAATCTGCTGGCTTGAGAACATCATCGAGCTGGGTGTCCCGAAAACCAAGGAAGAGATAGACTATGAGATTGCAAAAGTTAATGCATTCACCCTTCGGAAAAACCTCTCCCAGGAACCAACGGCTGGTTCCGGAATTCAGCATTTCGTTGATTTATTAATGAAGGATATGGGATTAAAGGCAAAACGGAAGGGTGGTTTAGGAATCAAAGACACGTTCGTCCCTTACCGATCTCAGGACTATTTGGGTATTGTGGATGAGGTCCTGCAAAGATCCAAGGCACAAGTTCAAGTTTCTGATTAGTTGCCCGGCATATCTTCTGTTAGAAAGCGTTTTACATTTAGACTTACTAAAATGCTAAGTGAGTAAGTCTGTCTAATTAAAGGAAGGATTGTAGAGCTTGTGATATAATTGACATAGAGGTTACAAAGAGGCTGATCTAAAACTGACTAGCCAGCTTCCGCTTGCTTCAGGATATTTTTGATCGCATCGCTCCACTGAAGGCCATAAATAATGGAATAATCTAGTGAAGAATCTAAGTGTCTTTACGCTATTTTTCATTCATTCTTCGTAGAATCAACACTGCTATTACCTGACGCTTTATAAACAGCTATCTAGACTCTAGTCTACTCAATTAACGGGTGTCTGGCCGTGGGACAGAGTGTCTTTAATTTTCTGTTCAGCCTCAACCTTGTTCAATGGTATACGATATAGAAGATCTTTCGCATATGCAGCCGCTGTCATTGCGGCATACCCTTGCCATTCCTTATTCTTGTGTGAGTCCGAATAGTCGCAGATACCTCGAATGACTAAACACGGAAATTGGTTCATAAGTCCAGCTGCTTCCATCTCAAAACATAAAACACCCCTCTCACTGGCAAGCTTATCCCGCATAATGGCGTCTTTCATCAATTGGTTTGCAGAAGCAATAATGCCGTAGTGGATAGCAGGGTTATCGTCATCTTCCGTCCTTTTAAGGCGTGGCACTAGAATCTTTGCATCATCGCCGCAAACAATCTGGCAGCTATTGGAGTCATTCTCAGGATGAACAATGTCACTTTGATATAGTCTATCGCTGTTTGGACCCGGCCGAGTATACTTCTTCCGGAGTCGTGGCTTTTTGTTAAGAATCTCACAGATGGTGGCCTCGTATTCATGTCCTTCGCTCTCATGCTGAGACCTAAGCCCAGCCATTGCCGTTCTCAGGACAGTAGGCGGCTGGTTTAAAAATCCAGTTGCCTGAAAGCTCTGATTTTGAATTGTTTTGCCAAAATCGTATTGAAAGATGCCCCCCATTCCATCACGAGGAGCGCTCACAACAATATCGCCTAAGCGAATATCATGACTTCCGCTAGGAGCGCCACCGCCAATGCCGACCATTAAACCAATTCTAATATTTGGAAAGCTATGAAGCATGTCTCTGGCGACACTTGCTGCAGAAGCTATGCCATATTCCCCATCTGGAAGGACGGCTATGACGACGTTGTGCTGTCCAATTCTTCCCAGCGTATAATCGTTGTTATCATGCCTGGAGACATTACTTGGTATACCGTGTTTTTCGTCTAGGAAAGCCTGTGCGGCAACGTATTCTGTGCTTATGGCACATATCCAGCCAATGGCGTAGTCTTCGGGGTTCGACATGAGGCCTTTTTATGAAATCGCAGGTTGGAAGAGGAGGAAGGTGAGACACTCGGTGCAAGATATTCGATTGTCCTGAGAATTTTGGAGCTGTTCCTTATAGACAAGAGACAAGAGCGTTTATTTCTTTGAAGAAAACCCAAGCGAACAACGCGTAAAATGTTAGGCGGCAACAGATCCCCACCGCATATGGGCCAATCAGTGATAATGTGCGATATATTCTGAAAGTGACAACTGTGGCGAGGCTGATCGCTTACATGTACAAATTCCCCAAATTACAAGCCTGCAGCAGGATAACCACTAGTTGTTGCAAGCTAATATATATTCATCATAGCTGTAATTCGTGCCCAAGCAACTTCCCCACTTGGGCGTTCATTTCTTCTCAGTATTGGGTATCGGAATAATAGTGAAGTATACATTTAAAATCTCTGAAGCGATGGTTCCTATTTTTCCGAGCCGGAGTTTGGCAGAGGTATGAAAAGGTGTAGATACATGGTATGCTGTCCGTCTATTTAGTGTTTGTGCTTATTAGTATTTCAGACAGTGGGGTGTAGTGGTGATTCAGCTGGTGACTTGAGGACCCGACCGATAGTGTGGAAGAGAAATATATCGACTCAAACTTGAAGTGAAAATAGTTGTGCTCAAATAGCTGAACATGGTTAATTTAAATGCATGGATCTTAAGACATGGTGGAACTGCATCCTCCTTTGAGTACTCGTAATGAAGCACTGTTTGCTCCTGCTGTGGCACTTTGGCAACTGTAGGTGGGATTTTTGCTTTACTCTTCAGCACTAGCGTAACTGCAATCCTTGTGGGTGATGCAGGAACTAGTATTCCTCTATTAGATACTCGTATCTGACCGTTATGCTAACGGAACTACTAAAGTTAGCATATTACTGTACTCATCCTGTTCTAAGCTACATAAGGTTAATTCTGGTGAGATCCCCAGTCCAAGGGTTCGATTTGGCCAATCAGGGAGATGACCGTTGAACCTCCACAAGCAGCACTACGGCTTCGGAACGCAAATGGCGCTAACAATGCGATCATCATCTTCGTCAATTCTGTTGATAGCTCGATGGCCAACCCTGGCTCTTTGGTGTCCTCTAATTGGCATATTAAGAATGACCGTATATTTGAAACGTATATCATCATATAGTCTTGAGAGTCTAGGTCACCTCCTACTAGCTTGATATCTTGAATAGAGGATTGTGATTGAACCAGCACCTTCTTATCCAGCAAAAGCTCAAATGAAACTACTGCTGGCATTCTTCAAGCGAGATTGGGATTTTGGGGCACAGACATGACCAAACGCCGGAAATAAGAATATACGTAAGCGGAAATACAGAGTAATTATTGTGACGTGGGGCTTGCTGCTCGGCAATACTCCCTCACGCATGCACGAGAATTCATTTTCGGTAGCAAGCTACGAAAATATGCGAATAGGCTAACTTGTGAATAATAGGTATCAGCTAAACTAAGCTATTCTGAGAGTGTCTATGCGGTAGTTATTGACATAAAATGTGGGGGCAAACGGCTTCGTATCTGGTAATTAGGGCATCAGGATGAGACCAACTACCCACTGCATATAAAAGGGGCTTCTGGGCAAGTTGGCACGATGCTGCGTGTGTGTTGAAGTCGGTGAACGATACCGTCTGGTTGTATCTGCGTGGCCTAGGTCTTAGCTCTGGCTGCTATTTAAACAAATACAAAGACATTTGATCTTACAAGTACATGGCTATCGGATCTAAACTGTATGCAGACTACTTGAACTAATTGCATTCTTACTTTTCTTTTCTTTTCTTTTTTTAAAGAATAGGATCCTCGTGATATGGTAATTTCTTGTTCATTATAGTTGTGTACTCCCATTTGTGGAGATTACGCAAGTCATATTGCGCCCGCTGAATAAACCGCATACACTTATCAATGCTATGTATTCTGATAGCGAAATAAGTCCGGCTCGGTAGGCTCCTGTGCATATACTTCCATCTTACTTATGTTACATCTCTCTCTACTAAGAATGTCACACATATAAGGCGTAGCATGTAGAATGATACGAACTCCTACCCCGCGGCTTCAAGTAGCCGCATGAAGTTGTACCGCCGAGACTATCGGTTATACAGAAAATTATATAATTGCTTGGCAAGCATAGCATACATATAGCTTTACCATCTCTTGTCAGAAGTGTGCTTCGTAATCAAAGTATATATGAACTATACACGCACGTCTATATATGACTATTCAACTTTCAGCAAGGGACAATACTTTCATGGATTCTAACGTTACAACTTTCTGCGATACTCTTGAAACTTGATCCGAAAACATAATGACGCCATAACGTAAAAGTCTCATGTCAGTGGGATTTCTTCCACCACTCATAGAGAAGCCTCTCATTCAGCTGTGATGTGTTATTTGACATCTACAGGGGTTGGATGCAATGTGTCACATTTGGAAGCACGCCTGCCCCTCAACTCCCATCAACAACGTCGCATCCGATGTATAATAGGCTGTCAAAACTTCTTATCTATGTGACGAGTCTTTAAATTTTGCAACCGGGGCTGTTCATCAATCACACCTATATATTGTGACCGTTGGCGGATGAAAGCTGCGTCGTAAGGTATGCCAACCAGACACCTAAGTTTCCTCTGATCTTAGCTGGCTTCCAATACTCAATTTATTATGCTATCTCTTATTGCATCAAACAACGGGGTTATTTCCCAGGCCTCCATACTTGGAATCATACTATGTCTTGCGACAGCTTTCGTTACCCGCTTCCTTCAGAGAGAAACCCCGGTTAAAAAACATCCAGTGGGACCCAAGCCATGGCCCGTGATCGGAAACTTGTTTATCTTCTCGAAAATAGCCGACACCAAGGACCAAACACTTGCCTCACTGACAAAAGAATTCGGTGGTCTTTGCATGCTCTGGCTATTCTCGCAGCCAATGTTGATTGTGAACAAGCTGGCAGATGCTAAAGAATTGATGGATAAGGTATGTCTCTCTCTACGAATTTCGGACCAGAAGTGCCTGAATAATTCTTTCAAGCGAGGAGCCATCTTCTCCGACAGGCCAAAAATGAATATCTTCGTAGAAAGGGTTTGGCCAAACATGTTGCCACTCAAAGGCATTGGAGAAGACTTCAGATTTTTGAGGCGGGTCTATATCGATTTGCTCAGCGCCAAAACATCACAATCAGTGAGAAAGTATCAAGAATACGAGTCGAGAATGATGCTTCGTGATTTATATAACGCTCCTGAAGATTTTAGAGCCCATACGGAACGATATTCAATGAGCGTGATTTTTAGTGCGGTATATGGAGTAAGAATCAGCCGGCTCGACTATCCAATTATTGACGAACTCTTCAATATTATAGACTCTGTGATAAAACGTAAGTTTACCTACGAGCTTTGGTTTAACTTTATGAACCAAATGCTGATTCTATCTAGACTTTCTGCCGGGAAGCTTGCTGGTTGACTATCTACCAATTCTCGAGAGACTACCTGAGTATCTCCAGCCCTGGCTTTGGACTGCGAAATCCTTACGCAGTCGTGAAGATGCGCTTCACAATGGTTTTTTAGCCGTCCTCAAAAAACGGATAGAGGCTGGAGCGGAATCCTATTGCTTTGGTATTGATGTTTTGAAACTTCAACAGAAAAGTGGACTTGACGATAAACTTACGCTAGACATTCTTAAAGCAATAATTGTGGTTGGTTCCGAAACAACCAGCAGCATGATGCAATCTGCTTTCAAAGTCTTGGCCATGAATCCTGAGGCCCAAAAAAAGGCACAAGAAGGTGAGTTTACTAATAGCAGCACAATATCTTCAAGACGGCTGATCCAGCGTTGTCGGTATAGAACTGGACCGGGTAGTAGGACCATTACGCCTGCCAACCTGGGAAGATAGTTCCAACCTTCCCTACATTCGGGCCCTCATAAAAGAGCTTCATAGATTTGCTCCTCTTTTCGCTATTGGGCTGCCACATGCTTCTACAGAAGAAGTCAGCTACAAGGGACTCACGATTCCAAAAACCACTGTAATGCCGAATATGCTTGCTCTTTCAAGAGATCCTGAACGATACGACGATCCGGATAAGTTTGAACCGGAGCGATTTCTTGGCGATGATCTTGACGCTTTCACTAGCGCTAAACAGGCAGATTTCCACAAGCGAGACCATGTCAACTATGGCTGGGGTCGTCGACTCTGCCAAGGCATTCATCTTGCTGAAAATTCGATATACATGCAAATTTCTCGTCTTCTGTGGGCGTTCGACATTACGACAATGCCTGGAGAGCCACCTCTGAATCTACTCGATAAAGACGGCAAGTGATCTTTTCCTTATAATTCCGATTACTAAGCTAATACTCCAATGCTATATAGATGGATTCGTCAAGAAGCCCAAGCCCTTCCGAGTATCTATTACACCTCGGTCTGATCAAGCAGTCCGAGTGTTGCTGCATAGTGCGGAGGAGGCAATTACGGATCTCCCAGATGCAGATAGTGTAGAAATGTCTATCTGAGTCTGGATGTCACCGCAATAGGGATGTACCTATGCACATAGGTTTGATTGATGGCGTAAATCTCATCAATGAACGCATTTAGCGATTTGGTGGACCTACAGACAGAATCGTACATGTACATATTTATGTGTCCCAAATTATTAAAAGCGCAATAGCATTGAGCGGGGTAAAGCCCCTCCACGAACTGCGTGAAAAATAACTTGACTTAATACAGCTTCTTCTGTCAGCAGATGAACTGGTTTGATGAAACTTGTCCACTTGTAATATTAAAGCATATCTATTGCAGTAATCTAGAAATAAAATCAGCATTTCAGGCATTTTACCTAATCATGCCAGTCGCCGGTGAGCCGTTACTTGACGATCTCTCCAATGATCCTACTCAGAGAACTCGATGGAGCTATACAAGTTCCTCTGATCTTCCGTTACCCGACGAGGATCCTACGCAGCCCTTCTGTCCTCGTCATTCCGCCACTATTGCTCATTTAAATAACAGTTATTTTGGCCCTTTTCCAATTGGTTTGGATTCAACAACTCCCCATCGCGATTGGCATTTTGGGAACCTTGATTACATTCTGTCGCATCGAAGCTGGTGCCTAGTGTGTGGCCTTATTGCAAATGTTATTGATGAAGATCCTGCAAACTCTATGTCGGAACATAGCAATGCAGAAATTATCGCTTGCTGGATTTGGGATGGAGTGCTTCATGAAAGCGGCAGCGAAATGGGAACTCTCCGGCTTAGGATCGCCCCGGAGATGGTTGGCTGGGAAGACCTGTTTGAGCCTTTCGATCTCGTTCCCTTGGCAGACAGTGGCACAAATGACAGTTTATTTCTAGGACGAAGTCTTAAGGAAGACCAGTTCGACATGGAACTGGTCAAACATTGGACCAAGAGCTGCGCTGAATGGCATGGCAGCGAGTGCATGGATACGGCGCCGTGGCAGACTTCCCATTTTGGCGCGCCATTCATCCGAATAATCTCCCTGACTGACAACAACTTGATTGAAACATCTTGCCCACCACCTTATGTAGCATTGAGCTATGTATGGGGGGCTGCTCCCGTATTCAAGACGCTACAGAGCAATGTCCAAGACTTGATGCGGCTACAAGGCCTACCAATTTCGTCTCTTCCGAAGTCAATTCGCGATGCTATGGTTCTAGCACGAAATCTCGGCTTTCAGTACATCTGGATTGATTCCGTATGCATCATACAAGATTCCGCAGAAGATAAGGTACAGCAGCTTCGCATGATGGACAGCATATATAGTCGTGCAAGTCTCACAATTGTTGCTGCGGCTGGTTCTCATGCCAACGCGGGAATCCCTGGTTTAGAAGCAGCAACCAGATCTCGGAAACAGCATATAGTTCAGATTTCGAAAGACTTGACTCTTGTGGCCCTTCATCCAGATACCTATCGCAGCGCGACGACAACAACATGGAATACCAGAGGTTGGACATACCAGGAACGTCTTCTCTCAAAACGGTGTGTTTTCTCCTTCCCTGATGGGTCTGTGGGCTTCCAGTGCTCAAAGGCTGTTTGGGGGGAAGATTACTACGCTGAGACACCAGATTTAAAGCGTTGCGCGCCTATGATGGACATCTCGTTGAATCGAACCTGGATGGCTCCCGGATCTGCTCAAGAGAGAGGCGCTCCAACTGTGCATATAACAAATACACCTTATATGCATGAATACTGTCGACTTGTCGAAGAATACACTGGACGTGATATGTCATACCCGAGTGATCGATTACCCGGCATCAATGGTGTTCTGGATGTCTTTCGAAGAGAGTTCTGTCTTCAATTCTTTCAAGGGCTACCGGAAGTCCTCATTCATATGGCTCTTCTCTGGCAACCACGCAACAAGCTAAAGCGCGTTCCCAAAGATCCAAAAACCGGTCTACCTTTTTTTCCGAGTTGGTCATGGGCTGGTTGGACTGGGCCAGTTGGTTATGAAGACTGGAATGCCTTCAATAGTATGCCTGAGCTGGAGGTTCGTGCAAAGCGCGTGATTCCTTTCGCAAAGTTAGCTAAGATGGGACCAAAAGACCTCGAATACTTTGCTTCACCGGTAGAGCTTCAATCATCTCCCAACTGGTCAGTAGTTTCCACGTCCGTATACGGGACTTGCTATTTCTTGGGCACCAATGCTAGCAGATATCATTCGGTCCCTTCTGTATCATCATCTGCGAAGCCCGAAGACGTCAATGCATTCAGGGAGCCACTTTGGCTCAGTCTGCGCACGCGTGTCGCGCGTTTCAGATTAACAAATCTTGTCCTAAGTTCTGATTATAATAAAGACGACTTTCCTATCGAGAGACGTGGGCGCTTTGGGATTTCCTTACCATCACCATCCGCAGGGGACCGGCCTTGGTTGGGGACTATTCTCTTACCCGTCCAGTATCATGCCAAGATGGCCCAGGATCATGAGTTCATCATTCTATCGGAAAGCTATGGGTTCGATCGCCAAGAGATGGCACCAGCGGCTGCCAGCAAAATGAAACCATTTGAGGTGTATGATGTTATGATGATACGAAGGCTTGCTGGCGAGGAGTTGGCGCAATATCAAGTCCAAATAGCGAAGACTTCCTTCTCAAAGTCAATGGATAAATGGGTTGATGGGAAAAATTTTGTGGAGAGGATTGGAGTTGGAAGGATGGTTAAAAATGCTTGGAATGATGATGGCCACTGGGAAGATTTTGTTCTGATCTGACACAATGTTTGTGCGTTGATGTCAAACTTATTTTATACACAGCAGAGCGTCTTTGTGTATATTGCGAATCGCAGGGACTTGGCTTTTTTTCTAGTCAAGAAACCATATTTAGCATAGCAAAGTTCAGTACATCTAGTTCTCGCCCGGCCTAATGTAAAAGGATGCTAATTTGCTAACCTGTCTGCCAATTCTTCAAATGCCACCTCGATCGCCATACTCGTAAGATCTACAATAAGGTCGATATAATCCATCGTCACATTATATGGCGGTGCGATCAAAATATGGTCGCCAAACTTGCCATCAACTGATCCGGTTCCCGGGTACAACAGTATGCCGCCGTTGTCATTTAAATCCATACCCTTTTGATGAACTAGCATAGCAATGTCGAGCTCGCGATCAAATGGAGCCTTAGAGCTCTTGTCTTTGACAAATTCGATCTACACATTTTTGTCAGTCCAGAACGTTCAATATAATTATGACTAGAACTTTGAGACAATGTGTGCCACTCACACCCCAAAAGAGTCCACGACCGCGAATATCACCAATATAACGGTTATTGCCGAGCTTCTGCTTGAGCAGACTTCCTAAGTACTTGCCCATGCGTGAAGCATTTTGAACAAGGTCTTCGCTTTGTACAATGCGATGTACTTCTGCTGCTGCTGCACATGAGATAGGATGTGCCTGATAAGTGTGTCCATGGGAAAATCGTCTGCCACAAAATGTAAGCGTTCATACATCACCTACCAGCACTTTCATTCATTGGCTTACCCAGATCCATTTTCTAAAGTCTTGATTACACGGTGACCAACAAGTACGCCTGCAATAGGTGCATATCCGCCACCAAGGCCTTTACCTATGGTTTGGATATCGGGAATTACCCCTTCTTGTTCCCAGGCATGCATCGTGCCTGTTCGACCCATCCCACACATAACCTCATCAAGCACCAAAAGTGCCCCATACTTGTCGCACACAGCTTTCATAGCCTTGAAATATCCTTCAACTGCTGGGACACATCCAAGTGCCTTGTACAATATTAGTGACATACAGATTAACGAGATAAATGAGTGGTACGAACCGCGCCAACGACCGGCTCTGCGATAAAAGCACAAACATTCTGAGGCCCCACGCGTTGAAATTCGTCGTCCACTTCTTTAGCAAGTCTTGATACATATTCGGATATGCTTTCGCTATCCATCTTGTTTCTATAAGCATTGCATGGGGAAACGTGTGAGATGTTTTGCATCAAGATTGGTTCGTATACCGCCCTCCGACCAACGTGGCAGCCCACAGATAGAGCGCCCAACGTTGTACCGTGATAAGACTCCCTGCGAGCTATGAAATGGGTTCGATTAGTCTCTGGTACTGGTAACTCTATGAAATATTGGCGACACAGTTTCATCGCTGCCTCCATTGCCTCTGAACCTGTTATCCGTGGATTAGCTACATGCACATGTATATTCGTATAGGTCAAGCAAGAGACCGAACCAGAACAAACAATGAAAGCCTTTGCCATCTGTCCATTAGTGCTTTCAATTAACTGTTGGCAAAGTTGTTCAGCACTTGGGCACGAATAGAACATAGTATGACAATAATCGAGCGTCTTGGCTTGCGCTGCGATGGCATCTATGACACGCTGATCACCATGACCAATACACGAGACAGCTGCTCCTCCGGTAGCATCGAGGATTTTCCTACCATCATCGAATTTAATGTAGAAACCCGAAGAAGATACGATTCGAAAGGGATCCTGCTTCAAATCTCGATGCAGCACTGCGCTTGCACTAGTATCAACGGCTCCTACGCTTGTAACGGCGGACATGATGCTATCCCTTCTTGAATCGGATCGTTTTAAAAATTGAACAGTATTTCAATATTCTTGCAATTAGATGAAAAAAGGCAGTTGGAATAAAAACAAAAAGTAGAGCCAGCTGAGAGCGACATCTGCAACACTGCACATGATGAGATCATATATGGATCTCGTGGTATATGCGCCCTCCAACTTATTAGTTACGTAACAACATTCAATTCTCAACATCCCGAATAGACGAACCATCCGTTTCCATCCAATATTTGGCCTAATATTTCGTAACTAACTGTTGAGCAGTTTCGGTAACGTCCGCCTTCCCACATCTCAGAATGATGTTTGAACCTCTTATCATTGTGATGTTAAGAAAAAGCTACTAACCAGAAAAAGTAAACCGAGACATTGAAAATCAGCTACAGTACTAGTAAACTCAGGCTCCCATTGGTGAGTTTCCCAATGCCGACTCGGCATTCAGCTCAATCCTGATCCTCTGCTTATTCGTCTGGCTCTATCTTGAGCAGTAGGTATTCGGCCTACAGCCCTTTGAGGGACTGATAGAATTAAGGTTTCTTTCTCTTAAAAGTTTACTGGTGGCAATGTGATGGAGTTTGAACGGCTATCACATGCCAATTGTTGTTTGCTTAATTGCCTGTCTCACGCAGACCCAGCAGATGTACTCAAAGACGAGGTATGCATTTTCATGTGTATCAGACGCGCCGTCCTCCCAAGATTCCACAATCCCCTTTAGTGTCTTTGGCTCGGATCAACTAATTGTAGCAGCGATTTTTATATACTTTGAGAGAGTTCCTCAGACGATTTACCCAAGAGCAGCTTGTGCTTCTGCACGGGGTAAATTCCAATGATGCTTGCTCTGCAAATGAGGGGAGGACGGATGCTGTTGGTGTTGGTGCCAATAATGAAGCTGCTGAGACAACAGTAACGAAGCAAACCGCATCATCTAACATGGCTTTCCGGATATCAACACCTAAAAGTCATAAAATTTTTGGTGTAAGTCGAGCTCCTTCTACTGTAAGCATTTCAGCTTCACAGAAGTCGACTTCGCCACAACTATCACCTTCACTTGAAGCCCACAGCAGCAGCCATGGCAATGGTGGCATTGATCAAGGGCTTGGTACTCTGTCTAATGCCGCTAGTGGCTCGATGAAAGTGTTTCAGTCCAATGATGCGGATCATATTGTGATTCGCGCCTACAAAGCTATCGTAAATGTCATGAATCTTCGTTGGAGCGTGACAGGTCTTCCGAGCCAGGCATCGTTACTCGCGATATCGGAAAGGGACCATTTAGGCAACCCAGGAGCAAGGCTATTTGCCTTACGTTTAAAACTTCGCAATGAGCAGCATATGGCTATAGCTATAGACAGGATCGCCGCGGTTCTGTTGGTTGACATGCGCGATGACCTTGGAGGGTCCTACGATGGTGTGCGAGAAAAAGGCTTCCGAACTGCAATTGTGGGAAATAAAATGCTTGCTGACCAGTGGAAAAAGAGCCGCAAGGAGGTGGTAGAAGAGATTCGAGCAGCGATTACTTACAACTTTGCCGAACAGATTATCTCCCCAGGAATTAATCTCCTCCTAGGTTCACGATCACAAGATGTGTATGTTTCCACATATCTACTTAAACATAGCCCCAACTCCATCTCAGCAATGTTAGCTAATCATTTTTCCTAACTAACATAGTTGGGAGAAACGTTTCTCCCGTAAAAAGGTCGAAGTTTTGCACAAACTGCTAAAGCAAACCGAAGAAGGTCGAATTGTATTGAGCCGCGCAAAGAGCTTAGATGATGCTGTAATCACCATTAAGCGCATTCTCAGCATTTATGTCGGATACCATTGGCGTTGCGCAAGATATGCACCACTGAATACTCAGCACAATATCGAGGAGTTATTCAAAAAGCTACAGGGCCAACTATCGACACGGGTGACAGATATGCGACAGTTGGGGAGTACTTTGTATTCTACGCTGGATAAGTCGACAACCCAAAGCGGACAGGCCACAGAGGCTCCAGGAGAGGGTTCAAATTCCCTCACCCAAGTATCTGTTCCGACATCTGGCAACTCGTCTACAGATAAACGAAAGTTATCAAAGTTGTCAGACCACGATTACCCTTCAAAGAAGCGTCGATGTTCGCTCGGTAAGTTATGCGCTCACAGAATATCTGCATGAGATCTATTAATTACATAAACAACTAATGAAACTAATGAACAAAACATAGATGCTTCTGAACTACAGCTAGATACGAGACCAACGTCAGATACGTCACATATAATCGATGGACTACCATTAGCATGCAAACTTGTCACAAATCAAGGACAAGATGACAGGGAAGCTTTATCCACAAATGGAATTAATGAATTAGTCAATTTTTCTTCTCAAAGTTCTCCAGAAGACCACGAAATGCTTGACAGAGAAGAAGAGAATAATGCCCGATCCGATTTACTTAATACAGAGATGGGCAGAAAAGGAGAGGAGATGGAACATCAGACACAGCCAGTTTCTGAATGCCAGGACCCTGGGAACTCTCTGAGCTATAAATATGGCGAACAATGGGGAATCGCCGAGGACGTTACCACTTTAGACGATATACTCAGTCTCAGCTGGTGACTGAACAATGGCTAAGCCAACGTTACGTCATGTGCAACAATGCGAATGCCATCAAAGGACTCCAATACCTGTAATCTTCCGAAAGCCTGTGTCAATTATCCTATAAGTACTTTTCAACAATGCTCTTCAATTTCTCGAGATCCAAGGCTCTGACAAATCTCCCAGCCGGACCTCTCATGTCTTGTGCACAACAGAGCGCATTATAAATGGCCTCTTCTGTTACATCTGCAGCAGCTTCGAAAAGCGCATTACTGGTAACATCCTGGACGACTTGAACACTTTGGCCAACCGTTGGTTTCCAGCTGAATACAGGATCTCTCGGGATGTGATGCGAAGTCGAAAATGCAAGGAAGATATCGCCCGAGCTGTTACTTCCCCAACCTCCGACACGGCTGAATCCAACGGCAGCACGTTTGGCAACCCGCTGCAGCTGAAGAGGATGAAGCGGCGCATCCGTGGCGAGGACAACGATGATGCTGCCATCCTTGACTCCTTCGTCTTCACGCCGAGTGGTAGCTTCTGCTATGACTTCCTCTTTCATCAGCTGCCCTACTGGAACTCCCCCAACTCTCAGATCGCGACTTGTGCCAAAGTTGGTTTGTACCAGTGCCGCAATTGTATATTTGACAGGCTTGCTTCCCTCACCACCCTCTGATATCAATCCGTCAATTACGCGGCTCGATGACCCAGTTCCGCCTTTAAACCCCTGACAGATTGTTCCTGTGCCGCCTCCCGTATTCCCCTCTGGGACTTGCATTGCCGAAGCAGATTCAATACCTTGCGCAACATGTTCGGGCGTGACCGCCATAGCGCCGATATCAGATAGATATCCATCGAACGTTTCTGACACAACAGGGAGAATGAATCCATTACATAGTCCCTTTTCGGGTCCTTGTTTGACGGCGAGCTGAGATCTGCAGTGTTGATAGATGCCGGAATAAGCCGCGCCAACCGAGTAGCTATTTGTGAGGACAATTGGAGAATTCAGCAGACCCGTTTCATCTATCCAGTGACTACCAGTCATTTCTCCGCATCCGTTGAAGCGAAATACGCTCGCATAACAGCCTTGGTCAACGAAGTCTCTCCTTGGCAAGATGCATGTAACACCGGTATTGACCTCATGGTGATGAGCAGTTTTTGGCAAGATGACAGACTGAGTGTGTACTAGCACGCCAGGAACATCGGTTAATGAATTTAATGGGCCCGGGGAATGGCGTCCGAGTCTCAAATTAGGTAGAAGATCTCGAATACGCATGCGGCCTGGAGGGGGTCGCACACGTTGGATATGAATAGAAGAATCAGTGGCAGAGATCATTTTCAATACAGTGATGTAGAAGATAGCGAAGTGAGAAGAAGAAAAAAGAGCACAAGTTTACAAAGAGCGGTTGGTGTGACTTTGTGATATGTGAGGTGCTGGCGACCGTGATGATGATTAGATTCTGTCGCAAGTTGGTGTATTTTGAGACGGAGCTGTGGCTAGTGCGGGTCTGACATCTGTTGCCAATTTCGACTCAGCAAGGTGCCTGTTCCCAACTAAAGTCAATACATGTAAGCATGTTCACTCCAACAACTTCGCTTTATCATGTTTCTATTACACGAAACCCATTTCTCATCTTTCCTTATATTGTTTTTTTTTCTCTTAGCTCGAGTGAGATATTTGAGTGGCTCATTACCGCCTGAGTCCTAATACATATTATCATCCCTCCGCCTTTCCAAACGCTCATTAGTGGGCATTCATCCAGGCCTACATATATTCTATCATTGTTGTGAAGTTGCCCATCACAAAAAGCAATCAGCTTAACGTGGGTCTATACTCTACGTAATTCGCCATGGTCCGAAAAACTATACCATCGATGTCGTCGCCTCTCCCGACTACCGCTCGACCACGGATTCGTGATTTGGGCTACAGTCCTGGAAAGTTTGCGCCGGGGCCAAAGAACTCAATTCTTGATGTACCAGGTAACTTGGCTCTCTCTCTTATTTCGGTGCCATTTCATTCCGGGACGATGCCTCTCGTACTGCGATGCTCACTCGTTCCATCTAGGTGTACAAGTCGGCCAAGTAACCGTCCATGAGGGCACCGACATCCACACTGGATTGACGGTAGTCCTGCCTCGCGGAATAAAGGAAACTCGCCTTACGCCATGCTATGCGGCCACCCATGACCTCAATGGGATGGGCGAGCTGACAGGTACTCACGCGCTTGCCGAATATGGTTATATCAACATAGTAAGATGCCCATATAATCTCAACATTTCATTGTTTGCCTACTAACCCGGAAACGCCGTTTTAGCCAATCGCAATCACCAACACCGTCAGCGTGGGTAAAGTCTATGATGGCCTTTTCCTGTGGGAAATCGAGCAGGCTCGTAAAGATGGAGAGGACGATATCGAAAGCCTACGACGATTCTGTATACCGGTTGTAGGAGAGACATATGACGGGCTCCTTAACGATATCAGCGCCTCCGTTTTGGATAAAGACTCTGTTTACGCTGCTATCGAAGCTGCTCAATCGCAAACAGAGGTCTTAGAAGGCAACTATGGCGGCGGTACAGCTATGCGATGCCATGGATATAAGGGCGGAACCGGCACCAGCTCGAGAATTGTTCCCGGTGCTGATCGTGACTACACCGTTGGTGTCTTAGTTCAGGCTAATCACGGCCAGAAACCTGATCTGAGGATTGGAAATGTGCCAATCGGCGAGTTACTTATAGCTGAGGAAGCCAAAGCCAAAGGAAAGGCAGCGTCTAGCCAGCTACCCACGGGCGGCAAGGCAGCTGAAGGAAGTAAGTTCTCCCTCTTGTAATCATTAGAGCAGTATTAATTTTTGCTATCATAGGCATCATTGTATTAATCATGTATGCATTTTTGCTATCTTAATAAACTGGACACTGAACCACTAACTTGAATATCTAGAACTGACGCTCCATTATTGCCGCATCAACTGCGACGTCTCGCTCAGCATGCCGGAATGGGTATCACTCAGGTCAGATACGGTATCTAAAGCGATACTTCAATAATGTTACTAATTTATCATTGGATGCCGTAGGTAGGAGGTCATTCTGCGGGAAGGAACTTCTCGGGAGAGATTTTCCTTGCATTGTCGACAGGAACCTCACCAAACCAGCTTGCCACCGCATCGGATGGTCTTGGCTATCTACCTCCACTAGAGAGTCAGCCTGTCGAAACTCTAAAGAACGAAACGATTGATACTCTTTTTTATGTCGTATCGGAAACCACAGAGGAGGCCATCTTGAATGCTTTGTGCAAGGCTGAGACTATGGTGGGTTTCAAGGGCAGGACGACAAAAGCTCTACCAGTTGATAGGGTGAAGGAGCTTTTGCAGCAATATGGCGTCGGACTGAGTAAATAGGTGTATTATTTACAATCAGCGTGAAATGACAGTGTCAATCTACGATTACTCGACATATGCCTCATAAACCAGCATAAAATCTATCTGTATTACTTCTTCTTGTTATATAAGCACTACCTAGTCCACCACTCCCTGAGGCAGAACGGCGACATAGTCTATCGCCGCCTGCTCCTGAGCATCTCCGGTTCCCTTGATAGTCAGCTTGTCCCCCCTCGAGATCTTGACATCCTCAAATGTGATACGAATTGCTGAGTGGCAGTCCAGGAACGTGCTAAAATCATGACCAAGGTAGTTCTCGGAGTCGCCCTTCCAGGTTCCAATAGACTTGCCATTGAGTAGCACGTCGTAACTGGCACTCCCTCCCATCACGTCATAATAGTTGATAGCTACAGTGTACTTGCCGCTTGGGACGTTCAATTTCGTAGTGGCCGTGCCAGTCCCATTTGTAGCAATCGCTTTGTACTTGGATGCGCATTCCGTTGGAGAAACATTGACTGTTGTAAATCCCGAGAGTTCCATCTCCTCGGCTTCAATACGGTGTGGGTGGTTTCGAACGCGGTTGAGTTTGTCCGGAATACTCGATAGGTTGCGATAGAATTCACTGATACCGTCGCGCCAGACGAGTGAGTGGCCTGCTTGATATTGCAACCTATACAAGACATCGACATATCGCTCGGCATCTACCTGTCCCTTGAGCGATTTCCACGTTGCTGGGAACTTCTGTACTGTTGCAGCACCAGAATAATGAGCGTCGTAGAAATGTTGAATAACGGTCTTTCCAGAGTGTAGCTTGAAGGTGTATGGTACGTGGTGGAACCATAGCATCAGGTCGTCTGGTGTGGTTTGCGTATGTTCAAACTTGTCAGCAACATCTTTAGGGTATTGCCCTGCATTTCCTGTGCCGTTTGAAACAGTACGGTCCATCCCAATAGTCTTGCTATCAGCACGTGTCCACTGTCCCCAACCGTTGTTATCCTGAGAGGCGGGATTAGCACCATAATGGGTGTACAGGATATCGGTAAGAGTCTGGATGCCGAGGTTCCCGCTGTAGCCCTCGTATGCCGGCCATGATTTCATGGACATGTCGACAATGGCCGAGATCACGTCTCGACTTAGGCCAAAAGTCAGACGAGTCCATTCCTCAATGATGTCCTGAGAATCCGCTTGAGGATTCCAGGCAAGCCGACCGAAAGCAAACATGTTGGACATGGCCAAGTGACTACCAATCCACGTATCGTCCATACCGACATTGATAACACCAGCATAACCACCGAGCTTATGATTGAAAACCTCTCCCGAAACAATGTCGCGAACATAAGACTGCCGGTGGTTGTATCGCATATCAAAGCCTAATATAGTCTGCCACAAAGGCGGCAGATAGACTAGATGGCATTGCTGACCAAGATATTCCTGGGTAACTTGTAATTCGATTGAAACAGCGGTCTTGGGTAGGTTGGCAAAGAGAGGAGAGGCAGGTTCTCGAACTTGAAAGTCGATGGGCCCAAACTTGATCTGGACTAGGACGTTGCTGTCAAACTGTCCGTCTAGGTCTTTGAAGAACTGAACCGCAGCATTGGCTCGATCCGCCCTCCAATTAGTTTCGTTTAATTGGTCATAGACAAACGCACGGAAGACGACGATGCCACCGTGAGGCTCAATGGCCTTTGCAAACAGATTGGCACCCTCCGCCAATGTTCGATTATACGTCAAGGGCCCAGGCTGGCCCTCTGAATTGGCTTTGACCAGGTATCCCGCAAAATCAGGCACAAGCTGGTAAATTCTATTAGTTTTGTCGGTCCACCATTTAATGACAGTGCTGTCCAATGGATCAAATGTGGTCAAGGCGCCTAGAACTTGTGGTGAGGCAAAGTTGAGCGAAATCCCAACTTTGACGCCCCATGGTCGGAACAAGTCTGCGATTCTCTTAACACCTGCGAGGTTGGTCTCATTAAGGAGATTGGCATCGGCATTAACGTTGTTGATAATGATTCCGTTTATCCCGACAGAAGCCAACAAGCGGCCATATAGCGGAACCCGTGAAAGATCGTCTTTGATCAATCCATTGTTGAAGAAGATCGAAGCTCCACCGTAGCCTCTTTCGATGCTGCCATGTGCTGCGGTTGCTGCATTGAGATTGTCCCACTGGTTTGCCCATCTAACTGGCGCGCTTGGGTTGGAAGCGTATGCCACCTCGGAAAAGTCCCCCTGTGCGAGTAGAGATAGATACTGAAAAGCACCGTAAAGCGCACCACGTTCATTCTGGCCGATGATTTGTACTGATTTGCCCTTGGCGCTTAACCAATATCCATCTTCCTTTAGATTCAATTTCGGTGAGAGTTTGCCACAAGACGATTGGTACGTCTCTAGAGTGGAAACGACAATAGTATTCTGAGCAGAGCAACTCTTTCCACTGGAGCTAACGTCCAGATCGAGCCCCAGGATGCCTTGGATGCCCTTGTGCAGCTCTGACGAAGCACTTGCTAATGGTCCGTTTTTAGAGGCATTGAGGACGACAATGCGGTTTGGAAAAGAATTGAGATGTCCTCTGGTTACAGATCCTGGAAGCCGAGCGTATCGCAACCACGCATCAATGCCGCTCTCGGCAGAGACAGGCGCAATGGCCGCTAGGAAGAAAATAAGAAGACTTTGTATCACCATGACGACTCCCTTATGCTCGAGGCTGTCTGGTTAGGCCGTTAGACCACCGCAACGACACAATAGCCATTGTCATCTTTTTATATCTGGACACACCGCTTCCATCCGCCCGTACTCTTGTCGAGGTAATCAATCATCTGTCCAAGTGCCAACAAATTCTAAGCACCAGGTTATACTGGTCTGCCAACAAGGGACAGCGTTTAGCCTAAAGTAAAGAATCCAAAATCCGCCTGGAGATCCTGGCTGTACTGAGAATTGAGGGGCTGAGTAGTTGAGATCTGCAGGTTCCTTGGCAGTTGTAATGCCGATGGTTAAACCATTCGATAATCAGGGAAAGCTTGACTTTTTTTTAAGGACATTCAATGTGCAATGTGAAGAACAATTATTTGCTCTCATTTAGAGGAAGAAGCCAAGCATCCACGATATACATTGTCAACCTGATGCGAATAGGTTCTGCTTACAATTTCCCCATACTTGCTACTACTCCCCACACTGAAAGGTAGCATCTGCCAGAGAGCCACAACCGCTACCCCACAACGTTGCGGAGGCCCCATGTAGGCTCATGAAATGGTCATTCGATTGAGAAGAGGGGCTCCGGCAAAAGGGCCTAGAATTTGGTTTGCTTGGTCGCTTCAACAGGTGTTACAATTCAGACATATGCGTTGATAGGTTTAGAAATCAAGCCAAATGAGCTCTGTGTGGATCAAAAGGTGTTGCTCGGCTAATTAGCCCATGAAAGTGTTGCATATGCCGTGATGAAGTATTCGGCAGTGTCACTTTTGCCCAACATAAGCTCCATAGATGCTTATTTAGTATGTCTAATGATTATCAGGATTTAGCTTATCTGGGTTAGAGCCTATCGGGTCTAGGTATGTCTACCCAGTGGTTTATCCAATGGGGAAAATTCCCAGCTCAAGCATGTTCATTTATGGACATCTCCACAAAGCAACTCTTCTGCCCAGGTCCCAATATCCTTCACACTGTTGATTGGTAGAGTGATATAGCCTAAATTTATTGATGTGATTAGAAATTTCAGAAACAAACAAACCCTAGTTATTTAATGTACAGAATACGTCATTAAAACTACGTCTTTGTGTTTTATGCAAAGCATACGCACAGTGTCACTGAGAAATGCTTCCTTTCCATTGCTCTCGTTTCATCGAAATACTACTCTCCAGACTCTTGGTGCAGAGAGTTATAGTATGGTAGCACGCAGCCTAACTTAAAAAAAAAACTCCGAGAGCTGAGCTTACCCATTTTATTTACCGTTTGCTAGGTACCATTGAAGAAGGCTGATTGCGGAATGTTGCGTAGAGGGCTTCTCCAGCCTACATGCCTTCTTAGAAATTACGGTAAACTATCCAATAGGTTAGTAAATACACTTCTCTGACTTTCATTTCATGTTAGAAGAGTCATAACTACCACTGTGGCTCGAATATCAGGTCCTTTTTCTCAAGGTCGTTTCCTATCAAACTATCCCCCCACAAAAATCCAATCAACTTGTCCGTACTCAGATACAGTCTTTAGCTAATGTATTCAAGTTCTTTTACTATCGAACAACCGTAGAAAAAGTTCTAGAGGCAGCAACTTCATCGTGAGTACTAACGATTTGCATCTTATATACGGGGATGCTGGAATTGTCAATCTAAAACATTAGACTTTGCGTACCTTATTCACCAAACAAGTGGTCATATAATTTGACCAGCTGGTTGAGCAAATACCGTCTCTTGTAACTTGCTATTTATTCTCTTTCATGCTTGTATGGTGTGAATTAGTGCCGTATATCCGTACGGATCTCCGATCGGATCCGAGACAGACTGCAAAATCCGAGCGTTCGCCGTTGAATGCGTTCTTCGGGCGAGAAGAGTAACGCCGATCTCTCTGTCCTATTACCTACTGCAGTACAACTTGTCGGTATTCATATGTCACAACTGTATTTAAAAATCAGAGTTCGTATATCCCTTACGATAGGTCAATGAAGATATGCTAGAGAGTACTAAGCCTAGCCGATCCATATAAGCGAGATTTAACACCTGTTGGAACTAACATACCGTTTGCTCAAAGTCATAAGTCAACATTATATTCGCCGGTTAGGGTGAGATCCCATTCTCGAAATTGATTTCAAATACAAGCCAATTATTGGTTAATTTATAGGAGGGAAAAGAAGTATTTCTTTTGCAGCATTCCCACAGTTACTGGTCTCTCCAAGATTCAGATCTTCTAATACGAGCTTCTATCTATTAAGAGTAGAATATCTCTTTCTCGCCTTCATATCACTTCTCTACTACATGAACTTTCCTAAACATCAAACTCATCCACCACAATAAGTTGTACTTAATCCTCTTTCAATCTTCATCTCTTATTCATATCTCTTCTCAGTCGCAGAAAGGGTATAAACAACAATGCTCCCATGTATTGCCAGGCAGAGCATTGTGAGGTTGCCAAAGCGCCCATCACTGGCAATCATAGATGATTATCTCAACACATCCGAGCAGCACTTCGCTCATATTCCATCATCGAGCTTGCAAGTTGCTGCATTCAAAGATACTATTATTCCTATCAATGAGGCAGAAACCGCTCGCCTGGTTGATCGACTAAAGCCTTTTGACGCTATCTCAACGATGCGCGAACGGACCGCATTCTCGGGTTCCCTACTGCGCAGTTTGCCCAACTTGAAGCTCCTACTAGCCACTGGGACGCAGTTTGAGACGTTTGATCTCGTTGCCGCCCGAGAGTTGGGAATTACTGTCGTTGCTGCCCCGGGCCTCGGCCGAACTGATGAGTTCGACCATATCGGCTCTCAGCCTAATATCAAGAAAGGAGGAGTCCATCCCACCACGCAACATGCTTGGGCTCTCATCATGGCACTCGCTCGCAATGTCGCTGCCGATGACAGCGCTCTGAAAACCGGCTCCGGATGGCAAACTGAGCTAGCACTGGGCTTGACAGGGCTCACTATTGGCATTGTTGGGCTGGGACGACTAGGAGCTGCAGTTGCTCGAATTGGACATCTTGCTTGGGGTATGAAAGTCTTGTGCTGGAGCGAGAACTTGACGCAAGAAAAGGCCAATCGCATGTCTGTAGAGGCTGGCTTGCCACCTGGGATATTCCAAGTAGTGAGCAAGGAGCATCTCTTCCGCAACTCCGACGTCGTAAGCTTGCATTACGTGCTGAGCGATCGTTCACGAGGAATTGTTGGTACCAAGGAGCTGCAGCAGATGAAAAGGTCCGCAATGCTTATCAATACATCTCGAGGACCATTGATAGACCAAGCTGCACTCATAGATTCACTGGAACGCGGAGCAATACGTGGTGCTGCATTGGACGTATTTGAGATAGAGCCTCTTCCCTTGCATAGTCCTTGGAGAAGGGCTAATTACTGGGGTCATGGTGGACGATCACGTCTAATCACCACGCCACATATGGGATATATGGACGAAAGGCTTGTGAATGCGTGGTATGCCGAGACAGCTGAGAATGTCGACCGCTGGCTTGAGGGCAAAGAAGTATTGCACCGTATTGCTTGATATAGTAATGAGATTCAATATTCTATGCCCACACAAGCAAACAATTCTGTTCGAGTTATGCGTTCCGCCTGTTATAGTACAATTAGGTAACCACGAAACTTCCCTTTGTCTTATTATCAGGGCTATTACATGGAGATTTCGCAACTATGTGCATCCCTCAAGTTCGCCAGTGACATTCTCTTGTTGTCTCACACATGCTGCTCTACTGAGCGTTTCCGTGCCGCTTCCTTATTTTCCAACCGCAACCTCCGCTCTTCTCTCCATACCGGACCATAGCGGGTAACAATATAAAGAGTTGGGCTCAACGCAATGATGAGGATTCCAATTAGAGTATATGCCCAACCAGTTCCCATGGTGCGAATCATAGGCTCAATAATGGCAGTTCCTCCTGCCGCCATTAGGCACCTGGTCAAATTATTCGCAGCAGAGGCAGTCGAAGGTGAATTTGGATATAAATCAACGAGTAAAAGGTTCATGCTGTTATAGCAAGCAGTGAGAAACAGAGCCATAGCGAACGTGAGGACCAAAAGGGCTGAGATGTGCGTCTTGAACGTAGCTGCCCAGCCAAAGCCGATGATTGCCACGGCACCTACGTAGACAAAGGGCCAAACAATGTTAAGTCTTGCTTTCTCAATAGGAAAGTTTGTTAAATCATCGCCTCGCTTCTTATCAACTGGGAAACCATGGGAACGGGCAACACGTGCATAATTCCAGTCCTGGATATATCCGTTGGCCATGATGGAGAGTGCCGCTCCCACGCCAAAAGGTCTAGAACTTGGATATTAGTGCGTATTTCTACGCCAAATATTCGGGGCATAATCTCACATGTAGCATAATCCTATCTGTAGTGTGTTCAGATGGTAAATCTCCGAGAGTAGGTTTGAAAAATTGGCCGTTACTGTATACCACGATGTATAGATGATGGCGTTGTAGAACAGAGTCACCGCACAGTCTTTTTCACTAATGATCAACAATGTCTTCAAAGGATTCGGAAATTTCAGCTGGCAAGGCTTTGGTCGTGGGGAAATTTTGTCGTCGTCTCTCTGCTCGGTCACAGCCTTACGACGAGCAACTTCGTTCAGTAAGGAACGACTCCACCATGCCGTTGGTGGAATGGAACCATTTCCAACCACTTTTCTGGCAGTTTCTGGAACAGTTATGGCAAATACAATGACATATATGCTGCCGCACTATAATAGTTAGCATCATGAGGCATTCATAATCGTAGGATAGGAACATACGATCGTCAGAAACCTATAGAAATGTTAGTCATTTTGTAAAGGTATTCGTGAATATCGGACAGGTACTATACCAGAATATAGATCTCCAGCCAAGATATTGAGCAAGAACGCCGCCCAATATAGGTCCTTTCTCCTAGTCAATAAACGAAACACCAAATTTATGCTTATGCATCATGAAAAACTTACCAATTGCTGGCCCAAGCTACCAAAGCATCAATCGATTAGTGACTAGGGCTATATTTTCAGAGATAATTGTGTATCCTTACCATGATCCCACTTTGAGCTGCGCCCATGTATCTTCCACGTTCCGCTGTGGTCGTAATATCTGCAATAACTCCACTGTTCAATGCATATGTACCTCCTGATCCTGAGCTCTATTGAAGTGTTAGATACGTATAATACAATCACTCGACCACTATGGTCAAAAGAGCCACTATTGTCTTACCTGGAGACACCTGAGAACAAACAACGCTGGATAAGAGGATTGGCTGGCCAAGCCAATGTTTGCAGCTATGTAAATGATGAATGAAATTAAATATGCAGGCCGTCGACCAGCAATGTCAGCAAGATCGCCGTAAAATGACGGAGCCAGTCCTTGGAAAATCAGAAACGCAGTAACTGTAAGATTCATCAAAGATGGTGACACTCCAAGATAATCGGATAGGCTAGGGATGCTAGGTAAATATGTATTTGCGGATAGAGGCGAAAAGAATCCCCCTAGACCAGACATGAATACAATAAAAGCTTTTTGTCGTTGAGTATATATAGAATAGACAGCCAGGGATTCTGTCTCATGGTGTTGCTGTCCCTGGATTGGGGTCATACCGTCATCCAGAGTCTTTGGTTCGAATGGAGTCTCCTCAGTGGATGTCCTTTCAGTGACACTTGAGGCCGTGGATTCCATTGTGGTGAAGATAGGCTGAAGAGGTGGAAATCTGAGAGAAAGCTAATACCAATTGTTTCCGTTAGATGAATGAAGCTCTTTGATTAAAAAAAATGTGGGAAACTTTAAGCATAAAATAGACTTTCACCTCTCATATGTTTTTGCAATGAGATTTGTGATTTTGGAAAAGCATACCCTAGCATGCATCAAAAAGATTGAGCTTTGCCCTCTTTGTCTTGGCATCTCCAATATGAAACGTTCCGCATATCCTTCATAGCATTTTCCAGCCTCTATTTTCCGTCCTCTTTCTGTAATTCATCGAGTCCATATCATCTTGATGTTACTATGTGGAACCGAGTGAAACATGAGGTGACAGTGGACGTCGGGCTGGGATTTCATACATCAAGCTACGTCGACCCTTGAATGCAGATAATCGTTCGATATGGGCAAGCCTTTCAGGTTGATCGTTTCAAACTCAGACAGTTACAGAGCAGGTATGCGACTATTTGTCGATCATCGGCGCTCCACTATATATGATCTGCCAGATCTCATCAAGCGGTGTTCAGAATGTAATAAAGTAAATCTTCTGCTAGGTTATGGGGTTTTATTAAGTTATATTCCTTTGGGAAAGCAAATATCTTATTGGACGAGAAGAAAGTGAGACACCAGGGTGGCGCAAGGCCAAATTCGGGCCGTGTACTCTGTAGATCTTCAGATCTAACATTTAGCGTAATCAGCAGACAAGGGCTACGAATGAATGAATATGGTACCTGGATTAGCGTGTCTAGTGCTAGAAAATCGTTGCTCAAATTTCTTATCTTGAAAAGGAGCAACATTGGCCGAGTCACCTGAGCTGACCTTTGTGGAAATTGACTATGTCTTTGACAAGCATCCCGGCATTGGCCTCATACGTCACTACTGTAGATCACATTCCAGCCAACTTCGCATTGTGCAGATCTCCTGAGGCTCGATCTATTTCGTATATACATCAAAGCACCAATATCTAGGATTGTATCTGCCTATTACGGTTCGACGAACAATCAGCCATTCTGAATTCATTGAGCCATTGAACTATAATCTACAGGTTTGAGCTTATTCTATTGTATTTGAACTTTGCTGTTCGGGCCTTTTTGCGCAAGTATTTTAAGTTTGGTCTTGAACCTTCATCGGTCATACTTTATGTGCTTCCTTCCTCAAAGTTAGCCTAGGTCTCCAAGGCTTAATTTGATGGGCTGTTACTCATTGCATTAAGCGGAGGATCGATTTTAGATTTTGAGCCTTGATTATATAACGCCAACATTCGATGATATTCAGCAGGCACCGAACCGCAGCATGAGATAATGTCTACCTGATTAAATAGCAAATGTAGGACAAGTGTATGCTGGAAGATTTTAATTAAAACCACCATATCTGGACGGTTAATAAATGATCTTGAATCAGTATTTATTTACTATCCTATATCATACACAGAAAGGCAATAGCCGCTGGAATGCTGACGAAATCGCCCATGATGAAGTAAGATATTTTCATTAATTCGATAACCATTGAAGGCTTGCTATAAATGACGATGTTTTCGAGTGCGGAGACTGAGTCAGGTCACAGAAAAAGGGGTTACCTTGCACCTTCAATGTGACATTCTGGTAGACTTAATGCCCACTGCTCCATCTGTGAGGCATTACAAGATAGGGCAAGTAATGCACTGCAACATCCCCGTGGCTGCCACATGTATATCCGCAAATCTGGCACGCTTATATCGATATAGAACAGAAAACTTCGCGATTATTACAAATCTTCAATCTCTAAGAGAAGCCTCTCCCAAATTTTCACGCTCAATAACTACAGGACGAAATTGCATTTCAGTTTCACATTCCATTCATTTTCTGGTCCCTGAAGAAGCTCTTATTTGTCCACTATGAGGCTGCGCAAGATGATAACAATGTTATTGGAGTCGCAAATTGTGTACATCTATTTGAAGGCCACAACTTCCCCAAAGGATACAGCGGCAAAAATACAGGTGCACAAATATGAAAACTTAGCTGTATAGTATTAAATAATCATAAAAGATGGTAGAGGTGCTTCTGAGGAACTATTAGCATAGAAGTTTACAAGATCATGACTTAAGCTATTTCCGGCTTGACAACTTCATTCCCTTTAACGCTGATCAGGCAGAGCAGTGTAATTACTTTACGGCAGGGACTTTCTTGAAAACATACCTAGTGTTAGTACAGACATTCGCTAAGTCTGTATGATTCAGTTTTAAATAATTGTCCCTTGAAAGGTGGGAGCTTGTTGCTGAGAGCCCGCAGACCAAAAAAAGGTACGACCATAGATGGGATCTCCTCCCTGGGAGAACGCAAGATTCTTGAATGTTTAAAGCCTAGACTAAGTAATTCCATGAAAATGAATAGTGCTGATTTTGTTCTAACCTCGGCGGTATTTGTACCATGAGCAACAAATCCTCGTTTTTCATGGGCTTGCGTTCCGACGTAGATCTCATCCATCTAGATGATCATGTTAGCTGGAACCACGACGTACGCATGGGATTCTACCACAGTATATGATAAAGTATCAATGTTGGAGCGCGGGCCAGACCACAGAACCCGATGCGTTGAAAGCATTCCCTAAAAGTGCTCGCGAGGCTGGGGACGAAGGTGAATGGCAATGTTTCTAAGCGATGAGGGCATCGACTTTATTGCACTCCAAAGGGATAAGAGGGCGCACGAACTGATGCTTAGGTCTGGTGCGGAGGAGGATATCCGACGAACAATTGTGCAGACTGACTTAGGTTCGCTAATCGCCATTGAGTTGATGAACGTTCTGGAGATTGCCGTATCTAGTAACCATTACAAAACTAATATAGAAATATCGTGATGTAGTTGGTTGAGAAGATGCGAGAATAGCTGATATTTTGGCGGTGCATGGGGCGTATTATGTGTTAATTGCTTATATGATAATTGTAACCTGCTTATGGTGATGAAAAACTCTTAATATTTGCGATAGGTTGGCGATGATCGTCCATGTTTCCTTCCGTCATTAGCGTTGAAAACAATGAACATATCGGAGGCCTCACTACAAGCAGGGGAATTTCTCATAATACAATCAGGGGGGTGACAAGGGAGGATTCTCGACATCTTTAATCACCAAGAGTAAAATCCAAGCCATAGCAGCCGTCATCGCTTAACTGTCAAATATGACTGGAAGATTTCATGTCCAAAAGCACCAGCCTACCCTTCGAATGCTGAGCCCAACAAGGTAATAAGTGGGAACTTGAAAAGAAACTAAGACTTCGAGAAATGAGCCTTTCTGGGAATAGTCAGCGTCTCTGGAATTCTCCTACCGGCGTGCTCCGTCTCTGTGCCACCTTGCTTCGAGAAATGCGCCAAATCGGGTAATGGCCATTGATTTGAGAACGGTGAGTTTCTCAATGCGACCGAATAATGGAAAAGAGAGAGATTTGGGAGAGAGAAACAAGATTTCCTCATGAGATTTATACGAAGTAGACTCCGGCTATATCGGGAAATGAACTCTTTTGGGTTAAGAGAGCTTATACTACATGTACTTCTCGTAAATTCAACCGTTATTTAAATGGAAATCTCCTCTTGTTCAACTGATTTCAGCTCCGTCAGCATGTACTGCGCATAGACAGCATTACTTAGATCATTCTTTTATCACGGATCAAGACCGACTCAAATGGACCCGCCTCGTTACCAAGATGTCGCATATCACCAAGATGGCGGCAAAGATATCGACCACACTTCGCCTTCAACAGACGAGGAGGAAGCGCTCTTCTTAGAGCAGGTTACGGGCTGGATCCCAAGAGCACCACCCGCGAGAGAAGTGCGCATGTTTCGCCTCGATGTAAGCTATAACATCTTTCTTGAACTACGCTATTTCAAGCGCTGACGCCGCGAAGAAACCTGTCGTGATCCCAAGAATAGATATCGCTAGACCCTTCCAAACACAGTTTCCTTTCATGAGAGCATATAGCCCCAACCTATATCGTCATGATATAAGCATCGAGGCCTTTGTTGCCTTCATCGACAATCTCGCCGTGGCAGAAGCCCCGCCGGCTCCATTGCAAGCTTTAAACGTTGCAGGCCAAGCAATAGGATACGTGTAAGCAGGTACTTCACCCAAATTATCCGATTTTGACTGACAGCATGATCTACAGTCCTCATCACTGGGCGCAGGCCGCTAGTTTTGGTATAGGTATGGCTGCGGGCGTAGGCACTGCTGCAGTGACTCGAATACGGACGCAACGATTCTTGGAGGCCGTTAACCGCGACTATTTTGGACCTCGCGGACTGAAAGTGTCCATTTGCAAAGGCCATGAATTGGCTCCGAGGATTGGAGTCGGCCAAATCTTACCCGAAATACCGTAAGTGGCCGCTTCTTTCATTGGCACAAGGACGCAGATGCCTAACCAAGCTAACACATACAGACCAATGGATCTCAGATCACAGTGTGTCAGCATTAGAGACCGGCAAATGCAGTCCATCTCTGCAAACATAGCACCGTTATCTTTTAACGTCCCTCCTCCTTCTGAGCAGCGCAACATCATCGACAGGTTGAGCGCCAAACAAGTCGAGTCTCAAATGAAGAAGTCCGAGAAAAAGAACCGGAAAAAGCTACTGGAACTTCGAGAAAAGGATGCAAAAATGTCCCGAAGGTCACCAGCCCCTATGGGATACGCTGGTAGCGACAGTTCGGATTCGAGTTGGGAGGATGAGCAGCAAGAGCTGGACGATAAGATCCGGAAGATTCATCGCAAGGCCGATGAAAAATTGGTCGACGCAAGTCCCAGACAGGCTTCCAAGATAGAGGAGAAACGAGAAAAAGAGATACGAAAAATTGAACGAGAACAGAGGAAGCTGGATAAAGAGGTTGAGAAGAAGATGTCCAAAGCCTTGAGAAAGCAAGACAAGAAGCTATCTGAGGACGGTCGAAAGGCCGGAAGAATGGAGTTTATAGTCGTAGAAAACACGTAGCTAGTATCCTTCGACGATTATAGTATGGCGGTGTCACTAACAGTATCTATGCTGGTGCTAGGTGGTTCGAAGGTTGGATGTCAAGCAAATATCGTGCAGTTGCCCATCTGCCGGCTGAGCCCGAATAGATTGTTTGCAATATTGCCTTGAGCCATGATCCAATCTCCACACATTCAGTTCCCACGGCATCAAAGGCCATTCGTAGAGGGAATAATATAAAGAGGCTGCCAATATCATCTCCCCTTTTCTCCATGTGGTAGTCCATACTGCGACATATTGCGATTCCGGCCTTGTTTATGGAGGCCCGCGTTTCCTCACACCTTTCTTCATTCAACTCTAGTTGAATGCCAAGGCAAAGTCGTAGTACAAGAATAATCGCACTATGATAAAGGCTCACGATATTAGCCTGGTAGAGGGACTCAAAATGATAGACCGTTTGCCAGGTGGGCGTTGACAGTCCTTCCAAGTCTACAGTTTTTGGTGTTGAGGAAGGCGAGGGCACTTCAGTCCATGGGTTTGTAAATGTACTTTGCTTCCACGTATGAAGATTGTCCAGAGTATTGCAGGCTTTCTCCTCAAGATGGTGCAGAGCAGAACGCCTCTCGCGGGGGGCCGAGTTGGCAGGAAGAGACTCCAGTAACACGAAAAGCTCCGGACAGTCCGCAAGAATATCAATCAAAAGCTGCATTGCATCTTTGCGTCCTGTATAATTCGCCCATGGGAGACTCTTCCAGTCTGAAGACGCAAGAATAGTGTTTTGACGCAACAGGATTGCCGAAAAGATGATGGACAGGCGAACACTTTCTAATATTGTCAGACAAGGAAGTGATGCCATAGATTCCGGTCCTCTGATCTCCAAAAGCCTCTCAAGGCCCTGCGAATGTTGCAACCATCCAGCTTCGAGATCGCTGATGAGATACTATTCCTCTGTCAGTATAAAAATTGACAAACCAAGGGGAAGAAGGATGGGGAGACGTTTCCTACCTCGAACAGCGCCATGATCATTATGGCCTCTAGCACATCTAACGTACGACTAGCATTTTGATCACCCAACATCTGATTTAGCTTCCGCAACGATCTTCCATACTTGGACATGCCACTCCTCAAAATCTCCTGCTCCATGTGTGCAATGCCAAAGTAGGTGGTCGAGAGCGCAACCAAACACTGCTTGGCCAGCCCTCCGCTGCTTCCAGGTATCGAATTCGCATCGCCACCGCCTTTTAGAAGTTGAGAGATTGTGTATGTGACGAATATTTGATCGTGGGATATCTGAGGCCTGTATATGCTCCCAGGGGCTGCTGGATTCATATTACTCGGGTGGCTGGCTCTAGATAAACCAACGTCTTGTCCTATAGCCCTGTTGCTTATTGCCTGTGCACCGAAAGACATATTAGATGAAACTGCTCGTCCGCTCTGGCCATCATATTGAAGAATACTGAGGCCCCGGGAACCTCCGCATTGCAGCCCTGCTTTGAGGCACCGCTTACAGTGTGGAGTTGTGAGATCTTGATCAGAGTTAGGAGTTGGTCCAAGAGACAGTTCAATAGAGGCACTGAGAAAAGGTACGATGCTCACCGCATTTTATCCGTCGACGCCGGCACTCATCGCAAGCTCTGGATCGTCCCGCAACTCCTACCATTTTCTTCCCCCGACGAAGGATGTTGGCGAAGCACAGTGTAGAAGGATTTGTAGGACGCGAATCACAACGTTGAAGTCGACCGCTCTTTGCAACCAAAACTGATCGCAAGGACTGCTGAGATAATTGAAAAAGCAGACGATGTATTTATACCATCACACGGCATGCATACAGATGAATCAACGTCCAGTGAAGACTCTTTGTCAACCACAAATGCACCATCCCATCATCTTTCGGCATCCGGGGATGGGATGACGGTGTTGATGGACTGAAGTTCGCGCTAAACGGATCACTGCCGCCACTTTGTATTCCGGACTTAGCCCCGATTACTGTGGCACCTTACTCTGTAGAAAGGATGTGTAAACGTGCAACAGCTCTTTAATTTTGCAAATCAGAAATCCAGGCCACTACTATATACATACATGTACTGAAGGAAGGCATCAATGGACGTATGTTCTGCATTTATTGATTACAGCTGGGGCGATTTTGCACAATACATCACTATAACCGCTTCCTACATCAAATCGCATAGCGAGACTTAATCTACCTAGAGAGATTTGGTCCGCCCAGAGAAACTTCATCTGTTAGACAAAACTAATTATTGTTTGCTCTTTTTTTTCCCTCTCCTTAGCTCTATATGGAGGTGGTGTTCCGATGTCGCAAATGATGTCCATAGTTATTGCACCTGTGCAAGTCCTATCCAAGTGCCATAGTACCCGATTAAAGCGGACTACGATTGAGCCCGGTTTCAGACGACATCCCAGCATTGCTAGGACAATAGATTCATCTCAATAACAAGGCCTTAAAGCTAATACTCGTAGGGACGCAGATTTTTCCATTCCAATACATCTTAAGTGATGCGACCGTAAGAGAAAACATACATTTATGCGTAAGCAACAGGATACAGGTATCCATGAAAATCAGAGCCTCGCGAGATCCCAGCACAAAGCACACGGGAAATGAGCAACCGCAGTCAAGCTTATGAAAACAAAAAGCGAGGTCAGGCACATGTCTGTAAGCTGACATATCTGGAGCATTATAAGAGGTGCCTTTGACTTATGATAACTCAGTGAAAGAGGGGGGTGTATCATCTTTAGCTTGATTGCATGTAATCGTAAGATGCTGGCCATAGTTTTCAGAGCCTTGTCTTTGCCCATAAAGCAAGTATCGGTTCTTGCCCCCATCTCTCCCACATGTCAAATGGTCGTGCCAATTTTAATAAATGCCCGACTCTTCCAACAACGCCCGCCCTTCAATCTTCATGTACAGGTTCACGCATGTCATTGCTTTGAATAGAGAACGTATGAGATTCCGCCTTATTATCTTTGTCCGCAGAGTGCAGAGTAGCATCTGCAATCCGTACAAGTACTCTGAAACAAAGGATCCGGCTAGCTTCGCAGGGTTCAGGTATAGAGGTGCATGTATTGATGCATATGATGTAAACAGTACAGACTTCCCCGCCTTCAGCTGAAATACCAGCCTCCCTTCTTCTTGTGTGTAACACACAAGGTGGCGTTGAGCTGGCGGTTAGGTATTCCTAATTTATAAACTACACCGCTCATTGACACTCACTCACTGATAATCTTGCTGCATCACTGTGGAAATCCCATGGGAACTGCTAGGCAACTATAGCCATTAGCAAGAAAGAACCATCTTAGCATCCAAAAGAATCCTTTCTTCTCCATTGCCGCCATGGACAGGAGATTTCGAATTAGGCGTCGAGTACATACTAGGCCCAGGGGCATGCGTACAGGGCTATCCCCATCGACAAGCGGTCTCGTTGAATTCATAACTGCAAGGTCATCAGTATCGACGAGCGGTCCTCCCAAATACCACATCAGAGTGTCTCCGCAATGCAGCATCTGTGTGGAAAGGATACTTGATGAGGAAAGAGCAATAGCCCGTAAGCCATCTAAATTATCTTCACAATACCAAAACCTTGAGCCCTTTGTTATATACATGTGGCATTGACACCTCAGACAGTCGCCGGAAACGACAATACATATAAGGGACAGACTCAACCTTTTCCCCTGCCACCTTTAGGCTCTTCTTACCGTGGGTCCGAGTCCGACGATTATTTGTTCTGTCGAGCTAAAAGGTGCGCCTGCACGCCAGTCGAATATACTACGGCACACCTCGAATGTTATCAGATATTCCTCAGAGTCTGTCACTTGGGGAAAATACAAAAGGAGCACGCGCTGCAAAAATTATGGATCTCTACTGCGTGGAGGCTTCCATGGAAAGATGCAATTTCTATGCCTGCATCCACTATAGACATACCAACAAATCAAAAAAGTCTGCAGATAATCGGTCAACTGTTTGGAATAACATTCCTACACAGGCTTCCTCGAGAGTTACTGCTCACCATCTGGGGGGAATCTAAAACTTCCCTGTTCTGGAGATGCATGTCGATCATCCGGTTGGTAACTGAGTTTGAGACCAACAGTTCAGAGTTGCAAATCAAGCCGTTAGATCAGGTGGCTTCCTGGCACCGCAATGGGAAATTGGAGTGTGCGCCAGCATCTACCGCGTACCCGTTTACTCAGCTTACGATTGATCAAGAAGGCATCAAGGAGATAGAGAGGCTCCGTTGCAAGCCTCAGTATACAGGAGATACCTGTAATCATTCCACTTTCATTGTTGAAGAGGGGTTGTCGTTTCATGGGATCGAAGCACACATCCAGGTACGTCATGTCGCTTGCATATTAGTTATTCACAATGACTGATCTATCTTTCAGGATGGAAGACTGCGTCTACGTAAGACACAAATCCAGCCTAACTACCCTTATATATGGAACACTCCAGCTCCGCCTCGCCTCTCCTTGTGTAGAGGTTCAATGTCTCACTCACTTCCTTCATGGCGGCTCCAGGCTGTGAATACACAGAAAATCGCAGGAATCACCTTCTTCTTCATTCAGGATAGGTTGTATGACATTTACATTCACGACTCGGACAAATCAAGTGCAAACGATCTATATGAGCAGCTGCCGCCTGACATACGTAGAGACGCTATCTGGATATACTTGCCAATAGGAACTGCAGACAGGATGCTTGTTTTGGGGACTCGCTTTATTTCTATGAGCGAGTACAACGTTCTCGTTCGGATGGAAAAAGCTGGAGATGTTGTCATTGGAAGAAACTGCTTCTTTAGTGAAGCTGACTTTCACCCCGAGTTGTTATGGCCTGGTGACTGGCCCAGCTCTCGCCCGGACCAATGCCTAAGCGGAGATGGCCCGGTAACCTTGCTTTATGGTAAACGGGTACGAGGATTTTTTGAGATTCCATTGTTGGGTGCATATTGCGAATCGGGCACTTGGACTCTTCCAGAGCCATTTATGCTCGAGAAGCCTACGCCTGAGCGGTTTGATCGTATCGGCTACTACTCTCGAACGCCTTTAGACCAAATTGCGGAATCCTCGGTCTATTATGTACCAGGCTCTGGTCGTTGTAGAGGCATTCTTCTGCGATATAAGAACGGCGGGTGTAGAGCTGTCGGGCAATGCCGCGTAAACGTGGACCCTTGCCATACAGTTGCTGAACCAAGCTTGATCTGCATTCTAAAGGAGCGTTGGTACGATGTACAAGATCTCACACAAGAAAAAACGCTTGTCAAGTTCACCCATGGCGCCCTGGATGATGAAAATGGGGAAGATTGGACGCGATATCCACTGGAAGGCTTTATTGAGTTTTACTTCTTCTTCGACCATGTGCTCGTAGAGATAGCAACCGAGTTCAAAGAGGACGTTGTTCGCCCAATAGAGTGGTAAGTCGAAAGAGTGTAATTTGGTTGCAATATACTGACGCAGTTTACAGTTCGAAAGAGTCTTTAGATCATTTGGATCTCTCATATAGACCTCCAATCCATATGACCGATTCCTCACACGAGGAGAAAGAAGACTGAAAGACGGAGAGTTAAGACGGCAGACAACGCAAAAGGCAGCCTAACGCAAATCGTGGTGCAACAGATGGATTCACTCTAAAGGATGAAATTTTCAATAGTAAAGGATATTCTAAATGAAGCCATCCAGTTGCCTAAATTATAAGTCTAAGATCAATGTTTGTATGGCAAACTCGATGCCTGCTATAAGTGAAGCGACAAGCTCATAATACCTCCATTAGCACACATTTTCAACGAGTGCTCAAGTACCATTCATAAGGCGCAGTCTGATTGGTCAGATCTTCTCCACCGAGAAGTGAGCTACTGATAGACTAAGATAAGGCTCCATCTGATAGTGATAGCAGCGATAAGCTTCCCATTCACGCTTTGATGCCAATACAGCTTCATCATCTCCTCTTCACGACCCTCTCACGACTTAATTCTTCTACATATCTGGCTTTCTATACCTTCAATCGGCCTTCATATCGTCTCATTTGTTAGCAGGTACCTCAAGACTCGCCTCACCGTATTTGGTTTCTCTTCAGCCCGACTGCCATCATGGCGCTCTCTCCTGTCGTCACAACCACCTCGTCTGCTTCAAACCAGCCGCTCGAGAATCTCCAGACGCTACGGCCCGTCTCTTCGCCTCTCAAGAACCTCGCATCCGGCTCCGGCCAGACCTCATCCAATGGAACCCCAAAGCCCGCTCTCGCGCCCGCAGCCGCACCAACAAGCCAAACATTGCCTCCGACGCTCGACCTTGCTGAGCAGATGAATGAGGAGGAGAAGCGCAAATACGTCAAGGGCAAAAAGCTCGGTGAGGGTACCTATGCCGTCGTATTCCTCGGCCACCTCCGCTCCAACCCAGCGGCGCGCGTCGCCATCAAGAAGATCAAGGTGCAGAAAGAATACACAGAGGGCATGGCGCCCGACGCGGTGCGCGAACTGAAGCACCTGCAGGAGTTGCAGCATCCAAACATCATCTCGCTCCTCTCCGTCTTCTCCTCCAAAGACCAGAACCTCAACCTAGTCCTCGAGTACCTCCCGCTCGGCGATCTCGAATTGCTCATCCGCGACACCGACAACGTCCGCTACGGAGCCGCCGACATCAAGGCCTGGATGGGCATGCTCACCCGCGCCGTGTGGTTCTGCCACGAGAACTTCGTCCTGCACCGCGATATCAAGCCCAACAACTTGCTCATCGCCGCCGACGGCGAGGTCAAGCTTGCCGATTTCGGTCTCGCGCGAAGCTTCGCCGACCCCCATCGCCACATGACTTCCAACGTCATCACCCGCTGGTACCGACCGCCGGAACTGCTCTTCGGCGCTCGATACTACAGCGGCGCGGTCGACGTCTGGTCGGTCGGAACCGTCTTCGCAGAGCTCATCCTGCGCGCCCCATACATGCCCGGCAACAACGAGCTCGACCAGATCAAGATGATCTGCGAGTCCATCGGCACGCCCACAGAAGACAACTGGCCCGGCGTCACCCGGCTGCCAGAGTACACCGTGCCCGGCCAACATCCCACGCGCGGGAGGGACTGGTACGAGATGCGCTTCGGCATCGTAGGCACCGACGGCGTCGATCTGCTCATTAAGACGCTCGCCCTGAACCCGCAAAAGCGCATCACCGCGCGAGAGATGCTCAAGCATCGCTGGTGGCATTCCGAGCCCAAGCCCACGCGCAAGGACGACCTACCCCGTAAAGACGTCGGCGCCGGAGAGGACAAGATGGGCATGGACCTGAAACGGCGTCCTGGAATGGTGGCTGACGACGATAGGGGCGCCAAGGTGGCCCGCAAGCTGGACTTTGGACAGAGGTAGAATTCTCGGCTTTGTTCTTTGCTGTTTGTTTAGTTCTTTTTTATTTTTCTTGGGTTCTTTTTCAGTTCATCAAGAAAAACAAAAGGCGTTTTCATCTGGATAATACCTATATATACCACATCTACCACGGAGTTAGCTCTAAACCAAAACCAGGGGCCCCAATGGATCAAGGCCAAACAAATCATATAATGGGAGAATCATACCATATTTTGTGTCATTCACCTTCTTATTTGCCACGCTGTACAAGTAGTATATATAAAGATTTCTATCTATGTATTGCGCCCTTCTAGGCACACTCATTATCCAAATATCCCCCCTGGCCACCCACCCCCTGGCACCCATTCATCAAAAAATATATATATCTTTCATAGCTCACATAATTCATCATCTCGTCATTCCCGGTGTCTATTCAACAGAACCAAACTGTATCCTCAACGCTGATATCCTGCCCCCCTACATGACCAAGCAGTCCATTCCGTACATTGCCCTCTCGACGCTCCTCCTCACCTGGTACCAGTCCGCTCTACGCTGCGCATACTCATACACCTCCTCCGCACGAAACACGCCGCTAAACCGATCTCCATCCGCAATAACCGTGGCCATTTCCTTGGCGTGGCCCGGGTCAATGAGGTAGATCTGGCTCAGCTCGCGCAACGCGGCGAAATATGGCAGCACATCCTGATTCCGGAGCGATCTCACGTAGTCGGAATAGAGATTCATGTCGGCAATGAGCTTCACGGCGCCATCAGTGCTGATACGCTGTCTCTTGAGGTGTTTGCATATCGCTGTAAAGAGTCGCTGGCCAACTTCGCCGTTGAAGACGTCGAGCATCGACTTCTCCGTCGTACCCACCAGCATGTTGGTATGTGATCTGACGAGATCGACAATGCGACGAGCCGTGGGCGTCGGTCCGATATCCAGCTCCGCCATGGAGCCCATCGTTGCTCGGTGGGATAGTCGGTGGTTCCCATCATCTACTGGTATCCGGGGAGTAGGGTTGTAGTCTGTAGGCAACTGCAACGTTCCGTGGAGATATTCGACCTCATCCATGAGAACGTCAATGCCCTTGTTCAAGCCAGCTGCCACGCTCTCATCAAGCATCTGCTCGAATTTCTTCTTGGCTAGACCAGCAGGATCCAAAAAGTCGTTCTTGTCGGCAATCTTGGGCGTTGCGAGCTGCTGCTCATAAAAGACTTCAATCATCTGGGAGATGAGGTCGCCCACGTTGACCAGTTCAATAAACATTACCAACGGCGCCACACCTTTTTGGTCATGGTCACTAACGTCTCGCGGGTTGTACTGAGACAAGTGATCAACGGCCATGTCAAAGCCGAATTTGACGTGTCGTTGTCCGAGGATGCGAACGAGCGCAATGAATATGTTGGCACACTGCTCTCGAGCTTCTCCTCCAACCTGTCCACCCAAGGGGATAAGCACCGCAGCTCGGCCTAAGCTGCCCTTGGCCTTGTGCACCAAATCTAGAGCTACCTCGATGCTAAACAAGGACTTGATACCTTCCAACTTGGAGGCCATGATGGCTGCCTTGGCTGCAAGCTCATCGGTCGGAGCTTTAGCCCCAGGCATCGGGCTGCTGCCCCGTCCTTGAGGTTCATTGCCCAGCCCTGGGGTTTGTGGCCGGGAAGTCTGAGGGGTTAAGGCTGCAGACCCATTTGCAGTAACCGCGGGTGAGGATGCGGGCTTCGTAATTGCAAATGGCGAGCCAATAGGGAAATTGGGGAGAACCGTGACGGGCATCATAATAACCTTCTTGAAGGAGCTCAAGAAATCATTCTTCTCGGCAGAACGATTAATGTTGGACATGTAAAACGACTCCAAAGACGAGTCTTGCTCGGAAAGCTTCTTCTCCCACTGGGAGACCTCTATTTCCGCCTGTTTAGTGAAGAAATCCAGCTCCTCCTGCAGGTATAAATCGAGGTGAGGCTCAAACACTTTCAGCGTCAACTGCTTGGCACGCTTCTCCAAGTCTTCCTCTTCGGGCCCCTTGGGAGGTGTAAGTGATTGGAAGAACCGCATCGTCTGTTCGAATATGCCAGAAATGGCCTTGAGGTAGGAGAGGATGCTGCGCTCGTGCGCCTCATCGAACATGGGAGTTGTGTATTCGGCAATGATATCCTCCGCCACCTTTTCAGTAAGACCCCAGAATACAATGGCGGGATCGGGAAATATTCGTTCCAAAATACCCGCTTGTTCGTTAACCTTGACGAGCACATGCTCAAAGAAGCGACGTGATGGCTCCAGCGTCACATCGTCTGTAAATGCTTGGTTCAAGCAGTCCATGGGATTGTGCTCCAGCTCACGGTCGTTGAAGAGCGGGTGCTTCTGTATAAAGAGCTCGATTCCAGTCTTGGCGCCGTTGAGCGTATGTAAAACATGGGCGTATCGGTGCATGCGCCCATCCACATCCCAGAATTCGTAGCCCTGCTCAAACTCGCGCAGAACAGCGGCTTCGAAGATGTTCATCATTGCCGTCAGCTTGGCATCTCTGAGGCCCCATCCCTCAGCCCAGTCGCTCCCCGCGAACTTGTGCAGGTTGGCCAGCATCTGCGCCTGCTGCTCGGGATCTATAAAGGCTTTGAACACGATTGGGTCCGTGTGCGATTTCGCCTTGACCAGATCAAAGTAGAAGGGCGCAAGAGCTTTGTAGATTTTGCCATACTCCTGCCTTGCCCCGCCCCTGACGCTCTTGACGCGCTTGAATACGTCGAGGTACGCCGCAGGGTCTTCCGCTGGGTCGCTTGTCCCAATTGTCATGGTCTCGAACCCGTCTCTCAATTCTGAAATGGGCCGCTGCCGGCGTTGCTGTTCGACCGTAGCATCAAATATGGTGGATGATGCGACTGCGCTCTTCTTGCCATCGTTGGACTGGTTAGCCGCAGCAGCAGCAGCAGCAGCTTCTCGTCTGCGGCGGACCGACTCCTCAAACCTCTGTCTGGCCTCTCGTTCGTCCCAGCATCCCATGCTCTTCAGTCGGGACACCCAGCGAGTGTCATCGTATACCATCTCTCGCAAACGGTGGGAAACGCGTGCACAGCGCATCTGATCGGCCACAGGCAGGTAGTTGAGGATCGTCACCATGATTTCTGTCCGCAGCAACACAGTCAGCTGCCATTGAGCCCCCCATCTGGTCCCCCAAGGTCAAGCAAATCAACTAGGAAATAAGACATTACCTGCTGGGAGCTTAGACCGCGCATCGAGCTCGGTGGCCTTGAGAACGCCCAAGATGCTGCCCCGATTGCGAGGCCCAGAGCCACCTGACCGATACATGGTGGCGATAGTTGGTGCACAGGCAATGAGGCCTGCGCTATTCGTACAGTCTTTGGTACGCACGACACCATCGGCGTTTGCTATATGGCTTCGGGCGAGGCGAGGCGCATCGTCGAGATGCTTGTGGCGAGAGAATCGTGTTGTTTTGGCGGTGCTGAAACGCTGATACGGAGGTGTGTAAGTGCGTCGGATTCGGCAAAGTATCGCAGGTGGGGGTTGGCGGCATGAGTCTCACCGAGCTTTCGAAAAAAAAAAACATAAGGCTGCAGGTACCTCCGCACCAGGATGGCTGAGTAGAGCTACTTGGCTGGCCTGACATGCTAATAATAGCAACGCTGAGAGATACCCTGCAACTATCTCATAATTTACAAGAAATGGATGAGAACAAAAATTGACGAGTCAATCATTTTTTGTTGTTGGTATAAGGCATGCATTTTAATTATCTATCATCTATCGTTTTTTTATTGAAAAAAAAAAAAAAAACTCCTCAATGATGTAGCGCAGGAGAGCGTCTGAAATAGAAGAGCCGATGGTGAAGTGAAGCAAACTGGTCGACCTAAATTCTTTCTCAACCTAGCAAACAAGGTAACACAAAGGACCAGAAAGGTAACCAAAAATATAAGGGAAAAAAAGAAAGAAAGAAAGAAAGAAAGAAAGGTCTCGCAATATTAGACCTTTGCAGTTCCTTCTGCAACACCCCAACCTAAACCGTATGCGTGTAAATATGCTGTCAAAAATAAATCGGCGCCGCAGTGCTAGGTATCATGGCCAATCGGTCCTCTAATCCAGGAATGTGAACAGATGAGTATGCAAAACATTCATGGCCCTCGTGGCATCGCGGGCGTCAATAACACAAGAGATGTTAATCTCACTCGCTCCTATAATGGCGAAATCCAAAGCATTAGTCAAAAAATCTGATGAAAAACATGCACAATCTTGGCCTTTTGCTTACCCTGAGAAATCATCTCGAGATTGACATTGTGCTCTCCGAGCGTCGAAAACATGCGTCCAGCAACGCCAACCATGTTCTTCATGTCCGCGCCGACTAGACTCAGAATAGCCATGTCCGTTAGAATGCTGACATCTCCACACTCCGCCAAGTTCCGTGTAGCCGTCTCAAACGCCTCCGATCGAATGCCGTCAGCGTGAATGGCCAAGGAGACGTGCACCTCACTCGTGGAGATGAGGTCAACAGAGATGGACTGCTTGTCCAGGATGGAAAAGACCCGTGCGAAGAAGCCATGGGAGATGGATCTCTTATTCGAGTGAACGTTGATGACGCTGATGTGATCTTTGATTGTGACAGCAGTTGGGCGCCTGGGATTCTTGAACAGGGCCCGCTGCGACGGCCGTGATCGATGCAGCTGCTGTGCCGCTGACAGCACCGGATCTGGAATCACCACTGTGCCGTTTCCGCGTGGATTCTTAACGTTCTTGATGCGGATAGGGATAGGGGGGTGAGCCCGGATGACCTGGTCCATGGTAAGGTGGTGGATAACCTCGGAGCCGTAAAACGTCAGTTCAGCGGCCTCTGACGGCGTGATGGATGGCAGCAATCGAGCCGTGGGGACCTTTGACGGGTCCGCCGTGAAGATGCCATCGACTTCTTTCCAGATCTGCAGCTCATCCGCCTTTAATCCCACGGCGCAGAGGGCCGCGCAGAGATCTGTGTAGCCGCGACCAATATCTCCATCAATCAAGCTACCAGGGACGTTTCCGAAGAAGCCTGTGACGACTGGGACCCGGTGCTCGCACGCGGTGAGCTTCTTGAGGAATCTGCTTACTGCCAGCTTGTAAAAGCCGGCATCCAGGGATGGAGAAGGGGTGTCACTATGCAAGACATCTGACAAGTCAACGTATTCAGCTTCAACTCCCTAAAAAAATAGGAAAGGAAATAACACGTTAGCGAGATGACACCAGACAGTAGTTCTGCTTCTGAGACAAACACACCGAATCCTGTAGCAATGTAGTCATGAACAAGCAACTGAGCTTCTCGCCGAAGCTGATGACGCGGTCCTTTGATCTTGAGTTGATTTCGAGGTTGAATCTCCTGGTAGCCATGATGTATTCAATCAACTCCTGGCATTCTGCCTTGATCTTGGCAACTAGGGCATCTCTCAGCTCCTGGCCCTTGACAAACGTCTCGGTGGCGGTGACGTGGTCATTGCAAACATCATTGATGAGCCCCGCAGCCTGTTCAATCAACTCCTGCTGCTTTTCCTCAGAGCTGATGGGTGTAGCAATGCTCTTGAGCTTTGTGTAGACAGATAGTAGCCTGGAGAATGAAAAGTAAGAAATCTGCTGCGAGATGCAACAAGTCCAACATGGCGGATTTCTTACCGACTGGTGGTACCCTCGGCCTTCTTGCCCGTGCTTCGAGCAGAGCACACAACAACGACTCGGTTCCGCGAAAGGCTGGCTCTGTAGCAATATCATGATGAGCTGGAGGCCATACTTTGCGTGACTCACCATCGTCACCTGTGGTCAACTTACCTGACAATATCACGAGCAATCTATCATGAGAGCGCATCAGCATTGACTCATTGGCTCCCCGCGAACTCTCAACAACGAAAAGAAAAAAAGACCAAAAAAATAGCCCAAAAATCTCAATTGCCACTCACCTTGTCTGGGAATTTTCCAACGCTCGTGCCTCCAAACTTCTGAACCACCCAGCCCAGGTCGGACGAGTTATCACATGTCGAGCCCATGGTGATGATGCTTCTGCTGCTGCTAGCGATCTCGGAATCGACTGAATCCGCTAAATGGCCACTCTGCGCTCCACCAGATGGCCTTGTCTTGGTCCAATTGCCCCTTGACAACTTCTGTCTTGACAATGAAAAGAGCACAAAAAAAAAGAGCAATTGAGTGAGGAACTGTTAAGACGGGAAGTCAAAACTAGGCGCAGCGCAATATCTTGCTTTTTAATAGATAGAAAAAAAATAGAAAGCCACAGCTTGAAAAAGCCTCCAATGGCAAAAAAGGCAAGGGGAAAAAGGATGGCTCAGCTCAAGGCCTAAATCTCCAATCAACCGAAAGAGTCACAGCTTTAGTGGAGGGGCGTTTCGGACACCGTATGGCCCAAAATCTGAGTGATGGAGCCGGTTTTGTATTGTGGCGTGGGCCGAAGAACGGCGAACGCTCGTCTCCAGTTTTTTTTTCGTCACGTCCGAACAGGAAGTCTGTTTCGAGGGAATTTTCAAGCCAAGTGCGAATTACAAGCGATTAGTCGTCGGGTTTATCAATTGAATCTTGGTATCTCATAGCTACTGGACCTGTATATCACGCGGATGCTTGTTCTTGATGCTGAGTCTCAGATAAGACCCTCAGCATGATCGAGTGAAGTGAATCAGTCTTACATGCCTGTGGCGGCTTACGTATAGAATAGGGCAGTTGTACAGTAGTAGCTACAGCATTATCATCTCGCCTTCACAATCCCCTTGCAGTCAATAGTAGAAAGACTCTTTCCTCTTCTTTCCTTTTGAACACTTCCAATTGTAATTAATTCACGATTGATTGTCGTGAGACGCACTACGAGTTCGTCCGAACGTGTCCCTCTTTTCCTTGCTTATGGCCCATGATGATGAGCTACTCAACATAGTATACCTATGCTCAGCTACCATGATATCAGAAGAAAAACATCTGCAGCAGAACCCATACACACCGTATCCGGAGAAACAAGTGCTGAATACATCGTACACCCTATCCAGTGATTGCCGACACCCGTCTATTCCAACACGCCCCTTGCCATGGTCCTCCTCCCCCCTAATAAAAAGAATACAACCAGCGGGAAACAAGATGGCCATCCCGCAAGGCCTTTGAAATATATATAGCAAGAAACAAAAAAAAAACACCAATTCCACAATCGGAACCATCCGTGCGGAACCCTTTTATTACAGTCCAGATGTCGTGTCGTCGTCCATTCATCCGATCATCACAGTGATTAATCCGTCTCCTATGGCAGTGAGCTTTGGTCGGTCGAGCTGATATTAGCCTTGACCAGAAGCGATCCGCTGCACAATTACCTCCTCATTCCTTTTCTTTCCATCTTTCCATTTTTTTTGGGTAGTCCTTTTTTTTTGGTTTTGAAACTCAATTCATGCACTCTCGTGGAGTTGAGAAAAAATCGGCACAAAGGTCGCTATAAACTTGCACCCGCTGCCAGCTCCAGTCCCTGGCTTTCTGCTCCCGCGAAAGTGAACTTATCCATGGGGAAATCTTCCTCAGGAGTCCGAATTCCAATGCCACTATCATCGTGAGAATCGGCAATCATTGGGGCTGAGTTGGTATTGTTTGGTGGTGGGAATGGCGCTCGGCCTGGCTGCGTGTGTGATACGTGAGCTACGTTCACATCATCGCTGCCACTGCTGTATCGAGAAACTTGTCTGCTTGTGGGCTTGCTAGAGACCTGAGATTGAGGCTCTGCTGCCGGTATGGGCGCTTTGGCACCTTCTTTCATGAACCCGCCCTGTTCAGCCAGAAAACAGGTCATTTCATCCACCCAGGTCTTTGTCACCCACCAAGACCCAAAGCTCTTACCTTGGGCCAAGGTAAGATCTCGCATGACGGCGGTCCCAACCCTTTCAACGCACCACACAATATCTGCATGTGATGCGTAAGGGAATTTTGATGGCAGGCTTTGCAGGAAGTTGACCCATCTATCCAAGACGTTCTGCCCTGACGTGTCGGCACCAGCGTCAGCGTCCGATTGACGACCGCTGCGTGTGACTACATCTCCATAAATTGTCAGACATTCCACCTCCCATGGAACATTTGCCGGATCTAGCAAATCTCTAATTTCAGTCACGAGCAGAGTGACGACGTCATCCATGCCACGGGTTGGAACACTCTCGGCAATCTTGCGAGCGCGAATCATGGTGATCCAGTCAACATACATCTGATCGCGATTGGCAGGATTCGAAAGCATGTTGGCAGCAGCATGCGCAGTCAGATTGACCCGCAGGGCACGATCTAAGAGGCTTGCGAAGATGGCTGCCGGTGATTCCTTGGCCGCAATAACGTGCTGCGGCTGGCCTTGGAATGAGTCCCGAATATGGGGCACTAGTCGCTCGGAGATGTTGCGAAGGGTATCGAGAACCGGCTTGGGAACGACTTGAAGCGTCAGGCCAGAGACGATGCGCATCATGCGTTGATATAGAGCAATGTCGCATCCTTCGATCCACGGGGCAAGGGCGGGATTCCCAAACAGCTTCTGGACGGGCATGGTGAGTGTGCCCTGGAAAGACGTGTACAGGTGGAAAAACGTCTTTTCGCGACAGTACCGAATACACTCTACCAAGGACGTACAGTGTGATCGGTACAGAGCAGATAGCGATTTGGCTGCATCGGGATCGGTTCCATGAGGTAGATAGGATTCAATAGGAGGTAACGCAATTGGCTCAGATTGTTCGAACGCGCTCTCGTCGGGGGGTGGAAACGCCAACTGTAGCTCCGTCTTGTTGGATGTAGCGTTCACGTTATCAATGTTACTGAGGTCGGGATGGTTATAAAGGCTGTGGGATCTGTTTGATGATTTGGTCGGCATGATGCTGATTTGAGTTTGGGTGGCTGTTTGAGGTGAGGGCAGTACATCCCGGCGAACATTGCTGTTACCAGGCTGCGTTGGGACGCTGGAGCTAGATCAGTAACAGCCCTATTTTCATTTCAAATTCGCATCCGTAGTTTCGTCATGCGACTCACCTGAGACTCTGAGAAAGGCCAGCTGCTTCCGGGAGCGCCCTCGGAGGCTGCGGCTGTGGTTCCTTCGCTTCTGGCTGATCCTCAGCGAGGGAGAAATTGACATAGTGGTACTTTGATTCGCCTCGAACGCCAAGACGGCGTGTCTTGAGGCCGGGGAAGAGAACTCTGACCAGCTTCCCGAAGCTTGCTGGGTTCAAAACTGTAATTCTTTCGGTGGCGCATCGTGAGGCATAGTTGGCGTACACTCGACCGCGAGGAACAGAGCCCTTTCCCTTGGAACAAACTGAATTGATCCTGTGTACGAACAAGGTTAGAATTAGCAACATTAAACACAGAGAGCACATTGCGCATACCACAACATGGCAAAAACCTGGCGGGTCCGCTCTGAGTTGGGCCCGCGCTCGTTTCCATGCAGTTCACGTGCCACATCCTGGAGACTGCGATGCCGGTTCGCGCTGTAGAGATGCCGCATTTCCAGCTCATTGTTGGCACTAGATCTCGTGGCTGTCTTGACGGCACCAGCGGCTCCTGTCATGGAGTCGGCATCCTCGTTTTCTTCGCGATCCAGCAGCTGGCTGTCGCCCTCGGTGAAGCTCGCATTGGTGCCGTATTGCTCGGCAGGCAGCGGATGCCTCGTCATTGTGTGATGCTGTTGATACTGCATATGATGGGTCATGGAAGCTCCCATGGACCCGTCCATGGAGAAGTCGTGGTTCGACGATTGCATGTGGGTCGCGGCCTGCAGGATCATGTCTTCAGGGGACATTTGCGGTGCTGCGCCCATGTCTTTCGAATGGCTATGGTGCTCGCTGGGAATCCATTGGCCGGTATATAGAGATGAGGCCTCGGCGAAGGCTGCCTGGTCGAGATTGGACTGGGTAGCGGCGCTGTGAATCGACGTGGTGGAAGCGCGGGAGAGAGGCCGCTTCCTAGCCTTGGCCGCCGCGCGTGTCGCTGAATTGTCTACACAAGGACAAGGAGTTAGCTGACGGCGCAGTAAAACAAGACAGAAGGAAATGCAATTGCACCGGCTGGGTAGGCCATACCCTGTTCCATAATGAAAGCCCGTCGTGGTAGAGTTTGAAAGGCTGAAGCTTGTCGACAAAATGGCCGGTGCTAGACAACAAACATTGGCTGTGGACCGGAGACACGAGCAGGTTTGGCGACCCAGATCTCGCCGCGACCAGACGCGAGCAAGGGTCAAAAAAAAGCCACGATGGATGCGAAGAAAGAGCTGATGCAAGCGACTTGCACAGGGGGCTGCACGGGCGGTTCTGTCGATGCGCGCGCCTGGCGGTTGGTGGCGAGTCGTCTTTGGTAGAAGCTGTTGTTGTGATTTGATTTTCTGTTGCGAGGCCAACGAGAGGAGAAGAGCAGACGGGACAGACGCAGGACGGACCCGACTGGGCAAGAAGCCGAACTAGGCAAAACTAAACAAAAGGCAGAATAACAAACTTTGCGACATTAGGTAAGCAGGCTTGCGCACTAATGAGGTGGAATTCCAGCTGGCGGCCAAGTTGTGAGGAGCGGGGCAATAACAAAAGATGAATGCTGTCATAATGCCGGTGCTACTACTCCGTACGTGGAACTGGTATAGTCGAGCCAACAGGTAGGTAGGTAGATTGGTAGATGCCTGAGAATAGGTACTACTCCGTATTGTTGTTATTGTTGTTATTCACTATGTTTTATCCGGTTGCTTGCCTTGCACGTTCGTAATGGCAAATCGCAGCAAAGTAATTAATTGTATGCTGTAGGTACCGCAGAGAATGAAAACGCATTGTTACTCCTACAGGTAATATACTACCTATTACTAAGGTAATGATCTGATTCGTGTCCCCATCCCATCTCCAGATGCGGTGCCACGGTTAGATACGATACGATAGGTATTTGGCATGGACGGCAATTCTGAAAGAGTAAACTCCAGAAAAGAAGCGGTATGGCACCTTTTGGCTTGGCCATACTTCTTACTTCCACAGGTAGGTAGATAAGGTACCTTATATTCTGGCCTTGCTAGTGCCCTGCATGCAAGTCGCCCAAGTCAGTCCTACATCACCTCACGGTACTGGTTCGAGGCACTCGTACGAGTACAGTACAATACAGTTCAATACAGTACAGTAGATAGGAGTTATCACATGCGCGCGCGCTCCCTCCTGGTCCGACAACCTTCGTCGGATGCTCCCTCGCAGCTCTCCAAGCCCTCTCACGACCCCTTGCTGCTGACGGACTTCCAAGGTCCCGGCAGGACTAATGCCCGGAAGACAACTTGGTAGTGCGGAGTAGTCGCCACGTACAGAGTACCTTGCGTCAGCACCAGGCCGTGTCAAGCGCTACGCTGTACCAGTACACATCTTCTACGGCGCCTCTACATCCTCTAGTGAGGCACGCTCGGGAAATGCTCCGCTGGGCTCCATCTCGCTGCGTTATCTGCTGTATTGTTGCCTTCCATTGGTCTTCCATTGCCGTACTCGTATTTCTTAGGTGCTGCGTCCTTCCCCCTCTACCACCCACTACACCTGAAGGGGGCACCGCAGAATATCCGACCCTTCCATCCAGATGCTAGGGCGGCATGTATCTCGCCGGCGGCCGATACCCCTCACGCTGGCAGTTGCATGGTGAGCTGATCTTGTACCTTGCCGGGTCCCGAAACCTCGGCCCTAACACAAACATGGCCCCAGTTTCAGCATGGAGCAGATCGACTCAGCACACGTAGCCGGTCCATTCCCTTGCCAAGTGCAACCTGTTACTTCCACAAGCCCCAAGCCGCTGACGCTATTTATCAAAGCTTCCTTAAATCTGGGCTTAATCAACATCTTAATACCATCCTCACTCCCATTCCTCCATCCGCCCTGATTTTGTAACTCTCCTCTTCCTCCTGCTGTGCCCTACTCTCTTGCAGTACCTCTCTAGCGCTACTATTATTTATTCACCTACACCTTGTCCTTGATTATTTCTTATTTTTTTTTTTTTTTTTTGCGGGGACCTTTGCTCTCGTCGCAAGAACTACCACGACAGCTGCGCAAATTTGAGCATCAAGCTTCACTCTAAAGCAAAATGGCGTCTGCCCAGGCAAAGGCTCAGGATTATCTGAGCATCATTGACAAGGAGGTTTGTCCGCTTCGCCGCCTCGGCCAACGCCACGCCTTCAATCGAGCTCTGCGTGCTGACTTGTAAATTATACAGCTCTCCAAATACCCCGCCCTTAACAACCTCGAGAAGCAGATTGGTGTTCCCAAGGCCTACGGCGTCGTCGGTGTTGCTGCTCTCTACTTCTTCCTCATCATCTTCAACATTGGTGGCCAGCTCCTCACCAACTTTGCCGGCTTTGTTGTTCCTGGCTACTACTCTCTGGCCGCTTTGTTCTCTCAGTCCAAAGAGGATGACACTCAGTGGCTGACGGTGAGTTACTTCTGATTGCCCCTGCATATTGCGTCTACGCATAGCAATGAAGCGCGGTGACTAACTTCACTCTCAGTACTGGGTTGTTTTTGCTTTCTTCACCGTCGCCGAGGGCTTCTTCAGCATTGTTTACTGGTTCCCCTTCTACTTTGTCTTCAAGTTCATCTTCCTGCTGTGGCTGGCTCTGCCCACTTTCCGGTAAGTTTTTCTCTTCCAGAAAGCTTCTAAGAGTACAAGGATCTAATTCTTTCCCCTGCAGCGGCGCTGAGATCGTTTTCCGATCCTTCCTTGCTCCTACCCTCGGCCGATACTTCCAGGGCCCTGGTACTTCTGCTGGTCTCCGCTCCAAGACTGATGCCTTTGACAAGACTCAGTAAATTATGCTAGCTTGAGCTGCTACTTGCACTTGGTCGCAAAGCTCAACCACTTGCTCGCCAAGTCCCGGACCAGGTGCTGTAGACCACAAAGATGGACAAGATTGAATCAACCGATTATTGGGAATAAAATGGGGTATCACGGAATGGCCGGCACATGCTGGATTTCCGGAGAGGAAATAGGTTATGAGGGACCAAGAGCATGGGACGCAGAATTTCGATAACGCATGTTTGTCTTAGAAGGTGTCATGACCTGGAGGTTGTAGGGCGCAATCAAGTGCTGGTTGGACAAGAGAATGCACATGTGACAATGGAAAGTTGGGCTCGTTATTTCAAGTGCCTTTTCGTCGCCCGGAGAATCCACCTGAAGCTGAAATGTATGAATGAGCACATACGAACGAGTATGAACTCTTCGACCGACCGAGCCAATGGCGCCACCAATTGAGCGCCCCGGACGCTACCATGTTGCATTGACAATTACCCGGCACATTTATGTACTGACGCCGCATGTTTGTATTCCAATCCTGTAACTGCAGCTGAAAAGCAGCCCTCATTTTTTCGCATGTGCGCAGGCGCCCTCGTTGTGATTTTCAGTGTCCTGTCTCTGCTCTGCACAGAATGCGCGCATACGAGGTGCGAGGTGTCGGATTGCGGATTACGTGGCTGTGCGGATGAGCTGCGCCTCTCCCTGAATGCGGCCCCTGCGCTTCGATAGCTGCCACCCGCCTGATAACCGGCATCTGGTACTCCGTATTATCGTGAAACGACTATCTGACAAACCATTGACCGGAAGCGAAGCCGCTGGAGAAGGAGGTTCTTTTTTTCTTCTATCCTTCTTTTTCGTTTTCTTCTTCGCCTTCTTCGTCTCCTCCTCGAACATTGCAGAGATCCACCATGATATCACATGTCTACTGGACAACGACGCATCACATCTAGAACAAGAGCATGCCGCATTACTAGACTGCCTCCTCGCAAGCGACAACCAAGATAGCGGATGCCCGCACGGCATGCGCCTGTGATGCTATTGACTCCACTGCAGTCGCGACTTGCGGCCTCTCTCGCAGGCCTGCTGGTTGTCTTGATGCTCTACATTCTTCTCTTCGCACCCACCGCGGCGCTCGCACTGGAGCTTGCAGCACCTCCTCTACCCGACTTGACGACCCCAGCGGAGCCTCTGCGGCTGGGCGCTGAATCGCATCAGTTATACGAACCCGATTTTGCCTTGTTTGATCGTGGAATCGTCGGTCGAGCCCCCGTCGATGCGACGCCCTTACAAAACAACGTCCCGATACCATTGAATCTTGAACCAGGTGCCACTGCCTGTTATGTGGTGCAGAAAAGCGTCATCTTCAGCGGCAGTGGGAACTCGGGCTCTTCCAACTCCAAAAGAGAACTGGAAGGGGACCAAGACCTGGATAGGCGTGATGACAATACCAATACACCAAATAATAACCAAGGCAGCAGCGCTACAAGAACGCTCTACCTGTCTGCAAACACCTGCCTACAACCACATAACATCACTGCAGACGCATCGACACCTCCGCAACTCCGTTTCTTGATCTCGACTTCTAGCAAGGATGGATGCCCTGACGCAACCAAACCTGCGGCCGGAGTTCAGTCAAAGGCATTCGAGCAAGGCGCTGTCATGTACAGTTTGAACGCTACGGACGACGTATACATCACGGTTGCAGCCCCCAGCGTCTCAAAGGATTTTCAAGGTATATATAATTTTGAGATTGCGGCATCGATTGATGCCTATTATTACCAATACAGCTCGCAGAATGGGCAACTGTTATGGATGGACAGTGACGCCAAATCCGCCTTGCTCCAGACGGCGAGCTTGACGAGCAACAAGAGTCAGATTTCGTCCATCCTCAACGCCGGTCCGCAGTACGAACTTTACGTCCAGGGCACCAAGGCACCGATTCTCGACGGGCTAACGCGCTCGGTCTGTGGAATGAATAACGTTGCTCAGATTGCCTCCAAAAGGCTGGATAATGGGCAAATGAATAACAATGAATTGGTCCGAACCAAAATGACCGACAAGGGTCCCGGTGGCTGGCCCAGGCAACAATTCTACTTTCAAGGACTCACGTCCAGTTCTTCATATTCTGGAATCCTGGTCAAATATGGGAATTCAACAGCCAACTCCAAGAGACAAAGCACAGGGGTGATTGGGGGCGGAGGCACTGTCTTTCCACCCACCGACTTTCAAACCTCAGCAGGTACGTTTTTTTTTTTTTCTTTGCTTCTCATTTTGTGAGATGAGAAGTAATTGGAAATGAATCATATACTAACAAGCTTGAATAGGAACAAACTGCAATCTCATCACCGATCTAGACTTTTGTGACGACGTGCAATGGGCAGCCCCTGGAAATAACAAGTTTAACAATACGGAACTTGGAAATCTTTACGACGCGTATGCCAAAGAGATGTATGACAATTTTCAAAAGGTAATGATGCAAATTCCTTGCGAAGCGCCATCTACGCAGCGATATTCGTTAGCGGTGGACTGCAATAATTGCACAGTGGCCTATAAACAATGGCTTTGCGCCGTCGCTATCCCGCGTTGTGAGGATTTCTCAAATCAGAGCAACTATACCATTCCACGAAACGCCGCACAGGCCTTCCCGAATGGCACTTTCCTCCCGGATGAGATGAGACAAGATCTTATGAAGACGCCGGCTTTCAACACGTCCCGAACTTCCTTCATAGACGAGGTGATTGCGCCGGGACCGTACAAGGAGATCTTGCCTTGCGTGGATCTTTGCTATGGGGTCGTTCAGGGATGCCCAGCGGCGATTGGCTTTGGATGTCCCCAGGCTGGCAAACTTGGTTTCAACGTGAGTTATGGGCTACGAGACCGTAACGGCGGAGCGGTTTCTTGCAATTACCCAGGAGAGCCGAGAACTCAAGTTAGCGCATCGGGAGCAGTCACGCCTAGCCTAGCGCTCCTTATTGGCGCTCTTGGTCTTGGGTCAAGTCTGTTGCTATGATTGGGGGGGATAAAAGAAGAGGAAAAGAGTAGTCATACCGCATGCAAGGCGTTCATGGTTAGCGATCACTGGGTTTGAAGGGTTGGTTCACTATTTGAGAAGAAAGAGGAGCATGGCGTTTTACGGGCGGCATATCTTTTTGATGAAGGCTGGTTTATGATTGAGGCTGACCTCGGGAAGGTCGACGGCTCTTTTTGAATAGAAGCCTGGAGGTTGGCTGGCGACCTGAATCACGTCTGTGATTGGTTAATTTGCAATATCAAGTTTATAGAGAGCGCAATACAGGCACATGCATGCATGATTTGAGCCGTGAATTTGCAATTGATGGTTGATGGTGGTGGTTTCTGATCAGTTGTCCTATTTGACTCTATCCATGGGCATCGTCGTGTTTTATATGAGTACGTAATTGCTCGTGCTCTATCACAACACCCCGTTTGTGCCGTTAATGCCTTTCCATTGTCGATCATCTCTTGGTATCTTTCTCTCACGAAGCATCCTTCTTCCCATCCTTTGTCTTTTTGTATTCATTCACAGTATTTTCCAGTTCCACAATAGTTGCTATAATACACATGTCTCCCGTCAGCATTCTGCTTTTCTACAAGAGAAACCCCGTATGTGGGGGTCGTTGGTTTTCCCCCCTTACCATCAGTCTCCGCACGATGCTCGTCGGCCTCGAGTTTCGTCCAAGTCCAGTAAGCGACCTGATATGTGAAGACGGCAAGGACGAGCACTTTGCCTATCGGGCGGGTAAACGTCTTGTAGAACTGTGCCTGTGAATTTGTTTTTGCGCAAACACACGCCCGCAGTTAGCATATAAAAGAACTATCATTTAAGAAAAGAAAGAAAGAGAGAAAGAAAGACAAAGGCTGCTAACCGCTGGGCTTGGCTGCTTCGTCGCATAGCTCCTCGCCTGTCGTTGCGCTACACCCGGCGATGCTATGCGCGCACGACCAGCAGCCGCCAGTCTCTGGCGTAAGACGCCCAGCCCCAGAGCCGGATTCATCGTCGGCTTCGAGGTCCCGGAATCGCGAGAGTCGTTTCAGGGGGATGCACGTGTCCAATGCGTGCTTTTGCCGGTCATCGGGCGCTGGAGATGGAGTCGCATGCCGCTCTTTAGACGAAGCTCCAGTTCTTCGGTCGTTCTATTTCGTAGGGCCGAAAACTGCTGTGTGGCAGGTCTTTAGCGTCTCGGGCTGCTAAGAGGGGCGCTAAATCCTGCTGGCCGATCCCGAAACCGAACTGACAAGCGACACCAATCGGTACCTCGATCTCGCACCATGTGGCGGTGCACGCAACAGTATCTGTCAAGTACTCTACTTGTTCGCTAAACTGCCTGTAACAATGCACTGTCGCAGCGCTCCGTCAGCCCATCTTCCAGCATGTCGCACCCCGCGTTTCGTTGGAGGAGGCCCCCCAAAGGACACTGGACCGTTTCTCGGCCGCAGTGCGCTAGAGCACCTGTGCTCATACTCATACAGGCAGCTAACCAGGAACCCGAGCTGTAAAAGGTATCTGGTACCTGATCCGCAGCCCTATCACGCCAGCGAAAAGCCCGTATCCGATACCTCCCAACGATTAGATAGCGCCGCGGCTATTTTCCCTTGACGACACATGTCCTTGTCCAGATCCCTGAATCAATCTTGCTGGCCATTACTTCTTCCTATTCCATTCCTTTCGACTTCCATCGCCCTTCCACTCCTTCGTAATTGACTTGTTCCGCAGCGGCGTGCAAATAATCAAGAGGCAAATCTGTCCTAAACCGCCCTCCCATCGAACCGTTCGGATTTTGACACGACATCCGAAATAATTGGCCCCTTCCAATTAAAGCTTCTAGTATAAGAAGTCGCATCACCCGCTGGGCGCAATCTCTCCAGCTACCGCCTTACACCACAACTTTTCCCCCAATTTCTCTCAACAAACACAAAAACTCACAATGGTAAGCCCCCGATCCCATATAAAAATAGAACAACTGCCTAACAGCCCCAATTCTACAGGCCCAAACCCTCGAGCAGCGCCGGCGCAACGCCAAGTTCGCCAAAGACCAGGAGGCCAAAATGGGCAAATCGGAGGACCAGCTCAAGAAGCGCACCAAGGAGACTCCCAAGTCGCCCATCTCCATGTTCTGGCTCGGTACGTCCAATTCGAATGCTGATGTTATGCTTGCGCTAACTTGCCTGGCGCAGTCCTGCTTGGATTCGTCGTTTTTGGCGGACTCGTCTTTGAGCTCCTGTCACGCTTCTTCGGCCTATAGTCTGAATACCTTCAATACCCTACCTAACCAAACCTGAATCAACACAAAGCGAAAAGAACAAAAAAAAAATAAAGAAAACTTTGCATAAAAATGATTGTAAGAATGCGAGAAAACGGCAAAGGCCTTGACATTATAGAAGAGAGAAGAGCGAGCGTGGGCGTGGGAGGCGAGGGTGATGCGCAAAGTCGATGGTCTCTGAGTGCTGTCAAGCGGCTTGCTGCCACCACCACTGTTGTTGCATTGTCGTTTCATTTGCGTACCCTGCCTTATTTTGCGACATGTTCCTAGAGTTGATGTATCATGGGGATTTACGGCGCATGGGCATTGTATATCTAGTACTTAGGGCTTTTATGAGTGGGAGAGAGCAGAGAACAAGAAACAAATCATTCCATATGGTATCTCCTGTGAGTCCTATCTAACGCCTTATGATCTTCATCCGTCGAAGTCAACGCGATGAACAGATGCAAACATGACATGCAATGCGAAACGACAATGCTGTATGCAGTATAGTACAAGTGATGGATTTGCCAATACACCATCGCTCAGAGGATGTGGCAGCCCTACGCACCCAAACCGCGGCGCTTCTGGCCACTCTCCTTGAGCATCATGCCAGCCTCGAACTGCTGCTGGATGGCTGCCTCGGCGCGGACCGAATTGCTCTGGTTGGAGGCGATGCTGCCTGGCTTGGTGGCGCTGACGCCGGCCTTCTTGCCGCCAAGGAGTCTGAGGAACTTATCCTGTCGAGCAGCTCCTCCTTCGAGGCCTTGGATCTTGACCTTTTCGGTGGAGGCCTGCGCCACCTGCTCTCCTCCCTTGGTCTTCTTCTCCTTCTTGCTGACTGGCTGCTCAGCATTGTCGTCTTGTCGCTTTCTTTTGCCATCAGCCTTGGCCTTGGCACTAGTCGCTTGCTCTTCGATGGCGTTGCTCTCCTCAGACTTGGATTTTGACTTCTTTTTCTTATCCTTCTTCTTCTTCTCGCTATTGTTCTCCTTCTCGGAAGCCTCGTGGGCATCGTTGGCCTTTGCCTTCAGAGTGGTCTTGGGGGTGGCAATGGTGTCTTCCATGGCATCATCGATGTCCTTTTCGTCCGAAGAGTCCGCATCACTATCATGCACAAGGTTGGAGAGTAGCTGGCTGTCGCCACCATCGGTGGTTTTCTGCAGGCAAAGTCAATTTAGGTTGCAGAACTAGATGTGCACTGGGGTAGAAACTCTTTACCTTGAGAGCCTTGGCCACGCGCTTAGCTAACTTGCTGGCATCCTCAGATTGCTGAAGCAACTGCTTGGCCTCAGCCTCAAGCTTGGTCGACTCGGCCAAGTTTTGGAGACGCTTCGTCTCGATTTCCAGGAGCTGCTTCTCAAGCAACTTTTCTTTCTTGGCTAAGATTGGGTTCTTGCCATCAATGGCCAGCTTTTCTTTAGCCTTACGCTCGGCCTTGCGAGCCTTCTTCTCGGCCTTGCGAGCTGCTGTGAAAGTGACGATGAGCTTTGCAAGGCTTGCACAGTTCAGAGGCAATGAGAGGAGAGGACACTAAAGCGCCAATATGTTCCCGCCTATAAAAAAAATAAGGAAAGAAACCTACCTTTCTCGGCCAAGGCGGCGGCATCCGCCTGTTCTTTGACGGTAGATTTGCCCATGATGACGTGCAGATCTGGAAGGTAAATAAGGCAGGACAGGCTTGGAAATTCACAGGTGAAACGACTTTCGCAAGTTCAGAGGCCCGGCTGTGCGTTGTTGGGATCGCGCGCAGACCAAGTTGGAGTTTGGGAGATCTGGGTGGTAGCTTCAGCGATTTGAAGCTAGAAAGAGCTGCTGCATCAAAATTAAAAAAATTATGGGCTTTCTGCCGGGCGGTGAAAAACACCCCACTGAGCGTAAGGCAGGTACGTAGTGCAAACGGCAAATATTGCCGAGTGAAGGAAGGTGGGGTGAGGAGGGAGAGGCTGTGGCACCTGCCAGAAGAGTAGCGCCAGATAAGGTACGAAACCCTCCGTAGATGCCTTTTAGGGCTTATTAACGAGCGGGAGCTTTGTAGATTTACATATCGTGAATGATTGATGCAGGCAGAGGCGAGGTAAGTAGCTAGCTGGCCAGCATTGATGGAATACCTACATGAGTTGCTTTTGTATGCATGTATTCGAGGTACTGCAATTCTTCAAAAGTGAATGTGGTGGGATGGATGGCGAATCAAAACTGGTGGGATTCGTGCATGACATCTCACCGAAGCAACAGCCTCTAAAGCACTGAATGAATCTCAACGCCCGATTTATGAAGACGAAAAGCGAATTACAGCCAACGTACCAGGTACACAGGTATTGCAATCTGTATTCCATCACTTGAAGGGTTCCGTCATCCAGCTCTAATGCATCTGGGATTTATTTTGTTCAAAAGAGAGAGATCTGTTGCTCTTCTTCACCCATGGATTTTGTAGTAAAGAGTGTCTAGTGATAGTCTTCCATATTCGCCCGGCTGATTCTTCCATGCAAAAAATTCGAGCCCTCCACCACCAAATACTTACAAAGAATTAGAGTGGGGGTTTCATGCTCCATGTGCGTAGCATATAGCCTTAGTAATTATGTTACAAATTACCTAGGTGCCGAATCCTTCCTGCAGCTGCCGGACACGAGGCTTGAAACAGCAGAGAAGAGAGATGATCGACCTGCCCACTTCCACAAATATAGATCAAGAGCCACAAAATAAAGTCCCCTGTCCATTGTCTGCCGTCGCAACCAAAATAAGTGTGTGTAATTGTTGGTTCTAGATATTAAACACGGTGTAAGGGAGCCACCGGTGCCCCATACCCTAGATGCAGGCAAACTTAGGGCAAAGGATCACTACTTCCTGCCCACCTAGCACCTAAGGTAAGGGAGAGAGTTACATATTGGGAGCAGGTATCTAGCAGGTAGTTATTCGTATCGACTTTCGATAGTATCATCAAATACGCGTTAGTTTATTTATTCCATACTATATACATGTACTATTCAACTCCACAACAACAGTCGCTGTAAATCTTGGTCATTTGTCAATAAGAAGAGATGCATTGTTCATCAGCGTGTTTATCCTTTCCCATATATGCGCCCGCTCTTTGAGACAACTCAGGTGGTATAAATACATTGTGTCACTACCAAAAATCCGGTAGTGGTAGAAAATGAAGATTGGCCAAAAGAAATGAACGGGGAAAAAAAGAAACGAAGAAGAAGAAGAAGAGGACGAAAGGGAAAATATATGTAGAAGGATATGCTCATGTGCCTTCATGGAAGCATGGGATAAGGGTGGCCAAAGCTAGGCCCATCGTAAACGTAGGAATTCTCATCCAAGTAGTTATCGTTGGCTCCGCTGCTGCCATAACTAGCAGTTTGGCGCACGTCTGAGCTGAAGGATGAGGAATAATTCCTAGCGACAAAGCTGTCTTCTAGGTATGTTCCCTGCCCGCTGCTCTTTCGGCTTTCAGCTTCATGTCCCCGGGATACGATGTGACTCAGGCTCACGCTGCCCCATGGCAGACCTGACGGTTCTGGCTCTGTGTCGATATCGTCTGCTTCGGGAATACGGTAGCTGTTGCCAGCATTTTCTTTGTCTTTTGCTTCACGCTCTGCCTTTTCTTTTTGCTCTTTAACTTTGCCCCCTAAATATGCAGTCAGCACACCAACGCCTAAAATAGCGATGCAGTTGGAGAGACATACGGAACTTGCGTTGTGCAATGCGGTTCTGTATCCGCCTCCTTTCTTCCGGGTCTGTAACCTCAGACCACTCGGCATCCTTTGCGCTTGCTTTACCTCTTTTGGGAGGCGTAGAGCAATTGCTGCTCTTGTGGGATGAAGGCTCGGGACTTTGCGAGAGACTTCTGGATCGCTGCGTTGTAGGCATATTAACAGAAACAAGACTATGCTCTGTGGCCAAAACCGAATGGCTCAATCGACCGCTCGAGGATTCAATCCAAGTTACGGAAAGTGCGTAGAAATTTTTGGGCGCTTTAAGAGTCAATGTAGAGTCTTATGCCCAAGTGGTGTCAACTGACGGGCCGTGTTCAACAACCCCAGGCTAAATGTGTTCAAAATAAAGCACGTGCTAATTGGACAGTTGTATCATTAAAGTGAGCAGAATGGCTCATGCTTGAATAGCCAGAGGAGAAAGAGTAAACGACGTGGCAAGGATGGTGTTTGTCAAAATCAATTCCAGAAGAGAAGCAATGGATAATAGTGGGAATCAGCCAAGGCTTATAAGTCAAGCAGCGAGGCAAGACAAAACATGAGCCGTGAAACCGACCAAGGCAGAGCCCCCAGAATCCGAACGGCCAAATGCCAGAACGCCCCGGCTCTAACCCCAGCACCCGTCGGTCGTCGAGCAGCGACAGCCGTGATTCAGGAGCTAAACGGGCCATCCGACAGCTTACATGTACGGGCAGGGACCAGTTTAGACACATTCACACCAAGGGATCTGCGGTACGCTCTTTTCAGGCTCCACTGCGAGGATTCCAGGGTCCGGGCTGGTAGTGGCAAGGAATCAGCGTGCGCGGCATCGTGGGTGGACGGACACCGGAGCCGATGCTAGAGAAGGGATGGATGGATGGATTGATGGACCGATACGGGGGATGCGAGACTACAGAGTAGACAGAGGGCGTACAAGTAGCAACGGTGACGTAGCAGTACTAGCGGGCTTCTGGTCTGTTGAAGCTGTTGAAGCAGTCGATTCGAATTCACACGGCCGATACGCCGAAGGATCACAGGCGAGGTCACCCGGAGCGGGAAAGGCGTGGCTGGCGAGGCCCGTGAGTTGAGCGCAAGAAGATTGCTAGAAGCAGGGCTAGTTGCTAGTGCTGGTGCCCGTGCTGGAGTCTCGTCCGAGTCCCTCAGCAGGTTAGTACTAGGTAGGTACCCATGGATGTTTTTGGTTTGCTACTGCTACAGTACCGTATGGGTAAGTAGCGCGAGCATTACATCTGGGAACACGCACGGCAATGAGAGCAAGAGGACGGGGAGGTCGATCCTCCTGGGCAGGGGATCGTCAGCAGGGGGATGCCTGTGCGAAGCATCCAGCATTCATTCATGCGTAGCTACATCTGCCTTACTCCGTACCGCTTGCTGCCTGGGGCTACTGCTGCCCTAAGGCATCTAGTGATTAACTGCAATTCTAGTGCCCAATCTAACGGGCAAGGTAATGACTCCGAAACAAACGTCGGGATATTTGTTTGCAAAAGAGCCATATACTATGTATGAGTAAACGCCAGAACACCAAAAGGCCCGGCTACCGTCGAGGTATTTCTCAGGTCTCCAGTTACTAAGTGCTCCAGTAGTGACATCGCTTCGACAGAGCGGCACTAGACCAAAATGTGGTATGAATCGAGTCAAACAAGGTTAGAGAGGGAGGTTTAGCACATGATTTGGACCAATTGCAATATTACAGGCCTGCCTTGTGGGGCCAAATACCCTGCCGTCCAATGTTAAAAGAGACGACCTGCATACATAGTAGGTACCGACTACGGAGAGCACAAGACGAGTCTCAACTGTTTAGTGGCCAGACTTCGCCGCCTTGTGGCTTCAGCCGCAGCTTTGGGTTTATGCAGGAAGCGAAGGAGTTCCATGTCAGAAGAAGCAAAAAAGAAGGGGGGTTGTTTCGATTTGGGCACAGTGGTTGCATTCCTGGATACTGGTTCCTGTGCCTTTCTTAGGTACGCTGTGGGTGCCTTGTCCTGCGCACATGCCGACTCTTCTCTTTGCATGACATGATGCTGGCTTAGGTACAGACGCCACCTTGACGGACTTGAGGATAATACGAGTTCAAGGTTTGACGAGACTTGAGAATTAGAGCCATCTTGGCGATTGTGAGGCGTGTGTTGTGATGCGTTGTGACCAATTGCGTGCTAGGGCCGCTGTAGCTCTGCCCATCAGAAGCCCTGGAGGCTATTTATAGGCGACTTAACGTTGAGTTCTAGAGTCGCTTCGATACCGAGCGAGACAGCTTAGTGCTCCTTCCCTGTAGCTGCGGTGCCATACTGCAGGTCACGTTATGAGGACGGGTACTCGTATGTAGGTACTTCTCGCAAAGCTTGCTTCAATTCGTCCTCTCAACCTCACTTCGTCAACATCACCATCGGCATCATCGTCAGCCTCGCATCCTGCCTCTCCTTTGAGCTGAGCTTCTGCAATTGACAAGCAACACAACCGTACAGTCTCAACCCACGACTATTTCTCTCCAGTTACGTTGCTAGACTGACACCTAGCCCTGTCTGTGTTACTAGGATGACTCTTTTACCGGCCAACGTTAATTTTTGGGGGCCGCACGCAGGGCTGGCTCCAATCAAAACAGCGTTACAAAAGGTCCCCGCCCAGTGCCCTCCAGCTCTTCAGCCCAATCAAGGAACCCTAGCTAATAAAGCGAGATATACGACGGGGTACCAGGCGTCACACCCCTTCCTGCTTTGCGTCAGCCCAGCGCTCGTCCTTTTTTGCATCTCCGCTGGTTGACGCATTCGGGTGACAGAACCGACTCATTAATCGTCACTAGCCACGCCTGCTGAGGCTCGCTGGCGCATGCACGCACGCAATGCTATAGTTCCAGGTGGATGACAAATGAACACGCGCAAGACTATGCTTCGTAATACGCAAGCGATATAGTATCGTTGTCACATCTCATTGTCTCGTCGTTGTATCAATAAGCATGCTTGGAAATCCTCACAGCTCGGCATCTATTCTACGCCTTATGGTCGACAAACGCGGACACCTGCTCACGAGCGAGTTTCCTTACCTCCAATTCCACCAATACAATCAAGCCTCTATTCACATTGGTCGGATCGATTTCTCAGCTCTGGATTCAGGAGGGTTGCTTCATCTAAAGCCATGCACGCGATGAGGTGGTACGTGCAAAAGCCACGCGCCTCACCCCACCGTTACCAGGCACCACGGTGCCAGAAGTCTCGCCTTGCTCGTCGTTTCTGGATATTTCATGGGGACTCGGGGCTTGGGTAGGCTATTGGGCAAACCAGGTGAACGTTTTTTGACACTCGACGTGAGATGTGGCGGCGACACCGAACGCAAGTCGGGCTAACAAGATCGTGTGTTACTGCAGAATTACACTTTGTGTGGTTCAAAAATCACACCGACTGGTACGCCAATCGCATCCTAATTTGCCCTAGCAAAAGGGACGGTGCTCTTGCTGCCTAAGAGTCTTGCGAGACAAGACAACCGATCTACTTACCTCTCCCTCAGTCAGTACAGCATGTTGCTTAATCTCATTATAGCGAATATCGGAGAAATCATGCATGGGGATGCCAGGGTATGACTATACTTGAGGCTCTTGTCCAGCATTGACCACTAGCTCTTCCCTCCCTGGCGTTGATGAGATAGGTTAGCAAGCGTGGCATCGTCAACGGCGCCCTCCCGACATCTTTGTGCCGCATCCTAACCCTGGCCCGTGTCTTGCAAGAACCATCTATTCAAGGAGCCGAGGCAGTGTGAACAATGCTGGTTCCAAGGGCAGTATTGAGCCAATGCTCGCACGGTTCAACGAGCCGCATTACTAGTATGCATGTTGCAAACACATGCCGCGATATGTCGCATGCGGTTTTCACTATCCCTGCTTGCCATGCGTTCTCATCCTTTGAGCTAAAACGCGGATGCCATTCTGCATACTCCGTAGGGCTGCCAAGAATACCACGGATCAGGTAGGTAGATAAAAATAGGACATGTAGCTGTCGAAAAGAGCATGGTGATCTACACTAACCCGCGACAAGTATTCAGGGCGAGAGAGATTCTAATCTCAAGAGTTTTCTATTCTTAGGTTTTGCAGGGGTTCCTTCATTGATCTACATAATAGCTGTGTTGTCCTCGAGAGCCCCCACTCAGGACGGACACGGACATGAATTAGGGTTAAAAGAAACAATGAAGCCGTAGAAGCTCGGCACTTCTTGTCGAGTCAATGACATGACCTTCTTTTTGAGTCAACTCCTCACGCTATGCCTCATTTCTACCGGGGAGCAATGCTTCTGGTCTACCCTGGTTTTCAGCTGAAACCTCTGGCTCCTCTTTCAACAGCTTTTTCACCTGGTTTTACCTGTCGGCCGCACGTCTTGGCCGCTTTGCGTCTTTTTCTCTCTCTTTTTTCTCTCTCCTCTGTTTTCTTTAATTAGCATCAAGGTAAATCTTCTCGTTCGGCCGGGACTCCGTCGCATTGGTTGCCCTGGTGAGGCGAGAGCTTGAGATTTGGCATCCTCTCAAATCACAGGGAGGGGCTAGAAGAGCTTGTGGGTGGCAATAAGCAAAATTGTGAGCACAATTGTTCTTCCGGTCCAATAATCGTTCAGTTGCTTTATTTAGATTTGACAACTTTTGCTTCAAGTCTGCGTTATGCCTTACGCGTTATGCAAAAGATCAAGGTTCGGCAAAATAGACTCGGACAACTACCGAGATAGATGAAATGAAGAGAAAAGAGTCATAAGACATTTGAACTGGGGAGAGTCAAGTCTGGAAGGTGGGTAACAACGACTTATACAATATACGAGAGAACACTTCCTGTCACATATGCGGCGGGCATTTACTCGGACATGAATCTATTATTTTCCATCTCTGGTCAGTTTTCCCCAGCCTACTTGGATTATTATTCTCAAAATTATTGACTATTATACACAACGCTATTATCCGCACGACGCAAAACGCAAATCGCAAAACGCAACAGCCAGCCTCTCAGTACTATCACTGTCACGGGCTCTCCATCTCGGCCAGCTGTGGCGACATTGTCGCTGGCCTCGGCACCACGGGCTCATCATGGCCAGTTTGGCCCATCTCATGTGGTTTCGGTGGTGCCCAGAACCCAGACATGTTAGCATGTCCTCCCATGTGCGCCTCATGTCCTCCCACGTACGTCTCATGTGGGTTCGACGAGGAGGCCATACTCGCGTGTGCGTAATACGCGTGAGGGGGGTGAGCAGGAGAGCCATACCCATCTGAAGGTACAGGGACGGGCACGATTTGCGGCTTTGATGAATGACGGCGATAGTATAGCAACAGGCCAACAGCAAGAAGCAAAACTGCTGCACCGCCGATGGCAATTCCTGCTATCGCTCCGCCAGACAGGGCGGTCGAGCTGGACTTGGAATCCGGGTTGGGGCTTGAATCTCCCGCTGGCGCTGCCGTAGTCGTAGAGCTTGGGGGCGCTGAAGTCGTCGTCGCAGAAGTCGTTGGTGATGCTGGGTTTACCGTAGTTGTTACCACTGAAACATTACTCGCTCCACTCGGCCCAATATCCTTATATGCATCGCAGTCGGGCTTGGGCTGCGCAAGCGGGCACTCGTCTGCGAAGCATATGGAGTAGAGCTGGCCATTGATAGCAGGCGCGCATCGCACATTGTATCTGGCATTCATAAACGTGTCGAGTGTCTGCGCGTCCTCGTCTGAGAAGCCAAAGTACTTGCTCGACAACGTGAGCTGCTCGATGAAGTATCCGATGTGTGTTTGGTTCAGGTCCATGAACTTGTGGACATAGGCCATGGAAAGAGGACCGCCGCTGTCGGCCGTGCGAGGAAACTTTGGCGCAAGACTGCAACCATAGACAAAGCCAAAGGCCGTAAACCAGTGAGTGAAGAGGCGGCTTGGTTGAGACAATCGGTAATGGTGAGTAATGATGACAACGATTGAGAATAGCGGCAGAGAAAACACTTACTATTGATTCGTCGATGTATCTATATTGACGGAATTCGAAGAGCCATTCAAGAAAGACATCAATGGTCCCGTAGCTCCTCCGTCTAGCCAGTCGATGCCAACAGGCTGATTGTTCAAGTTCGTCGTCGCCTCTAATATTGTGCCACCCAAGGCTCAGCAAACGAAGATCCAAGTTGAGGAACGTGTACATCTACACTGAGGGGATTGCCTTACTTGAGCCGTCAAACCAAGGCCGGAGGTATACATGAATCCCTTCAAAATTTCCATTGTTGAAGATGCCGGTATTGTCGTCGATTGGGTTTGGAAGACCAGAGCTTCCAGCATAGGCAAGCGTGACGATGCTCTGGATGAGGAGCAGCTGCGTGGTAACGTTGTTCGCGCCATACCGCTGCGTTGCGTAATAGTCGCAAATTGATTCGTTACCGGTTCTTTGGGCAAACGACTCTCGCCCTATGGCCAGCAGCAAGACAGCGGCAACGCGTTTCCACAGCATGTCGGGCCCCCTACAGATCTGGTCGACAAGTCATAGATCGAAGCAGCAGAAACAGAGATGAGGCGGGACAACCAGCGACCCGAGTGTACGGATTTCCCACGATAATATAGATAGGGGGCCAGCCGGGACTTTGCATCTGGCCGGGTCGGGCCAGACCATTTCATTTCCTCTAGCCGCACCAGCTTGAATCCCAAAGGCCACGCCGCGCATATTGTGGCGGGTGAGGCCTCGTTTCCATTTGCTGGACGGGGGGCAGCCATGGCGTCCCTGTCAGCCCAATGCTCGCTTCCTTCTCGCATAATTGCTCCAAGGCTGCGTCTTCCGTCCCTACTGCGGCCCCCCCATGTGACTGACAGCATCGTCGCGATCCTTTCAGCTCGTCGAGGCAGCCATCGAGTTTACCGCTCTGAATGGCCATGGCCTTGCAAGCCCGGGGAGGGCCTGGACCTCCATGCCCAGACCAGATCACCGACTAACACGACACGATGCCCAAGTAGCTTGCCGCTATACCGTCTACTCGGCTCCGGATGCCCACTACGCCTGGGCGTTCCAATCGGCATTTTGGACAAGCTGCGCGGCTGATTGGAGAGAACTGCAGCAAGCCCTCCTGCAGTGCCAATGCTTATATCTGACGGCGGGCATGACTGACTGACTTGTCCAGGTGCTAATCCTTTGCGGCTGAAGATGGCTTTTTCAGTAGTCGAGCTGCGAAATGCAAGGGGGGTCAATGGTTTAATCTTACCGTCAACACTTTCTTCTTAGCGTGCATTCGGCTGGGCTTAGAGGCTTGGAAGCACACAACCAACAGCTGTCAAGGCGCTTGGCGATTGTTTAGGCAACCGCTCTGTCGGTGAGCAAGCGTCAATGATGCCAGTGATTTATGATACATTTATGAATCAGGACAAGATTGTGGCAATTGCAACGATGAGTGCCCTGGTATTCGGCCTCTAGTAAGTAAGTTGCGCCTATATTATGCTTAAAATGGCCCGGCCCAATAACCGGCTATCGCCACTGAGCCAAGCACAAAGCTTGTGCTGCGCGCTCATGGCAATCCTGAATTATCATCCTGCATCAATAGGAGGGAGTAGCCATCATGACATGCATCTTCATAGCCATCTCCACAATCCCCAATAGTAGTCTCTCTCATCTCTGTACGAGGAATAGCCACCTGTGCCTTTTTAAATAATTGCTAGCGTCTTCAAGATAGCCTCTACCCTCTCCACCATTGTTGATACTGGTTTTCATTTTCGCCACGGATAGTAGCAGTATCAAATTCGCCGCTACCGCGTTATATTCTCTGTTAGCCTGCGTACGGTACTAGCCTGTAGCACCGTTATATTATTGTCCATTGCCAAGAATGCCGGCATCGAAATATTGTAACATTTTCATCAGACACATAGCTATCGTCATAATCTTAGGGTAGTCTCTCAACCTCTATAATACCATCGTCTTTCCTCTCATCATCCCTTTAAAACAGATGACCTTGATCCCTGCTATGGAATAAATATTGGTCTTCTATATTTGATCCGCATATAGCTGCTCAAATTTAAAGCTAGATAATGTATTAATCCTTGCCCACTATTCACCCTTTGCCTCGCTATCATCTTCACTATTCACAGGACACATGAATCCCTTCTCATTCAGTTCTTTGCTAGATAATGGCGTAGAGCAAACCACTACAAATGAGTTCTTGCTAGCGCTAATGCTCACAATCTTAAAGCATCCGCTCTTAACGTAATTCGCTGCCCGTATCAGCTCCTCCTCCACAGTGCTGTCGCTCGCTGCGCGGAATGTACGGAAGTCAGACCCAGCGTGCATATTGTGGTATATGATATCAACATTTGGGATAGGATAGTGAGTTGGCGGGTTTGGCTGTTGTGCGACAGACTGCCATGTTGAACTCGACGAAGACATTATTCTAGCGAGAGTTCTAGTCTATAAACTAGGAGTATATTAGATGCCAAAGGCTTATAACTGTTGAAATGAACAATTGCTCTTACTTACAGATTAGAGATGGGTGTTGCTTTAGGTTTGAAGGATCAGTGTTAACAGAGTGAGAGGGGGTACTTGCTTATGGCATTTATAAAGCGCTAATGGCTATTCCTATACAGATACCACCCAACACACATGGCCAACGGAATTATAAATTGCCGATAAACGAATCATGAGAAACATCTACTCTAGGAAAGTATGTATAAAGAAGGAAATGACTTAATTTCTGAAAGTGAGCCTAAGTGAGCATCGATCTACATGTACAATTTATGTCACTCATTTAAATGCGTAGATGGGCGGTTTGGAATAGCCGGTCATTACTAAATCTAGTGAATGTCGGTAGATTTAGTAGATGTAGGTAGATTCAGTAGATGTAGGTAGATTTAGTAGATGTAGGTAGATCTAGTAGATGTAGTTCTCATTGATCGTAGAATGATATTGCCGACTGCAGTTATATGGGCTGCGCTGGCTATAGACGCCAGGATACCTTGACTTAAAACAAGTGAGTGCTCTACTAATCCCGTCTCTCGTTTCAACGTGGAAAATGGGGGTAGCCTAAAGACATTCTCCTAGTGATGAAAAGGGGACAGTCCAGGCTTGAGACGGCCTTTCCTCCTCCTTTTTCTATATCACTGTTAGGCATTTCCTGTTTCTAGTATAATACCATAGCGTCGTCCCATGCAAATAATCCCGGCAGAAGGTCCTACTGTGTCAACAAGTGATTAGGAAACTGAAAAGCGAATTTATGGAGTATCTCTATAAGCTCAGTGGAGATCGAGAGAAGCTTGAGATAAGAGACCCCGTATTTAGATCAAACCGTTTTCTTAGTCCTCCGTGTTAATATTCCCCACCGCAAACGAGGTTCTGCATAGCCACTTTGAGTTGCTCGTCAGAGAGAGGTTTATATTATTTGGCTACGGGGTTCAATCCAGCGCCACAAAGTTACGCAAGTGCCTTCTAATAATTGAGACGTTTGATAGCCCAGTGTCGCAGTGTAAAGCTTACAATTCAGATATAGAGTTGGTATGGTCGGTGGATGGCATCCTAGCGTGAGCAGCTTGTTCGAAGTCTGATTTGCAAGGACCAAAATGCGTCAAGTGGCAGAGGCAAAAAATAGCTCGCTATTGTTGACCAAATCCTGGTTTTGCCTCTTCAGATCTGTGGCTCTGTGGAATGCTATCTACGAGCAATGCACACACGTCTTGAATCTGCCAATGAACAATCGGAGCGGAAACCTCGAAAATTATTTTCGGATCAGGGCTCGATTACGAATGCGGGCTGGAATCTCTGCTGGAGATTCCCTTGACGATGAAACGAGCTCTTCCAGAAAGTCTTTGCTCGCACGGATCTTTGTAAGTTCGGTGCCCACCTTGCTTTCCAGCGATTTACAAGGGTGACGGCTGTTGATGATGGATCTTGAGCCAGATGCTTTTCGCCCGGGGAGTTAGTGGATTAAAATGTCACTGACGTTTTCAGCCGTAATGACGATATATTGGTGAAATCTTCAACAGAGGGTAGAAGAGCCTGGGTGAGGAAAATAAAGCTTTTCCGCAAGGGTCGTTTGCTCTCGCCCAAAAGTCACTCGTCTTGCTATGACAAAATCAGCCCATACCACAACCACGCATCATCTTTTTGCACCAGTGTCTCTGAGAATTGTATCTACTAGGTAGTACCTATTGAGAGGCTCACTACAAGGCTTCTGTGGTTTATAAATTCGAAGTAGTACAACGAGTGTAGAGAAGAGTGCTTTGATGATTTCACCCTTGAAAGTCTGACGTGAGTAGATGCTTCATCATCCAATCGAACAAGCCGCAAGCAGCCCAAGCGCTTCCATCTTGCGGAAACGGTGCTCATATCGTTGCGTCATGAGACGAGAATGCTTCAATTGCTAGCACGAGAATAACAACAATTGGTTACAGAGTTTTCGTAATATACAATGCGCTAGCCATCAAGCCTCCTCCATTTTAAAAGCCTCCCAAAGCTTCTGCCTCACGCTCAGCTCTCCGCTCCACAGACCGTCTCTTGAACCGAATCTCCGCCCTTCTTCTCTCACCACCGTCAATCTTGCGTCCTTGGCGTTGCTCCCACATGCCCTCCGTAACCTTGACAATAGCACCGGCTTGCTGCGGCAAAGGCGTCGCAAACGGTCCAGCTATTGACTTGAGTCCCCTAACTGTGTAGCCATTTGGTCGGGGAAGGATTTCGGAGTCTTCAAGAGCCGCCTCTTGGTCCTGAGGAACATTGACCACATATTTCGCATCGCTGACAATGGACGCTGGTGGTGTTGCGACTTTCAGCAGAGCCTGGCCGTCCGTGACATATTTGAAGTCTCCGCCAGGTCCTAATGCACCATTTCGGTATCGCTGCATCCACTGCAGCAGGTATCTGCGGTTACGGGGAGGCTCGATTCCAAGCTCCTTGAGTTGTGGCGAGGTGAGGGAGAAGAGAGACTCCCATGATGGGAACTTGGAGGCGTGTTTGTTGAGGCCGCGGCCAATGAGCGTGAGGAAGGTCTGAACGTCTGGGACGAATGGTCTCGGCTGCGGGATTGTCGGAGCTGGTCTCGTCTTGTGAAGCCATCGTGCTTGGTTTGCGCCCAGGAAGCTGGTGCTGCGAAGGAATCGCAAGGGTGGTAATAGGCCGTTCTTCATCGTGACTGGGTTGAGGAAGCCCTAGCATTCGGCTGTTAGCGGCATTGACATGGCAAATTGATAGATAATTCAAGTATAGCAGTAAGAGTAAGAGTTACCTGATATGCTGGCCGTACAAAAACCGGCAGTTGACGGGCGTGACACTGCAAATCCTCTTTTCAAGCCCAGCTCGCGCAATCCTATGACATGCGAACTTTCTTGGTCTGATCCATACGATTTTGAAGATATTAGCTAAGCAAGGCTAGGTATATTAGTGGGGCAGTGGCCACCCACTGGTTATCGGTGTCATTCCATTGGTCCGGTTGCATTATTCAATTGATAACGCCTTGCATCACTTCCTGCTGGCTTGCATCCCAGTAACTTGTCGCATCATCCTTCCTTCACATCTCCGATTCATCATGACGGCGCGTGCATCTCCCATATATGACGCTGGCCTGTGTTTGAATCATCCCAAATAATCTAAAAAACGCCTGCTTAACGAAATTTATTCAGTATGGCCCGCAAGAGGCTACCACGCAAGCCCGCGGCGTGGCCAACCTTTGACATTGGACACGATGGTGCGTCTGTTCAGCAGTAGTAACGTTTCTTTATGAAGCATTTAGAAACTAACGTTTGTTTTTCCATTAAAGATACTCTTCCATCAGCTTTCCTAGAGTTTTTCGACTCTCTGTCCACTCAAGGTTCTTCCGAACATACCAAAGATAGTCCCAGTGATGTCGACCTGCCCTCGTCGAAGCGTCGCAAAATAGATCGTGAATCAGATGTTGGCATCTGTGTCGCCAAAACCGAATTATCATTCTCGCGCCGATGTGAAGAGGCTTCCCGCCCAAACTACCGTAGTGTCCATCGTTGTGTTGAATCATTGCTCAAATTCGGTCTCTTTGGCGATGAGCTATTGATCCGCACGCTGCCGACCAGTCGCCTCGGACAGTTCACCGCGCACATACATTTACGGCCGGGCGATGCGGATCGGAAGACTCGAGAGATATTCAATATTGAGAGATTAAGTTTGAAACGGACCGCTGTAGGTGCGATTTGGGTAGGCACTGATGTTGCGATCGAGTATCACCAAGGGGTTGCTTCCATGACAATCTCTCTGCAGCTTTTCTGGAATGAAACATCATCCCCGTATGCGCCTTTGAGAAGAAACGACGAGCGCCGATGCAGCGAGAAGCTGATAAACACCTTCTTTTCCCCGCAAGAGAGGACGCTCAACCCCGCTTCATGGTCGCCCATGGATTTCTATAATGCGGCGCACGTACCGCCAAAAGATGATACCACCTCCCTCTCTATTCATGTTCCTGGTCTAAACGCTACCCTTTTCCCTTACCAAAAGCGGACGCTGCAATGGCTATTGCGCCGGGAAGGCGTGAAATGGACCACGCAAGACACAGCTATCCAGCCATTGTTGGGGGAAGAGCAGAAGCTGGGCCTAGATCTTTTCCGTGCCGTGAATGATGCCGACAACCGCAAGATATATCTTAGTGATGTATTCCAGACCGTTACCCGAGATCCCACTCTCTACTACCAGGCCAGCAAACTCGTCAAAGGCGGTATTCTAGCGGAGGAAATGGGGCTGGGAAAGACTCTGGAAATGATTAGCCTCATCCTTTTGCATAGGCGGCGACCCGAGCACATTCTGGATTTCCTACCAGGCCAAGAAAACCTTGTTCCTAGCGACGCAACTTTTATTGTGACTCCGAAATCCTTGCAGCCGCAGTGGATATCTGAATTATCGCGTCATGCTCCAGGATTACGTGTAAAGCATTATACCGGATGTCGAGGGGTTGATAAAGAGGACGAAGCCCGGCTTGTAGCTGAGCTAGCTGGGTATGATGTGGTAGTGACGACTTACAGTGTGTTGTCTGCAGAGCTTCATTTTGCAATCAACCCTCCCGAGCGATCCCGCAGATTCGAAAGGGCGTATCGCCGAGTCCTTTCACCTCTCGTCCAGATATTATGGTGGAGAGTCTGTCTTGACGAAGCGCAGATGATTGAAAGCGGTGTCAGCCAGGCGGCAGCATTGGCGAGAGTAATTCCTCGAGTGAATGCCTGGGGCGTCACTGGTACACCAGTCAAAGACGACGTAAAAGATCTTCTTGGCTTGCTCTCTTTCTTGAGATATGAGCCCTACTGCTCAACGCCGCAGGTCTGGCAGGCACTCACTACGCATCATAAGTCATTATTCCAGCAACTCTTCGAGTCGATATCTATTCGACATACAAAAGCGTTGGTAAGAGATGAGATATCTCTGCCTCCACAAAGGCGATTCGTCATCACAATGCCCTTTACTGCGGTAGAAGAACAACATTACCAGTCATTATATAAAGAAATGGCGGAAGCGTGCAAGCTCAATACGGAAGGCGGCCCTCTAGCAGAGGACTGGGATCCTGAGGAATATGAAGATGTTATGAGATTGTGGCTCAACAGACTAAGACAAACTGCTCTCCATCCAGAAGTTGGCGTCTACGGACGCCGAGTACTAGGAAGCAAGGAACGCCCCATGAGAACAGTGGAAGAGGTGTTGAATGCCATGTTGGAGCAAGGTGAGACTGCTATCAGGATCGATGAACGAGCGTATCTTTCGAGCAGACTGTTCTTGGGCCAGCTATTTGAAAACAGCCCTCGAGTTAGAGAGGCTCTAGAGATTTGGGAAGAAGTACAGGGCGAGTCTGCCAAGCTGGTAACCGATGCCCAGACAGCACTTCGGGAAGCACTCCGCGAGAGGAGAGGGGCCAAGGATGCGGGCGATGCTTTGGAGAGGGTGCAAGATGTGTCAGATTCAGACATTGAGTCAGATGAAGAGGCCGAGGAAGAGGTTGGAAGTAAAGGCAAACTGGGCGAACTGCAGAACCGGTTAAGGAACAGCCTTGAGCTGCATCACAAGGCTGTCTTCTTTTGTGCCAACGCATACTTTCAAATCAGGGATAATCAAGAGATGACAACGCCCGACTCGGAAGAATTTCAGCGCTTGAAAAAGCTTGAGGATGATGGTTACGAGAGTGCCAAGATGATTCGTAGGAAGATTCTTGGTGAGGGTCATCGCAAGGCCATGCGGCTCGTGAAGAAAATCGCCCTGAAAGCCAATGATCAGACTTTTGTCGAGATTCCAGAGCTCATTATGAAGAGCGAGAGGGGCATCGAAAGTGGCAGCATTGTCGACAGTCTCCAGATTCTCTACGATGAGCTCAATGAGCAGGCAAATTTGATTGACGAATGGAGAGAGCAAGTCGTTCAGCTCCTCTTACGACCACTTATTGATGAAGAGGAGAGCACAGAGACTACCGGAGAGGAGCTTGCAGATTCTACCAAAGTTCAAGAGGAACTGATGGTCTATGTTCAAGTACTTCGTGCCATCATCGCCGACCGTCAGTTTGTCATATCAGGTCAAACGAATGGACTGGTGAGACACGAGATCGAGACGTCTATCAGACTGGCAAAAGAAGGAGACGGGCCTGCTCCATTGAAGCTCATTGAACTGGTCCGTAGGCGCGCTGAAGTCAAGCCTAGAACGGCCAAGATGTCCATGCGCGGCGCCATCAGCGAGCTGCGCAGCTTGGTGTCTAAACTTACCAGAGATACGGGCCAGAGCCAGAGAGAACTTCTAGAGTCGACCATTGCGTCAAAGTTGATGAAGACAACTCAGACGCTGCTCGGGGAACAGAATAAGGCGGCGGTGGCTTTGGAAGCAGAAGTCGAAAGCTTCAAAAGAGCAATGAATGCTCGGCTAGATTACTATCGACAGCTGCAGGCCGTTTCCGATGATGTGCTCCCTCTTGAAACACCCAAGACCGAAGAGGCTATTGAGAAGGCCAGGAAAAATATTGAGGATCTTCACAAAAAGCTCCTCTCCGGTGAGGCCAAACATCGATACTGTAAGTGTAACAGCAGAACTCCATGACACAGCCCTTTCCGCCTTGATACTAATTAGATGCAAACAGTGTTGAGCTTGAAGGAAACCGGATCCAAATCCAACGAGCCCCGGATGTGCGTCATTTGCCAGATGCCATTCATGACTGGTGTTTTGACCGTATGTGGCCATCAGTTCTGCAAGGAATGCATCATGATGTGGTTCAAAGCCCACCGCAACTGTCCTGTCTGTAAGAGAGTTCTTAAGGCGGACAATCTTCATGACATAATTATCAAGCCTCGACAGCTGCAGGTGCACGGCGAGGACTCGAATCTGCCGAAAGGGGATATCCGCGACGATAACCCGCAGGAGCGTCGGGGCTCTTCGAAGCAGACGATGCTCTATTCAGAGTTTGACGCTGGAGAGCTTGAACAGATGAAGAATATCGAGCTGGATGGTCCGTCATTTACGACAAAAGTCGATACCTTGGTTCGACATCTGATGTGGCTGCGCGAGTCTGATCCCGGCGCAAAGTCTATTGTATTCTCTCAGTGAGTCTTGCTTCTACATTTCCTCCATACTATTAAACGTATATTAACGCAATATCGTGTCAATTAGATACAAAGACTTTTTGAACATCTTACGCAATGCCTTTTCCCGCTTCCGCATTGGATACGCTTCAATCGACGACCCTGATGGCATCACAAGATTCAAAGAAGACCCTGCCGTGGAATGCTTTCTTCTCCATGCCAGAGCTCACTCAAGCGGCCTGAATCTCGTCAATGCCAGCCACGTCTTCTTATGCGAGCCTCTTCTCAACACTGCTCTCGAACTGCAAGCAATCGCCCGTGTGGACAGAATCGGCCAGCGGCACGAAACGACGGTGTGGCTCTATATTGTCTCTGGGACGGTAGAGGAGTCGATTTATAATCTCTCGGTTCGACGGCGCATGGAGCACATGGGTAGGAACCTCAAGGGGAAATCTAAGGAGTCGACACCGGAGCTGTTGGACGCCAATATTGAGGAGGCCAATACGCTAGAGTTGGAGCAGGCTGCTTTGTCGAAGCTCATGAGCAAGGATCGGTCTGCGGGTGAGATGGTGGATCGAAGCGATTTGTGGGAGTGTCTGTTTGGACATGTGAATGCGCAGCGGAGTTGAAGCAGATTCATGATGAGCTTGATGATGAAGAGAACAGGTATAGACATGCGATGATGCTGGTCAGATAAAGGGAACAAAGCACAGAGTAAGCGATTCCATTATGAAGATAACGATATGCCCGGAATTTGCTGGAAGCATATAAAATTAAGGTTTTGGTCTGCAATAAAATAATCATTATCATTTCTCAACCTCCTCAATATTATACATGATTTCTTTCTAGCGTTTTTGTATCCCAAACCGACCCGTGTCCATTCCAACCCAAGCTCAGCAGTTCCTTTTAATAATTTCTGTTAAAAAATAAAAGGCCTCATGAACTTCATGTCTGCACCATGGTCTCGACAATCTCATGGTCGGTCGTGCTGCTTTGTCGGAAGGATTTGGTAAAACGAAAGTATTGCTACACATTACAAGTTTCCGCTACCATTCCACAGAATGGGAAGGCTGTTATACAGGAAAAAATCCCCCCACCTTTCCCAAGAATAAGAAGAATAAGAAGGAGAAAAAGAGAGGGTGCGAAGGGTCATCCCTCGTTCCAGTCTCAACATCTTTCTTTTCTTCTGTTTACTCCACACCCTTCTTCTTGCTGGCGCTGGACTTTACGCGCTTGGCGACGGGGCGGTTGATGTGGTGGTCAGGGATCCAGCTCTCGTCATACGACTTGCCAGCGGACTCGGAGCCGGAGAGGGCATCAGCGGGGTCGACGGGCTTCTGGACGGGCTTCTTGGTTGAGCGAGGTCGCTTGGCCTGGGGGAACAGAGCCTCGATCCAGGTCTTGTAGACGAAGTAGAGGGTGCCGCCGAAAACCGCAGTGAGGACAATGTACAGGAAGATGCTGGGGAGGCAATTGGGGTTAGCAAAGGAGTCATAAGACATGTATATACACACAATGTAAAGAGAGAGAGAGAAAAGGAGAGGGATTACATTTGAGGGTCGAGGAAGCTGGTGGGGGCCTCGACAATGGACGTCTCGCCATCGTAAGCAGGGACCTGGAAGATGTCGCCCTTCTGGTTGGTGAAGACGGCCAGCAGGCGCAGGCGAACATCCTGGGGCATCATGTCGAGCGCAAACGAGTAGGGAATCGACTTGGTCTCGCCGGCCTCGATCTGCAGGCTGTACTGCATGGCCGTCAAGTTGCGCACGATGCCCTGGTAGGCCGGCGCGTCCTCAGGCAGCTCCTTGGTGGTCCACAGAGCGCCATTGGCGAAGACAACCTGGATGGCGTCGTCCTCCTTGTTGGTGACCTCGATCAGAGCAGTCGTGGGGCGGCCGTTGACCAGCTTGACGCCCAGGATGTCCGAGTCGGGGAACGTGGTCCTGATGTCGGCATTGAGCGAGGCGGGGGGCTTGCCAAAGTCGGCAGCCTCATCTTGGAAGTCGTCGGCGTCAGTCTGCGAGAGAAGATTGCGTTAGTTGAGCTGCATGCGAGTTGTGTCCTGTTGATTTCGCATCACATCACATCACGCACCTGAGCGACTGCGCCAAAGACCTGCAAGGCCAGGAAAGCGATGAGAGAAGACTTGAACAGCATTGCGACGGCGACGACGACACGAACCCAGCGCGGCCCGGCCCAATTGATATGAACCAAAGGGGGAGAAGAAGAAGAAAGAAAAAAGAGGAGGCGAGAATAATGGAATGGGGAGAGAGAGAGAGAGAGAATCCGAGGACAGACTGTTGGCGCTGATTTGTATCTCGAGGTAGAGCGGACAAAAATGGCCCCAGACTCCGGCTAACGGAAATGTGGCCACAGCTCGTGGCAGGACCCCCACCTTACGTAAGGAGCTGCATTGCCTTTGTTGGAAGCGAAAAGAAGGAGGGAAGCGAGGTTTTGCCTGAATGGGAACGGCGATGGCTTCTCCACGGGGGGTTAATTAGCGTCCCCTTTTTTGGAGGGAGCGGATACCAGAGGAATAGAGGTATGTATATCGATGGTAGCAGATACTCAAGGAAGCGTGTATCTACTTAAGAAATAGGTGGTATTAATACGAGAACCTTTCCTCTGCGTCTTGTTACGGCTTGGGCCCTTTTACTTGGCAGTTAAAAACACGAATACTGAGACATTGGTGGGAGAATATTGGATCACTTGGTACGCTTGATCAGAGCACATGTATAACTACAGCACACTATGTATGATAGTAGTAGATACTGTACTAGGGTACTCTATTGCTAAACATTGGTATTCCCTCCATTGTCCCTCTGAAATATCAATCTCACAAAACAGGGCATGACAAGATGCTGCATCATCCCAGAATCCATCATGTCACCACTTATCCAGTCAGCCAGCTGGCTTCTCCCGAGAAATCTGAATCCATACCCCCCCCCCCCCCCCCCCCCCCCCCCAATCATAATATGCGCCTCCCTAGCCAAACAATAAGCCACAACACACAACTCACGACATTCATGGTCCTCCAAGATCCATGCCACCCCATCCATCAAACACATCCATATCAGTGTCGAGGCTGCCAAACAGATCCGCCTCTGCCGACGCATCCAGCCCGCCATTGCTCCCAGCCGCCCCCAAGCCCAAGTCAGACGTAACGCCGCCAATGCCCATATCCAGGCCGCCGACGCCATCAATCGAAAGCGTGCCGTCGCCCGGAACTCCAGCAGCCGCGGCCATGGAATCTCCCACCAAGCTCGCCGCGTCACCAGCCAAGTCTAGCTGCATATCAGCCGCCTGCAACATCGGCGGCGGCGGCAGCACCATCTGCGCCTCCACTCTCCGGTAAAGGCGAACCACAATTTCTGCCAGCTCGGCGTCCTTCTTGTGCAGCTTCCGATAGTCCTCGGCTTCCATCTTCAAGACTTCTCGGAGAGTGAGACGTCGCTGTAGTGGCGGCGGCATGTTTCCTGCTTCATCCAACAGTCCACTGGTCGGTGGGAGATCATTGCTTACGTTTGGTGCGCAAACCAATGCTGTGACCACATCGTAAACAACACTGCCGCTGCCCGTCAGCATCTGCTGGCGGATTTCCTCCAACATGACCCGAAGAAGCCTGCTCGCGCCCACAATTTTGAGCGTTGCAATAATCTGCCGGTGGGTATACGAAGTTGGCATGGCCGTCATTTCTGGATGGATGCACCACTGAACGAGGGCCTGGATTAAGTGTTTGGTGGCCCCCGATAGGCCGCTGCTGGAACTGGTTGCCCACGTTTCCAGCTCCTGATGTTCAGCAGCCCCCGTTCGCCGAGAAGTGGGCAAGCTATCCTTCAGAGCCCTCAGCAATGGCTCAATGTCTTGATTCTTTGGATCCTGTCGTTGGTATGCTCGCAGTGAATGCTCCAAGGGCTTCGCAACTATTCCCTTGACCGCGGTAAGCATGGTGCTTGCTTCGCCAGAAATAGAGGTAGGCAACAAGATGAGTTGCAAAATTTTAATAATGGATTTCTGCTCCCTCTGCTCGACCCAGAGGTACTCAGACAAGAATCGGATCGCCGGGATCAGCGATGGCAGTAAGAACGTGTCCACCAGATCTGTAAATAACTAGTAAGCTCATGATCAATGGGCCGTCGCAATCGCCACCAAACACTTACACTCAATACCTGACCTAAGGGCGTCATCGGTCAGGGAGCCCTGGCTATATGCAATGACAATGTTTTCAAAGAGCGTCGCAATGAGGAGGTAGAATTCTGCAGGCGGGCAAGATGACATCAAATCATCTCCCAGGCCTCCTGCATCGCTGTCGAAAAGCCCATGTATCCATCCACCCAGATGTCCGTGTTCCTGCTCCGTTAACTGATCCAAGTTGAGGCTGATATGAGCTCGGCCGATGATTTTAGCAACATTTGAGTCTGCTGACAGGATGCCAATGTCGGCTGGAGACAAGCCATAACGGTAGGCAAAGGCCAGCACCAGGAGCAGAATGGCACCGAATTCTTCGTAGACGGGCTGATACTCTCCTTGGTCTTCGTCATAACGCCAACCGTCCAAAAGCTGGCAAATGGGTTCCAAAACAGTTGGTAGTTTCTCAAACAAGAGGAGCACGTCCAGGGACTGGGGCTTCTGGACCAATTGGCTGCAAAGGATCTTCAAGGACATTGTCTCCTTGCTATTACATAGTTGACGCAATAACTATATACGTTAGCATGCGAGCTCTTGCCATAAACACCAAGACTACAATAGGGGACAAACCTCGACAAGTGCCTGGCATACAGCCCCTACATTGCCATCCATCTTATCCATGTCGCGAATAAGGGCCTGTATCTTGTCCGGATCAGATAGACAGCTCTGAACCAGCTTTTCCTTGGAGTATTTTTCTTGGGAGGGCTCGTATGACATTGAGCTTTCTCCCAGGATCCGCTCCACATGTTCGCGTTCTATGAGTCCATGGAGGGCACAAGCCGAACAAAACTCTTCTCGAACGCTCTCTGTGTACGGGTTGTTATTGCGTGATTCATCAAACATTAGCGACGCGGTAGGAAACACGCTTGTGTCGACCTGAGAAAGGGCCTCGGTAATGCAGAACTCGGCAGACGTCGCAAAGCCGGGAGGGCAAATTTGACCGAGTATCAGGGGCACCTTGTTTATCAAGAAGGACCGTAATAGGTGGGCATCTCTGGGGCCTTCATTTCTGAAGACGGCATTTGCAAGCAAGTCGAAAGACGCCAATATCAAATCAATTGCGCTCTGTTGAGTATTTCCCTGGTATCTGTTATTCAGATATGAAAATAATGCATGGTCGTCTATCAATGGTCGGCCAACGAGAGAAGCGCCAAGGTATATGTATAGGCCTGCCCGTGTATTGGTAATGGGCAAATCCGAGATCACCAGGCTATCCAAGCCCACGGTAGAGTCTAGTAGTTCGTCCATTGCAGCATTGGCGGCTTGATTGTTCTTATCCACCGGGTCCAATGGGGCCAGGACCTCTGTCCTGAATATTTCAAGCTTCTCAACAAATTGCGGGACAGGTTGGAAAATTTGTACAAAAGATGTGAGGCTCTCTGAGAAATTTTTTCGAGGCTCTATGTAAAATGGTAAGCACATGAAAGGATTCAGAGTTGTTATGCTGTAGTATTACCTTTACCAGCCGGGTGACTAATGGCCTTAACAAGAGCCGGGTTGTCGACGAGTCGAAGCAATAAAGGGACAAAGGCAGCTCTTGAGACCTCCATCTCATGACGGACCTGCGGATCTTGCAGGCCGCCGGCTAGCATGTCGGCCGCCATGGAGTTCGACGCGGCGGAGAACAAGGACATCCACTTAGAGATGATGTGCATGAGTTCCAATGCTGTACGAGAGTCCTTGAGAGCAGTGCCTTCCACCACAAGCCTTATGACATGGTAGAACATGACCTCTTCGAGCCAGGATGAGCTTTTCCAGCGGGTTTGGGATGGCTGGGTGCCATCTTTCTTCGTCTCGCCATCCAGCTGAATTCCGCCCTCATCTTGTTCTTGATCTTGCCCCAGCTCTTTTCCTTGTTCCTGCGCCTGCTGCGGTATCAGCGAATGCAGCGAGGAGTATCTATAGAGGGCTCGGAGGATGGATGCCGCGTCGACGTATCGTAGCTGGGTAAGCACGGAGATGTACGGGGGGATTCGCGGGTCGGGGCTGACGCAATTGGACTTTTGCGGCTGCAGAAAGAAGTCGGCGATGATGTCGGGGGTGAGCTGATGCTTGGCGAAGACGAGCTTGACGTAGTCCTCAAAGGGGCCGGCATCGAGGCGCTTTGTCAGGCATTTGGAGATGAAGTCATTCCAGTATCGGATGGAGCCGCGGAGGGCCTCGGTGGGCGAGATGCGGCTCTCCATGATTCGGCGCGCTCGTAAGTAGAGGTGTGGAAGAGATTATATGCTTGAATTGATATACTTTGCGTGTAGACGAGGAGGTTATTCGCAGTGTCGAAGGTAGAGGACGAGCTTGTGTCGGCGCTGTCATGGACTGTTTGATGCCCTGGACGGGTGAGCAGGCCAGTTCACCATTTCCGTTGATGGGAAGCGTTAGTTTGTGGCTGAGACAAGCTCTTCTTCTCTTCTCCCGCCCTGGCTTCGCTGCTCTTCTCTTCACTCCTCAACCTTTGCAGCGACGTGGATGAGGCTGCAAGCAAGAATCAGCCTCGCGGGTCGTGGCGTCGCATCGTGTCGCTCGATACTTTGCCTTGTACTTTGTACCATCCATGGAAGATTCCGGTGGGTCTTAGCGGCGGGTGTTCCGCGTTTGTTGCAAGTGGGGCTGCCAAAGCTTCCAATGCGCCTTCCACTTCGAGACAGGAGCTTATGACAGTACGAGTACGAAAGCATGAGCGGAAAGAGGGAAGAGAGGCGTAAATTTCCAAGATATCAGTACTCTGGTGATAATTGTTAAAGATACATGTATTAGTAGGTGCTACTGCCAAGATATCTAGGAGGTACTTGTAAGTGCCTCACTTGACCTCTTTAAATGACCTTTTACATTTCTAAAGTACATGTACCTCAAGACTGATGCTGGTACTGGTACTGGTACTGGTACTGGTACTTCAACCCATGGCTTCACCGATTCATCAGTCTTACATCTGCATTGTGAATCAGAACTGATTTTCATTCAACTCGCTCTATACATGTCCAAAGTCACCTTGACTGATTCATTCGCGAAAATGCTTATGGGGGCAATCAACTGCAGCCAATGCGTATTTATTTCTATCTTGCTCCAAGTGCTGAATCGACCTTGTATAAGCCAAAAGCAGCATCATGGCAACTCAGCAATTACCAACACTATATAATGACCTCATCTGGATATCTTTTTTAGAAAGCAATTGAAAACCGAAAGTGGATATCTAACCAATAAAAAAAGACAAAGAAAAGAGGGAGAAGAGAAACTCGCAAGTCTCTCAGGCAGACCACACAACATCGCCACATCAATAATCTGGGCATTCTACAGCACGCCCTTACATTAACACAGCGTCCATCTCTTCTTCCAACAACTCACCCTTTTGCCTTCCACTTGCACGACTTACTTCTCGTACGTCGTCAACAAAGTCTTCTTACCAGCGGCAATTAGGTGGCAATAATCGGTACCCAGGAATCGGCCCTTGGCGTAGTGGATGAGAAAGCTAAAGACCTTGAACGAGCCCATCTGGCCAGTGCCACGGCTTCTGCCCAGCGTGATGCCAACCATGACCTTGGTGCTTGGGGTGTATATGGGCATGGCGCCGCCCTTGAGATGGATGGGAAGCGCCTTGATGAGGTGGACTGTTTGGGCATCTGCGACACCAGCCTTGCTATCCTCCAGATTGCCCACATCTCCCAGGACAAAGATGTTGTCGTAACCCTTGGCCTGGAGAGACTTGGTCTGCACGATGTATCCGTTGCTGTCCAAGAGGCTTGGAGGGACAAACGAGCTGTTGGGGGTGCCTCCGGTTGTGGGGATATAGGCCTGAGTCGTCAACGTCTTGGTCTTGCCGTCGGAGCTCGTCAGCGTCAAGATGGTGTCGTTGCCCGAGTAATCGACGGCAGTAACCTTGGTGTTGGGAATCAGCTTGACCTTGAGCTTCTCCAGCTCCGTCTTGGTTTGCTTGCGGACACTGTCCATGATGGGCGGCGCAAGGGGCAGTGTGTCGTTGTAGATGAAGTAGACTTCCTTTCGGCCCTCCTTGGAGTACTCAAAGCCCAGCTCGCCCGCGGTCTCGGAGCCAGTCTGGCCACCACCGACGATGACAATAGTCTTTGCACTCTTAATCTGCTCTTGGAGCTCGCGCAGGCGGCTCTTGGTCTGCTCGGTGTCGCCCATGGCCTTCCAGGGCATGTTGTCCTTGGATGAAGTGCCAGTGGCAACAACAAGAGTGTGGTAGTTGATGGTGCGGCTAGCGCCAGAGCTGAGCAAGACATCAACGGTGTTGCTGGCGGGGTCCAAGGCACTGGCGGTGCCCTGGACAAACTCGAACTTGTCGGTAGGATATTCATTGAAGAAGGGTCGGAGGTCGATCATGGCCTTGTCGTCGGGCAATTGGCCAGGCACAATGACTCGGGGCATGGCAATGGGCCAGTGGAAGTGAGTGTTCGGGGCGACGACGACCATGTTGTAGTCCTTTTCCTTGAGAACAACATTGCGCATGGTCTGGCGGATAAGAGGCGCGGCAGAAACGCCAACGCCAAGAATGACAATGGTCTTCATTTTGAATGGGATTTTTGTTTTCCTTGGTGAAGATTGGGACACCGCTGTGGGCAAGGGGTAATCTGTGTTGTTGATGTGTGGTATAACAGAGAAAGGAACACTGATGGGGAGATGGGGCTCAGGACGAGGCACGGGCACCAGGATGAATATATATATATTATTTGTACTCCGCAGCCCCTGTGCCCTTGACAGACGGAGCAAGGCTGGTCCAAGCAGGAACAAATTCGATCAGACGTGCCACTTACACGCGAAACGTTAGGCTGGAACTGAAGAACCCTTGCAAGCAGGATGCAATATTACGATAACCAGCTAATCTCCAGACGTCACTCAACTGTCAATTAGATAAGATTAATAATATTTCGGCATCTTCCAGATGTGCGATCCTCCGCCCGGCAGATCAAAGCTTTGTATCTGGCTCTTCCAGACGCGCGCGCTACATCTTTGCTGATTTATGCACTAACATCCCAGACCCGCAATGCACGGTTGTAATCTGATCGAGCAAAAACGGCACAGAGAGAGATTAGGGCGAATTAAATGGAATCAGGCGTGGTATAAGACGGAATAGGTCCAAAAATCAGTCTCCGAAAAAGCCTAAAGCCGCGTCATTCCCGACATATCATGAGGATCTCGCAGACAGAAGAAGAAGAGAGAAAAGTAAGATATTCCTTCTGCATTCCTGATTCCTCCTCATTCCTCTGTCCCCCCAGCCTAATTCCCAAAACGAAACAAAGTAAATAACAATAGAAGCTAACCGAGAACGAAGTCGATTTTCAACCCTCAAGGGATATGACATGATACAGTATGGAGAACATGCTGAATGAATCAATATGAACTGTCAGCCGCGCGGTGAGGGAACATGAAAGCTGGGCGATCACCGCCACCGTCAGCCAATCAGCGTCGTTAGCGCCGGCTTCCCGCTCGTCACGCTTGCGGAGTTTGGAAATTAGCTGGCTGTCTATCTCTCTTCTTACAGCACTCTGTATAATACCAGATGCCTTATTGTCTGTAGCACTGGCGGAGAGAGCCTTCATCTGCCTTACAGAATGTGATTGTCCTTGGGCAAATGATTACCAAAGGCGGGCGCCGACTCCATTTTGCAACCCATGGGCATGGCCTAGAATCTATGTGCCTTCTTTTTCTTCTTTGTTTTCGTCCTTAGCTTGCGGAGTTGGACATGCTTTCATAATACCTTGCCCTTTTTCCTTTATCGACGGGGCAATTTCTCTTCAATGATGCTTCAGCTCCGCCGCCCGTGACCTGAGATGAGCACATTCAGCTTACCCGGGACTTACCTCAGTCAAACCGCTCGCTGTCTCGCAGGACTGGAATGCTGATTACGATAGCATCACTAACACAACGGATGCATTACAGATCTCGTTTGTCCTTTTTCTAGTAGGGAGTAGAGAGATTGCAGTTGTGGATAGGTCACATAACATGGACCAGACCAAATAGCTGATGTATGTGACAGGCAGGGAATCCAACTATCTGCAGGTATTCTGGCCTCATGTCGTCACTCATCCTCAACCTCACTCTCTCCTTACATGTACTCACCTAGTCGTCTGTCTACCAACATTGTCAAAACCCATCGCTCTTCATTTTCAGCAGCATATCGGCCCATTTTTGAACTCTTTTATTGATGGACCTCGTCGGTCATTGCCCTCCCAATGCCTTTCCTATGAGTATTTGTCCTGCCAGCTCTGCCAAGGGATTCCAACGGCTTATTCATGGGAGGTAGCTTTAATCAATTGCACCGCGTATCCTGCCACGCGAGACGTTGTATGAAGAGTGTGCTGGTAATTGCGCAAAAAAAGAATCCGTCTTGGTGGTATCTTCGTCAAAAGGGGATCGTGGTGGTATTTATTCACATGGCTTATACTGCTCTAGGATATTCTGCGCGCCCACCTGGACTTGGATGCTTTGTACACTATGGTATGTTGCATGAGCTGTTTGTTGTCCGCTTCATTGAGCGACTGGTCGGATTGAAGTAATATTGAATGGTTCGACCTTTCACTCGCCTCAATTTACCTCCAGCCATCAATACATCCAAATCCATCGCGAACCCCATCAATTCCTAGCAGCAAACCACCACATTTCCCTTACACTAGCCGCCCTCAAAGCTTCACTAGCCCTCGCCAAACAGTCTTTCGCAAGGAGCCTATCGGGGCGTAAAGAAACGGCGCAAAGGAAACATGGGAATAATGGAGCGGGCCGCAGCACGGGAAGATAGATCCCGCCATCCAAAGGCCCGGCAGTGCTAAATAAGCTCCTGTATTCCTCGAGGTATGCAACTAACTACTAGCATAAGCCAGGAGACCCGAGTTTGTCCGCGGAAATCTGACATCAGCCACGAACAGGACACTCGAGAAGGGAGGATTGATGCTAGACTAGTCGAACTACTCAACGTCAATCTCTCTCCCATGTCCTTGCGCAGGGAGAACATGACGAACACATCGTGTATACCCCCCCAACACCCACCCATACAGAGGCACCCGGGGATAGGAAACAAGGGCATGGTAACACGTAGCCGCCAGACTACTCGGACTACTGTCGAAAGCCGCCCTGCCAATGGCCTGTGACCGAGCCCTTGAGACAAGCCAAGAAGCCCGCACCCACTCTGTGAAACGAAGGAGGGTAAACATGAGCCCATGACACGTCAAAGTGCTCGTCCCGTCGACACTTCACATGTCACTCTGGGATCTGGGGAGGGGGGGGGGAAAGCCCACTAATAGTTGACGAACCCCCAAGTCACGATGGGCGTCGAGTCGCCCTGACCGCGTCGTAAAGGCTAGGAAAGACGCAGCGACACCATCTTGACCGAATCGGGCCTGCGTGGCAGAGGGAAAAGATGACTGCTCGTATTTTCTGCGCTGAGCAGATTGCACTTTGGCCAAGGCTGTGTCTCTGATGCGTCAACAACCCGCTTCTTTGCTGTTTCAGCAGACACATGCTTTTCGCCCTTCCCTTCCCTCGAGTCCCGGTACCCAAGAAGGCGGTGTTGGGGGCGTGAAATGTAATGACGTTGTTGTTGTAATGGCGGCTACCCGAATATTCGGAGTTTGTCTCGTCCGCGCCGGGCATCAGGGCCAACTCCCTTTCTCCCTCTCTGGGTGGGAAAGAAAGGCGGCCCCAGCAAGGTGTGCTAAATACCGACAGGTTGGTAATTAATTTACCTACTTTCGCTTTGTCCCCTGTACGAGGAGACACTCGTGGAACACAGTTGTGACGGGTGGTGCTGCCACACCAACAGCGGCCCACTGCGGTGGTGATGGATGGCCAACGGGGGGCAGAGAGTAATAAGGCAGTACCTGGTATGTATAAGTATACACGTACCTATTCATCTACCACACCGTATCTCACCTCCTACCTACCTACCTTACATGCCCAATAGTACATATATAGTACCTAATCATGTAGTAATACGTGAATCTCTCACGTCTAGGTATACTTGAGCCAGGGCTTCATCTCTTGTTGAGAGGAATACAAAGGCACAGACTACTACGGCACCAAGGTTTGTTTTGCCGTCTTGTCTTTCCTAACCTCCTTAGCGCCTCATAGCAGCATCACCGGATACAGGTACATACGTAGGGAGGTAGCATCCATGCCTGGTATTCGATCGGTAGCAACCGGCATTTGGGGCTAAATCTTGAGCCTCCCGCTCTCCCAAGCTCACGTGTACGGCCATGTACGGGACGGTACTGGGTTCGACGGACGCGTTGCTACTGTAGGTCCTCTGCTAGTCGCTGTTCCCGCACCTGTCCCTATGCCTGTTCCTGTTTCTTGTGCTTGTGCATCTCATCCGGCGTATCTTGTACCGGCCCGATCCCAGCCCCTGTGCCCTGTCCTAGCACTTGCACTCGTGCTTATACCTGCATCTACCTGCATCTACCTGCGGCTCTGCCTTGTTGTTGCTGCTGGCACAATGACGCTGCGGTCACTGGCAGCTCCCCTGTACCTGCAAATTGCACCGGTGCGTGTACAGATACAAGCGCATAGCAGGCGATACAAGAACAAAACGCGCTGATGCTCGTATAATCAGCAACTGGCAGCCTGTGGGGGAATGTCTGATTTCTGAATTCTGGTGTGTGGATCGGTCACTTCTCACGCCCGAAATCTTTCGGGATTTCCCAGCCAGCCAACCAGATTGCTGGACGGGCCCCCCACATCGTCGACAAGCAGCAATCCGGACGCTCGTACAGGCACCAAACGGTCCCGTACTTGCTAGCGCGGCTCGAAGTAGCTCGAAGTAGGTCGATACAAAGAGTGCACTTGGCAGTAGGGCCTAAGGGCCGGTAGTCGGTACAGAACAATACTAGCATTGTCGCTATTAGGCCTAGGTACCCGCATCTTCCCGCTATTCACCTATTCAGGTACAGCACGTGTAGCTGCTTGCTTTAGAAGCGCGGCCCCTCACCAGATGGTATACCTCAGGCACAAGTCCCTGTACATCCGTGCAGATCTAAATCCAAATTTGCCATGGTCCCCTGTCGAGGCGCCCGCGGTACTATAGCCACCCCCCTCCTCCAAAAGTAAGTCTTTCTTGTCTTCTCTCGCTCGCAGTGGCAGGAAATTGCCCGGCCTGCTTAGCTTTTTCGATTCTGTGTGTTATAAAGATTCGCTCCCTCCCGATCAACTGCGCTTGGCCCCGGCAAATCTCGATTCGATTCCTATTGTGCCGATAACTTTGTTTCCCCATCCCACCTGATTCGTCCCCCGACATTGACATCCTTTCATCTCTTCTTACCCGCTGCCTCTACACTCTACACTCTATACTCTACACTCTACACTTTACACTTTACACTCTACAACTCTCATACAATATCCGTTCCTATCCCGCCTCCATTCTCCAGCCCTGGACCAAGACCGACATCGCCACAGAATCGACCACCCAGGTCATCCCGCCATGGCCGATGTGGCTATCCCCGACGTCCCCATGGAGGTGGACTTCATCCCCACGGAGAAGTTGGTACTCATGTCGGCGCAAAGACTGCGATCCTTTGTCATGAGAAGAGGCCTACAGGAGGCGAGAAAGGGCCCTTGGTCCCCCGAGGAGAGTCAGCGCCTGGTGGCACTGGTGCAGGTGATGGGCCCCCAGGACTGGGTCTGCATCGCCTCCTTCATGGTCTCTCGCAACGCAAAGCAGTGCCGTGAGAGATACCACCAGAATCTCGACCCGACTCTGCGGCACGACCCCATCACTGAAGACGAGGCCTTCCGCATCATGGAGCTGTACCGCAAATACGGCACAGCATGGGCTCGCATCGCCGAGCAACTCCCGGGACGCAGCGACAACGCCATCAAGAACTACGTCAACGGCCTCGTCAACAAGAACAGACGGGCCGAGGAGCGACAGGCTAGCCATCAACACGCTGCCAAGAGACGGGGCTCTGCGCAGTCCATCCGCTCCGCTGCCTCTCCTTCAGCTTCACACTCCCTCTCCGCTTCTTCTTCCACAGCCCTGACTCCATCATCATTTGGCTCTCGATCACTGGAATCGCCCACATTTTCCGACATGACCGAGGCGGACGGCGGCAACCACTACGCACTATCCTCAAATTTACCTTGGGCACAGTTTACGCCTCACGCATCTCCTCCGCGATGGCATCGTCCACTGGCCCAGTCGCCAGAACTTACACACCCCAAAGCCCATCATCACACCCTCTACCAACAGCCGCCACCCTACGAGGCGTCTCCATATGGGCCTCCATATGGACAGAATGGCCACAATTACATCCAGCAACACGACAACTGGCGTCCTGTGTCTCGCTCCTCCGAGCCAGCATCCTTCCTGGACCCGGCCACTCGGCGTCCCAGCACGGATCTTGCCCGATACTCCATCTCTGGCGCGGTCGTGCGCGAGCCTACGAGGGAGGTCGAGATGCTGGACTATGAACTGCCCAGAATACAACCTCCGTGGGCAGGTAACGACATGCACAAACCAATGCTACTGGCTCCAGAGCAGAGTGCCATCGCCGCGCCACCGAGCCACCAGGCCGATCCAAGGATGTCCATTGCGAGCCTGTTGACGTAGGATCCGACAGATAGCTCTGGCTGCCTCTTTCTTCTTTCTTTCTTTCCTTCCTGATTTTTCTTCTACTTCTTATTCATCCCTTTCTCATATCTTCTTTTATTCCCCCAATCATCTTCTTCTCCTTCACTTTCACCTTTTTTTATATTCTCCTCTTTTCCCTTGTTTATTTCTTTCACCCTTTCCTTTGTCTTGATTTCCTTTGTACGAGCCAATTTATATCATGGTAGAAAAGGCCTCAGATGGCAATGCTTTGTTTAGGAATCTCAATGTATGTCGCATGAGCCGACATTTGGTACTACAGGAAATCGTTTACATCACGATGAAAGGCGCTCTTGGGTTATAACGGCGTCCCCTCCACGCTGAGGGCGATGTAGGGAAACGGAAAACGCGAGTTTCTGTTTTTGGCACTTGGATTTTTCTTGTCTATTTCATAATACCCCAATTCCCAAAGGGAGAGGGTTTTCACCTCTCTTCTTTTGAATGTGTTTCCTGGATTTTGCTCTTGTTTTGGTCTGATTTGGCTTGGCTTGGCTGGGAATGGGTTAGTTTCGCGGTAGCAAAGGGCTTTAAAGGGCTTTAATTACTTGTCAGGACCCGGAATGATTATAGGTCAACTGAAAGGGCCCTGCTTCCTGTATGAATAGACTTAGAATTGACAATCATTTTTAAGCATTGACATGTTTCCTAACTCTTCAAGTTTAATTCTAGGTGCCAGCTATTCTTGTGGATTGCTTTAAAAACGCCTCGTTTCCAGCTCCCCGGATGCGCTCTAGTTTAGCCTCACTGAACAGAGTTTGACCCAGAGAATGAATTAGATAATCGACCCGACGGAATCTCGAGCAAACCTGAATAAAACAAAGAGGCGATTGCAATGTCCTAGTGTTGTCATGCTGCATTACGTCAGGCAGACAGGCGTCCGTATATGTACGCGACCAGAAGCGGAAGTTGAACGCAGGCAGCTCAAAACGACACAACTGCGCCGGGAAACCCCCCGATCGCGAAAGCGCATCCCTTTCGCAGCGATCTGGCATCGAGAGAAGCATCGGAACGCCTCAACGGCTTGCGGGTCCCCAGTTGGACGGGGGGGGGGCCACTGATAGAGGATTCAAGAACGCTACCTGGGTGGCCATTGATGCTACCTTAGTTTGTCTTTAGACCATTCCCATTGATGGATCCTTTTTTGCGGCCCTCCCCCCCCTAGGATTAGACCCCCCGGCAAGCTGCAGGACAGTAACAACGCTCTTCTCTGGATGATGATTTTTCGCTCAATCTCCCCTTGACCCCAGTTCTCGGGAGGGGGGGCAGCACTTGACCGTTGAGATGGGCCTAAGCAGCGTGACTGTTTTTCCAATCCTTCCAAGCCACTTTGCGGACTCTCACCCCCCCTGCTAAACATTGATTTGCAACGGCTAGTGGACAAAAGCAAGCGAGTAGTATTACGACTCGTTGGTTGTTTCCCCCCCTCCTTCTTACACTCCTTCACCCCTTGTCTCTTTGTCTCCAGTTCTGGTGGGAAAAAAGAGGGAGGGGCCCGGCAAGCTTCACAGGATTTTGTTTATCGAAGCCTTGAGGCCAAGTCTCGATGCGTAGGAATGGATATCTCTGGCTAGTCAGCTGAGAAGGGGGTGCGATGGGGCCAAGGGGGGGCACCAGGTGGTGATCTGGACTTGGTTTGCCGAGGTTATACGCAAGAGGACATCTTTGAGACGAAGAAGAGGACAGCGAAGAGAAGACGACTCATTACTCTTTTAAGGTGCGTAATTTGGATCACAGCAGCAAATGCAATACTGTTACTGTACTGTAGTACGGAGTACTTGGAAGGCGAACAGCGAAAAAGTGGGTGTAAAACGGGCATTCCTGGTGGTGCTCGTATAGGCAAAGCACGACCCGCGGCGCCTTGGCTTGCTTGCTTGCTTTGCAGTGAGTGAGTGAGTGACACTGGCAGAAGCAGCCAGAAACCGGCGTCGACAACACACGCAAGAAGAGAGGGCGGGACTACTGTACTCGTATGTGCCTGGAGGTGTGCTGCGCTGGATCCCCTGTAAGAAATACCATGTACCGTTCCATGTCCATGGCAGATCAGAGCAGAGCAGAGGGCGCGCGGTCGGCATGAGGCCGCGCCGGGCATCTTCCATCGCAACAGTTTGGGCATCTTGCAAGAGCCTTTTTTTCTCCGATGCCATCTGCCGGACGGGATCCTCTTCCCGCCAGCCACCCAAGTGGACTTTTCCGATAATCAACATCAAACCAATCTATTTAAACAATAAACCAAAAAAAGGCATTGAGTCGTGAAAGAGGTCGAGTCAAAACCGACTTGGATTCTGCGGAAAACGGGGGGCGGCGCCATTCACGATTTCAACCCACGCAGCTTGCAATATCGCAACACACACCCCCTCCTCCGCTGTTTAGGGGGGGCGTCGACGCAGTAATCCCGAAAATTTTCGGGCGCACGTCCCGAAGCCTTGCGCTCAGCCCTTGGGAGATCCGCTGCCGAAGGTGGGGCGCGGCGTGTGATTGGCCCGCGGGTGGACTGGGATATCCGGGGCCAGAAAGTACTAGGTACTGGGTACTGGGTACTGTACTGTAATAATAACAATAATAATAATACCTGCTCAGTTCGATCATGACGGGATGAGGACAGTTATTACTCAAGGAGACAAGAACAAGGACACAGCACAGAGCGGATACGATGCCCCCCCTACTATATACACTAGAGATTTCCCCTTGCCCATCTCGCTCTGGTTTCTACAAACAGCCCGCCCTAGCCCGCGAACAGCAGCTCGCCGCCGCACGCTGCCAAATCGCCCTCTAACCGTTTTCTTTCAAAATCTCCTCTGTCAAAAAGTGACCGATAGAACCAAGACGATTCACCCCCCCTTGCCCTCCCTTCACCCCTTTACTGTAGTATACGAGTACTACTACATAGTATGTACTCACTCACCATGCATGCTCGTACTGGATGTGTGTCTCTCTCCGTGACAGAGCAATCTAAGTGGCACAAGTCCGAGAGAGCACCTCCCATCAGGAACGTAGCTGAACCCTTGCAACCCGCTCGTCAACTCTTTCCCCACCCCTCAATTGAAACCGGAATTAATTCTTCCTCTCTTGTACTCTACTGTATTGTACTGCACATTGTGCTATTGTCCTGTCCTGCCCTGTCCTGTTCTTGTCCTGTGGCCCCCTAGCCCCCCATCTTACGCGCTGGATGGCTCTCTGGCCTTTCTCTGTGCCGCCCATCCCCTTGCCTTGCCGCGGCTGTTTATTTCATTTACAGTACGAGTACGAGTATGTATTTTAATTTGTTTTCTTCTTTGAAAAAATTCCCACAGCGACTCCTGTTTCAAGAGCCCCGCATGTGCATCTCCAAGGAGCATCTCATTGCACATGCACAGCCTTAGTAGCATGCAATGTCTCCCAGGGTACGGAGTACATGTACCTATGTAATGTACTTTACAGTAGCCCGGGCCGTCGATTCGGCGTTCGTTTCCAAACAGAGCCATACAGACAACCCGCTAGAACAAGCCAGTCAGCCAACGACATTAAACAAGGGGGGGTCACCCCCCAGACAATGAACGAACCAAGAAGGAAAGAAAAAAAAAAAAAAAATAGGGCCAAGGACCAGTATGTGCCCTTCCGCGTGACAAATTGCCTAGTAGCACTCGTTTCTACACGCCTGCCTGCTTTTGTTGGCCTTAGCCGTTTAGCCTTCCACCAACGTCATCCAACGTTGGAGATGTTGCCATAGCTCTTGGGGCGGGCTGTCAGCTCTGTTCCCACCGAAAAGAGAGAGAAAAAAAATTGAAGAGCCAATTAGTCAACCAACACGGGACTGGGGAAGAAAATAGAGAAGAAAAAAAGAGCTGCACGATGCGTGTTGCAGCCCCTGCTTCGAGTCTAGCGATGTCAAGGGGCGGGCGCTGGTCCCAGCATTTGCTCAACCAGACCAGACCAGACCAGACCAGACCAGGCTGGAACCTTGACAGCTCAACTGTTTGTTCGCCGATGAATCAACAACGCTTTTGACAGCCAACATGCCAATCACCTTAGGTAGTCTGCTGGGTACATGTACCTGGTAATCCATCAGTCCGCCGCTGCCTGAGCTTGTAAACTGTTCTCAACTGTACCTGTATCCACCTGTACATACTCCGTACAAGGCATTCCGTATAACTACTCGCTTCACTCTAGCTGTCCTGTCATCTCCACTCCACTCTACTACTCGCCCTTGTCCCCGAACAATGGCTCATATGCCGTCTCCTCTCTTCTTCAGTCTTCTTCATCCCGTCTTCGCCAGGGATCCCAGCAAATCCGAAGCTACTAGTATACGGCCTTGCATCCGCACATGCTGGCAACTGGTGGCAAAACCACCTAACCGTTGCATCGTCGCTTATCTAATCGCGCCCTCCCGGAAGCCGGTAATTTGACTTCCGGCTGTCGCGTTACAAAACAACCAGCAACCCGTGTTTCTGTTTCTGTTTTTAGTTTGTGTTACAGACCTTATGCGGGCGGGCACATGAACTTTTGATGACAGCTGGAGACGAGTTTAGTAATTCCATGTGTCCAAGTACTAACTAGGTAGCTTGAATACGCCGGGTTGTCACATGTGCTTATTTCGACGAGATTCAGCCACCAACACACACTAAAGAGGTGACAGGCGGATGGATGCTACGCTGTTGCTAGCATCATCCGGAGATACCTATAGTTACATCGTTATTGGCGGATAATGACGCAAAGTTGTGTTGTTTCCTTTGCATGGGTATCTATCTAGTTTGTATCATCAGAATCTCCCAAAATGGCTGTTCGTTTCCTCGGCAGCGAAACACTCGTTACTGCCCAGACAGTCGTCCCAGGAAACCCCGATCAAACAGCAAACATGACATGTAAACTTGGCCAGGCTCGACCGTGACAGCAACATGCCAGCACTGAATTTACATCAACTCTCTTTGCTTCTTCTTCCTCTTCTTCTTCCTCTTCTTCTCCTTTTTCCTCCTTGATTCATCAACTCTCCACCAAACTAAATCGCAACTCATGGACACGGCTCTCGACAGCGTAGGGCACCCCGAACCCACCCACTCCTCAAAAGCATGCATGACCAGAAATGAGTGGCTCTTGGGCTTGCCGGTGCCAGACACCGAATTGCCAATCGACGTCGACATAAAACCCAATTTCATTCCGCAGCCTCAGAACCACCCCCAAGAGTTTGACGTCATGGAGGCCGTCTTCGAGTGGCGAGACAAGTCCACCTGCCGGCCCGAATTTGCTCGCCTTTTAAAGTTCCGTTTACTCAGTTCCAACACGAACTTCTTGGCCAGCTATCTTGGTTTCTCGCAACCGAGCCAGCTCTACCATTTCGTTGACTATATTGGTGAGTTTTGACAAGTTTGTGGTGAAGGGATCCCCTTCTGGCCATAAGGCCCTATGACCAATCGTTCAAGGAAACTCACACGATTGAGTCAGAGTCCCCTTGCTCTGTTTTCATGACTCTAGAGGAAACTTTTGACTAACCCACCTCTGGTAGTCCCGCTTGTAATCCACCCGTTCATCAGCCTGTGCGCGCGTGGCGACTTCACCTACACTCACAAGCTTCCCACGAGGTCACTACTTTAGGACTGTTTGACTGGCTTTGCTAGTGAGGACTCCATGTGGCTCAAAGACGCTCTGGATAACAGCGAACCCGATACGGTCCTGGTAGGCTATTGCACAGACGACCCTTTGTTCCACAGACAAGAGCTTGTCAGGATGGATGAGGTTGAGCCAACCTTCACAGTCATGGCTTGCATATACAAGTTAATAAAAGCCAATCCTGCAAGATTCAAAGAACCGACGACGGGTCTTGATCACGAGTGTGCATGGGGCATTCATCACGAGGACTGGCAACGCGCCTTGGAGGTCATCTATTTCACCAAAAAACGCAGGGCAGACTTTGGCAATTGTCCCGTGAAAGGCAAGTACAAGTACGACCATTTCAGGAGATGCGATGAATATATTCACGCTTACGCCACGCCATATGTCATTACTTACGCAGTAGGTTTACAAGCAAGATTAGTCAATGAGTGGCTGGCGTTTGAATATTTAAGAGGGCTCAGTACCGAATGAATCCCAAAGCGGCTCATATGACTCGAACGCGGAGGCAGTGTTAGGGAAGTAATGAGTTATGGGAGCTAATGCGATGGAAGAAGTGTTGGAAGGCGACTAGATTGGTGTTGGCTAGTAGAAGTTATATTGCCAAAATTGAAGTTTACAACACTCGATTTGTTCCGTAAATCATTGTTCTGCCTATGCTTTATGGCCCACTTTAAGTTATCCAAGTATTGTTCATACACGCCAGCCTCTAGGATCGCGAAATCTTATACTTCCATAATATTACATTTGCATATTCTCCAAACCTCATGAATAGGAGACCTGAGGTATGATATCTTCTACTGGATGTAACTTCTCGGGATGTGGCTCACCCGTTTCCGTATCCTTCTTGTTAATATCAATATCTCCCCCTATCCTCCCTGAGCTGATACCTTTTGTCGGTTTCTCCAGGTTTTAGCCTCGTGACCAAATCCTGCTGGAGCCCCTGTCTACAAACATGAACGGCGTCGAATGGAATTCCAGCCAGTAGCAGCTTAATGAACAAGTCGCCAGAACATTAGATGTGGAGATCAGTTTCTGAGAATGCCAACTGTTGGAATATTGCGATCTCAACTGCTAGGAGACAGGGCTGAGAGAATGGTTGCAGAAGATAGTACGATGCCTACCAAGCTATGGGCAGCAAGTACAAATTTCTGAATGCTTAAAGGTAGAGTAGCAGCCAAAGATAAACTCTGGGCACTCGTGCCATGGCCGAGCCATGAGAAGTAAAAGATTTCATAGCTACCTTGAGCATAAGATATTTAAATACCTTTTATAAACCCCCACAAGGTGACTGAAGCGATCTATGCTTGAGTGCCTAGGAATGTCACAAACAGATCTACAGTTTAACTCTCGCTGTAATAAGTGAGTAGATTGACCAACCAAACTCGCCAGATGAGTAGCACCACTAGTGGAGGTGGCCTGGAATGGGTTTTCTAGTAGACAAGTTATGCGACAGGGAATGCTCAAATCAACTTGCAAAAAAGGAGAGAAGCTTCATCTCTCCTCGGTCTTTTCCAAGATTAAAAAAAAATCTATATGCCATCTCTCTAACAGAACTTTTACTATTGTTACACTGATATACGTCCTAGTATTACACACATCATCGACCGGGCTCTCAGGCGCGCTCAACATAGCCCGACTTGATCACGCTGTCGGCAAACAGCTCGCGACACCTAACTTTACTCTCCAGTCTCGCGCACAGCAGAAACGCGCCGCTCAGCTTCCGGTGCAGGCTGTACGTTTCCTCGGGAGGTGGCGCCAGTCGTTCGTTAAGCATGACTGGAATGAGAGCCTTGACTCGCTCCGTAATAGTCTGGTCCTTGAAGTCATACACCTCAGGGGCTGAGGCAAGGAATGGCTCCGCTAGTGTGAGGACCGATTGGATATGCGCGTCCAGCATCGTCCTGCTCTCGTGGCCCGTCAGGTATCCTAGGCCCTCAGAGAACTTCTTGACGCCCTCCCTGTCGGACCGTGATGCAGATTCGAGGAGCTGCACGTACTGCGAGATGAACTCCTCTGGGAATTCCCGCGAGGCGCCAAAGTCAAGAAGCTCAAGCTTGTTGGTGCCGGCATTGTAGAGGAAGTTGGTCCAGTTGGGATCGGTCTGCATAAACTTGAACTCTGTAATCTCCCTCAAGCACAACCGAAGGATCTGCGTGCCAATCCAATCGCGCTGCTCCTGCGTAAACGACTTGACACGGGTGACGCCAATGCCGTCGAGAAAGTCCATGGTCAAGACTTGCTTACCAGATGCCTCCAAATAAACATATGGGGCTTCGAAAACGTCCTCCTCGCCCTGGAGCAGCTCCTTGTACCGCTTCGCACATTCTGCCTCGCGCGAATAGTCGCATTCCCAACCAAGTTCCAGTCTCGCATTGTCAATCGTCTTGTTCAGGTAGAGACCCCTAGGAAGCAGTTTTGTGGCCGTGAGCAAGATGCCGAGATTGTCCAGGTCAGAGTTGATGGAGTCGGCCACGCCTGGAAATTGGATCTTGACAGCTACTCTCTTCCCGTTTGATTTGAGCACGGCCCTGTGTACTTGGCCGATGGATGCAGCCGCAATCGGTTTCTCCTCAAACTCACTGAAGAGGTCTCGCCAGTCGGATCCAAGATTACTAGTCAAGACCCGATCCCGCTGCCACGCCGGCATGTAGTCAGCTCGGTCCTGAACCCGCTGCAGCACCTCCTGGAGAGGAGCCGGGAGCATTTTCGAATCTTGAAAGCTCATCATTTGTCCCAGCTTCAGAGCAGCACCTCTCATTCGAGACAGTTTTGCAACCAATCTCTCCATGTTACCGCCACTGAGCAACACAGACCCTTCACCACCTCCTCCAAAGGCTCTGCTCACGCTCTCCGTCACAGCTCCGCCTAACATTCCAGCGGCCAGACCACCATAGTTGAGGATACGACTGAATCGGGTAGCCGGTACTTTTGACTCGCGAAGCTGATAACTAGGTACGTTCGCAGGCGGCGTCTCAGGGTTGATCGTCGCTTTCACAGCTTCGATTATTTCCTCATTCACCTTGATGGTATCAGGGCTTGGTGAAGTCTCTGGCGAAGTCTCTGATGTAGTACCAGGTACAGCCTCTGGTACGACCTGGGGTTCAGGCTGCGGCGTATCTATTGATCCCGGTGTTGTGGCTTCTATAGACTCCGATTGCTGTGCACTCGGCTGTGATTCATGACTCGTAGCTTCAACACTGCTGCTTTCAGTCACGGGGGTAGTTGAAGGAGTAGTGGTAGTTGCTTCAGCGACATCTTCCACAACCGGGGGTGGCCGCGGCCAATAACGCAGAGGATGCTCCTTCGCAGTGCTTCCAGCAGTCTCTCCACGGCTCTCCGCCCTTCCTCGTTGTTTGCGTAGTGAGTCGAGGATTTGGGAGCCCCGCGCAGTGTGAAAGATGTTGACATCGACCCCCTGCGGTACGTCTAACTCTTCACTGGGCTGGTCCTGGCTCTGAGTCGGAGAGGGAGTCGCAGACGCCTTCTCTATAGTTTGCCGTTTGGAATCGCTTCCAGATAGAGAAGTTTTGAAAATTGGCTGCTCATGGAGCTTGAAATCCCCCGCCTTTGGTCCCTCAGACACCGGCGCAGATGAAGCCGTAGACTCGGAGCTCTTCTCACCAAAGTCCTCAGCATTCACAGCCTCCTTTCCCACAGCCTCGCCTCCATCAGCCGGCTCCTTTTGCTCTGGAACTTCCGTCTGCACCGAACCAGCAGCCCTATTCCTCAACAGCGACGCAACGCTCGACGTTCTGCTGTAGACGTCGAACTGCCGGCCGCGAAGAGCGACATGCTTTGATGCGACAGACCGAGAGGCATTGAGCACTGCCGCGAGGTCAATCGCAAAGTCCACAAAACCCATGTGAACTTGGCAGTCGCAGATCGCCGAACTAAAAAAAAAAGGAGAGTCTTGAAATGCTGCTGTTTGCGGACTCGGACTTCGATATGATGAGTTGAAGCTCGGAAAAGGCCGCCAACTTTTAGTCAGATGTCGTCAAAATATGCAGTTAAGCGGGGCGACGGGACTGCATGTCACCAAGCGCATCATCGATTCTAACACTGAGAGTGGGGATGCGATTTGGATCAAATTGAAATATAAATGGCAAGTAAAAAATAATACGTAGATATAGGACATATCTGCATAGTCATTTGTTCAAGAAACTCTCGACTATCTATGGCTCTGGTTGACAGACTCGGTGTATATAAACTTCCATGTGACATTACCCCTGTGAAAACGCCATGCTAATCCAATCTCCAAACGAAGAAAAACACTACAAAAACACCACCAATATCCGTAACTCGCTCTATCAAGAATTGAAACATAAATAGAGAAGAGTGTTGCCACAATCTTAAAACGGGAATAGTCGCTTTTATTTTGATTTGGGGGGCACTCTGCTGACGCTCTTCAAAAGTGAGCCTTTAGGCTTCCTTGGAGTTGCTTGTCCAAAGGAATTCGCTGCTTTCCCTTTCAACGGGGTCGCCACCTTACTCCATAGTCGTTGTGCGGCCGGTGTCAACCCTCCTGACACCCTCGGGCCGCTGGTGAATCTCGGAGTCTCCACCTGGCTAGCCTTGCCTGTGAATCCTCTTCGCTGAGAATCACTCTTAGACTTGGAGATTCGCTCCACCATTCGCTCGTGAAGTAGCTCTCGCTTCCTCTGGTCTTGTATCTTGAAGGGGTTTGTTGCATCCCCGGGTCCCAGGTTGATAGGCGCGGGCATACTGATGTCGTCACCGTCTTCGTCATCCACAAAGGCGTACCCATTCACTCGCGGAGTTTCGCCGCCACCAACAATGCTAGAGTCGAGATCTTGCTGTCGCGGCTTTCCCGCAATAGCATCGCGTACTGACGACATGGTTGGGGATGGGGGTCGCTGTGGCACATGAGGTTGCGGCATTCTCGTATTCTCATAGCTAATCGACCTTGGCGCCATGCGAGACAGCTCCTCCGCGCTCTCGGCAATCGTCTTGACCCCGTCTTCGAGGCCTTCTGGCTCGAACATGAGGCCGTTCCGTGGGGCTGCCTTCCACGAGTCTGGCCGTGCAGGTCGCTCTTCAACATCCTTGATAGCCAATAGATCTCTCTTGAACCCATCGTCAACAAGACTCCGCGTCTTTTCCAGCCTGTCGGTGACCTCTTTCTGTTTAATCATCTGCTTCGAAGGAAGCTTGTTTCCGCGCCAGAGCCAGGCATACTTATCAGCCCTCTTTTGGTTTTGCTTGTCGATTAGTTTATAGAAGCTCTCATTGTCTTCACTGGTGTAGGTGGCCTGAAATTTGGACAGGCTCAGATTGAGGTCCAGCGGCGGCTTCTCTTGGGCGACGCTTGTTGCCACAGACGCTGGCGTATCCCCAACAAAGCTGGTAGGAGTCCTGTTGCCGGTTGCAGTGTTGATTGACGAAGAGGTTCTGGTGGGTTTTCGACCAGGCGTCATGACGTGTCGAAGCCTGCGACTAGCGCTTGATATCCAGGCAGCATCCTTCGACTCCATCGCATCCAGATATTCCTGCTGAATCTGCGTCTCCAATAGGCCCGGGAAGAAATCCCTGGCGATAATCTGGGAGAGCGCCTCGGTATACGTATCCTCGTCCAGCACTTTCTTGGGCCTCTTGATCTTCTTTGCTGGAGGTGGAGGTGGCATCAGATCGGTGTCGGTCCTCTTACGCACCAGGGCGTTTGAGGCCCCAGCCGTGGACTCCATGGTCGACCGCGTCAGGATAAAGCCCGCGATCAGTCTAAGATTCTGCCGTCTGCTCTATGGCTGTATTTGTTTGGACGTCAGATTTATTTTGTTGATGCAGAGGTGGCCTTTGATTACGGCAAAAACAAGGTTTGCTGCCTATGTTGATGGGAGAGTTTGAGCCCTTCAGTCGTTGAAATGAACGAACAAGGGTAGCGCCGCCATGTGAAAAGTACCGTGTCGTTGGCAGTACTCCGGACTACTGCCGCCACGCCAGCAAAGCCCTTGTCACTCGCCCCCACGAGCCGCCACATGTACATGTAACTGTACATGCATCCGTCCGATGGCAGCACGCACCAGCACATGGCCGCCATCCAAGCTTTGTCCAATGTACAATGGAAGGCCGCAGAATGGCCCTAGGGCTAGACCGGCCGCTGGAACATTCCAGGTTTGACGCCTCTGGCAGCGCTGGGGATATCCACAGGGCACATGGCAGCGGCGAAAATAGCACAACCTGGTAGGCCTCCAGGGGGGCCGGCAGCCTATTGAAGAGCCTCTGGAGGAGCCTCTGGAGGAACCTATACGGGCAACTGCACTTGGCCTTCTCCTCATTCGGACCCTGTTAGCCCAATCCAGAACCCACTCTGCATCCCCAGTTCTTTATCGATTCCACCAGGTTTTGGGCACTCTTTGCGAAAAGTCCAAACCTCTCATTGTCCCTCCAGACGCTGCGCCTGTGACGTTGACCGGCCGAGGACAAAGACCCTGTTGTTCTTGTATAAATTACCCATTGTGAATTCTCCCATCTCCGAGTCCTGCCCGTTTCCCCTGCAACGGTCTGGCGCACGCGATATCACGGCCTTTGGCATCCTCCCAGTCTCTCCGCGTGCTCCAGTCCAACCCATAGTCACCCCTCTTCACCATGTCGCAAACGGCTGTCGAGTTCAAGAACCAGGGAAATAAGGCATTCTCCTCTGGAGATTGGCCGACGGCAATCACCCTTTACAGCAAGGCCATCGACGCAGACGCCTCCGAGCCCACGTTTTTCACAAACAGAGCCCAAGTTTGTAAACCCGACTTCGCTCCGGATCGGGGTTAATACCCCAGGCTGCAGCTTGACTAACCCGCTTGTTATTCTACTTGCTAGGCATACATCAAGACAGAAGCATACGGATATGCCATTGCCGACGCTACCAAGGCCCTCGAGATCAACCCGAAACTGATCAAGGTACAAGATTCCCACCACCGCATTGTAAACCAGTCGAGAGGCTAAATCATGGCTCTTGAATATGTAGGCATACTTCCGTCGAGGCCTCGCCCGCACTGCGATTTTAAAACCAAAGGATGCGCTCGAAGACTTCAAGGAGTGCGTCCGGCTGGACCCCAACAACAAGGATGCGCGACTCAAGCTGGAAGAATGCAAGAAGATTGTGCGCCAGCTGGCTTTCTTCGCTGCTATCGAAGTTGGCGATGAGCCATCGGCTGCGGAGGGCCTTGATCTGGAATCCATGGCTGTTGAGGAGGGCTATGACGGAGCAAAGCTTGGAGACGAGATGACCCAGGAATTCATCGACGACATGATTGAGAGATTCAAGAATGGCAAGCTCCTTGCTAAGAAATACGTCTATCAAATCATCATTGCCGTCAAGAAACTCGTATATGAGGAGCCCACCATGGTTGAGGTGGAAGTTCCCGAGGGAGTCGAACTCACTGTCTGCGGTGATACCCACGGTAGGCAACACATATCGAGTCATGGCTGCTATTGGGGGATTGCAGGGTGCTAACTTGTTTTCGAATCTAGGCCAGTACTTTGACCTCATGGAATTGTTCCGACGAAACGGTGCCCCGTCAGATAAGCACTGGTACCTGTTCAACGGCGATTTCGTCGACAGAGGATCTTGGTCGACCGAGATTGCGCTATTACTGTACGCCTATAAGTGGCTGCGACCCAACAACTTCTTCTTGAACAGAGGAAATCACGAGACAGATGACATGAACAAGGTTTACGGCTTTGAAGGAGAATGCAAAGCCAAGTACAACGAAAGGTACGTTCGGACTTTGATACCAAGTACAGTTACAGTCAACATTTACTGACACACGGCACAGGATTTTCAGGCTATTCTCCGAGAGTTTCTCCGCATTGGCCCTGGCGACATTAATTGGATCCAAGTACCTGGTTCTTCACGGTGGTCTTTTCTCCGACGACAAGGTAACATTGGATGACATCCGCAAGTTGAACCGACATGGTCAGCGTCAACCTGGTCAGTCAGGCCTCATGATGGAAATGCTGTGGACCGATCCTCAAGACGAGCCCGGCCGAGGGCCCAGCAAGCGAGGAGTTGGCATGCAATTCGGCCCCGACGTCACCAAGAGATTCTGCGAGAACAACGGCCTGGAGGCTGTCATTCGAAGTCACGAAGTGCGCATGGATGGCTACGAAGTGCAGCACGATGGCAAATGTATTACTGGTATGTCTCATGTTGATTGGCTAACTTGTATTACCACGGCAATAATTAACGGTTGGCAATAATTTAGTCTTCTCTGCTCCGAGATATTGCGATTCAACTGAGAACAGGGGCGCTTACATCAACATCGGGCCTGATTATAAGCTTCGGTACGAGCAGTTTGACGCGGTACCGCACCCCAATATTCGGCCAATGGTGAGCTTCCCTCTTATCCCTCCTCCCTCTGCTGCCGTAGGATCTGGCACTAACGTGATGAATAGGCCTATGCCCAAAACTCTCTCATGTCGTCTCTCATGTAGGGCCCTAGGCGGGGCAAAAAGGGGCGAAGAAGGGCTTCTAGGAGCCTGGGGGGCATATACACCCCTAGCTTCCAGGTATCCGAAGGGGTATTAAAAAACAGTAAAAAGCTTCAAACATGGCCATGAAGGAGGCAGTACTTAGATATACCCCTTGTAGATTAGGTATTTTAGGTTACGCAGCGTCAATGCCTCAATTGTTCCAAAGCTGTTCTTGTCCATTGCTCCCAACCATTGCGCCAAGCCAGTCGGAGCACTGCTTGATTCGTAGGAGAGACTCAATGCCTCCATCATTGGTGCCCTTCCACGCAGTAAGTGCGGCGGCAAAGGAGCCGAGATCTTCTCGAGGCACCCGGATCCAACATTCAGATCCGCTGACTTTGAGCACGTCGAGAGGAATCGCGGTACCTGTTAATCCAAGGAACTGGCGCAAAGCAGCCGTGCAGTAAGATTTGACTTGGAGATTGTCGAGCTCGACGGCAGCATCCGGTGGGTTCGTCAGAAGCTCTAAATGGATGTATGAAAACGGCGGCGTCCTGATGATGCACGTGAGAAGTTCGTGCGATTTTTGCAGTCTCGTTTTTTCCAGTATTGACTGCTCGGCCTCTGGGTTTGTGTCTTGATCCATCTTTATAAGATGATTTGAATGAGTGAGTGTAGGTGTATATAGTTGGGAGTGGTGTATAGTTGGTAACTTGAGGAAGATGAAAATCTAAATTGCGTTTGTTGCATGTTTTGAGTTAGATGCATCTGTTTGTAGCGCAGTCTGGTGTATTTTTGGGAATCATGAGAACGCTTGAAATCGACACAACAAGATGTACTGCCCATTCATTGAGTCGGAAATCTAGCAAAGGAAATTAATCAAATTAAGTAATTGGCCTAAAAATTCTATAAATCCAAAACTAACACAACTTCACTTGCATTTGTTAAAATACCGTCAACTGTTCCAACAAGGTACGTACTTGGTGCCTCGGAAGCAATTCCGCACTAGCGCTCCTCCATCGCCTTCCCGCCAAACTGACCCATTGATATCCATCTTCAATCTTCAGCCTTGCCAATCCACCCAACAACCCTCATCCTTCCTCTCCCTCCATCGCGCAGCATGTCCAGCTTCGTCACCCCCGGCCAGCAGCGCTACCTGCGCGCCTGCATGGTCTGCTCCATCGTCATGACATACAGCGTCCGTCTTCCAAACCCTCCCGAAAAACGCGAGTTTGCATGACCTCTCCTGCTAACCCCCCGAGACTTGCAGCGCTTCCGCGACGAAGGATGCCCCAACTGCGAAGAATTCTTGCACCTCATCGGCTCGCAGGACCAGATCGAAAGCTGCACATCGCAGGTCTTTGAGGGTCTGATAACGCTGGCCAACCCGGCCAAGTCGTGGGTCGCAAAATGGCAGCGTTTGGACGGCTATGTGCCCGGCGTGTACGCGATCAAGGTCTCGGGCCAGCTCCCTGACGAGATTAGGTCCTCGTTGGAGGATGAGTACAGGATACAATACATTCCGTGCGTCTAGACTTATTCCTTTTCATTCGGCGGGAACGGGAGGCTGACTTGGTGATACAGGAGAGATGGCACGCAGACCGAGGCCGATGCTTAACGAGTCTGGATATTCACACGATGATTGGGCGTACAACAGGGGCGAATACGGCGTTTTGGAGATGGAATCAAACATTGGAAGACCAAAGATTAATATATAAATTGTTGTTAGGTCATTATGGTATCTATGGAAACGCTACATGCTACAAAATACATCCGTTCCCATATGCAATCTATACGCTATATCAAAAACCCAAAACGCCATCCCAACTTGTCATGTGTTTCAATTATTCCTTTGCTTCTTACCATTAGGCATCCCGAACCCGACCGAGCCGCTGGGTCTCTTCCTCTCTAGCTCTTCTTTCATGATCCTCTCGGCCTCGCTCATTTTCTTGGGCTGCTGTAGTACAGATCCCTTCTTTGATCCTGAAGCCAACGCGTTCTTCTTTGCCTGGGCAAAAACGTTCTTCACCTGCGGCTTTTCGCCGAACTTTAGGGACACCCCGCCAAAGCCCTTATTCGTAGCTGGCTTTGGTTGCTCCTTTGACGCGGTAGAATCTGTCTCCTCGCTCTTGTCGGCATCTTTTGATCCTTCAGGCTTGTCCTGTGTAGAGTTTGGCTCGGGCTCGGGCTTAGGCTTCGCACCAAACGAGAGCTTTATTTTCTCGCCATCTTGTCTTTTGAGTTCCCTGTCCTCTGGCTCCTCCTCGTCATCTCCATCGCGTTTTCCGGCGCTCTCCTGAGCTCGTTTGATTTGTTCTCGTATCATGCGCTGTTCAATTTCTTCGTCGCCTTGATCTTGGGCTTCCTTCCTCCTCAGTGCCTCTTGTCGCCGAAGAGCGTCGGGTGAGTTATCGATCCAACTAATGTGAAGTCCCTTTTCCGTCTCTTCTACTCGACATAATCCTTCCTTTCCGAGATATTTGGCGTATTCGGTCAATGACGGCCATTTCGTCGCGTTCATGTGGATGTGCTCTTTGTTGGCAATGTATTCTTGGTAGAACTGGTTGATGTGGACTTGCTTCTCTCCATGAGCCGTCCTCAGCAGCTGCAGAAAGTCTTTCGAGAACTCATCGCTGTACTGGTTGATGAACTTTTTCGGGTCCTCGCCGACGACGAGCATTTGTCGCACGTGGCTTTCGGACTGGGTGTGCATCTTAAATCCATTGGCATCGCGACACTGCTTTTCGCACACTTGGCAATACCATCTTAGGCGCTGAAGTCCCTTTGACTTGAGCTTGTTGCTCAAGTGCTTGGTTGAGCCAACTTCTGCTTTTGGCATGTTTGCTTTCCTTTATTCGTCTTCTACAAAAGCCCTATAATACCGCGCCTGGACGATGGAGTTTCGTATTGTATCCGATTGCAACGGTAGTCAGAGCCACAACGGGAAAGCGATAAGTGTATGAGGCGTGATGTTTATTATGGAGATGGCAGTTAAAGGTTCAAGATGTTTCTGGGCTCAGCCTTACATGGAGACAACGAAATCTTATCTTATCGCCACATTATCTATTGCCGAGGATTTCCCGGTGACATTACCTTAGCCTGATTTCTACTTGGATGTCAACATTTATTGTTGCTGCATCAACGCCACTCCATCGACTTCTCTCTTCACAAACTCCTTGTTTCGAACCATCCGACTGCTCCTTCGCCTTTCTACCTCTTAACGACGATATAAAAGCCTCCAGCCCGAAATGTCTGAGCGTAAAGTCCTTCAGAAGTACTACCCCCCGGATTTCGATCCCAATGATATCAGTCGCCGCCGAGGACCCAAGCCCACCGGGCCAAGAATCCAAACCGTCCGACTCATGGCTCCCTTTTCCATGAAATGCTTGAGCTGTGGCGAATACATATACAAGGGGCGAAAATTCAATTCTCGAAAGGAAATTAGACCAGATGAGAAATATCTCGGCATTCAGATCCTCTTCTTCCACATCAAGTGCACAAGATGCAGCGCCGAGATTACCTTTCGCACGGACCCACGAAATACAGACTACGCGATGGTCAAAGGCGCCATGAGATCATTTGAACCCTGGAGGAATCGAGAACTAGCTGAAGAGTCGGTAGAGGAAAGACTGGACAGGCTAGAGCGAGAGGAAGCTGAAGCTGCGGGCGAGGAAGAGAAGAATGCAATGGAAGATCTCGAAGCAAAGAATGCCGATGCCCGACGCGAAATGGCCGCGGCTGATGCCCTTGACGAAATACGACAACGAAATGCGAGGATACATCGATCAGAAAAGGAAGGGACGGATTACGCAGACACCATTATTCGTGCTGAGGACGAAGAGCGGGAACGACAAGACAGAGAAGATGAAGAAGCGGCCAAGAGAGCGTTTGCAGCGGCGGCAGCGGCGGCAGCCCGACTGGGCAACTCTGCTCCAGATGGTCCTGGCGACTTGGAAGAAACAGTTGCTGAAAGTGCCGAGTTTTCGGCTTTGAGAGACGGTGACAATACGACGGAGAAGGCTACACCTTTACTGGAGACCAGCACAGCAACATCACCCATGCCACCCCCACCGCCGCCGCCAACTTTCAAGAGGGTGGTGAAGAAAAAGAAGGATCATTCTGCGTTGCTTGGCATAAAAAAGAAGCCTTCTTTGGTGTAATGACTAGGAGGAAGGATATGAGGGAAGGGCTTTGAATCATGCGTCTAAATATTGCGGAACATGGATATATTCAATTACTCTTGATTTATGTAACGGCGTTTTAAACAGGGATGGTGTTAATATCAGGCGGGACTGGGTTGTCAATGCTGTGTCTCCTTGATTAATAATCGCAATACTATGCACATCAAAGATAGTCACTTGGTCACTTGGCTTCATATGAATTAAGAGTGAAACAGCTGGTAGATTTGGATAGAAAGATTGCCATGGGGTTGGAATCATCTCAGTTCCATTATGCATCGCCGACTGCTATTATCATCATGTACGGTGGCTTCACAGCCTGATATAGCTCCCCTCGTCCTTCCAGTTGTCCCATGTATGTACTATGTTAAAGGAATCCAAACCCCAGCCAATTAGTCTTGTGCCGAAAAAAAAACCCTCCAAACGCCATGCGTGTATCATATCAAGTCGTAAAAATAGCAATGAATCGAAACGAAGGACAAAACAGCGAGTGGCCTAAGTCGGCTCGTCATCCATGTGACGCAATCGTTGCTTTTGCTGTAGTGTAAATGCGTGTTCGGTAAACAAGTTGCGTTGTATAGGTATATGCAGGCATTCCAATCTTGGGTTTGCCATATTGTTGGTGTTATTCTGTTGCTGGATTGTCCAAATGTTATTTTTAAGTGGTGTCCAGATTGCCAATGTAATTCTGCTATGATGGCAAACCATGCGCGCGGAAATCAAGGCCCATGATGGGAAGAGAAGCACCGCTAAAACTAAACATGCGCCAACTCCAATCCAAGTACACGATTACATCGTGGGTGCTGCGCCGTTGGTCATGGAGGTGCCAACAGACGATCGACTCGACGAGCCAGAATTTGTGGGCGATAGGGCACCAAAGGCTTGCATCTGACGCTTCGTGTGATCGTGGATAAAGCGAGAATAGCTGGAGATGCTCTGTGGAGGAGGAGGAGATGTGGGGATGGAAACGGAAAAGGCGTCTTGTCTGCCGGGCATCATGAGGGGCGTTGTTTGGGGTTGAGATATGGTGTGATGTGGTGTTTCTAGGCCTGATATGGTAGATTCGAGGACGGTGTCTTTGTCGTCCAGCTGTTGGAGTACGGAGGTAGATGGATGTTGTGATGGTACAGAAAGTGGTATCTTCAGCGGGGAGGAGAGACTATAAGTATTGAATTCAACGACTCTGTCAAGAGTGTTGGATAGTAGGCTTATTCAGGATGACGTATTGAAGAAGATAGATGTACAAGGACCAGACAAGGCTGCGGAAATTACAGATGCTGTCGTGGCAAGCTTGGGAAGGAGCAAGGCCAAGGTGCGGATCTCAGGGTCTTTTATAAATCTCCAGACCCAAGCCAATCCTTCCCCTCATTCGACCTGCTGCCACACAATGCTAAGCTCGACATGCATCTCGCCGGCCAGAAACGACACTTGCAGGCATGGCCGCTGCTCTCTAGGGGACCAGATTGCCAGACGACGAGACTACCAGACTAGGGTCTCTCAACCGGCCGTCGCAGCTCTTCCCCTTCTTTTCCCCATCGACTGCATACCAGACACCCAGACACCCTCGCAGGGCACCATCACTGGACACCCTCTTGACCCTCACCTGGGCACATCTTGTCCGCCCCAACCAAACGAGCTGATCGGCATTGGGCGAATCAACCGACGGTAGCGCAGGTGAAATGGCGTACTAGGCCGGCGACAAGGCCTGTTCCCTGCTCGATGCTGCTCTTTGGCCACCCTGAGGATGCTGATAATCGCCTCCAACGCCTCTTTGGTGTTAGGACACTCCACCACCGCTCACCCACTGCTCCGCATGAGCTCGACGCCCATTTTGGGCCCCGCGGCTGCTGTTCGCTCAGGGTCCTGCGAGGCCCACGCCACCACAATCATAGTGGGCCGGCCTAGTGAGATGGAGACGGCCTAGGGATGTGCAGATGCTCTTCCAAGTTCTGGAGGCGATTGTCGAAACGGTGGCCCAAATACGGAGGATTGTCTTGCAGCAGAGGGGAGAAACGGTCCAAGTTTGTGTGCCAAAGACCCTGCGGATCGGAGTCGTCATGCTCGTCACACGCGTGTCATAATGTCCCCCTTTGTCCTCTTTCAATGCCTCTCTGGTGCAAACAGGCATCAAGCAGAACAACGATGCTAGCTGGGGGCCCCGTAATTCCAATCCTGGCAGATGGGCACCACAGCATAGCGTCCACAGTACTGCACTTGGGCGAGAGTCTGCATATGCCTGCTTTGTTGCCCACAAGGCTCTCACTGGCAGCTTGCTGCTGGTTTAGAGGGCAACGCGGCAATGGCACGCTACACTCGTCCAAGCCAAGCCATACACATTGGGCGAGCGCCTGTTCCATCAAACGGACGCGTGCGCCCCCCTCAGGCCACTTCTTGGAGAAGTCGAAATGTTCGAGACCCTTTCCTTGTGTCACACAACTTACAAGCCATGCAGCAAGCTTAGGATATCGACTCTGGCGTTTTGACCATTGTTCAGCATTGACGGATGCTAGAAACCGGGGCTTCCGGATATCATCAGTGTCTTATTGGCCAGAGATTTCGAATCAATTCATAGCTAGTCCATCCGGGATGCACCCGTGCGGATTCTCTCCAGGAAAGAGGAAACGCGGGCAGATTAATCTCTCCAAGGAGGAAACGCAGACCGGCCAGATCAGCATCGCTGCTCCTTGAGCCACCAATCGAGAGGTTTTCTTTTCCGTTTCCATACAAGCTAGGGTTCAAGAAGAGAGAGCTACGACTCTTCACTGCTATTAGATCTGGGATTTGTGTGTGTGCCTGGATCGTATCACGGTCGCCATGCATTTCGAGATCAGTCTTTCCATGATGCGACATCCTGGCGGGTGTCGGCCCAAATCGAGATGTCGAGCTCAAGGATTGGTTAAGCTAAGCCTTACGAAGCACATATTGTGCAATGGATTTCAATTCTCAACGCATTTAGCATCGCCGCCCATCGAGATCAAACGGGTGCCACTTCATTCAGAATCCACTCATTTGAAGAGAAAACATTCTTCACTACTGGAGAACAGCGGCAGAAGCCCAGATCCGCCTGCTCTCATCCGATTCTCCCCTCTCGCCTCATCTTGCGCCTCCAGTCTGGATGAAGTCACAGAGCCCAAGGAGGGAAACAGTACAGTCAGGGCTTTCACAGCGGTGGTAGCCATACTGTAGGGCTGATGCAATTAGTTGATATGGTCGTTGAGAATACTCAAATGAAACTCGCCGTACGTGATGTCACCCGTTACCCCACTGCGAAAACGGTCCAACTTTGAAAACGTTGCTCGATCTGGGTCAACGTTTTCGCCTCCTCCGTCACGAGGTCCACATTACGTTCCTCTACGCCATTACGGTGCTTGGATCGTCTTTGGTGTTATCCAGAACTGTTGATGATCATCGTGCGGTAGCCCTTGAAGGGAGCTCTTGAGCAAATCCGCTCAAATCTGCTGCTATTGTAATACGGTACATCTCATACGGAGTACGAGGTCAAGCAGCATGGATGCGCATTCTATCATTGGCTCCACTACAACCAAGCTTCAAGGTTCCTGCGTCACATGTCGGCGATCGACATTCAAAGTCTTCGACCTGCTTCTCTTGCCAAGCGAACCAAGCTTTTGCCAACTCTCGCATCATTCCCTCAAAGCTTGATGGAGCAGCCTCAATCCTTATTATCGCTTTCCCTCTTGAGACTACCCATGTTGCACGGCACCATCCGTGTAGGTCTCTTTTTCGGTGGGATTTCTGTGGATCAAGACATTTGTTGAGCCCAACCAGCGTTGCTCGATCCGTCCATTCCATGTGTCTTCAGTCAGATCTCGAGTGGCCATAGCCGCCAGTTTATTTTCACGATCCACACCACCTAGCCTTCTCTTTCTCCTAGTTGCATCTTGGTTGCTTGGGAAAGCAACGGCTGGTCAGCGAGAATCGCTCACTTACATGTATGGCCAGCACTCGGCTGCAATTATAAGCGACGATCTCGGCTTCCAGTAGTCAACTTCTGGCCCCTGTCATGCAAGAAAACTAGTATCACCCCGTCACCACTAGATGCAAAACCTTACGACGACTTCAATGGCAGTTCCACTGCCATCATCTGATGTATCACCTTCAAGTTGAACAATTATGACCAAGGCTGGGTATTGCATGAGCCGCCAAAAGGAGGCCATTCACAGAATAATGGCAACATGCAAACACTTTTGTGGGGTACGATGAGCAAAGGTAATGCCATTCACGTCATGCTGGCTTGGCCAGAGTATGACGTTGTGCGACTTGATATTTGCCCCCATTCAAGACATCTTTGATCTCAACGCTACAGCACAGTCGCGTGTGGAAGAGCATCTTCAGAGACAAGAGGCAATGTACAATGACGGACATCAGTGTTATGATTCAACTAGTGCGGCTAACTACATGTCTATCGTTTATGAGGACCGCTAGAGTCGCATCAGACTCGCACGGAGCGTTACATCCTCGACTGTGACGAAGTGGCAAGGAACTAATCATGTCTCTGTTTTCAGATTTTATCGTGATACCAAGATTCACGCTTACCTATTAGCCTCTTCCTCCGGTTTTGACTCCTTGAGAGGAATAGGTCGCTCTTTGACTTCTGTCAACATTTGTCGACGAGCTTCGATCACGCATCAGTGGCAGTTGATATGTCGACCCTCATGCAGGCTATGTCATACTCTGACTCCGACCGCAATGCACTTGCTGGGGTAACATGTGAAGAGGCCATATATGATGGCGCTGATAGATTCCAGAATTCGTCTTATCATCAGGGTGATCAATGACCTCACAATGCTCATTGCTGAAGCCATCGCCAGAGCCTCGGCGCTCTAGCATTCAGCCTGTGACGCAGTTCAACAGGGGAGATCTGCGGTGTAAGTGGGTTTACTTCTATCGTCTCCAAACTTAATTCTCAGTACTGTGGTATGAGTAATTGCTCAATCGGCGATGGTTCCACTGGCGTCTCAGAATTGATTCTTCACGAACTGGACCACCACCTAGCTTTCTCACAGCAAACAAGTTGTAAACACTAAAGTAAAAATGCCCGGTGTGGTTGTTCGTGTTGGCGTCATCTACGGCGGCAATGCCGAAAAGAAAAGAGAGATTACAGGGATTTCTACTCCGAGCTCTGTCATAACTCATTATATTACAAGATGATGGATGGGACTCTAATGACGTCTCGACCTCCTCTCCAGCGAAGCCAATTCCTTCTTCTCCTTGGACACCACCTTCTTCCGCTTTCGCTCGATCGCCTTGTCGACTTGAGATTTGCTCATGCTGGCATATCTGTTCATCAACAGCTGCTTCTTCTGCTCGCTCTTGCGCAGGTAGAACGGCTGCTTTCCCTGTGCCACCAGCTCCTTTTCCTTCTTTCGGTGCTCCTGCAGTAGCCTTGCTTCCTCCTCCTTCTTCTGGCGGGCCTTTTTCTTCGATTCCATAGACAGCAACTGCCGCTTCAAATCCTCCTTGGCTGTGACGTCTTTGGTCTTCTTGATCTGCATGCGTAGCTCTGCCATCTCCTTCTCACGGTACTCTTCCAGGAAGGCATAGTTCCTTGCAACCTTGGCCTCGTCTACATTTCCCGAAAGGTTGTCGAATCGCGGATCACGGGTCTTGCGGCGCGTGTCGACGAGGATTTCACGGCGCCTGCTGACGGGCCTCTTGGACGACATTTCCTGTGGCGCGTGTTTAGAGCTTCGCTTCGATGTATCTACCCTACTTGATGGCTTCTTCGGCTCTCGTTTGAATGACTCTTTTGTTGTGCGTTCCGTAGGCTCATCGTCTTTGGCGGCATCGGCCTTGTTTTTCTTTTTCTCAGAGGGGGGTAAACTGGCCGCAGCGCGAGCTAATGCGCCAAAAGAGATGGATGAGAAATCGACCTTTGGTGCATCCTCCTCGGCTTCTTCAGACTATAAATAACTCAAACGTAAGTATCGTAGATTTTTTAGAAAAGAATGACTCTTTCTTCAGGTCAAAACCGCATACCTCTGAGCCAGACTCTGCCTCTTCCAAATCTTCATCCTCCTCGCCGCTGTCGTCTCCTTCCTCCGATACTTCTTCTGCTGAATCATCGTTGTCGCTCGCACTCAATTCTGGTTCCCATTCTTCTTCGCGCCGGGCTTTTACCCGTCGCTCGAGGCCCAAAGAGCCTAATTTCCGTTTGGAAGACATTTTGTAGCTGGAAATTGGTGGTTGTTGGATTATCGCAGTAGCTTCGACTACAGTCGCAGCAGTAATCTTCCTACAAATTAATTTTTTGGGAGCGTATCTTATCGATAAGAGATCCTGGCTCAAAATGCACGGTTTTATGGGTAACTTCATGCAAGTAACCAACAAATTTGTGGAGCCTAGCGTCCAGAAAGTGTTCAAACATCAAAACTCAATCGTTCTAGTGGGAGCAACAAAGCGCAAGTCCGCCTCGACAAACGCCCGTTTGCAAAAACTCGGAGAAACTCTTCATGTGGCCGCGCAGAGTAATCTCAGGACTCTCCTGCTCCGTACGCACTGTCCCAACCAAGATCCGAGCACAGCCCTTATCCAGCAAGAGTCGAAATCCTTCTTCTCGCAGTCCTCCGCTACGACAATCCCCCTCCGAGGCTGTTGGGTCACAGACCCACGAGGAACTCCCGCCGCTCGTTTTACGCTCGTCTACAGAGGTCAACTATTCATCGATGGCAAACAAGCGAAGCAGGGGGAAAGGAAAAGGAAATATGAAGTCTCAGGGCATTCAAATCCCAGGGCTGACCCTGCTTAACAATCTGGCGCCCCATGCGATCGCGCCGACTTCCGACGGCAGCCTCATCAACCCCGCGGTTCCCCAGCCGCCAGCCAAAGCGAAGTACGTGCCGCCACGGAAAACAAAAGAGAACAAGAAGGCAAAGGCGAGGAGAGCGCTGGCAGAGGCGCAGGCCGCTGCGAACCGCATTGCGCAACCTCCTGCCCCTATTCCTGCCTCAGACCACTTCGGAGACCACTTCGGGTACGATCAAGTCCCCTTGGATAGCCTTTCTTTTGTCCACAAGCCAAATGACTAACAAGTTTATCTTTTATAGGGCCTACAACTCCAACTTTAACAACTTCAACTTCCTGAACCCTGCTCACAACTTCAACGACTCCAACTTCAACGTCAACTTCATGAACCTTCCCCACAACTCCAACAACTTCAACTTCACCACCAGGCCCCCTCCAACCGGCCCCCGATTCCCCTCCCAAAACCTCCCCCGAGACGACCGCGTCGCCCCCAGCAAAGCATCCGGCGGCATCCCCGATCCCACGCCCCTCTACATCGCCCAGTCCCTCTCGCTCCCGTCCGCCCTCCGCCAGCCCCGCCGCATTCTCGTCATCATGGACCTCAACGGCACGCTGCTCTACCGCCCCAACAAGCGCAACCCCTTCAACTTCATCCAGCGGCCCCACGCGCGCGAGTTCCTCGACTACTGCGTCGACACCTTCCACGTCGCAATCTGGTCCTCGGCCCGCCCCGAAAACGTCGACAAGATGGTCTCCCAGCTGCTCTCCCCCCAGCAGCGCGCAAAGTGCCTCGTCATCTGGGGCCGCGACAAGTTCGGCCTCTCCCCCGCCGACTACTCCGCCCGCGTCCAGTGCTACAAGCGCCTGTCCAGCATCTGGAACGACCCCAAGGTCGCCGTCTCCCACCCCGCCGCCGCCCAGGGCCAGCGCTGGGACCAGACAAACACCGTCCTGGTCGACGACTCGGCCGAAAAGGGCCGTAGCGAGCCCTACAACATCCTCCAGCTCCCCGAATTCGAAGGCCACGCCAATGAGCCACTCGACGTGCTGCCCCAGGTCCACGACTACTTGAACACGCTCTGCTACCAGTCAAACATCAGCAGCTATATACGAGACCGACCCTTTAGAATCGACTCAAATTACAGATTACCACCAACACCAAGCCTACATATGGCATAGAAGTTCTTGATTCCTACATACTTTTGACTGCATACACAGCGCATATTTCGATGAAACCCAGTTGGGGCTTCATGCCCCTTACATAGACATTTACGCTCTACAAGCAGGTCGGCCTGTCTAGAACATGCTGCTAGTAGATCAAGCCTTTTGGGCTTTTTTTTTTTAGATACCCCTCATTTTACACCTTTTCAACCTTCACACATAAACTGGAAGTGGCACATAGTTGAGACACTTTTACGGTTTTGAATTTGTTTCCCGCGTCCTTTCATAAGACTACGTAGGCATGTGTGTGTGTACAAGCACATGAGATATCATCATTCATATCCTCCAACCAATTTTTTACCCATAACCCATCATCATTTCATAGCTTGTCATCACTTCCATCCACTGTGATTCTTTATTTGAAGACGTGGCCGTCGGCGTGGGGGTACTCCTTGCCGTTGATGACGACAGGCTTGTCCCAAGACCACTGGGCCTCGACGAAGGCACGGTCCTCAGGGTTGGTGGGGTCGAGCTTGGTGAACTCGTAGCTCTCGTAATCGGGAGCGACGTCGAAGACAGGGAGGTAGTCCTGGCCACGGATGACGAAAGCACCCTCAATGACAGAGTCGTTGGTGGCTCCGTAGACGGAGGCGCATCCGAAGAGGTACTTGCGGGAGCCCTCGAGACGGTTGTTGAAGCCGCCGATGAGGTTGTTGGACATGAAAGTCATGGTAAGCTCATCGTTGTACTTGTAGCCAACCTTCCACAGAGTGTACTCGTCGAAGTTGACGTTCTCCCAGAACCACTTGAGGGCAGCGGGGGTCTCGCTGTTGGAGTACTGGCGCTTCCACTCATCGAGAGGGAAAGTAGCCTTGGGCAGAGCCTCAAGAGGGTGCTTGGCCTTGGGGGCAGGGGCGGGCTCATCCTCCTCCTCAGCAGCGGGCTTGGGGGCAGCCTTGGGGGCAGGGGCCTTCTTGGGCTGCTCAGCCTTCTTGGGGGGAGTGTTGGTCAGGGCGGGAGTCTCCAGGAAGGGGAGCTTCTCGGCGACGGCAGTGTAGATGGGCTGGTTGACAATGGTCTCGTACCAACGAGTAACAGCGGGGTGCTGCTGGCGCCACTGCTTGTCGAAGAAGTACTGGAAGCCGCGGTAGAGGAGGCCAGCGCTGAAGAGATCAGCCAGGGTGATGCGCTCACCAACGAGGTAGGTGTGGTGGGTGAGGTGCTCCTCAGCAGCATCAACGGCACGGGCAACCTCCTTGGCGACATCATCGACTGCCTTCTTGTTGTAGGGGGTGGCACCGATCAGGGGCTTAACCCAGGCGCCGAGGTTGGGGTGGACCTCAGTGTTGAAAAAGGACATCCATCGCAGGATGGAAGCGTAGCTAGCAATCCGTTAGATTTGAGGTATTAAATCCAGGTAAAAATGCGCGACTTACTCCTGCTTGGTCTTGCCGAGAAGGGTGGTCTTCTCGTTCTGGGAGGTGACTATATCATCAAGTTAGTCAGAGCACCACAACACGTTTGACCCTAGAAAAACTCGAGATTTGAAGGAAAAGGAAAGGTGCAAGATCAGAAGTTGTCGTTATCAACACTCGAAAAGTTTTTTTTTGTAACAATTCTTTCAGACAGGGATAACTTAAAATACTCTCATCATTTTGGCGAGCGACCGGAGGAGTCAAGGTGTAGCGACAGAAAGAGCTAGGAAAATATACCAGCACAAAGCGGGATACGTACCATAGATGGCAATAGCAATGCTCTCGCTCAGAGCGAAGCCATCCTCGCCGAGGAAAGCAGGGTACTTGCCCAGAGGGTGAGCCTTGAGGTGCTCAGCAGTGGGCTTGCCAGCCTCAACGAGCTGGATGTTGAGGTCGAGGCCATTGGCCTTGGCGACGGCCTTGATGGCGGTGGCACGAGGTTGGTCCTGCAGAACGACAAGAGTAAGCAGCGTGAAGCAAACAACAGTTGGGCGTATGGGATACTAACGGCGGAGGTGAAGAGAGTTCCGAAAGCCATTGTGAATGATGTCGAGATGCTTGACTGGAGAGGAGAGAAGGGAAGAGAGGAGGGACGGGGCGATAGAGGAATTTTTTTTTTTTAATGAGGGGAGGGGAGATTGTGCCCCGCGGTGGCTGCTGAAGCAACGAAGAGCAGGGGTTGAATTATGGGCCGCTGTGGCTGTTCTGTGGCTGGTGGTCCATCTCAATTGCTCTTTATCTCCACGTGACGCAGTCCAAAGCTGCCAGCCAAAGGCGAAGTTATCGTGGGGGAAGATTTTGTGGTATCACGACCTGGAGGCTCGCAACGTCGACTCGACTCTACTCGACCGACGCTCGGCAACAATGGCGACAATTGCAAGCGGCTTGCGGCATGCGAGGTGCGCAAGCTCGATTGCGGCAGCTCAATGGCGGCCGTCAATCCTTCCGCGGTCCAGCTTCCAACTCGCCATCCGGTCCATAACCAGCGACTCTCAAAAGCCTCCCAGTCTTGAACTTGAAGCGGCCGAGTCTGTCCCGATCCCGTACCAGGGCGTTACGCATGCGCGAGTCGTTCCGGCGACGCCATCCTACTTCTCGAGAGAACCCCAGTTCAACGATTTATACATTGGAATCTCCAAGCTGCTCACCAAGTACAACCACCTGCCCACGGTGCCGCCGAGCGAGGCTCCGCAGATGCCATGGACCAAGTTGGAGGAGATGCGGGCGCAGATGGGAGAGCCTATCAAGTCATCACACTACGCAAAGGTCATGCGGGTGGCCAAGCGCTTGAACCTCATCGAGCCCAGTCTGCGGCCGCAAGAGGTCAAGGTCGCCCTGACGGAGTTTACGAGAGACATCAACCCATTCTTGAACATGCCCAACCCCATCACGATTGACAAGTTCGGGCGTGCCGTCGGTGTGGGCAAGAGAAAGGAGTCAACAGCTCGTGCCTTTGTCGTAGAGGGAACGGGAGAGATTCTGGTAAACGGCAAGACTCTGAGCGAGGCGTTTGGTCGTGTGCACGACCGTGAAAGCGCAGTCTGGGCACTCACTGCTACGGAGAGATTGGACAAGTACAACGTTTGGGTCTTGGTTGAGGGAGGCGGCACGACAGGGCAGGCTGAGGCAATTACCCTGGCTGTGGCGAAAGCGCTGGTCGCTCATGAGCCGGCATTGAAGACGGCTCTAAGAAGAGGTACGTTATACGAAAGTCACTTTGCTTTTCCGGTGTTTCCTTTCTGTCTTGATCCCTTGCTTTCGGCTTTTGCGATGGCTGCTAACGTTGCATCTCCCGAATCCAGCTGGCTGCATTACGCGCGATCCCAGGACGGTGGAGAGGAAGAAGCATGGACATGTCAAAGCCCGAAAGATGCCTGCTTGGGTCAAGCGATAGAAGCTGCACGGGCCTGGTTTTCCCGCGGCGTTTGAAAGCTCGGCTAGGCGAGATTACGCAGGACGCCTGCGTGGCAGCGAGCCCAAAGGGCGCTTATCTATCTACCTCTATGCTGAGAGCGACATTGTACCATCTACAAAATCTGTATTTATAGAACCCCAGACATTGCTGCTTGGGGACGGTTGGGTTATCTCGGCCCATGCCAACGCATTCGATATTATAATGAAGTATGACCAGAACAAGTACAAGCATGTCGTAGTCGCTGCAAGCCTGTGCGTAATCACTAAAGCACGAAGTATATGAAGTTCCGTCTTGGCACATGGTAAGTTCAGTGTTCCTACCTACTTACAAAGCAGAAGCAGTCCATCTACAGTGAGGAAAGACTGGAAGACGCGTCATTGTAGGTATATGTCGCAAAGTCTAGTTTAGTGCATGATACAATAGATGAGAGACGTGCCGAGATTCATACGACCTACAAGGACAGTGACATACTGAAGGGTTAGCCATCACATTTTCCTCAAGGTTCTCGTTTCTTCTTTCGTTAGTTTCTATGTATTTTCTTTTTTTTTCCTCTCTCTCCTTTCTCTTCCTTTTTTTTCCCCTTCCCTCTTCTTTCTTTTTCTTCTTCTTTTCTTTTTCCCCCCCTCTTTCTACGGAGTGAAACTACCAGGGATGCTCTTAACCACCTGCGTATCAAAATGCTACGGTGCCAACCAAAGGGCGGAATAGCAGGTAAATACTAATTCAGGTAATTTTTTTTGGTCTTTTTTTTTTTTGCCCTTGAATCATGCAACACTCCAGGGTTGTGAGGCTGACCGGCCCTTTTCTGTGACATGCGCCGCAGTGAAAAAAGTAAATCATGTCGGCGTTGCCATTTCGTATTTGCGAAAATGCAGGCAGCCTTGTTAGCCCACAAGCCACAGTTGCAGAGTTGATACTATTCATAGTACAGAGTATCCAGAGCTGACACAGCTGGTGAAAACACTCATTGCAGACCCAGAAAGGAATTCCTCAAGGGCGGAGGGCTCGGCTCAACAATTCCCAGCCTACTCCGTAATAAAAGTCTAATTCCTCTGGACAGACAAAGCAATAAAAGCTATGAATCCTGCTCTGACGGGCCGGGCCCGGTCCGTGTGGCCGGTTCAGCAAGTTTAGCGAGATCGACACCACAAGTGACGCACGCACAAGCTGGACAATCAAGTTCAGCTCAAGTCTACCCCATGTCCGTGGAATCGAGCCTAGATTTCTGCCCAATTCCTGCCAATGACGTCGAGTCAGGGCGTCAGCAAGGGACTGTGGTCTCAGCCGCGCGAGGCCTGTTTGTGCCCTGTTTGTGCCAGGTATATTGTTGATGTTATTACTGGGTCCAGGGTAGCGTCGGAAGAGCCAATAGAAGGCGGCATCATATACAGAAGGGTGACGCAGGAGGGTTTCCTTTTCTCCCCCAATACTCCTTTGTCACATTTCATGTACTCCGTACGGATGCAGTAGTTACATCCGCTGGAGCGAAAGTCAGCCCTCATAGCCGCGGCAATAGAGCCTCCATGGCAACTGAGCCAGGAAAAGCAAGTCATCGTACGATGATCGAGTGAGAGTCAACCGGGCAATTTCAAGTTATATGCCTACCTGGCCGTATCTGTACAAGCAAA